CATAAGATGGAATTTTTTATGTAGGCGCTGCTACACTAAAGCTTTTTTAAGCTCAACATGATTGTCAGACTGTAGCAGATACAAATTGCATTTTTGTCGCGATTCGTTTGCCACTTTTACCGTTAACAGGTATTTGTTAACTTTTTAAACGCTTTCCCAGTCTCTCCCTTGTTATGCAGACATGCATCATCTTAACTCCAAACCAGCTACTTTCATTTTTCTCACCTAAACTTACCCGTAATTTTATGATAAAGGTAGACAGTTCCTTAGCTTTTTCAACGGAAGGCGAATGAAGCAACTCAAAAAGTTTGAATACGCCACCCTCTAGTTAAAACTCTGAATTATTTAAAAGAGTGTTTTTAAACATATCCGACGGTGATTAGCGTTTTAAAAAATCCTATTCATAAGAGCACTTAATTGATGTATTGTTCCTACGCCGTCTAGTGATTGACTCATCCCTAACAGTGCGTCTGTCGTCATGTGAAATTTGCGGTCTCTAGCGCAAACGAATGGCATTGGCTGAAGGATAAAATCACTTTTCAATCGCGCAATTAAGCAGTGCCTTAAGGTCTTTAGAATACCGTGAACACTCGTGCTTCTTCTTTCAACAAATTAATTTATTAGCATTTGTGCTGTAAAAAATCATTAATACTTAAAGATGTTCTGATTGTCTTCTCTCAATTAAAAAAAACGCACGACGCGTTTTGTTCTGCCTTTATTTTCTCTTTATTTCACTTGTAAATAAACACCCGTGTAATCATGGCGTATGATAGGGAGATCTTTTCGACTTTAAAGATTCTGGTGCAAGTTCTAAATTTTTAATTTCGTAAATTTCCTTCCATGTGTAGTTTAACAATTTGGTGTTACGTTCAGACAATATCTACTGAAAATATTCTATCTCACTGCCAAATTAATGATAATAAAAGCGACTGTGGCTACAAACGTTGTCATGACTTTCCAAGTCATCTACTCTTTCAGAGCACTGTGACCCACCAATAGCACACAACCAAAGTGCGAAGTACTCTGACACGTTTGCATTTAACTTGTGGCCTAACATAAAAAAAACAGTTCGGCAGGGATTTCAATAAAAGCCGCTTACCGACGGTTTACCACCACCTAGAAGACCACTTACCGCCGTCTGTTCAACCTGCGACCAGGCTGTCGTGTTTGGGTTTCGACTTACGGCACAACCACTTGCATAATCGGCCACTACTTATGGAAAACTTTATTGATACCTCTTAGTACGGCAATAGAAACGTCCTGATCTGCAACAATCGATAGCACACTGACTCTACATCGTAACACAAGTGATTATATACGCTCGTGTATATTTAGTTCTATTGTGCTCTTAGGAACCAAATGAAAGCAGCTGGAGAAAAGCCAGGAAGGATCTGCAATTACCAAGTACGCCAGCTGCTATTTGAAAAAATTTATACTCATAAAGACGGGATTGTTTTGTTTAAAACGGGTGTCAAATCGTTTTTTTTCCTTTATTTTATTTTTTTGTGGATAAGATATGCCGAAACCTAAATAAATTTATTTTTGTCTGCATTTGAGAGAAATCGTAGATGCCACGTCAGTTTTTCCCTTCTAATTTTCGTCTATTTTGAACCTGCAAAACTGCATTTATTGATGTTACAAAAAAAAAACCAATCAGTAATTTCCATGTGTGAAACTATACCATCTGACCCTAACAAGTAGGTGCTATAATCAGTCTTTTGATCCATCTTATCATTTATCAAGACCCATTCAAGACAAAAAGGAAACAATCTGTAAATGAAATGTTAGGCTCGTTGAAAACTTTAATTGATTGGAGCCATTTAACGCTATAAAATCAATGTCACCTCTTTTGTGATTCTCCCAGGATGACCGGAGCGAAAACGTACGGTTTTTTAATAAACGGAAGGTCTGGTGTCACATGAAAGGTGCCAAACAGTAGAAATTAAAGGAAATCTTACAACGTACCCGCGGTTTTGGCTTTTGATTCTTCAAGGCTACAGATCAGAGGAAAGCCGCTCGCATGAACTCAGTGTTTTTGTCTTAGCGAAAAGGTAAGCTATTCATGACTCATCAGATTTATTTTATCAATTTTTGTTTTCAAGAAAGCTTGAATTGTCATTACATATTTAAACAGATGAATTTTCCATTGCTGTATCTTTTTATCGGCAGTTTTCGTAATGACACCTAGAAAAAAATCTCAGCTTCACTCATCAAACGCGTGCTTAAGGAAGAAAAAAGTGGACTGTGTTTGCGCTCAGATCAACAAATCGTCAAGAAGAAATCGAGATAAAAATGAAATCATAAAAAAGCGAATTTTAAAAAGGTTTTAAACGTGTTCGAAGGTTTACTAAGCTGTTATTTGTTTTTTTAATATTTTGCAGGCTGGTACTTCTCGAGAGCATGAGGTGTTCGTATGTCATAATCATTCTTTGCGTCCTGAATCTGATAATCGCTTTCCCGGAACCATTAGGTAAAGCAATTTGCAATATAAGACGGGTCGTTGTTTTTTGTTGCTGTTGCTGAAAATAACGTTTATGAGTGCTAAGTGATCAGTTCAACAAAGCAAGAGAAATGAGGCGGTGTGTCGCTAAACTCGCTGCTGCATGCGCGCGAAAAAGGCTTCTGCCAAAGTCTATTTGCTTATTTGAGGTCTAACCTAAACCACAGTTTTACGCAACCAGTACGCTCAGGCTTTTTCTATAAGAGGGTTGATTTAATTAAATAAATTTCCTTCCACTGTTCACTTTCGGCCCCCTTGGCACTGCCAACAACTGAAAAAAAAGTTGATATAAAAAATTCAGCTAAATTTAGGACAGTTTAGGACGCGGTTTTGTTGAACAACGGCTAAACTTTCTTTGAATAATCAGAACAATTAGTTTTAGCTGGAGTTTCTCGCATCAGGAAACCTAAAAGGTGGACTGTGTTTGTAGTCAGGTCTTCAATAATCTGCAAATGAACCATATGGTAAAAATCGAAAAAATAATTTTAATTTGCAACCCATGCAAATATTTGCTATTTTCAGTTCATAAACAGTTGAAGGCAGACGGTTTGAAGTTCAGATGTTGCCTCTTGCTGCTTGTCCAGGCTTGCTTGCTTAATTTCAATCTATATTTGTTGTCTTGTTAAGCCCGATTAACACAATTTGTCATCATGTTCTCTCACGCAAGACCTTCACAAAATCAAAACTCTTCCCTAACAAAGAAGGCATTGATAACATCTGCCCGATCGGTACATGTACAATATACAGAACAGAATGGTAGTTATATCAATGCATCTTTAATTGCAAGTACAATCTCAAAAGATCTTAATGAATAAATCATTTTCAATAGAAGTCTATTTTCTCGGGAAAATGGGGATAATTTTGGCCACGAGAAAAATGCCGCTAAAAACATAACCAGTGGAGTTTGATATACGATTGTTAAGATTAAGAAAAGAAATGCTACTCGCAAGTGGACTGCAATTTTAGAAATGGAGAGAAACAAGCCTGAAGAAATTCAGGCTTCAGCGGGATTCGAATCCGTGCCTTCCAGATAATATTTGGGTGCTTCTATGAACTGAGCTACGAAGTTACACATTGAGAACTGACGAGGCAATTACACTGCCTCACTCTTCACAGACCTTTAACCGCCTCGCTGTACTCGAGGACTCAGACTTTCTCGCTCGCTAGCTCTACTCGCGGGCTCGCTTGCTCTACTCGCGGGCTCGCTTGCTCTACTCGCGGGCTCGCTTTACTCGAGGACTCGCTTTCTCGCAGGCTCGCATAACTCGAGGACTCAGACTTTCTCGCGCGCAAGCTCTACTCAAGGACTCAGACTTTTTCGCGGGCCAAGAAACGTTCGTGTCGCAACGCTGGGACACCTTATCTCATGAACAAGATATTCTCTTTTTTCTTCACTGATTCCTACTGATTCGCGCCACAGATTACGTTGGGAAAAAAAAAAGACTGATCGTAGTAAGAGGTAAATAGAAGCTTTAGTACCTCTTCGGAGGATAATCTGCCTCCCAGTCTGTGAAAAGTGGTTCAGAGAAATTTATGCTTTTAACTCTAGGGTCTGAAGGGATCTGTACTTTTACTCGTGACGGTTGTCATTGGGAAAATATGCATGATAACGATTTTGATTGGACGAGAAACCGGGCATGTACTCCAACTAACAACACAGGTCCATGTGTGGATCACACTTCGAATTCGTCCTCAGGTAATGAATGATTTCTGGTGATCAATTCAATAAATATGATGTCTATACATACCGTACCACTCGCGTGCACTGCAGCATTACACGCACCTGACGTGCTGCATTTACAACTACACGCACGAAACATGCACACTGTGCGTCATTACAAGAAACTACGCGTAAACCACTGCACGCATGCAATTTTTCTACTGCATGCACCTAACTATAAGCACTGGTCATGGAAGCGCGTGTTATTCCCACGAACTACATGTGCTTGGCATGCGTGGGGTTGCTGCAGTACACGCAAGCAGTACTGTGTCTGGTAGGGGGAGGGAGCATGTCAATTAGTCAAAACTACGACAAAATCTGAGAAACTAAACACCCATCACCTTTACTCATCTATAAATGAAAACATAGAAGTTGACTTTACCACGAGAAAATGAACCAAAACGTCTTGTCACACAAAGATTATTTTCTTTCCAATCATGCAGGCATGGCGTTCAAACTGTACTTCGTCCAACTACACGAACTTCTAAGTGCTGATTACTAATCACGTTCGAGAATTTTATATTTTTTATCATCATATAATCAGTTCGAGAATAAACACAATGGCCAATTAATACAAAGATATGTATCTCAAGGAGACAGTGCAAACTCAAATTCAGGAAAACTGACAAGAAAACTTTCTGAAGCGTGGGAAAATGTTAATGATGACCTATTCTCGAATAGCGAAGGAATTCAAGGGAAGCTTCGCCCGTGAGGGAGACCCTTAAATAATATCGAAGCCTCCATGGTTGATTTGTAGGACTCATAAAAGTATGACCCAAAATGTTGTTGAATTTTGTTGTGACTAAATGTTACGTGAAAAGATGTGGTTCTTACTTAGATTATTGCCTCAATACAGGCCATTACCTGTACATAGAGACATCTTTCCCCCGTCAACCTGGAGACAAAGCTCGCGTCAGCTTCAAAGTGTTTAGGGTGAACTGTCTTCAGTTTTGGTACCACATGTGGGGTGCAGATATAGGACAGCTCAAAGTTTATTACACCAATTTTCAATCTTCGTCATTTGTTTCGCATTTGGCGTGGCATTTACAGGGAAATCAAGGAGACGTGTGGAAACTTGCACAAGTGCCTTTTGACCCGGACTTGGTAGAGGTAAAATTAAAGTTTCTTTATTCGCTGCTCTTTGGAAAGTAATGTGCGACTTGACAAGTTGATATCAGGGCACTGAACATCGTTGAGAACGAGTCTTTCCAAATGTTGTCCGATTCGGATGTGCTTGGGCAGAGTCTTGCAATCTTGGAAGCCATAACCTAATTTTAAGCATGATTTGCTTAGATCAGGCAGCGCTTAGTACCTAACTTAAGATATGATATTAAGTTATTGTTATGCAGAATGTTTTTATTAAGTAGTGGCCTGTATTAAATGATCTCTCCATTCACAAAGAAGAGCAACTAATACTGGTTTGACTGGTTTTGTCCATAGATCGTCATCATAGAAGGTATCAGAGGACTTGGTTACCATGGAGATATTGCTATTGATGACGTCCAATTTTTAGCTCAGGATTCCTGTCCTCCCACTGTTGAAGGTAAACTGATAAATTGCATTCGATTATCACGGCAATCCGTCTTGCCAAGATAAAGAGAAGCCAATGGCTGGGAAATCCGAGAAATTTCTCGGTCAGAATAATAAAGATGGTAAATCTTTTGGGTACACGCTTTGGACATTATTGATCCTTACGGTATGCAGGATATTTGTCGCAAATGAACGTTAGAGTAGCTGTGCTCACTGTAGAGTCTTTGTGGCTCAGTGGTACAGTATGAGAGCTTTGAGGTTCGATTCCTCATGGGGACCCAGAATCTTATCTACGTTTCATGCTCGTGATAAGAAAACTTCTTGGTTATCTGTTGTAATTGTCGTTATTTTTTTTGGATCTGACAATGCGCGATGTTCAGTACCCTTCCTGTTACTTTGAACTTTGTGATAAATAGAGACTTCACAGCAGTTTATTTAAATGAAATTTAAATAGCGAGTCGCTTCTACTATCTATGGTAATATTTATATAATTTTCCGCCTCAGATTCAGGTGTAGAAGGCGGTAGCTTAGTCGTCGTGGCAAGTCGTTTCTCCCGGTGTAACGAGTCGCTACGCTCCTCCTTCCTGTAAATTTGTTTAACACTGATGTCCCGTGACCATGAATTTCGCATGTAAAAGTGAAACCAACTTCTTTATTTTCATTCGTTTCCTTCTGTAGGAATTCCTTTAAAGAAAGTTGCTCACTGGTTTTTTGACGGTCGTGACGAAAATGTCAGGTTAGTCCTCAAGCATTACCAGTTTAACAACTTAAGCTGTAAGGAATTACGTATTTATATTTTCCCAATTTATAGGTCGCGCTGACTTGAATTTCTTTTTACTACACACTTATTCGGATCATGTCTTTCTTTCTAGAGCTTTTTTTTTATATTGATGTAATTTTTCAATTTGCTTACAATTTCTGACTCTTGCTGTAACGAGGAAGGTAAGCCAAACTGCCAAAGGAAAAAATTCCTTTTCCTAGTTTTCACTAGGAAATTCCTCAAATATCTCAAAACTTAAATCATCACGAAAATATTTCTAAAACAATATATTAATACCTTTATCGAAATGTAGGGAAACCTCCGTAAAAGTTATTGAGTTCTCAGGGTTAAGAAAACACTGCAATTGATACGGGAAAATTTTATAAATGAAACAAACTTTGCTTCATAACATTTCCTTGTAGTAATGCAAGTTACTTCAGCGATGCTAGCGGAACCTTTCTTTTTATGAATGGAAGCTTCAAACCAACTGTACCTGCCGTAAATCTTGGAGGTTCAAGCTTTTCCCTGGCGATGTGGATAAAACCGGTTCTCGGCAGCTCACAGTACGTCCTGAGCGCGGAAGACCAGTTTCACCTCCATTTAAACCAAAAAGGAGGATTTAGAGCAAAACTTGTTCTTGATGATGGGAGCGAAACAAGGCCATTTGGATTTAGGTGTGTTTGTATTTGTTGTCATATAGATGATTCAGTCAGAAAATGGCTTCCCAATCATCCTTTGGTCGCGTAGACGGCTTATGTATTAGTTTCAGAGGGATGAAAGTTAGGGAGCTCATTAGGTTACCCCCCCAGGAAAATAAGTCCTCAGGGGCTACACGAGATTAATCGAGTGATAGTTATTGTTAGGAAAACCTATCGGGATGTTCAGAGTAAACTGTGGTTAATTGGGTTTTCCTTTTTTCTTTACGCCTTTTAGACAAGCGCGAGGTTAACGCGAGTTACGACCTATGTGCAAGGTGCTAGGGACGATATACACGAGAGGGGAGGAGTGCAAGAAAATGCAGTTCCTCCACTAGCGCCCATTTCGACCCTCCATGCTCTCGCCTCGTGCTTGCCTTGCTTGCCTCGTGCTTGCCTCGTGCTTGCCTCGTACTTGCCTCGTGTTTGCCTTAGCTTCCCTGTAAAAAACTTAAAATAATAAAAGTATAAATGCCCGCTTTAGGCTGATGCAACAATACAGGACAATACAGGACACCTTGATAAGAGAATGTTAAACCTCTGCTAATGTATCTTCATAGCTCTGTTCCCGATAACGCATGGACTCACTTGGCGATCACATGGGACCAACCTACAGGACACATGACCATGTTTATAAACGGTGTTGAAAAAGACAAAACATCACTTCAAGCGAACCTTTCTCAGCTGACACCATTAGATTGTTCAGTAGGTTGGAGAAGCTACCGTGATAACATGGTGTTTAAAGGTCTCATGAGAGATTTACAAATCTTTGACAAAAGCTTGAATTTAGGCGAGCTTCAAGCTATAAAAGGTAAAATGTATATTAACTTGAAAAGGAGTGCTTGTTTACCTTGCATGTGGTGCTTATCCAGAGCATTGTTATGCAAAAGTAATCCGGGATTGCTTTTGTTTCCCTTAACTCGCTCTGTGATTGGTCCAGAAAACTCTCGGGTAGACGGAAGGGAGGAAAACCAGAAGCCCGAAGAAATACCCCCCCCCCCAGGCAAAAACGATAACCAATCACAAACGCAATGCATATGTGAACCTCGGTTCGGGAATCGGAACCAGGTCAAAGCGGTGGCGGGTGGAGTGGGGAGTAGGGGGCAGTTCTTTCACCAGTGCACAATACGTACTGCCCTGAATGTACTTTTTAAGATGATAACACAAAGCTTTGTCATGACCTGGGTTGTTCTTCAATTTCCTCATCTGGAAGGTGTCGTAAATGCTTGTATCTGTTTCCAGGCTCTTCTTGTAATCAAATTTGTATAAGCCCGGGTGTTTGTCATGAACGGACTGGAAAATGCTTTTGCGGGAACTTAACACATGTGGATGCCTATTGCAGAAATGGTGAGTAACTAACTTCAGAGATCCATCACAGAATAGCAAAAAAGGAAATGTTCAGAAATAGATAATATTGCAGAAAGCAGGCAACTTTGCCTCACTTCGCTAATCGGTGAAATGTCCAGGGAAGTTATATTTGGAAACAATGAAATACGCGTCCAGCATTTCAACTCCTTAACTATCATAAGAGATCAACAGCAAACAGGTTATGAGAATAGTCTACCTTATCAACTAGAAGTTGTTATTTTGATCAAACACTAAGGTTTGGTGTCTAGTTTACAAGGAAACGTGTAGCAGCTGCCAGAGAGGAAAATTAACAATCAGTTAAAGGTTTAATGTTCAGTTAAGGAGTTCAAGGTTCGAATTAAACCCTCAAAGGATTCCAATCTGTGGGTGGCTCATGCAAGCCGGCATCATATGACCTGAAAGTTGCCTGTCTGAGAAAGATTTCTAAGGCCTCAGAGAATCGGCACCTCGGTTCCCCCTTTTTTGCTTTGTATGCATAGGGAAGAGGGGGGGGGGTGCAAAATCCTCGTCCTACTAAAATCAGAACCCTATCCCACTCGAGGGATGAAACTCGTGGAAGAGTCCCCGACACCCGAGCTATAAAGCGGTTCAAATTTTTTAGAATCCCAATTCCAGATTTTTCACACTATAACATTTCCAAACGTAATCTATAATATTTTCTTACTCAAGCTCTTAACAGCACAATATACAGTAACGCAAGCGCGTATTTCCCAATGGACACTTCATCGACCATTTTGAATTTCAAGGCATATCAAGAAATTAACAATTTTAGCTACGATCTGAGCACAATTGGCCCTGTAAACGGCGCCGTGATGTTTAACCATACCCAACTGCATGTAAATCAATTGGAAATTCCTTGCTTGGCGGATGTTCATCTTTGTACACAAGGCTTCACTTTAGCATTCTGGATTAACGTTTTGGAAGTTAGTGGTGGACTTCCAATGGTATTACGCCAGCGAGGAAGCAATCAGGAAGAGAGCGAAGTACGGGTTAAAGTTCTAACGCAAGGAACTGAGCAATTCTTTGGAATTATGGTAGCAGCCAATGAAAGAAAATGTAACATTCAGTTTCGTTTTACCATGTCTACGTGGATGCACGTGGCGTTCACGTGGTTGAACGGATTCACGCTGCCGCATCTTTTTTTAAATGGTGTAAGAAAACAAAGAAATGAACTTGAAAAGTACCACTGTAAAGATTATTTCCCTCTTCTTAAAACTCCTTCTGTTCCAACTTCACCTTCAACTTCTACACTTACTTCTGCCCCTCAAGATGTTTCCTTGGGAAGTTCAGGGATAGTTATGCTCCTGGATGACATGGCATTGTGGGAAAGAGAACTAAATTTCGAGGAGGTTCAGGGTATTTACGACAAACTCGTGAGAGGTAAGCTCTAAATGATCGGGGTAATTTGATATTATCAACTGAGTTGATAATGTAAATTAGCCACCGTGAAGAGTTTCAAAGCTGACGTTTCGAGCGTTAGCCCTTCGTCAGCCTTTATCTTTCAATCGGCACTCTTAATCCCCACGGTACGACGAGCGCTTTTCATTTAACCAATTTATTCTTAGAGAAAGATGTTTTTCGTCTAGTCACGAGCGTGGGACAAAGAAAAAATTCTGAGTTCCCATGAAGAATCAAACCTCAGACCTTCAGATTCCGCGCTCAGATGCTCTACCACTGAGCCACAGCGACTCCACGGTGAGCAAAGTCTATCACGAAGTTCATTTGACATGTGTCCTGCGTACTGCTAGGATCAGCAATGTCGATGGCGTCGTGTTTGTCATGCTCATGACAAGACGAAAAACATCTTTCTCTATTTCTTTACCGAGCTCAAAACTTACCATCTCTGTTGTTCTATTCATAATTTATTCTTGTTTTGTCGTCACCATATTTAAACCAATCGCGTAACTCCATTTCCTGCATATAAACACGCACACTATTCCACAACTCCTCCGTTCGCTCCGACGAAGGGCTAACGCTCGAAATTCTTCACGGTGGCCAATTTACGTTATCAAATCAGTTGATAATTCTTAATTACCCTGTTATACTCTCCACCGACACAGCATTACACTTTCTTTAGAAACTTACCTCCTTTATCTGAATGATCAGATTCAGCGAAGGAAGTAACCGCATGAACCAGTCAGTTTTGTTACACTTGTCAGTTTTGGTGTTTAGAAATAATCTTTTTTGGAACAAGTAACACGCTGAACTCATGCCCCATTTGTGAAACGAGTAAAAATGTAGTATTGGCTGCTGTCGGCAGGAAATAAGAATTGTAATCCTTTCTTTGGCCTCATTTATCGATCTTCAGGCCTCTCAAGATTAATCTTTCAGTACGGTATGCATATTTATCGTACTGCTCTAGACACGTTTCCTGGAGTGATAGCAAGGAGGATATGTTTAACAGTCAAGAGCTTCTTTCGTCAGTGATCATTACCTTTATTATCGTGACCGTAATGTGTGATTCCGGGGTAATATTGTAAGGAGAAATTAGATGCTAGTCACTCTTCGAGGGGTTAATGGGTTGAAGCAAAGTATCGTTTCCTCTACGTTTACAGATGTCGAGAAAAATATCCACGTTTATACAATCTTTATCAACGAAACCTGGCATGCGGACCTTCAAGACCCAGAAAGCGAAATATACCGGAGTTTCAAGCAGAAACTGTTTCTACAAGTGAGCAAAGACTAGCGGTGGTATCGTCATAATCTATATAATTTTTAAATCTAATAACTTTCTGTAATCCGCACTTTGGTTACTTCTTACTTATGATCTATTGAAGGATAGACGCAAAGTTGACGTCACTATCAACAGCTTTTGCTACTTTTGTATATAAAACAAACAGCTTCCATTTTTCCTGCGTCCATTCGGTATTTATAATAAGCTGAAGTATACACGCAGTTTGATCGGTTCTCACTTGTAAGCTATTGGAGGACAAACACATAAATGACGTTACCGTTGAAAAAAATTTATTTGCAGTTACATATTAAGACAATTAGATTCAATGTTGCCGTAGTTTTGTGCAACAAAAAGATCGCAAAAAAACGCCAAAATGTGGTAGCAACATCAGCGACACATTCGGCTGCGCATCGCATGCCCGGTTCTCTGTTCCTATCACATTTTGACGTCACTTGTGATCAATCACTGGAAAAATGCATGGAAAAATGGATTCTATTCGTTGATTAGATTTCAAAAGACGTAGAAATATTATAAGTATATCAGACAGACATTCGGCTGCGAAGGAAAATAAATTTTTATGACGTACAGGAAGTAATTTGTTCTTTAATTGAAACCTCTCAATTCGCATTAGGTTCGCCAACTTTTTCCGGACGACTCGATGTATGATGTGGAAATACATAACTTGAGGTGAGATGAGATTTATTTGAGGATTTATGAGTGTTACAATATTTCTAATGATATGTAATAGTTGCATTATATACAGCTATTTCAATTTACGTTGTCGGATCAAAGCCTCAAGCCTACAAGACAAGACCGAAGGGGAATATGGGATCTTAATGAATAATTATCAGCAAAATTAACAATGCCTCGTCCATACAGCGAAGATTTATATTGTATTTTCAGCCTCCATGTCCATCTCGCGCCGACAACCCCGAAAGCCTAAAATTAATTCTAATCTACCCATACCGCCTTTCGGTCTTGTCCCGTACCCTTGAAGCTTTGATCCGACAACGTAAATTGAAATAGCTGTATATTGCATTAAAAATGGCTCTTTCCCTGGTCTCCGTTACGTGGCTCCATTTTCATGAACCATTCTTAAATATCCAGCTTCTTTCCTCTGACTTACAACAGCAGATAATATTCAAATGTTGTAAGGAGAGCTTACAGATATTAACAAACTTTAACTGAGCTAAAGCTTTATTAGTACAATCTTTCTACCATATACCGAACTTTAAAGTCATTCTCTCTCAGGCCTGGAAGTGTCGAGGCTGATTTCACACTGAAATTTCGCGAACTGACGTATAACCACACTCTCAAGCTGCAAGAGGCGCTCTTCAACAGGTCTTTTGGAAACATGACAATAGGAGAGGTGTTCTGGGATTTTAGTCCACACAGTATGTAGCACTTACAAATTTCTAATTGTTAAACTCTAATTGAATCTGAGATATTACAGTTATCATCATCGTGGTGCGATGACGTCACCGTTTGATTGTGCTGTTGGACGAGTTGGGTCCAGGCCTACTACTCGACTTTCAAGAAAGTGATGCGAGTAGGAAAACTCTTCAGTAGGTGATATATTAGCGTTTTACGAAGTTCCATCCCACAAATTTAAATATGTCCTTGTTAGAACTTCTAAGAAGAAATGAAATGAAGCAAAAATTTCTCCTCTTGCTTGCTGGCAACCTACCAGCAATCTTTTGCCTTTCCTTTTGCCCACAGTTCCTCACGACGCACCTAGGATCACCAGTGTTACATTACTAAACGACTCGTCAGTGGAGGTCAGATGGGAAGGTATTCCGCTTAATACCTTTGCTGGGGTACCACAAGGCTACAAGATTGTCTACTATGAAAACATCACTGCACATGCGCCTATGTATCAGCACGTGTTTGCTCCGGGATTAATAAACACCATAAGAGTAGGAGGCCTCCGGAATAACACTTTGTATTCCATAAGTGTTGTTGCATGCAATGTGTTCGCTGATGGACCTCCAAGTGATCCAGTCAATATAATGACGACGTCTGCCAAATGTAAGTTGCGTTACCCTTTTGAAGCTGAACTAAACAATACATGTCACGCACAGTAAAAATCGTGACGCTCACAGTAGAAGTCACTCAATGCTGATGCGTCCATAAGAGTCCAATATGAGACTCTCGCTCAGCTTATCAGAATGTGTAGCTTTCTTCATAATATATAGCAATACGTAATAAGTCAATTTTTTATAGAACAAACGTCTTGATTGTTAACTACGAAAATTCAACTGAAATTTCTATTTTAATTTCTTAAGTTTCCAGGGTAAACTACAACGTTTTCTTTTCGTTTAAAATGTCTCCTTTCCTGATGATTTTCTTCAGAAATTCTCAACAGTTTGCAAGAACCACGTCCTTTGTAAACCCTGGCGGCTGCTTCATCTGCATTACTACATAAAAATTGCTCTCCTCAATTTAGGGCAGTTTTCTCTCCTGCAAGAAAGATATACCGTTCGCAAATACCTTGCCTTTTGTAACAGTAGCCTGATCCAGGCGCTCCGTCGGTAGAGACGGACAAACAATTGGGGTCTATAAGGTCAGAAGACCAAGTGACCTGTTAACTAGCCTGCTGAATTTGTCAGGGGTATCAGAGTGGTGTTCGTGGGCAAGTGGGGGGGGGACCTGATGCTGTCACATCCGTGGTGGGAAGGGGGCACTAGTCTAAGCCACTAGTCGTTATTTACAAAAGAAATCCTGAAAAACTTCAGCCAGATGTGCCATGAGGCTTGTTAGCTATCTATGTCGCTTCTCCACCGTTATTTTTAGCACCTCGTATATTCACGTTGGTTCTTCAGGAGAAAGCTTTGACAGCTTCTTTCACTTTTCCAGCAATCAGCTCCAGTTCACAAAATCTGACCGTTGTCTCCACCGGACCTCACCATATACATTTGTCCTGGAATAAATATAATATTTACGTCACTGGATTCGAAATCTTTTGGAAAATTCTAAATTCCTGCGTGACAACCGAATTTGCGAGAATACAGTCTCCGAACTCAGCCTTCAACATAACTGGTCTCCAGCCCTTCACCTGGTATCAAATGACCGTGCGAGCTTATAATAGTCTGGGGTCTGGACCAAACAGTTCCTATGTCAATGTGCGCACGCAGGCCAAAAGCCTTGGTAGGATGTATTTCAGTTATCAAAGTGACTTTTATATTAATTGAGTATCGTCTTATTTCATTTTATCTAGAATGTATTTTTAATTTCACATGCTTTGAATTCCAGTTAATCTTCCTCCAGTTCCCCAAAACATTAGCGTGACAGCTAAGAATTCTACTTATGTGACAGTCGAATGGTTGCCAGTGTCACGTCATCTTGTGTCGAATTATCATTACAACTACACCCTTTCGTGGCTCGCCGTTAAAGGAGGGTCGCCAGGCGTCATTACAAACGTAACTCTAAATGTGACATCATTCAAGATTCGTGGGCTGACCCCATACACAAAACATGTTTTACAAGTGGCTGCAAGGGACTGGAACGGGACAGGCAGATTCAGTAATCCCTTGTGTGTGTATACACTAGAGGATGGTAAGTTAAACTAATGCAACCTTTAGAAGTTTTCACGAACAGGTTAAATTTTCCTAAAAATGTGTCCTCTCTCTCAGAACATTGGCAAGCGAACCTTGCTAGAACAAAACACGAGGGGAGGGGGCAAGGGAATCGAGAATGTTTTAAGCCCCTTCCCCCCTCCCCTCCTAACCAACCTCCCTACCTAACCAAAGCGATTTTTAGGGTCGTCAAGAATAGATGCAGAAACCATCATAAGTGAGGCATAGAATTGCTTTGGCAAAATGTGTTGTCTTCTGATCGTGTCATGATTTGTTTCACTGGGTAGATACATGTTATAATACTTCTTAGAGCTAATACTTACCAAAAGAAAGCTTCATAAAGAATTGGATAACTTGATTCTATCGGTTTTTGGCTTTCTCGCTAAGGTTTTACTTTTCTTTAGTTCCCAGTCTAGCGCCGCAAAATGTTACCGTCCAGAGCCTCAACTCTTCTTCTTTTGTACTCAGCTGGGGTCCAGTCCCTTTACAATATGCGAACGGAAGGATTCAAGGATATCGGGTGAGAGTTTGGGAACAAAACGTCACTAACGTATCATATTCCGTTAACAAAAAGATGATTCTTGTAGAAGGACTGCAGCCATATACAACATATAAAGTGAAAGTTTCGGCTTACACGTCAGTGGGAGAAGGAAATGGTTCATTTTTGTTGGTAACAACACTAAAAGCAGGTGAGTCTTCAGCAGATTTCAAACTTAACAAACCACAGTAGCGTTCTCCGTTCTGTTGCTTGAGCTAATTCTGTTACTTGAATGAGCATATTTTAATACGCAACTTCGGTAATACTGGCGCTAGAATAGCACGCGAACAACTTTCCTACTAAGGAATCTGGGACTGGGTTAGCCAATTTTATTTTGGACGCCAGTATCAGCAGTCACGTATTGAATGCCAAACAAACTAAAACGTAGGTGCTCACAAATGTCGAGGAGAACACAGGACGCTATATATCACAAAGAGCTAATGAGAACTGATTGCAAAAACATTGAACCTGCCTAAAGCGCACGAAAACGTGTGAGATCAAACTGAGATTGGTTTTAATCGAGCATTTGATTGGTTGAGAGGAAGCGGTGAGGTCTCAGGACCAATCAGAGACCGAGATGATGATTAGTCTCATTTTTGTTCGAGATTACATCAGCTGAGACATTCTCCTACCCATCTGCCTTTTCTTCTTTTAGTTATAGTAATTGTTTACGTCTTTGTCAGTTGATACAAAACAGGCCATTCTTGCACCGGAAAACGTGACAGTCAATGTAACGAGCGCCACCTCCTGTCACGTTCAGTGGCTCTCAGTGTCACACAATCACACCTTACAAAGTCCATACAATTATACACTGGAGTGGGAATCTACTAGATACGGAAAGGCGAATGTAACGGTAGAAGCAACATCTTACAACCTCCAAGGCCTCGTGCCATTTACAACTTATGGTATACGTGTGGCTGCTGTAGATGGGGTTCATAATTGGACGTTCAGTAATACAGTTTGGTTCCAGACTCCAGAGGCGGGTAGGAAACTATCGTCATTTTATCCGTTCATTGAAAGCTGCTCATCAATTTCACCGAGGTTTTTAGAATAAAATGTGTGTTCCAGCATTTGGTTCCTAACTATTGATCATGGACATTTCTGCTTTTAGTTCCAAGCCAATCGCCGCAAAATGTCTCTGCTTCCAGTGTCAATTCGAACTCGTTTCAACTTAATTGGGTTCCAGTCCCTCAAGAATTTGCCAATGGCAGGATTCAAGGTTACCGAGTGAGAATCTGGGAATTAAGTCAGTGGATAGCAGCTATGAGACCGAACAAAACAACAGTTGACAACTCGACAACCAGCGCTCTGATTGGTGGACTGGAAGCTTACACGAATTATGTAGTGCAGATATCGGCCTTTTCGGCGGCAGGAGAAGGGAATATCACCCACATAAATGTATCTACTCAAGAGGGAGGTAAGTAAATCGCTTATTGACTTTTTAACCAATAAATTAAAAAAAAATCTTCCAGGCAAAAAAGTGTTCAGCCAGTATGAATGATAATTTCAAAAATCTAGCTATTAAAGGCATAAGTCATGGAGGTCTGACAAGTGTCTTAGAACAATTTACTGAGGTGTAAGTCGCTGAATTTCGACAGTATCTGCCAACATTTATTAAGGGGAGAGCAGTTGACGTTCTGCAAAAACTATCATTTGGGAAAGACAAGTTTATGAGCAGCCCATTCGCACATTCTCATTTTAACCTCTCTAGCGTGGTTTGCTTTGATCCAGAAACATACGAAATATATCGCCGACGTTTACAAGCTTCAAATAAAAATTAGTTTTCTCCCCTCATATGGATAGTTGACGGGAAACACAATACAATAATATTAACATTTCCTGACCTAAGGAGTAGCGATGGCGTGGTGATGAGGGGGCTAGCCTCCCTCTGCCGTGGCTTGGGTTCGATTCCCGAACCTGGTATCAAATGTAGGTTGAATTTGTTGTTGGTTCTTGGACCTTCTTGTCGTTACTCCGAGGGTTTTTATCCGTGTTCTCTCTCCACAAAAACGAAAGAAAGTAAAGCCACTCTATAAGAATGTTTCTATGCAAGTTAAATTTTCAGTCATGTTGCAGAGATTCGGCTAACTCGCAGTTTTTAAGATGATAAATCATAATTGGCCGATAACGTTTAGTTAAAGAGTATAAATTCCCGAAGGAGCTATGAAAGGATTCTCCCATGTGTTGCAAACCCAGCCTTTCTCAAATGGCGCCTCTGAGCACAATGCCCTTACCTTTACTTAAAAAAGTTGAAAGCTTTTATACCAGAGCCTAACTCTACTCAGTTTAAGAATAGCCTTGGTTATTTACGGGGCAGCATCCTTATTTGAACCAGCCGAGTGTCATCGTAATGTAATTAGCCTTTGTGAGTGAGTGATCGTATTCTCCCGTTCCAACTGAATTCAGTTTCAAACTTTGTTAAGTCACGTTGTGGTTTTTCCAACATGATGTTAAGCCCCTATAGTTATATTTTTGGCTAGTGTGATTAAAGTCGCTGCTACCACATAATCTTTACAACAATTATCAAAACATCCTTGCTTAGTGAGGCCAACCTTTTCCTTTGATACTTTTTCGGTTTGCTTAGTTAAGCTTACAGCCATATCAGGTCAGACACAACAAAAAAACCATTTCCTGGTCTTATCATATTTGGGCACCATCTGATATCTCTTACTAAACAGACGCAAGACAACACGGAATCTTTGTTAAGTATTCATGCGTGGCGCGCTTGATTTTATAATTTAGCCAATCGCGTCCACAGACCTTGAACCTGGCAATGGAAGTTGACGTAGACACCTCCAAGTTATCCTTCCTTTTTCAGTTAGGTCTTTGAGCTTTCTTTACCGCAAATGAATTTGTTCCTTGATTGTTTCCGAATTTAAGAAGCTTTGAAGTCTTTAATTAAAGCCAAATGTTGTAGTTGATTTAATAAGTTTATTACATATTTAATTACGAAATAATTTTCTACTTTCGGTACGCTTAACATGTCGTTTCGCCTAAATTACAAAATTTCATTAGTCCACTACTACACAATTTTACCATATTAGGGACATCAAACCGTGCAAAATATGCCACGGTATGACACTGAAGAACAAGGCGAAAAGTACGGACGGAAAGTGGAGCAACAAAATCGTCTTCGAAGTTTGATACTTTTTAGTATTTCGCCGAAATCACATCCAAACTAAAATGTCGATGAATATTTTATTGTAAACACAAAATAGTAACGTTAACTCTTTGCTGTTTATTTACAGTTCCAACCAGACCTCCGCAGCAAGTTCAAGGAATCAAGCAAAGCTCAACCAGCTTACTGATCACGTGGATTACCGTCCCATCAGGCCACGCGCACGGAGTGATCATAGGTTACAACGTTTACGTCAACAATGGCAGTGTACGCGTTCTCTCCACATCTGTTAATAACGCTGTGCTGACTGGTCTCAACAAATACACTCAGTACACGGTTCAAGTATCGGCAAACACATCTGCAGGAGAGGGTCCAAGAAGTTCTCCAATCAGTGTATGGACTGACGAAGACGGTGAGTAGAAAAAGGAAGAGTTTTCCTTAATATTTTAATTTCCGTAGGTTACATTTTTCTCTTATTTGACCACGAGTGAACATTAAAAGACGACAATGTCCAGAAACCAACAAACTTTTGTCGGTATACGTAAAACTTTGACATTGTCCGTGTTTCGAGAATCCGCGTGCACATTTGATGAAACATTTCGGACTCTCACCCTGAATTAAACGTTGCCAATGAAACGATGTACCTCGCGACACACGCTTCACATTTCGTTCTAAACTGAATCGTCCTCCGTCGACTCGCTATTTATAACTATTGTCGAGAGGGGGGCGCTTGACCGACGATGGGGAAGGTAGAAAGGAAGGTAAGAGATGTTTCCTCTCTTTTTTTCTTCCTTTTTATCTTCCCCATCGTTGTGGTAGTACAGTCTCTTACGACCCCGCGACTGCGTACTTCAAATAAGACGCAAATATAGGCGAGTCGGGGAATCAGGTAGATTCTAATTTTTGTCACTGTTGAAAGGCAATCAGTATTGATAAGCTTATTAAAATGTAGTAACTAAAACTCAAAGTTATTCCGAGGTGAAAATTGAGATCCACCTTAATCATTTTAACAAAGTTAAGCTGTTGTTATGAAGATCGCTATATATTTTTCCACAGTAGTCGAGAAAGTATTGCGTTATTTGGATTCGTGAAGTTATGTTTCTAATAATATGACTACCAACGGGTCTACCAATATTCTTGCAGCGCCGTGTGATCCACCCAAAAATATGGTGGCCAATAACATCACGAGTACAAGTGTCACTGTCCAATGGGGTTACCATGGAAACTGCCCTAAACCGGGCTTCATTCAAGGATACCGACTGACATACCAGATGCATGGGATAGTACCCAGTCCATCTGCGTCCTTGAGAGTTTCTGGAGAAAACAAAACGAGAGCAATTTTGAACGGTTTGAGGCCTTACTCAACCTATAGAATTCAACTTCAGGTCTACACTGCTACTGGCCGTGAGGGGAAGCCAAGTACTGCCTTAGTCAAAACGAAGGAAGGAGGTGAGAATGTAGACATTGGTGGTCACGAGATGTCAATCAAGGTTGTCGTAAGTGTCATTATTACCAATGGGGAACTCCCACAAAACACTCTTTCTGGTAGTTCCCTTGTCGCCTAATTTTACAACTGTTATGGCACTTTGCTTGTATTTGTTGGAAACTTTACGATACCTTAATTATTCTTAACTCAGCTTGATTGACATTTATAAGTGATTTCGTTTGTTTATACATAACCAAACAACATGTGAGCGGCACGTGTTTTATCGCCCCATATATGGAACTGTTCTACGTACTTACAATGGGACGTTGATGGTGTGTTTTCTTCGAATAAGTTGTGAGTGGGAGTTAACCGAAGCGTTGTAGTAAAATCGTCAAATCAAGTGAATAAACTGTGAGTTAATAAGGAAGCGTGGAACAGCTCTTTCACGTTTTCAACAGTTTTGACTTCAAGTTCTCGCCAGTTCCTCAGGTATCTACCTTTATTAATTGTGTTTACTTTGATAAAAAATCGAAAAAGACGACACTTAATCGAAGAGCTTGGACTCCTTAAATCAGTCATACAGTTTTTCAACTATGATTTTTTCATTTTAGTTCCCAGTCGAGCTCCGTCTGGACTTGAAGCTTATATGGTGTGGGAGACAGATATCTTCCTTCGCTGGTCCTCAGTCCCCCAGGGATACGAAAACGGCATTATCCGAGGGTTCAAAATTTTCTTAAACTTAAAAAACGGAGTGAAAACTCATGTCTTTGTTATCAGGGAAGAAGGAAAGAGACTGGAGGCTTTATCCAACCTCAAGCCATTTTCAGAGTATGAAGTGTCCATATTGGCATACACTTTATCGGGAGATGGCGTAACATCGTCAAGTATCACAGTAACGACAGACGAGAGTGGTAAGCTTTACATGTGATTGTCAGAGATGGCATGTCAACCGTAGCTTTACCTTAAGCATTATCAAGAGCCATTCGTCACACAAGTCATAGAATATAAACCTAAGAAAATGAGTTCCTTGTTTTAAAAAAAATAAACAGATAGTTGATAACAAATAAGAAATTTATTATTAATTATCTTTTCTTAATCATGAATTGATGTTATTTAATTATTAATTAATTATTCTAATCATCTTCGATCTGTAACATACAAACTGTACCTCAGTGTTGGTTGGGTGTCCTGTTCTATGACAAATGTTAGGCATTCCATGAGTCGTCCGTGATAGATCCCCCTAAGATTTCCGAAAACTTGAATGATCTGACTACAAGTTGAGAAATATTTCCCTTCAGACTCTCGCCGAATTCTCCTTCCTTTTTCTCGAAGAAGATATGATTTTATCGGACGAGGTCTGCTCGATAGCATTGATGTCGGGGAAGGAATATAAAAAAAGTTTTCTTTTTAGTTCCTAGTGCCCCTCCGTCAAATGTGACTGTCCAGGAGAAAACTAGTACGAGCAGTCTGTCGATCCAGTGGATGGATGTCCCGGGTAATGAAACAAATGGTCATCTGATTGGATATACGGTGACATATCGGGCCGTGAAGGTTGGCGGGAAGGAAGTTGTCGACGATGTAGTAAAGAAGAAGTCAGTCGGGACTGGAACCCATTCGATAACTTTGAACGATCTGCAGAGTTTTACGACTTATGAAATCAGAGTTGCAGGAATCACACGGCGCGGCGAAGGAGTCTTCAGTCAACCAATTGAGGGAGGTTTGTGTAAAGAATGCGTTTACATCGTTTCAACCCACGGTTAAAACTATATCAAAGGGGAACAGGTTCTCATCATATGCTGATTTGTTTTGCTCTTCTTAGTTTGAGAAAAACGTGATGATCAGTCATTCACTTTCACTAGGGTAACCCCGTCAATAACGCGCTATCGTTAGGATGGATATCAAATTGCAAATTTTCGGGTACCCAACGCACGTTTCACGCGAGAAACATCCTACGTCTCGCATCATTCGCACACTCATCGTGTATTTCTCCACGCGCCGCAAAGCATCAGTATGCATTTCCATCACTCCGTGAAGGTTTCGCCAACAACTTCACCTGTAGACGCGTTTCTTACGTGCTTTTTGTCCGCGGCTTCTGTATATTTCACATATTTAAACACAGATTTGCAATGAGCAGAATTACTGGTATTTTGAATGCGTGCCGAGTAACCTTGGAACTAGTGATCACTATCGGTGATTGGTCAGGCAACAAAACTATTTCTTAAAATTTGTTTACCTCTTCCTTTAAGAAACCTGTCATTGTGGAAAGCGACTCACAACAAACTACTGGTTCTACCCTCCTTACGTCATCCGCTCCTCAACCAATCACACGAGCGGAATCTTTATGGCTATTCTCGACGAAATGGTTCTCCACTGCTGCGGTGATTGTCGAAATGGCCACGGTACTTCCTTCATAGATTATACCTTAGATGGGAATAACAATCCCTCACAGAAAAACACCGAGGAAGACATGAGGATATCTATCGACTCTAACACAGATTTGAGTCTACCAGTGTATGGTTTTTCTGACCAGCGGAGGTACATGAAACGCTTCCGGTTTGTGCCTATCGTGGAGTCCCCTGGGGCAGCATTTATTGTGGCAAGGAAGGAGTTTGGATCTGAATCACCCATAGAGCGCCTGGTATATGGCTTTGGACCGTTATTACTGTTTAATGTGATGACAATTTGTTTGACCGGATTATTGATGTGGATTCTGGTAAGTTCTTTTTGGCAACTTGTCGATGGTGTTATTGATGAAAAAATTCAGAACGATGCGAGTAAACATTTAACTCTCTCACATAAATAGTCATACTCTCCCCACTTTTTCCTTCAGATATCCTATGGCACTGACCAAGAAAATTTGTTAGACAATCAGGAGCTTCAACAATCTTAGATCATTTCCTTTATTCTCGTGAGCTTTGTATTTGATTTCGGCGTGAGACTGTAAGAAGAAATTGGAGGCCAATCAGTCTTAGGGGTTTAAGGTCTAAACAAAACTAAAAAAAGGATGATAATGGTGAGCAAGGCTAGGAATGTCGCCAGGAAAGACATAATGATGGCCCCTAGTCGTGGCTATCTCATTGTAGCCAGATGCCAGAATCGGCACCGATATAATTACTATCATTTTAATTGCGTCACTTTCTGATATCATCTTTGCTGTCCTCATTTGTAAAATTAAAATCCTTACCATGATTGTTTGTCTTTTTGATACAACTGTTATCATTATTAGTTATTGATTAATTTTTTGTGCTCAATTTCAATAGGAGAGTATTGGAACTGACTCAATCTTTCCTCGCTCGTTTCTGAATGGTTTTCCAGAAGGCATTTGGTGGTCATTTGTTACCATGAGTACAGTGGGGTAAGACCATTCGTTACGAAGGACGCGAATAAATGCCGATTTACACTCCCAAGGAAACTTTGAAAGGAAGAAATTAATGTTTGTTAAATGAAGATTAGAAGATTTTTCTGAAATATTTGACCTCAAAAAGCAACGAGTATTCATTGATTAGTAAAAAGCTGAAAAATTATTGCTACGTTAGTTACGGAAAGGATTTGTGTTTGTTAACCTTTTTCGAGTTCTTTCCACCTTCGTGTCGCATTGTGTGATATATGCTGTAAAAATCAGACTCCTTTGCACGCATTGCGTGCCGAACTCTTCCTCTTGACACAGGTACGGTGACCGGATTCCTTTGACATACAGTGGCCGACTGTTGACTATCATTTGGATGTTATCAGGAACAGTTTTTTTTACGTTGCTGGTCAGTTATATCAGCAGTGGACTGACTATAGCTTCGTTAGACAGCAACATTAAACTTTATGGATGTAAGGTGAGCGCACGGTTTTACGGCTCGTTTTTACGCCTACCACTATAAAACAGTTGACGCGATGAGCCGTAGTTTTCGTCTGTCTTCAGAAGGACACAAGGGTAGTTCATTTTCACAGCAATTCATGACGTCAAGGGAAAATGAATTCATTTAAAACAGCAATTCATTGAATCCTTTGGATAACTTTTGACGTCAAAAGGGAAATGAATATGCCTTCCTTCACGAAAAGACGCAGAATCTAACATCATCTCAACCAAAATCAAAACCAATCGGGATTTGGTCACTTGTTCTTTCCTGTGCGGTTACTTGCTTTTACTCTGAGTTCTCACTGGCTTCTTGTGGTATTTTGCTTGCTCTGATCGGCTGTTGTGATATTTTTGAACTTGGTTTTTCCATACAGCCAAAATGCACTCGATCCCCAAACAATAAATCTAGAGCTAATTAAGATAACTTCCTTCGTTAGAAATCTCAGACGCATCTAAAAATTAACTAATCTTGTTTCACAAAGTTAGTTTAGTCATTTTCCACTCAAACTTTCAAGAAAAAAAATGAGGTACACAAACCATTATACAAAACTGGATGTATGGGGTTTAGAAATAGCCTTCGAGTATGTCCCTTATGATACACAAACTTTTGAGCTTAGTTACTTCTAAGTGTTCATCTTTCTTAACATTTTCCTTTAACAATTTATTTTAACATTTTAGGTCGCTGCCCTACAGAACACCCCAGAATCTCGTTTGGGAATTAGACGAAATGCCCAAATCAACCAAGGTAAGATGAGATCCGTGTACAATAATAGCTTGGGTTGCTGCAAGACGCTTTCCCGCTTTCTGCAGTTTGAAAAAAGCTTTGCTGATCTTAAATCGGGCTAAGTATGAAGTCAGGGCTGGAATCGACTCTGGAATGTTCTGTGTAGTAAGCATTAGTAGCATACGTGAGCATTATGGTACTCAGGCAATCAAAGAAGAGTTTTGTACCACGTGGTACAAATGAAGCAATCATATAGCCAGCTTGGCCTCCAAGATGGTGGTTTGATGTAACGCAACCTCGTCGTCACGCCTAAGTCATGCCATCTTATAGTTCAATCCGGCCATACGATTAGTTATCACGTGGTACAAAATACTCTGGTTGGCTGTGTACCGTAGTGCCCCTGTATACAACTAGTGTGGTATAAAGATAAGGGCGCCAAGAAGCGGACTGCACAATCTTGAAAAAGTTCTTAGGGAGTACCACGTGGTAAAATTTAACGGAAATTATCTGAAAGAGGTCCCTGACACATCCCTCGTAGTTTTTTCTCCTCTGAATTTCTTATGTATCAGAATCTTTTCTTCTCTTCATAGGACGTAATTACACTCGCCTTGAGGACATCAGGGATGATCTATTGAGTGGGGAGGTGAAAGGTGCTTTAATTGACGCTTATGTTGCAGCAGAAAGAAGAGACTTGTTTGACGACCCCGCTTTGTACATTGACCAGGTAAAGGGCGAGAATATTTTACTTATAAAAAGTTTACCATGACTAAGAAACCGCACTAACAAATCTCACGTTTTGTAGCGTACACAAAAGAAATCGAAGCGGGTAAGGCTATAGGAAAAAGCAAATGGCGAGAACACATCTGACACTTAACCCTTTGACTCCCAAGATCTAGTTGTTAATTCTCCCCTGTGGCTGCTACACATTTTCCTGTAAATTAGTTGCAAGAGTTTTGTGTTCAATCAGGATGACGACTTCTACCTGATAGGTTTGAATATTCTTATCACCTGTTTTGCTGGTAAAATCTTTGGAAATTATAGGGAGAAGTTACATGTTCATCCCCTCTGGGAGTTAAAGGGTTAAGTGACTTGACCTACATTCACACGAAGGGTTTTAAGGAAAGCAATAGTACACAAAAGGGGAAGCACCGAGATACACGTGAAGAACCGCGCTTCTAAATGCCCAAGTAAACAAGTGTTCTCCATCGACACCTGCTTTTGCTTCCGCAGTTAATTTACTACCGTTCGTCGTTCGGTATAGTAGTAGCTGGAAACTCCACAAGACTACAGCATTGCTTTTTGAACTACCTCGTTCAGAAGCGATCTTTGATGACACACCTTGTCAAGAACTATACTAAAATACTACCGGTAGGTAGAAATTCTTTTGTACTATTATCCGGGTGAGGATAATCACTGTAAAAATGTATTCTTGAACAAGCACAAAGCATAATTTCCCGGCGAGGCCTAAAGGAGAAGCACGCATTCGAAGCCACTCACTTTTTCCTCGTTTCTGCTTGCACTTTGAAATTCTTAAGAGTAGCTTGATCTTTCGAAATTGTCTTCCTATGTGTTTTTGAATGAAGTTTGGTTTTATTAATTGAGTTGATAACGTAAATTGGCCACCGTTAGAAGTTACAAAGCTGACATTTTGAGCTGACGTTTGAGCTCTGACGAAGGGCTATCGCTCGAAACTTCAGCTTCTTAACCCTTAACGGTGTCCAATTCTCGTTATCAACTCAGTTGAGAATACCATATTACCATGTTGTACTCTCCCATCGACGCAGCACTGCAGTTCCCTTAGAAACTAACCCCCTTTATTCATTTGTACTTGAAAGTGCCAAGTTCTCCAACGCATGACACCCTTAGACCTCCCAATTTTAAGAAGGCTTTCACAGTGATTTCTGTACCTTGTTTTCTATAAAGAGTACTACGTCCTCCATGGCCGAAGAGAAAAGCTCAGATCTTCTGAATACCTCGGAAGGAAAATTTAAAATAGCTTTGTTAGCCCTGGCACCTATCACAGCGGCCGCTATGTTTTTTGGGATGGTATATGATTGTGTCATGCGCAGAAGGACCAGGAAGGTGCATCCTAGCGGTTGGTACCTTTTCTCTTCGAAAACTTCTTTTATACTATTATCAATTATTATGGTTGAAGTTTCAGCCATAAAAAGCTCAAATCAAGGGTATTTTCAAGAGGATTTTGTTTCTGTGGTACGTTTTTTAGTAGGGAAAAGGCCTATATTGACAAGCAAGATTGGAAATTTTATATAAAAAAATAATCGAAGGAAGAATTTCAAAACTGTGATTGAACTGAACAATCAAAGTGGAGAGCAAAAAAAAGGTCACAATTAGAATACTATTTCGTGCGTCTTTCAATCTCTGGATAAAACCCTGGTGTGTAACCATTTACTCGGAAGCTACGTAAGGCCTTTTTTTTCCATGCAGGGGTTTCCTGCACACCAATATTCTCTCACATTATTTGACCATACAGACCAACGGAAATGAATTTCGTACCAGTGGACGATCTCCAGTATCCACCAAACCGGTCTTATCTGCTCTTTTACAAGAATGAGGAGACTTGGTGAACACCCTCTGCAGGGAAATAGGGAGGGATGGGTAGGTGGGTGAAATATTTTTTTCACTGTCCTAACACTTATCCTCATAGATGCGAGGGATGAATGCAAATTGGATTAATTTATCCTTTACTCAGCTACCTTTTTCGTTTGCAGAGGGAAGCACAAAGAAACTCTTGTATAGAAACGAGCTCCGTAAAGAAATGAGCCTACTTGTTGAGGAATTTCGCGAGGCAATAGGTCAGCGGTGCACTGTTTTGGCACAGAAACATCGTGAAGAGAAAAGGCTGATGAGGGGACTGCTGATGAGAAGAAGGACCGGGAGGCCTGGGGCTAGAGACGGTTGTGATTAAAGAATAGAAGAGTTAGATGGAAGCATCTACAACAGATGATTATCCAGTGAGTATCTGAACAACTTGAAATTAAACATTTAATGGATCAGGAGATATTTCCACAATAAATTAGTAACGTTTGTCTCACGCATCGTTTTCTTCAAACGTTGAGGAACTGGTTAAACGTCGTCTTATAAAGCATTCTACTCCGCTGCGATTGGTTGGTCTTCAACAGCTGTGATTGGTGCATTTTCGATGACGTACTCTCTCATGTCCAATCGCAGCCATTGAAAATAAACCAATCACAGCGGGGCACAGTGTTTGATGTGGTAAATGATAACCAGTCCACCTCAACGCTTGAGGAAGACAAGCAGAATCGAAAAACATTGCGATCGAAGTAAGTGACTACATCTTGAAAAAAACAACAATAATACTATTACATTTTCGGTATTTTTTTTTTAACATAACGAGTAACCACAGCCTTTTTTAGGAAATATTTTTCCCTTTTATCTGTGAAATCCATTTATGAATGAGAAGCAAATAAATGAAACATGAGGTTATTTTTGCTGTTCGCGTTTGGGCTAAACGTTAAACTAAATCTCACTAACATTATTAAGTGTCTATTGGATTTAACTTTACAATATCTTCACAATTAACTCTAAAACCACACGAGACTATCACAGTGTATTTCATTGTGAATAAATCAACCAATAAATTTAAAAGACGACTACAAATTTTGTAGCCACAATATATTAATTTCGTTTTCGCTCATTTTTTTCTATGTGGTTTAACCGTTTCATTTGTTTGTTTGTGTTTTGGATGGTGGAATATACGTAAGATCAGTGTTGTCACATAAATAAAAATACGTACAATACGTCGTTACAATCCATTAACTATTTATACCATTAACATCTTAAATATATATCCTACAATCGTCAAGCAGTGTGTGGTGATCAACACTGGTTCTCAGAACCTGAAGAATAAAATTTCCACATAAGTAAAATAAACCGAAGAATTCGGACGTCAATAATTTCTGTATACACTCGGTTGCAATAACTTCCACACTTTAAATGCACCAAGGATGACACAAAACGAGCTTCGGGAAGCGTTCGGGCATTTACATAATTAGTAATTTCCTTTTCTCGTTATTCATAGGAAATATTTTTCATGATGATCCTCTACTTTCAGGAAAACTTGGATTAGCTTCAATCGTTCATTACGCTCAACTGATAGTGGCTGCTGTCTTCATGCCATTGAGCCCCATCCTTGTTGGTTAAAGCTTTTAAGGTGTTAGATTTTTTTTTTAAATTGAGCATGGACACTCGATTGCAAAAACGTTGACACCTAATAAGCTTGATTCACGAACGACAAGACCCAACACCTTTATGGGAAATGTTCGCACAGATACATAATCAGTGATTTACTTCTCTCATTATTCATGGAAAAATCTTTTCTCATGATAAAACGTTTTCTTCCGGGAAAGTTTGGATAGCTCTTATCATTCATTACGTCCAACTTATGGTTATCATCTACATTTGACCCCTAAAACTACTGAGTCTCATCGTTCATTATAAACGCTTGTTGCGTGTCAACGTTTTTGCAATCGAGTGTAAAAATTGAAGAATATCTACCTCAGTCCATGACGAGCGCTGATAGTACTGCTATCGTTCTTTATAGTCTAAGTCTGCGCTCGATATGGGTCCTTTCGAACGATATTCCTGTAACTTATGCGATCTTTTTCTGTCTGCTTTCAAGGGGGAAGTCAATGGTGAAGGGTCTAAAAAACAAAACAAAACAAAACAAAAAAACACAAACAAACTAGTTAAATCACGCAGAGCGAAAAATCAAGGCCTTGGCTCTATTCATTTAACCTTTTAAATTAACTCCCGTGAGTGACCAAGAGAGAATTTCTCCCTACAATATCAATAGAATATCAAGCCAACAAGTGATGAGAACAAAGAAAAATATCAATTACGGGATTATTAGTTGATCCAATACCAAATGCTCCGAATTAACATTACATGAATTATATGGCAGATAGTAAGGAGAATTACTAATGAGATCTTGGGAGTTAAAGGGTTAAGGACCATTCAATATATATGGAGGGAGGGGGTGGAGGGTTTTGGGTGAGTTGCGTGAAGGGAGGGGGTGGAGGGTTTTGGGTGAGTTACGTGGGGGAGTGAAGGAGTGGAGGCTTTTGGAATAGTTGACAAAACTGAATCTTTAAATTCTCACAATTCACTTGAACGAGCGCGTTACACGTAATTGTAATCAAAGCCGATCAAAAAGTTAAACGCGTCCATTGCACTTCCCAACAATTTAACAGTTCAGTTATAAGGCCAAACGCTCCAACAGGTTAACTTACTCTCATAGACGGTGGAAATTGTGTTCTCTGACGATGGAGACCACTCAGGAATTGTGCTACTTTTACTTGTGGAAGGTCTACAAAAAAAATGTCAATAATGAATATCATAGCAATCATTCTTGACTAAGCGTTGAACATATGGCTTCTCTGCATCTTCTGCGTGTGTGTAGTATTGCACTCCAAAAAAAAACTGCGAAAAAGATTATTTGAAAGTGAACTTTGTTCTACGCACTAACAAACTCCCCTCTCCCACCTCTACTGGGTGTGCGACCCTGTGTACCCTTGCAATCTCTAAATCTAAACATCAATTCTCGGTAGTCTGACATCACTTTCTCATAATTTTGGTTGTTAAATCAAACCAAAGTCCAACTTGATCATTTTCTTACTTCTCATCACCGTTCTGCTTAAAAATGTATTGATAACGTAAGAAGAAGTTCTTTATGGATAACTCTTAGGACTCATAGGGTCTAAGGATATCAGGGGCTTATTTAGTCGGCTTGCGACTTTCTATCAAAGTATATCGGCTGAATAGCGGGGCTTGTACGAAATTCAAGAGTACTCTTATTTTGAACACCCATTCCCTACCTGAGGTTGGTTGGGGGTGTGTCTGGAAACTGATGAAGTCGCCGCTGTTTTGCTTTTGGACTTGAAATGCGATCCAAACTCTGCAAAAGAGAAAAAAGAAGGGTTACGTCGACATTGGAGCCAAGTGCCTCATTCAGAAGCAGTTTATCACAGTTTCTGTAGTATAAAGCGACCAGAAGGATTGTTTCTTCCCCCAGGTAGAATGACAGTCTATCTATGACAAATTCCCTCCCCACCCCTTCCCCCCCCTCCCCGCCGACTCCCTGTAACCATTCGTACTCCCGGGTGGGGTGGAGTGGAGCATTGGTAGAGTAATGTGTCTTGCCCAAGAACACAATACAATGATGTGGACAGGTCTTGAGGCCTCTCGACCCAAGCCCCAGCGCGCTAAACGTGGGGCCACCTCGTCTCTCTAAACTCTGCGGAAAGGGAGGAATGAATGAAAGTGCCTTTAAAAACTAATTCACAAATGCGGTTACCGAGGCTTATACACCTACCTCTAACAATTTCGTGGACAAATTACTGGCGTCTAGACTCTCTTGCTGTGAAGGGTAATAAAACACACGTTCAGTTGGATTCAATATTCTTCTTTTAAGTTATTCAACATAAATTCCGGTGTCAACGAGATGAAAACTTAACCATCATCCAATTAGTTTTAATGTTGGATATAACATAGCTGATAACCAAAGAAGTAAGTAGCCTAAATTTGTACAATCACAGGAAAAAAAATTGCAAGAGATGGGATGAAAGTAAAGGTATTGGCGACAAAATTTGTCATTCCAGAGTTTTGTAACTTCAAAGTACTTTATCAACAATTGTTGCCGCTGCTTGTGGCCTTGATCAATACATAAACCACAGGCACGATTGAAATTTTTTCGCAAAAACAATTTAAAAGTTTTAATAAATTCTTCTTGCTTTCGAAGCAAAAATACTCCATATTCACAATTACACAACGTAAATCAGTCACATGACCATCACCTACCCTATAATCTTCCGCCATTGATTTCGCTCCTTGAAGTTCTCGTCGAATACTTCCAACTCTTTCTTTATATCTGGTAGGAAAAATAAACTTGAGCTGATCAACTTGTTGCTGCAACTAATGCGAAAGAAAAATTAAATGGGGCGATGCTGCGAAACATTGTAACCTGCACACACTTATTGGGTATCTAACAAGCTCCCTTAAAAAAAAATAATACGCTGACAAAAATGTGTAGCTCACCTGACATACTTGTCGTGAAGTTTGTCTCGTTCTCTCTGTTCGCCCTGAAAAAAAAAGGAAAAAGAGTATTAAAGTTAAAAGAAACCTTTAAAAAGGGGTCGCATCGATGCCATCCTTAGGGGAGGGAGGGGCTTCCTGTCTCCCAACATGATGCCATAGCTTTGAATCCTGCCGAGGTCTGAGACTTACGCTCCTAACGCACACTTCGTGCGATTGTGTGTCGTTAAAAAAAACGGCCGAAAAATGAACAAAGAAAAGTATCACGAGGACCCAGTGAGGACACAGGAATAGAAAATGCATACTAACTTGAGTGTTGGAAAACGCACATGACCAACTCGTGACTCCTTTTAGTTTTAATCTCATTGGTTGCCACGAGAATGAGGAGAGGAGAGGAATAGGATGAGGCAAGATTTCTGGACCAATCAAAGGGCGACGTAGATCAAAACCAATGCAGTCCTAGATTACTGTCCACGCTCAATTAAAAATTTATCTATTTAGTAGCTTTCTGAAAACCTACCCGTAACCCTTCAAATTCCTCTATGACCTTTTGACGATCATCCAAAGCTTCCGCCGTAGCGTGTAGCGCTCGCGTGCTCTGCAGATAGAACCACAAACACCTCGTCTATAAAACTACACGCGAATCCAACAACTCTAGGACTCAGAGCACAGAAAAAGGAATCCTTCTCAACCCTTTACAGCCTAACATCAGTATACACATTCTCGATAATGTTCTCTATACATTTCCATGGGAAATGAGAGGGAGAATATGTTTCACGATCAAGAGCTTCTTAAGTTTATGATCATTCCTTTTGCTCTTGTAACCTAACTGTTTGATTCACGGGCGACATTGATAAGAGAAATTCAGTTAGATTCTAGTCACTCTGAGCGCTTCAAAAGTAAAAGCCTTTATACGGGCCCAAGTGGCCCATTGGGCCGGTGTTTAACTCCGGTTTTCTTATCATGAAGCCGCTAGGAGTATTGCTACTCCCCCCTGGATGGGATGCTAGTCCATTGCAGGGTTACCCCCAGCACATTTGCTGGTACTCATTTGTACACCTGGGTGAAGAGTTAAGTGTCTTGCCTAAGAACACAACACAATGACCCTGGCCAGAGCTCGAACCCGGACCACCCGATCCGGAGTCGAGCGCACTAACCATGAGGCCACCGCGCCTCCACACTGAGCGCTTAAAGCTATGGGTAAACTTGCACTACGTTCTTACCGTCTCAAGATGCGTGGTCAGTTGAGTTATTCTGTCCTAAGAGTGACGAGATAAAAACAAATTTGAGGATATGCACTTGTCTAAAAAAACTCATACTACTATCAGAAGTAGGCAAGAAATATTACCTGAAGAGTTTTGATGTTGTCGTTGTTCTGTTTATTTTTGGATTCCAATCCTACATGAATAAGAACATATTAAAAATTTCGATAGAGAATTCGACATTTACATTACCAAAGTGCAAAAGGTGTGAATCTGAATGTTCTGTTGGTGGGGTGGCGACATGTCGCCGACAACTGATAACATGCGACCCACTGATAATACTGTTGCCTTTAACCCTTTAACTCGCAACATCCAGTTAGTAATTCTCCCTACTGACTACCACAGAGATCCCTGTAAATAAGACAGGAGAATTTGGCCTTATATCAAGATAACATCCTCAAGCGGATGAGCTTGTCTGTTCTCATCACCTGCTTGCGGGGTGATGTACTGAAATCACGGGGAGAAGTTACAGTTTAATCACGTAAGGGAGTTTAAAGTTCAAAGGGAAGGGATAGTCACTATGGCGGCTCCAGGAGAAAGGTCCGGGGGTCCCTCTCCCTCCGATCATGCTCACGAAAATAAATGTTAAAAGTTGCACCGTGGAACAAAGAAATCTGAGTCTTCCACGAGAAATCGAACCACATCACGTTTCTTGCTTCGTTTACCTTTCTTTTGAGCTGCAAGCTCATCAAGAAGCATGCTCTGTTTGTCAAGTTCTGATATAAAGTATTCTTTATCCTCATCCGCCTTCAGGACAACATCCTAGAAAAGACAAGCAATATAATATTTTTTTCCAAGTCCAAGACGACCCAGATGTCACACTATAGTTCAATTTACAGTCGTGTACTTAAGTCGCCAAGCCAAGAAGAAATAGGACTTAAGTTGAATTTGTTGCCATTCAAACTTTGCTTCTTTTGATAAGAAATTCACTCAGGCTAACTTATTCCACGTCTCTATGTAAGAGGATACCCCAAACCCCGCTTTCATAAAAGAGAGGCCTGGTTACATGTCACGTGAGATAAGAATGGTCTATCCACGTGCTCAGACGTATTACTAACCCGTATTCTCTTGTGGCTCCACTCGGCTTGTTCCTTAAGCCTCCGCTCCGACAGCAAGCGAGCCTTCAGCTCTTCAGAGAGCCATCGAAATTTACCCTTTAAAACAAAGAAAAGCCAAATTCCAGCTAAAAAGAAGGCAAAGACTGCAAGTGAACAAGGGAAGATCCAAGATATACAGTTTTGCGGATCCAAGGGGTCAACCTTTTAATTCAGAAGACAGTTTTTTTTTTCGCGGTTGATCGCTCCTCAACAACCTTCCCTGGAAAACAAGATTAAATTAAAAATAATTGTACTCACTATCATCTCGGCAATCCAGTTTTGGGAATTATTTCTTATGCTTCCACTTGAGAAGAGAGACTGGAAACAAATAACTTTGGTCAGAAACTGTTTTTTTTTCCGGAGCAATTGTTCGCATCCATTCAGTCCTGTTGGGGTCTAGCTTCCTTTACTTCCCTCTCGTCAGCTCGAATAACCACATGAAAACAGAATTTCTGACTGACTGATGTATGACATTGATTGACTAACGGACAGACTGACCGACTTACTAACGAACTGTCTGTCCGCCTGATTTATTAACTGAGTCACAGACCTAATGACCGACCGATCGACTGAAAAATTGAAGCACTCACCGGAAGAGGCATGTCCGAGTCCCTGCAAACTTGCTCAATAACTCGATCCAGCTGGTCATCCAACTTTTGCAGTCCAGACTACGACGAGACACACACATAAAATAAAAACAATTAAAAAAATTTCAAATTTCTCGGTTCCTAATTGCCATCCGTCCTCCGTCCTAAGCCAACTTTTTTTCCTTCTTGGCTTATCATTTTCTCTTCCCTTGTTCTTCCTTATTGAGTTCATACTTTGTGGTCATTTACAATCCATTTTAATTTTTTCCCTTCTTAGACTTCAGTGCTCCTTCCCCACTACTGTCCTGTTTGTGTTTTTATATCCTAACGAGCCACTATTTTGGGATCCAAATCGAGCTGAAGTTAGTCCTGCACTGAATATAAACACAAAAAGGACAAAATGAAATAAGAACCTGTTGTTCCTCTGCAGCTTTCTCCAGCGCGTACTGATTACGTCGCAAGGCATCCTCTAACTGAGTAATCCTTCAAAGGCAAGAAAAAGAGAAATGATACTATCAAACGCTGAAAAAGAGCTTACAATTGTAATGTAGGCATGCAACGCATAATGAACGTCAGTTTCTAGTTACTCAACCCTCTCTCACAAGAAATCCAACAAAAAGCGAACAATTCAAACAAACCTGCTCTGATGTACTTCAATTTTCTCTTTCTGTAGAAAAATAGACAGGTTGAAAACAAAGAAAGACGAAACATATTGCACAAAACATGCAAAAATTTCAAAGTGAAAACGTTATTGTTTAATTTACAAACCAAGTTCTCCGTTTCTTCTTTGCCCTGTTCTAAGCGAGCTTTCAACTTGGCGTTCTCCTCTGATGCTCTAGGGTGGGTGACAAAATTACAATTACTGAACCAAAATGAGTCAAAGTTTGGGCAAAACATAACGTTGAAAGGGTCAAATTAAAATGCGACAGCTATTCGAGGTGTGCTCGTCCAAGGGTCACTTCATTTTTTTTTTTGTCGCAAGATCTGCGTTTGGTAAAAGGAGCTGATCTGTCTGATGTTGAATTGCTGAATAAGAACTTACCAAAACAACCGAACGCTCAGAAATGGAAAGGTGATGGAAAGCTTGTACCTGTAAGACTTTCATATGCTCAAGTTTTAAGTTTAATTATTGTGAATACTTACACATTAAGTTCAGTGTTAAGTTTCTCCATTTCCTCTCTATCTTTTTCTTGGCGTTTTCGTAAAGCTTTTATAGTTGACTTTTCATCCGCAAGTTGAATCTGTGTGAAAAGCCATACATGACAGTTGTTGAAAGTCACCTCAGAGGCTATTTTAGTAGCGCAATGTAAAAGCATTATGGCACGATTTAAGGACGTAAATAAAATTGTTGGTTAATCCTATCCCTTTTGGGCTCGATCTCTGAGTAAAAAGGAGACCTTCAAATGTCCCTCCTCAACCATTAACATTTTCTTTTAACGGTTGGCCATTTCCGTTTACGTATCCAGCATAAGCATTTGTACATGTTTTTGTGTCTGTGACGAGGTATTTCGCTTTTTATATTTAAACCCTTCCTTAGATATCTGCCAAATGTAAACCGTGGACCCAATCGATGAAATTGAGTCTGTCCAAACCGCATTACCTTCATGTCCGCAATTTGATCTTCTACTTCACCTCTCTCTTTATTTGACTTTTTAGCGGCGTCTTGTAGAGCTTGTTCGTGATTAGCCTGGAAGATAATGGTCAACAGACAGGATGTTCTTCAAATGGAAGTCCAAAGTGTTCGTTAGTCTGCATGCTTCGCTAACTGCAGACAAAAAAGGATTGATACAAACCGTGAGGGCCTGGATTTGCTCCTCAAGCTCTCTCAACGCATTCGTATGGGCATCCCGTTCCTGACGAGAAACATTTTAGAATTTAGCATTTTATTAAATTGGGATGGAAATGATTTGCACTTTGAATGATTACATACTTGTTGCAGCTGAGCGTAAAGCGAAGCAGCTTCCTCCTTCGTTGCTCTATCTTGTTGTCTGGCTTCTAAAATTCGTTGTTCATAATCCTGTATGATGTGAAAGGCAGGTGGTCAACAACCATTTGAGATCAGAGAGAGTCTAACCCAACCTTTCCCTTCCTGGAAGTGAGTTCCCGGCCGCACGAAGTACAAAGAACTTTTCTTTTGAACCGGCATTGATAAATAATGCAGCTGCATCTCTCAACATTCACCCAAACTCAGATGCATACAATTAAGAACTCTGGAGTTCGTCTCGTTGTTTCATTTCGCATTCAACATGCCGAATAGCAAGGTATCTGCAAAATTCTAAAGAAGCATCCTAAAAATTATAGAAACATCACAGGAAAACCCAGGTAGGTATTCTGAAGACTAGTCCTTCTCAAAAGCTGACCCCCTCTTCCTAGAATAAACCAAATGGCCTTCACATCAGTAGCACGTCGAGGAATTTTTATTGAAATCTTGCAAGTTTTTCAATTTGGAGAATGAAATGGTCCTATAATCATTATTTCCAGTCCCCTCTCCTCACCTGTCGTTGTTCGGCTTCCTCTTGGAGCTTGGAAACCAGCTTGGCGATTTTAGCCCGCAGTTCTTTGATTTCCCTCAGCTCTTTCTAAATAAATTAGAGAAAAAGAATTGAAATAAATGGAGAGGAATCTCTTAAAACGATTATAAATCATTCTTTATAAAAGGCTTAAACACCTTGCAATCAAGAAGCAAAGGTCGGCTGACAACAACAAAGAAAAATTGTAAAAACAAAAGCGTTTACCCCATTTAACTCATTATTCAAATCGTAATTCAAACTTATAGTTGCCTGAAATGGTGGACGAAAGTAACAAAGTCTCCACCGATGAAGTAACGTAAGTACGTAAAGCCTCGAGAGAATGCAACAAAATAACACAAACAATTCAAGACACGCATTAAGAATGAAAATTTGAATTAATTAAATACCACTGGTTCTTGCGAGTGAGCTGCGAGTCCTTGTTCCGCCTCTCTTTCCAGTTTCTTGCATTTAGAACGATACCTAAAACCAAGTAACGCCATTGATTGATAGAATGAAGTAGTGAGGCGATAATATAACAAAAGTAAGATAAGGCCTGCGCTCAAGCCAAAGGACCCTCAAGTTGGAGCTTATCACGGTTACTGTGGCATACAGTGATAAGAAGTACTGTTACTCCCCTTAGATGGGATCCCAGTTGATCACCGGTTGCTTGGACTTTCTTGTGTATGAGGCTCCGCTAGCGCGCTTTATATGCAAACGCTACCCTAAAAATACTTACTCTTTTATTGATTGCAGAGCTTTGTTCCTCAGCTCCGTTCTTTTCTTATCGCTCTCTTTCAGCTGGTTCTCTTTGTCCCCCAGTTGTCCTTCCAGTTCCTGTACATCTTTATTCGCCTCCTTGAGTTTCTTGTTCACAGCTTCTAGCTCGTTCATATACCGTTTTTTTTGTTCTTCGCTCTCTTCATACTTGGTCAGCAGTTCCCGCATTTGGCTGAGTAACCTCTCCTGCTGTTCGTCCTTCCGATCCATGTCCTGGTGCAGATGTTCCAAGTTGTTCAACAGGTCGAATCTAACAAAAATACAAAAGCTGGTAAGAATATATTCACTTAAGTTTCGAGCTCAGAGAATGTTTCTTCCAGAAAACACTTTGAAAGTGTAGTCTGTTCGTCCGGGTGAGTGCAGTCCTGAGAAGGACTGTTGTTGGTAGTGGTGACTGACGTTTCGACAACCTAAGCGGATGTCATCATCAGAGTCAAGTCGGGGTCAACTGATCACAGGCATTCACTTGACTATGATGATGACTTCTGCTCAGATTGTAGAAACGTTGGCCACCACCATCGAAAACAGTCCTTCTCAGGACTACACTCACCCGGGTGATCAGACAACACTATCACATGTCACCCCCCCCCTTCCCCAGGTTCAAACCATTGACTGTAACAAAAACACTTTCTTTCTTTAAGTTATTTGCACTTCACCATAATTTTTGGAAAACACAGAAGAATCGAGAAAGAGCCAACTACTGCGTTACAGATCTGGTTAAGACAAAGTTGATATCAAAGGGGCATTCTCCTTACGGTCAGGATACTTAAGTTCCCATTTATATCAACACAGTGTAACCGCGTTGCCGGATATAATGGGAAACTTCCCCTTGGACATCAACTTTGTCATAGTCATATTCTGCCTCTTGGTTAGCAAGCTGGCCTTCGGTTTAAGAAGTTCGAGTTCCAGACCTGGCCGTTTCATTGTGCTGTAATGTTTATCAATATGCTCTAAATACTTCTCTCCACCCAGGGTAAAGGTGAACTGTCCAGGAAATCTTATGAAGTCTTGATCTGTAATGGATTACCATCCCATCCACGGGATGCGGGTTTCATGCCCAAGAAGCCAGGCTAAGGCTCAAGAGCAGATTCAACCCTTTCAATTATTATACCTGTCCATATCCTCCCCTCCCCTGAAATTTCTTCCAGACGGCCCATCATAGAACGAATCCCCCAGATGATTCCTCCGATCCAGATCCCGCTCCAGCTCGAATCGGTCCAAGTTCCTTCTCATCTCAGACGCACTATCTCCCCCAGGCCCCTCGGTCCGACCCATGTTCCTCATTAATTGAGCTGCCGCTGAAGGGGTTCTCCCCACTGATTGACGTCTATGTGCCGCGCCTCTCGTCATTCTTGACACCTGTTGCATAATTTCATCTTTTTCTCGCTCGGACTTCGCAACCTGAACACAGCAAAATAAAAGGAATAAATTTAAAGTTTATGATTGTCTTGACATTGATTAACTTTCCCTGCTGGAGATAAAGTTTCATTGACCAAATAAATACGAAATGTCATGAACACTGGCAGCCGCCTGCGTCTCCAGCCAACTCCTCAAAGGGCCAAGTTGACGTTTATGCCTTTCAACTTTACAGTAAAGGCTAACAATCTTTCCCTTGACTCTTCTCCAGTCACAAGTATAAATGGATATAGTAATCTTTCGTGGAAACAAGCATTGAAACCAGAAGGAGTATCTGTAATGCTAGTCGCCATGCAAAACCGGAATAAGCCGGGAGCGTAGGGGAAGTCTTGGCTATGAATTTCCTTAAGTCTCTCGTTAAGTAGTTTACATCTATGCTCTTTCTCTGAATCAAAGGGCTATCAACTGTGAGACGAGGGCCAGAAATTGGCGTACATAGCACTCGAAAAGATTTATTTTATTATTTCATGCAGATTCTTTGGATTCGCGCGTTTTCGCCACCTGAATTAAACAAAAATTATCCCCCATAGGAAGGAAGATGGGGCAGTTCATGAGCGCTCCTGGACCCCGGTTTGCTACGCCCCTGTATGCTGTGACCGGAATCATCCCTAGGCTCCTTCTATGATATAGCGCACGACGCCGTGCCAGCATCGCATGACAAATTTTAATTCAATCTTCTCCACACCTGTCCTCTAAGAGATTCAAGTTGTTCCACGAGACGATCGCGGTCTCCTTGTCCTTCCTCCATCTGTCGATTCAAACCTTCCAACCGATTCTGAAGTCTTTTGCGAGTCGACTCGTTGTCCTCTAGTTTAGCTTGGGCCTCTTCGAGTTTCCTCGACAATTCGGTCTTTTCAGTTTCTGAGCGTGAAAACTGTTGACGTAATTGCTCTGCCTTTAGAACGAATTAAAAATGTCGAATAAATATTTGGCCATGTATTTAAAAAAACAGCGAAAAGGTGACAAATCTTTCGATAAGAAGCACGCTATTTCTTCTACCACAAAGAAACCATAGTGTTTTCTGATGGAGTTCCGTAAAACCAAAAGCAAAGTTAACAAAATAGCCTACCAGAACAAAAAGTAAATGTTACAAGGAATTAATGGGATGTAAGTAGGAACAAGCACGCTGCCTGAAGCGCAGGAAAACGCAGATGGCCAAGCTACGATTAGTTTTAGTTTTGTAACTGATTGGTCGAGAGGGTGGCTCTGGTATACCAAACTGATAACGAAACGTAATGAAGTAAAAACGACGCCATTTCTGATACAGTTTCGATATCCAATTGACAACTGCTATGGTGGCTATCTTTTTACTGCACAAATGCAGAGATAACAAATAGACATTTGAAAATGCGTTCAAAATTAACGAAGCATCCCAGCATTTAGGTGAGCTGTATGTTTTGCGAGTTGTTTTATGTATCTCCTCCCCGCTTTCAGGATATTTCTTCATGAAAACGAGGTTGCCTTACGAACCTGATCTACCAGCGCGTTTTTTCCTCCTTCGCTCTGGTCCAGTCTTTTTGTGGCAGCTTCTAACTCGGCCATGACCTAAAACACATCGTTGAGTTAAGTTAGGTACCACAAATGGTAATTCTGTTCATGCGTGATGTAATCCTGAAAGGTTTTTTTTGCAATCTCCTGTCCAGAGATTTCTCGGTCAGTTTACAAAATAGAGGTCGATCGAGAGGGACCTTCCTTTCAGGCTTCCGTGTTTGCAAGGATCTCGCAACAACATGATCAGCTGCGTGCCATAGGTTTCTCAACACTGGCCTCTAGGATAGAGCAATCTGGCCGAGAAACTCCTAGGGACGAGGTTGGATTTTTAAAGTGTAAAACATAACTATACCTCTCGGCGTTCCCTCTCTGAGAGTTCCAGTCTCCCCGATAAATCTTCCAAACGTGAAGCAAGTAATCTCTTCTCTCTCTCGCTCTCCTCCAGGGCCCTGCGTTCAGACTCTAGCTCACTAATAAAAAAAACGATCAAGCAAAATTCTTTCATGACGTGCCAAAAAGAAGCGAGCCAGGGTCGGATAAGAGAAGGGCCATTGTAATTAATCAGGGAGGGGTGGAAGATAGGCGATATAGGGTAGGAGGAGGAACATTAATTGCAGGCTATTGTAAGCTGCAGCATTATTTTGTTTTGACAGTTAAGATTCGGGAAAGCTTCAGATAATTTCGCACAGATTTTTAATTCAGGTTTCGTGGCTCAAAGCTTTAGCTGTTTCATAAAGGTGATTTGGAAATGACCACGCGATGTGTCAAAAGTGGCGCGTGCGCAATATTGAGGACGCTTTCAAGTTACGATCAAGTGAAAGATCGCTAGGAAATCCCTGGAAACTACAATTTACTACGACCAACGTTACCCTGTGAGTTGTCGCACTTTGCTAAGGTATTAAAAAAAGAGTAAAACACGGCACACACAAATCACCAAAGGGGAACATCCATCGATATGATCTGATCTTCTGGTCAACGTTTTTTCACTCAAACCTGGTTATTAACCCCATCACAGCTGAGACTGAAACAGTAAGAAGACACATTGGTGCGAGGACAATTTACTGATACCTTGCCACCGTTCGGATTTCATCTCGCATCTTCGTGTCATTGGCTTCATCCAACAAACTCTGCAGGGATGCAACAAATCATATAAAATGTAAGAAAAAAGCTTTGCCAAAGTGGGCTTTGTGACTGCGTCAGGAAAAGAAGAGAAGAGTTTTGAGTTAAATTTTAACAACAACAACAAAAGTTCAAGGAAAAATTTATTGATCAATTTCAAAAAAGGTTTACTCCACAAGTATTTCGTTTCAAAGAAAAAATAGAGGAAATCCCAGCATTTATTCTAGATATTTATTAGAATAAATTTTATATTTTTAATTTGTGTTTCAGTGACCAGAGTTCCTCGAGTAGCCATCAAAATTTTGCAACGACTCGAAAGCAAACCGTGTCGACATTTTAGGTAGCACTTTTAGAGCCTAACAAACATCCTCCTAGGCCATGATCTATTGTTAAATAACCAGCTAGAAATTATAGATTCTTCAGGGAGCGAAAAAAAATGGATATTTTGGTTTAGGTACGAATTTTTTTTGTGTTAACTTTATCTCTAGAGAAAGCTTAATCGTAGCAATTAACAACTTAGATTATTTTAAGACTTAAAGTCCTCATTTCACAAGAAGAAAACAAAGAGAGTTTTGCCTTTTTTCAGAGCAAAACAAGAATGTACGTATGAAGAAAGTAGTTACCCGAACATTTCGCAATTCACTGGCGAGTTGACCGACTTCCTGTTGTTTCTTCTCCCAAGATTCTCGCTCTGCTCGCATCTGGTGATCGCACACAGCAAAGAGAGAGAGACTGAAGATTGAAGAAAGCTCCCAGACAAAAGACATGTCGGTGCATTCAGTGCAGTGGATAGAGACGCTGGGGTTTTTCTTAGCGCATAAATAGTTACAAATAAATTTTCATTATTATTTATCAAATTCGAGGTCTTACATTCGGAGTCTAAACTTGGCTTCAGAAACTTTTGGCGAGTAATCGTGCAGGTGATAAAAGCCTATTTAGGTAAAATCAAAGTAAATGGGATATCGTTGCTAGAAAATACTTAACATTGCATCTGAAAAAGTTCAGCAAGTGCGTGACTGAGTTTACCTCATGTTGAATTTCCTTGAGTCTATTTTCAATTTCATCTTGTTGCGATTTTTGATTTGCCTGCAACTGTGTAAAGCAATGAGATTCAGTCTCACTTTTGCAGTGTTCCATTTTCCCGCCATTCAGGAAAACAGCTTGCCTTCAGATATAATACAACTTCAAATCCGTTTCAAAAAATAGTTTCAAACCTTCCGGGCCAATAAATCTTGTTTAAGCAATCAGCAAGTAAAAGGATTAGTTGTCAGTTGTAAGATTAGCAGAGGAACTGGATTGTTAAACACCAGATTAACTCATATCCTAGGTTAGCTGCAGTGAAATCGGCATCAACGTTAACCGCCCTAAACGACAACGCGGCCTTTACGCAGAATTGAAAATTATAGGTTAATTTATCGATCAAAATTTTACCAAAACTGAAAAAAGTAGTTTTCATTGCTTTGTTTTTATCTAGTTGCATCTTCAAACGCTCCAGCTTATCAACCCTTTCAGAGCTACAAGCACATTCTCTTTACAGATTATTTTCATTCATTTGCTAGTTTTTAAACGAATTCAACAATACTCCAATCGCGAGTACAACTTGTAGACAACACTTTTAAACCAGTAGAAAAAAAACCGTTCAAGATCCTCAGCAGATGAACGAACTCAAGGGAATATTCGAAACGGGAGGCTGTCACTGCAGAATCAAATCGTTACATATATTTTGATTAACCGTTAGTGGATTATATGTCAACGTGCAGATGCGCGTTAAATGCTGATTCTAATTCAATTAGGCGTAAAATCAAAGCACTCATCTCACATAATCGTTTTAATAGGAATTCGGTTAGAAATTAATCCAGTCTGTATTGCGGTTAGCGGAAAATCAAATTATTAGTTAGAAGTTTTCGTAACAGAGAGGGATTAAATTATTATGCTTAATTTTTAGACTGAGATAAAAATTGAACCAACTGGATGTTTTGATGTGGAATTCAATGCAGTAATTTATACTTACCTGCCTGCATCGTTACAGGTACGTGACATGAACTTTGTGGGTGTTTATTTGGGGGGGTGGCAGTTTCGAGAGAGTACGCGTGTACATGCGCGCGTATATGAGCATGCGCGCGTGTGTGCGTTTGTTTGATGAACACATTTTTGTGCTTCAGGTTGACTGCAATTTCTTCTGAGAACAATTTTATTTGGTAAAAATTTTAGAAAGGCATTAGGACGGGTAAATCAAATTTTCTGATTTCATGCTAGTGACAATCTTTATAATCTTCATAACAGCTGGCTAACCTGTTGTCTTAATGATTCTAGTTCTCGGTCTCTCTCTGAGGCTAATCTCTGGCTTTCTCGAAGGACGTCTCGCTCAGCATCCAGTCCCTGCAGAGTCAAACAACTCTTGCCATTAGGCACTACCTTCAGTTTGAGAGAGACTGCAAAATACTTGCTCAGTAAGATAAAACAAAATTGATAAATAGATATAAAAACCTTAACAAGAACTTCAGCTTGACGTCTGCTTGCTTCTTCAGTTTCCCGCAGCTCATTAAGAAGCCTCTCCCTGATCAAAAATCAAAGTGGAATTAACAGAGCACAACAGCAGTGCAAAAACGACATCTCTCTCAAGTACTTGGATTATAAGTGAGAGAGCAAATTATCTCATTCAAATTGCTATACCTCTCTGCCAAATCTGCTCTGGAGACGACTTCTAGACAAAAAAGTAAACAAGTTTTTATGTGTAAATAAATGCAAGCAAGCAACAAAAATGGCGATTAGTAAGGAAATGATGACAAAGAAATAAACTTTACTGATATCACCTGATGTTCCACTGGGTCCTAGCTGGTCTCGCCTATTAGCACCGCTATAACTATAGTCACCACCAACCCTGTTTATGGACACCGAAAAAAGGAAAAAAACAGATTACAGAGATATCATGAACTTGAGAATGCCAACAATGTGGTACACTAACAGTTGAAAACCCATTGTTCAGATTTCAGAGGTGTCCAGCTCTGACATCTTGAAGGCATTTTGAGGTATGCTGGGCTATCTCAATTTGTTTATTTCATTAATTTATTGACAATTTTTGAGCAGGCTAGCCCAGTCCAGCAGCAAGCTGGTTTGAAAGGGGGCCTTTTTAATCATAAATTAACAATTTTTCTTGACAAAGAGAGAGGCTGTATGTATGCAAGAAAAACCCCCTCTTTGTCACACCCTTGAAACTCACAAAAATTATTATGAGGTGAGTGGAACATTATTTGTGAGAGAGATACTGGTTTTTCTACTCCCTAATCAAGCCCAATAGGTGCACATCATTCCTGCTGATAAAACCCACCTTTCCCTCTCCTCCCTTTCCCTTTCAATTTCTCCAGTCAGGCGATTTTGTTCACTTTTTAGGTTTCTCACAGCCTCCCGCAGCTGGTCAACCTGTAAAAAGTATGATAAAGAGAAGTGATCAGCATTTAATTTCTCCATACAGTGTCAACATTGAATCAAAAGTTTAAGTCATAGGAATAAAGGAAATGATCACCAATTTAAAAAGTTCCTGACTGTCAAATAAATTCTCCTTGTCAGTTCTATAGCGGTTGTAAAGAGAACAGTGTGGAAAATACAAGTGCTAATAATAGGTGCAAAGGAATTATGATTAGAAACAGTGACACTAATTTACTTACATCTGATCGGACATCTTTGCCAAATCTCACTGAACCTCTTTTCCTTGCTGGTCTGCCATGTTCATCCTCAGACTACGAAAAAGAATTTAAAATAAGAGTCAAATAAATCCATTTTGATCAAAGTTTTGAGAGTAAATTATTGAAGTACTGGACTTTCTTTTCTTACGCCCCACTTCTTAGAGCACAGGGTGCCTACATCAATTTTTTTAGGAAACTAAAAAAAATTAGTATTCCACTCATGTGGATAATTTAGATAGGCCTTGTTGCTTTGCTGCTAAATTTTAAGTTTAAGGAACATAACCCAAAAAAGTTGTTTCAACAAAAAAAAAAGTATTACCTGCGAAGATGAAGGAGTAGGAGGGAGTCTCCGTCTTCTTGAGATTCTTTCTCGTCTTAGAATATCAGCAGACTTTTCAAGCTCAGCTCTTAGCTACAGGTACAAAATACAAATTAAAATAAAAACCTTGCACATCAAAGTTATTGATTCAAACATCAATCAGTAAAAAAGTCCTGCATGAGATTAGCCAGTCAGATTACTGGGTGTGGGGGGTTACCTTTGCAATTTCTTCATCTTGTTCAACGTTTATATCCCTGTAGTGCTCTAACATGCGATCTGCTGTGGACAACACTTCTGTTGTGGCCTGAAGTGAAGCAGCAAGGTCCTCCACTTTCTCAGCTACCACTCCACCCCCAATCCTTGATCTTGAAGAAGAGGCATGGCGAGGAGGTGAAGGGGGTCGTGCATAAGGCCGACGCAAGTGGCTCACTCTGAGAGTGCTTCTTTTTGGAGGACGCATCGTTGGCACTGCATCATAGCTTGCACTGTCATCAGTTTCATCCCAGGGACCTGTGCTTGTTGCCATCCATATACCGTCTTACTTACTTAAGGGTGCTGTCTTCCTGGACACAGCATGAGCAGTGGTGAGTCCGTTTAGTTCCTGATGGATGATTCAGACACAGACAAGGAGAATTTGTTACTGTGTGAAGAGTCATCTATGGCTTTATTCCCCCACCACTTCAGATTCATCTTAAATTTACTCAGACTTTCAGCAAGAATAGCGATGTATTTAAAGACAATGTACACTAAATTGAAAAATGACTATCAAAATTTAGCTTCTGATAAACAGCTTATAAGTTAATAATGAATTCAGTTATTTGCCAGAGAGGTGAAAAATCTTCCCAAATCTGTCATGATATGCAACTGTTTTCATATATTCTATAATCCAGTGTTTACTCACAGATCAGAGATATTACCTATAACAATTAATTCCTAAATTCTTCTTTTCTAAACAAAAAAAAATAACCCTGTTTTAGTAAAGTAAATCAAAATGGAACAGAAAACTCTATTTGCTGTAGCTGTGATGGAACAATGTCTGTTCAAAAAGATTTTTAAAAAATAACTTTTATTCCTCTTCTACACAGCCACTTATTGTGGAATACACAGTCTTTGTGGCTAAATTCTATCATTGGTTCAATTCTATACACTTTTGATTTATTGCCATTATCATACTTAAACCTAAATAAAACTGAAAGCACCACACATTTGAAATTAACCAACGGTTTTGGTCAACTATTTAATAATTTATCCCAAATTATCGATTGTCACAGATCATAACAAGCAGCATCAGGTTTTGTAAAAAAAGGGTGCCAGGCATACTTTCAGCTTTAAGATGACCCATTAACCAATTTAACAAGATCATATAAAAAATAATTATAAATCAAAATTCATTTTCAAACTCTTCTAATCCATATAGGATCATTACATTGACCTTCACATGAATAAAATAACAATAATTTATGCAGACTTGCTCACTGAGGTCATAGTTAATTTCCATTTAAATAGAGCATCATTCAAAATATGAATGCACACAATAGAAAAAAACTTTCATGTTTACTTTAAGATCACAAAAAAAGGATCACATTGATATCCATAGGACTCTGCTATTCAAAACCATTTAATCTCTACACATTAATGAAGACCAAAATTCAAAACAAGATTTTGAAAATAAAACAAACAAAAGTGAGTCATTAAATTCTAGATGCTAACAGTACAGAAAACTTAACAAAGAAGTGAATGTTTGTTTAGCATAAGATACCATGGATATGTTAAAGAAAAGATTTTGCATTGGAAACAGCTCACTCTTATTAGATTTACAATTCATAACAAGACCAGATAATTGTGAATTTGATCAAAATGAAAACCCATTAGTGCAATTTATGCCAAATTAATGATGCATTTTCTGTTCCAGCTCAGTGATTTTTTTGTATCTTGATTGGTTGAGTAAAGTGGGGTTAGCCAGAAATAGTTTCTCAAAAAGAAATTAACAGCATGTAACAGTCCGTTATTTTCCTCTGCTATCCCACAGGCAAAATATTTGAAATAACAACACCACTACATCTGTTCCCTTGCAAAGAATTCAACGTCTGTAAAATTGGATATTCAACATGATCTTCCCATTTACTGTTTAATGAATTAAGATTGTATCAAAAACATTCCTCTATTGATTTAAGTTTCCTATAGTAATTTTCCAGCTGTTGATAGGGCATTAATGCAATTAATGACCAGAAAATTCGATCAATATCAGTATACAGATCTACATCTGGGGATCATCAACAATTTGGGAATCTTTGAGCTACAATTATTAAAATAATTGGATTTTTATGAGCTGAAATGTACTCCATTTGATCTACATTCAAAACTATTACTCTAATCAAGTTTTTAAACAGCGTTTATTCTTTTAAATTTTCGGAGAAAATCCTTCATTTTCGAGCTCTCCTATCGCTAAAATAAAGATTAATTTGTTTTTCTTTCCCTCTCAGAAGTAATTATAAACAACATCAAGAGGATTAGACAAAAATTTTGAATTTCGGTGTGTTTCATTTTGCGAATAGATTCCTTAAGTCACAGTATTCTGTTCTCATAGAACAGTAAACGACGGATTGAGCTAATTGTAACGATAATATTTTTAAGTAATCACTTTCGACCTCTCATGGATATTAGCTCACTTCTCTGTGAAATATCTGTTATAGCTGTGATTAATTTGACTCAGTTACAGTGTTACTAAGTTTTGGCGAGGTAACGATAGCATTAGCACCTCGATGAATTGTCTAACTAACTATTTACACGTTTTACGACGCAAGTTTATAATCATGCCATCGATATCAACTCAGATCACTGTTATAAATACGCACATCAGTTCCTAACATAGCTGGAAACATTCTATCTTAGCAAACGAGGAAAGGTTTTGCCCTCAGTACTCTCAATTTACACAGGTCGTTCGTTAAATGTCGAAATTAGTTATTTAATAAGTTTTAAACGGACAAACAACTTTGTGAAAACGCTTACCTTGCAAACGAAACACCGTATGTAAGAGAATTCATACGCCCTTTCTCTGAGAAAACAAACCAAACGTTGGCTTCCGAAAGCTCAGGATTCACTTAAACAGCCGTCAAATATCATGTTGCTATAAATTCCAGTGTCTTCAGTGACTAGGTCACTGGATTTACATATTTTTGTCGTATTTTTGTCCGTTACAAACAATAGCACCAGAGTTGAAATGAACCGCGCAAAACTTATTTACATAACAAGGGTTATGCTCTTTTTGGGTTGACCGCTGTTCAATAGTATTTGGGTTTCAGAGAATGGTAAGGCAACGACTAGATGTCCTAGAACAATCAAATATACGAATTATTTAAAAGCTAGATTTTATAATAGAGGTTTCTGTTCATGACTTAAAAAGCTGTTTTTAATTCAACTACTGCTGGGTAAAATTGTCCAAATTGACCGGGTGCGATTTTTTGCCGCACAAATCGTAGCACTTCGACAATGATTAAATTATGAATCTACCAAAATAGCGAAAATCTTGATACGGTTTTGCCATAGAGGGAGACCCAGTTGCCCTACGTTTAGCGCACTGGTAGCTGAAGTGTAGCCTGCAGATCAGGCTTGATTTTTGTGCGTTTTTCAGGTGAACAAGAGGCAAACACGAAGCGAGTGTTAAGCGCAGGTCACATGCGAGAGAAAGAGCGCGCGCGTAAAGAAAAAAAAATTTTGGCACTCCTTCCCTTGCGCATGACACCGCTTCGCACTCGAACTGCACTTGCCTTTGCTCGCCTGAAATAAACAAAAAAATTTGCGTCTGTTCTGCAGGCCACTGAGTCGAAGATCCGGGGTTCCAAACTTATTCAGATCACTGTGTGGTGTCAGCCTGATACTTGCGGACCACTAGGGGAACCTGGAGTAGTGTTGAGGGAGGGGATGACCTACGATACCCGAGGGAAGTGGCAATACTCCAGGTCTCTTTAAGGGGGATGGGCTCCGGGCAGATGAGCGTGTGCCCATATTCAGAGGTTTGGGGCCATATTCAGAGGTTTGGGGCCTAATAACTTACACTTGACGCAAAGTATTAGAAGTTTGTTGAATAACATCATATGATCTTCTAGTTAACAATTTTAATTATCTTTACTTCGAGATATGAAATAGGCCTATTTATAAAACAATTATGGGGTAAAAAAAATCCTCAGAACATCTTCGGCAAGCGTAGTTGGTTGTATTTCGCGTACAAGAAATCCCGTCAGTCATGCAAGCAGGTTGGTTTGTTCGTCACGATGTTCCATGTTCGGTTGGAGGGAGAGTGGGTACACGGAGAACCAGTGGGTGCGGTGATTGGAACCAACCGGGAAATGCGACCAGCCTGCACGGGGAAAGGTTCCTGAAAAAAACCCGGCTCCCCAAGTTGACATAAACTTCCCGCAAGGAAACATAATTTGGTTCTGCGAGAGTCAATAACGAATAAAGATTCTGGAAGTGTTAGTGACTCTTTTAAACACTACTTGAATCAAGAAGTGAAAACAGAAGTGTCGCACACTTTGGGTGAGTAACTTAGCTTTATATTTGCCATAGTGATATTAAATATTACAAAAAATTTTGTACTTAAAAAAAGGAATTACCTTCTTTTGTAGTTTTGCACCTCATACAAAGATTTACACTTTCCCAAATCATTGCTTTAGTTCAATAGCCTGTGTGACTGGCCTTCTATGGTAGTGTTGAGCGGCAAAGCAGCGAAAACGAGCGCAAAGAGGCCTCTCCTTTCATAGTGCACCCGAGAAACCGCTATATAAGGTTTTACTCAAGCAAATTCTTTGATCACTGCACTGTTCCTATTTGAAAGGTTTAGATAAGGAAAATACTCCTGTAACTTCCCGTTACTTTTCGGTAATCTTTGGAAAATGATCGGAAATCTTAGATCAAGACAATTTCCTGCTTGATCATTTTATGTCTTAACTTACGTTTCCCTATTTTGATATTTTTTTGATATATTTTTTTTGACATGAAAGCTTTTGAGAAAATCATATAAAAAATGGCCTTGATCTTGTATTTTGATTTTAAAGAGCCCAAAATCGATAAGTGGACAGAAAGACAAATTAGACAGACGTACCCAAAGACAGACAGTCAAACAGACCAATGGTCAGAAAGGCAGAAAAGACAGATAGATAGAAAGATGGAAGGGCAGATAGTCAGTTGAATGGACAGATAAAAAGAGAATTGAATGGCCAGACAGACTTCAACAGACTGATAGACAGATAGACAAAAATACTGACAGACAGACAGACAAACGTCTGAGAGAAGTCACAGATTTAAGAAAAGAAGGAATAAATAAAGACGAGAGAGTGAAAGAAAAAGGACACCTATCAACTGGTGATCCATAGATTACAATTAACTAAACATTACACAGCTCACTAGATACATGAAGTAAATTGTAGATTCACTCTTCTGGGAGCTAAACTTCATGCAGAATAAACTTTGGCTTAATCATACTCTTACAGTACTTACAAAATCAATCTATGATCTATTACAACTATTGCTACTGATAAATAATTTATTTGAGAGACCAAGGACACCGGCCAGGAGCTGGTGATTCCATGCTGCTGGCTGTGTTGTATGTTATCTTCTGGGGGATGCATACAGTCTGATATAGTCTTCAACTCGTCTTCGAAATGATTCCTGTTTGAAGGTTATTATGAAAATTAACAGCAAGTTCACCATGTAGTAAAGGTGAAGTCTGTATTAAGATAAGTGGCCCACCCATTGCAAAGTTATCCCTAAGCATTTCATCAGGCTTCTCTGACAATTTGCTAGTACCCAGTTACACCCCTGGGTGGAGAGGGGCATGGTGAGAGTTAAGTGTTATGCTCAAGAGCTTAATACATTGACTTGGCCAGATCTTAAACCCATACCTCTGGGCCCTGAGTACAGCACACCAAAAATTAGGCCATCCCATCTCCCACACATCTGCTCAAGATGAGGTTTGCTAAATGAAGGTTTCACTAGATTGGTTCTGAAAACTTACCTTGTTCTTAAAATATAATTCTGAAGCCTCTACATTAAGTGGGTCATCAAAATTCAGCAAGTCCTAAAAGCAATGATATATACCGGTACATCATTATTATTCCACCAATCAACCATACTGGGGCAACAGAACACACCCAATATGCCACTTATGTAATGTAGCATTGTATCAGGAGTTAGTCATATTATTGAATGTATGAAATGCTCATAGACACAAATATATAAATATATTATATATTTTTTAAATATAATCAAACTTCAACAAAATTCTTGAATATGATTGGTTATTACCAGCCAAATTTGAGCACTAATAAGACAATGCACACTTTATGCTTGTAATTGGACAGTGCAATAAGACAGTGTATGTGTCTCATGTGTTCAAGCTGTTGTCATGTTAACTGTTAGTTGTTTTTTATGACAACGCCTAGTTTGTTTCTAAAATTTTGTCACAGTATTGATTATCTCAGTAATAATTGGTAAAAGGACTTCATGTCACCCAATTCTTTTTGTAATCATACTAGTGATTAACAAATCAGACTCCTTCTTTTGTTCATCTCTTGCATGATGACAGACTACAAGGCTGTGCTCTAGGAAAATTTTCAGGGAGCCCTTCAGGCGCCTAACCATGACAAGTAGGTCGCCCAGCCTTCCATGTTGGTCGCCCGAATTGATTAATTAATTAATAATTAATTGATTAATTAATTAATAATCTATTTTATAGTTGAATTAGTTAATAATTAACAATAAAAAAATCCTTATTCAAAGATTTTGATTCATGGATGGACTTCAAAGTTTATCTAGCTCTCATACATATTTATTGGTTATCATACATATATGGTACATATTTTCAAAACACGTTTTAGATACCAGAGAATTCTGGACACGCACAAGTTTAATATTTTGTTTGCTTTTTTTAACGTCTTCCATTATCCAGAAAATTATACTCTCTAAAACCAACATACAATCAAAATATTTTAAAAGCGATAGCAGCTGATAATTGTCAGAGAAAGAAACAATTTACTTCTTTTTCTAAGCCGGAGATTAAAATCAGGTTTTTTTGTTATGTTGAACCTTGAAAAGTTAATTTTTGTCCATGTTCAAATAGAGAACTTCATATTTGTTTTGATTTTGAAGTTTGCAAATTGGTCTTTTTTCGGTGGGTTAAAACCGATATAGCCTTCGTCATTGCAACTTACTATTTGCAAGAAAGTTAAAATTTTCAGAAAGTAGACGAAACCATTGATAGGATGTTTAATTAAAACTTGATTGCAAGTTTGTGCGACTTCCGGCCGAGGAAACCATTGCTGAATGACAATCTTTACTAATCCGTGACGTTTTGAAAGAGTAGCGTTGTATACTTCTTACAGTTCCAGGGAATCCGCAGAATTGCCAAACAGTTTCATCTTTAATCTCTCTCGTTCAATATTCACTTCACCGGGCACGGGCGGCGGAGCGAGTTACTATATTTAGCAGTCACGTACTCTATTTTGGCGAACTTGTGATATCATGAAATCCTGTTATACATTAACCACATACATGTTAAAACCGCTAAGAAAATTTCTTTGAAGATCACTAAAATAGGTTTCGAAACAAAAGGGTTCTTATATTAAAGTTTCATTTTCGTCAAATTTTGATCGAATGATCACAATTGAGAGCAAGTCGCCAAATATGGTGCTGATAAACATCTTGCATGCCACGGACGAAGCTAATTAAATAAACACAAATTTGCATCAAGGACGGTTTCGTTTTATTAAACACGCGCTCCACTGTTGAAACTGCTTTTCGGGCTAGCGGGAGCCGGGGAGCACGATGGAGTTTCTTTTTGTTTCGTTCCGTTCCGTTCCGTTTCTATACGTTTGCTGGTTTCGTTTCGAGTTTTCACACAAGCCGAAATCTATGCACCCGGACGGGCGACCGCTTTTCTTTTTCAGTCGCCCGAGACCAAATGTTAGTCGACTGAGGCGACCGGGCGCCGCTAGAGCACAGCCTTGGACTAAATTGGATGATATGAAGTCCTAATACCGGTATATAGATTTAGCCAAGCCTAAAAGTGGAGCTCACTTTTTTTTTCCCCCCACACATCTCAAGGGCACAATGCCTTGCCCCGGCCAGGACTAGAACCTGGGTCATTCGACTCGGAGTCCAGTGCACTGACCACTGGACTACTGAACAAAGCCGTGGCATAGGTGTGCCCGTGGTACAGTTGACCACGCATGATAAAAGTAGCACCTTGTACAGTCGTACAGTCATACATCCATATTTTTTTGGCTTGATGGGTTACTACTATTTTGTATAATTATGGGGCTATGCTCTGCAAGCTCTGCTATTACCATTATTAATATTTTCAATCTGTTTGGTGAGATGATATAATCATAACTTACTGTAAACAAAGAATTCAGGCCCCACACTATATCCTGAGGAAAGATATGAAATCAGTCAGTGGTAGAAGAAAAAAGACATCATGCTATGCTAGAATGTTTGAATTAGGGTGATACTGTTTGAAGTATTAGATGCTCACCCATCTCAGAGTTTTTAAAAAGAGTTAAACTAGCTGCATGCAGAAAAAAAAAGTTTTTTGATAATATTGCAACATACACAAAACCATTTCAACACTGGCAGTGCCACCTCAGACTGACCTTTAATTTTCTTGTCGGTGCCCATCCAGACCCATCAAGAGTGTGTTCCCTCAACAAGCTGCGCATAAATATAAAACAATTTTTGTTATATTAACCATTTTATTAACTATTTTCACCCTAACATCAGTACCTATGTTTCCATTCTGTCCTCTATACATTTCCTACAATACTGACAAAAATAATTTGTTTCACAATCAAGAGCTTCTTTAATTGATAATCATTTCCATTAATCTAACAAACTTATTGATTCATTCAGGGGGGATACTGTATAGAGAAATTAGACACTGGTCTCTTAGGTATTACAGGATTACATAGCCACAACAATAATCACATGAATGTGCAACTAATTAAAAATTAATCACAGTCAAGCGAACAAAGCCCTTGAAATGTCCTTTATTTAACAAATAGAGAAGCCTTGACTGTGCTCTGTTCTGTTATAAAGCACGCAGGAAGCGGCTAGAGCACAAAAGAAGTGTAGGGAGAAACACAAGACGTAGTCTAGCCGCTTCCTAAGTGCTTTATATACTATATTATATATTATTATTATATACTATATTACCGTACGTAAGCTTGCTATCTAACTGAGCATCAAAATCTTTAAAACTCGGAATGTCTATTTCGTTTTTCCTTTGAGGATTTTTGTATCTGCTCACATTTTAATAACGTAAATCACGGCGCCTGGTATGTTTACAAATGTTTGTTTGGTTCTTCTGTTGCTACTTGCCGGCTCACTTGTTCTGAAATTTTACTTTCAATTATTGGATAAAAGCTAAAAAAAAGGCCCAGAAAAGGTCGAACATAGTACAATTTGGCAGATAGCATGACAGCTTTAGCTCAGCTCTATGCTCTATACTCTCATCGAGCACACTCTTTCAGCCAATGACAGCGCACGTTATATCCAAACTTTATTATAAAGTCTGATAGATAGAAAATCTCTATCATTAGGAATTGAAATCAGAGTATTCCTAAATATATACATATACATACCTCAAACAGACTTCTCCATTCTCACTTATGTTTGGATGCCAGATTTTTGTTTCACACCAAACATTAGGTGGCTGAAATAATGCCAAATAATGCAAAAACAAACTCTTAAATCAATTGAATAAAAAATGAGTTTTTCACAACAACTGGAATTTCCTTTAATTTCTCTTTAATATACCCACAGATCAGTGAAATCTTGATTAATTGTTATTTTTCACTCAACTTTCAGTTTAATCTTTTTCATTGAAAAAAATATTTACACCAAGAAAAGAAAAGTAAGCAAAGAATAAGGAAATATTAAAAATCATTTGTTCAAGAATGTAACTAACAGTCTAAAAACCTTTTTCACCGTTCTGCACATATTCTCCTAAAAGATCAATTTTTTTTGTTAGTTTGTTGTGAGAATTTGGTATTGTATCTTAACATTCTTCCTCAGTTGATAATTTGCTGAATTCTCAAAACTTGCCTGTTTGATATTATTTCCAGATCACATGGAGAGTTAACAAAACTGATCACTTTTGAGAGTGAGGAGTTAAAATTATTGGATTATTACAAACAGATTTAACCCTTTAACTCCCATAAGTGACCAAGACAGAATTTCTCCTGATGATATCAATTAAACAACAACCAGATAAGTGATGAGAATAAAGAAAAATATCAATTTGGGGATAATTAGCTGATCCAATACTAAATTCTCTGAACTAACAATATAAGAATTGTGTAGTTGACAGTAAGGAGAATGACAAATTTGATCTGGGAATTAGAGGGTTAATATAAACCCACCTTTATATTATACTCTTCTGGTATCATAATATGAAATATAAAAATTCCATCCTTCCAATAACCCTCTCCTAAAAGTGAAGAAAATAAAAGAAAATTGTGTTAAATCAACAAGGATAACTCTGAACAACATTTTTGGGTTCCAAAGGATTGGTTGACAAGCAGTCAAGCCTTTTTGCTATCTTAAAATTGTAAGGTTTTTTTAATTCTCCAGATCCCAACATTAATTCTCCGTATCAGTGTCATTCATTTTCTTGGATCATTGGATAATGCAATTCAAGAGTTTTCATTGGCTTAGCCATCAAGGGTTATGAGCCATTATACCATGCTCTACAAATAAAGAAAGTGTATAACTCAAAAAAAAAAAAAAATTAATAAAGTTTACAAAATAAAGTTGGAAAGCTTTATCTATCTTTTGGGGCATTTTTCATAAAACAATTATTCCACTGGCACTTATTGGATATGAGATGATTATAGCCACTTCAGGCCTATGGGCCTTGTTGGCTATCTATCATCTCATATCCAACACCCGATCATGAAATAATTATTGTTTATTAGCTGATAAGTTTGTTTGTTCTCATAACCTGTTTGTAACAGAATATATTGAAACCTCAAGAGGTTGTACACAATCACCACTGAATTTAAGGGTTACGCATGGAAGCTTGTCTAGTTGATGAGATGCTTCATTTGAATGCAATGCAAATAATACAAATGGTAAGAAAAAAGGCTGCTTGCATTCTTATGGATCTGCTACTAGAAGACAAGCCTAAAGTTAATTTTCACAATTCAAGTGGACCAGGCTCTACTCAGGGGTGTGAATGCGTACTTGTATAGAGCGAGGAAACTCTGATAAAAGGCAGAGGGAGCTGAGGCAGGGTCATGGGAGTAACCTAAAATAGGTAACATCCCATCCATCAGGGGCCCAGAAATGCTATGGAAACTAGGATAAATCTTGTAGTTTGGGCCACTTTGCTTGTGTTTCACCCTTTACACCTTTACATCTGTACGCACATTCCTTATACTGTTCTCTATACATTTCTTAAGGTGCTGACCTGGAGAATTTAACAATCAAGAGCCTCTTTGGTTGGTGATTATTTTCTTTATTCTTGTGACCTTAATATGTGATTCAGGGTTGATATGGTAAGGAGAAATTAGATGCTAGTCACTCTTAGGGGTCAAAAGGTTAGTGCCTCATGTGGACCAGGTTATGTGGCCTTCATTTGCAAAACAGTATGATATCATTGGTGTTGAAAATTTGGAGAGAGCCTTCACAGCACTTAAGAAAACTTTCATTTTCTAACCTGGTGTTACAGTCAGAGTGAACTCATGAAGAATGTTTGGATCCTTAAAGTCAACTTGACAGGATTCTGTGAGGAAAATACAAGAAAAATGTTCATTTGAAAAATTCTTGCAATGTTTATTCTTAAAAAAACATCAAATCATGTGCAGTGCTGACTGAAATGCACTAACAAGTTTTTCACAAATCAACATCTAAACCTGGCTCTGTAAAGTATAAACATAAAGCAGTATTTTCACTTATTAAATCACAAATCATTATTTTAAGGATAAAGAAGAATTTTCTATCCACAGTTTAGCATGATCTTCTCTATTCACAAATGTTCTCCAGTCCTATAAATTTGTATGTCTGACTTAAAAATCATAATAACAGCAACACTTTTTTTAAAACGGTGTAAGTAGGATTTCAGTGCTTTGATGCACTCATAACAACCAGTAAGCGATTAGGGTGCCAATTTAATGAGGGAGGTTGAAGAGTTCTCCAGCTGATTTTCGATGGCCTGAGAAATTTACAATTCAAATGCAGAGCCGTTATGTAATAAATTCTGATGTTGCTTTACACTATTCAGCTGCTTCTACATTTCTTCTATATTTATTAAAAACCCCGAGTTTAGGTTACATAACAGCCAAGTTATACCATAAAACATAATCCAGTACTCGTTCTTAATGTTAACCAGAGCAAAGAAAATTATAGTCAGTAAGTATACAAGCGAGTGCTAACGTCAAAAGATTTAAACACAAAAATAATCAAACTACAACTTTGTAGCAGTGAGTCTTCTAATATGCAGGCAATAACCACATTTTCATGTTTAAAACAAACGCAGCAATAATAAATACGATATATTTGTAGCTATTAACTCACCCGGTACATTTTCCTCGAGTTCTGTCACTTCTTAAAACGGAAAAAGGAAAGCGTAAGAAAAAACTACAGGGAAAAATTGTTCATATACCGAGATAAAAGCTGAAAAAAGCTAAAAATCAGGTCCATTTTTCAACAATTAATGATGGGGGGACGTTAATTTAATCATTTTATGGCGCAAAAGGCGTACATGAACAAACTGCGTAACAGTTTCTAGATTCTACCTTTGGTTAGCAATTTGTCACGTATAGATGTTCTCCCGCTTTTCGTGTTTCCTGTCCCGTGATCGCCCTTTTCCTTCTTATCCCGCTCTTCCTTAATTTTCTTTGCGAGAGTAATCATTTCCTTTTATAAGAAGGAGCGAAGCTTCGCCAAACATTTGCACCTGAAATTCTCCGCATCACCTATCTCGGTAACTTCTCCATCTTGTAAAGTAGGTGAGTGTCGTAACTACGTCATGTAAGCTGAGTTATGAAGTACAGACCAAGGATCAAGTCTTCAATCTTGATCAGCGGTATCTAATTAGTACTCAGACTTCCAAGAAACTCTGAGTCATCTTATCATGACGATGCAGTGAAGTGACTCTAAAGCGTAGGTGCGCATCCGTCCTTAATTTATTTTTAGGTTATTCTTGGTCGTTGAGTTTCTACGCGATTTCTCCGCAAAATGTGGTAGATGAACAGCTCCTCAAGGATCTAAAGGTAATGAAATGAAAAGTTGTTTACATTTAATCATAGTTTTCTTTAAATTAAACACAACTTGTTTACGTGATGTTTTATTTTAATAAGTATTCTCGTGGAAACGTATTGGCCCACTTGTATAGGAGCGGTGCTAACCTATTATTAAGATATAAAGAACGGCGTTGAAATAATCAGAAAATTTGTGTGCTTTGTTTTGTTTTATTTTTGAGATGAAGTAATGAACGTTTACCATCATTAATCCTACGATTCGAGTTCGACGCACTCCTAAAAGGTGATTAGAGAATTTTCCTTCTAGCTATGTGCCATGTGTTTCCTTGTTTGTAAATAAGGAGAATTTGGATTTATATCAGGTGAACAAATTTTAAACGAGTGCGTCATTCTCATCACATGACTTCTGGTAATTGTATTTATATTGGTAAGAGAAGTTAGGTGAACGAATATCATGTTTTGCAGTTAAATAACTAGAGACATAAAATTTCCTCATCGTAATCCTATCAAAATTTTGCTACATACTGTCACCTTGTAAACTTTTATAGGCTTCCTGTCAGCTTTGGGGTGAGCATCCTGGTCTTATTCATTATTATGTAATTTTCCATTTGTGACAACAACTTTTGTGTTTTATCAAACATGTCTGGTTACTGTCAGTGATAGTAAAGGATTTTAAATTTGTCACTAAGAAACAACAGCTCTGTTAAAGACATTCTAGCAAGAGGCTTACATTCCACTGAGGGGAAAAAATCACTGATCCTAGTTATGCTTTGCAGTAGGAATTAAAATATAAACCCAGACTAGCATAGGAGTCTGCAACATGCATGTTAACCCTTCCCTTAGAGTGGCGACACTTATCAAGATCTTTAGACTTAAACTAACACAGCTCTTGATTCCAAAACAGATGATACTATCTTGCTTTGCCAAGTTGGTAATGTCATTTAAACCTTTTACCCTGTAAACCTGTGAGTGACCAAGGCAGAATTTCTCCTTACAATATCAAAACAGTATCAAGCAGACAAGTAATGAGAATATAGAAAAATATCCATCAAGGGATTACTAGTTGATCCAACACCAAGTTCTTAGAATGAACATTATAAGAATTGTATGGCAAACAGTAAGCAGAATTACTAAAGAGATCTTGGTTGTGAAAGGATTGAGCAGATTTAAACTTATATTTATGTTTCCATTTTTAGGGATTAGTTGCTGCCTTTTGAATCAGATATCAAGAATTGGTTACCATGGACCAGAACCCCTTTGCAGCCCTCTTTCGATCAGTTGAAGAGGCAGAAGAGTTCAGAAAACACTCTTCAAAGACATCAGCACCAAATGTTTCAGCAAAAGGAATCATCGACAATGATTCAAAACCCAATACAAAAAATGATGCCCAGATAAACGAGGAAGAAAAAGAATGGATAGTGAATGACATGTTTCAGCGTGTGTTCCTGATCACCGTAAATAATGGTAAAATATCGTAAATAATGATAAATTAATACTGAATAACTATTAACCCTTTAACCCCCAAAAATGATTACCAATAATATCCATACATTATCCCACAAACAGGTAATGAGATTACTCAAACTTATCAGGTACAAGATATTGCCTTGATTGAATACCAAATTCTTGTAACCAATTTACAAGGAAATGTGTAGCAGCTAGAGGAGAGAATCAACAATTAGATCTTGGGAGTTAAAGGGTTAACCAAGTGGGAGGGCTGGAAAGAAAAATAGGATCAATATCTGTATCTGGGCAACTGCCCACCTACCCCTCCCCTAACCCAAAATTAACCCTAACTTGTTATTGAGTTAGGGGAGGGGTAGGTGGGCAGTTGCCCAGATACTGATATTTATCTGAAAAATATATGTTTGAAGTTATGACATGCAGATTTAACACAGCAACATCCATGTTTCATGACCTGTGGCAAATATTTTTTTATCTGGCACAATCAAACTCATATTAAGTATTTTATGATATGAAAAATAATTTTAAAAGGTTTGAAATTATTTTTGAACTGGAAAGGACACAGTTCAATTGGAAGAGTGATTGGTGGATAGCTGCAAAAGAGATTCTAGGATAAAATAAAATTACCTTAAAGTTTGTTTCTTCAAGTTAGAATTAAAACAGGTTCCCATTTCTATGGGATTGCCTGAGCATGGCTGACCAGGCTATATAAAGATTGATTAAGTTGACAAGAAAGTGGTTACTTGTCTCTTAAGTCTCACTAAAAACTTTTTATATCTTAGCATTATAATCTTTTAAAATTCCTGACTGATATTTAGATGGCGATCGTCTTGGAAAGAAACAATTTGGTGGTCTCCCTAAAAGATGTGTCTATTTGCGCAATACTGCTACTGAGGAGGGATCAATTCTTCAGTGGACCAACATTGATGAGGTTAGTTAATAAGTTTTCATTTCTTTTTCCTTAGTTATGTTTTATCTACATTGGATACAAATTATTTACTTTTTTTTCCAAAATACTACAAAGCTTAAAAGGGAGTTGACATCTGAACAGTGACTGACTGCATTTTTAATGAGACTTTGACCCCAACAAGTGATTAGCATGTAATTTCTCCCCACAATATCATCACTAAGTTAACCACTAAGGTTACAAGAATAAAGGAAATGATCACCTACTAAAGAAGGTGTGAAGCTCTTGCTTGTTTGATAAATTCTCCCTATCAGCATTTCAGGAAACATATAGAGAATACTATGGAAAATAAAAAGCCCTCACTTCTTGGAAAAGCTGAATTCTTAGTCAACATCTTTGTTTTGGCAAATTTTAGCTTCTCAATGTTTTTTGTATGAATTCCGTTGAAACAAATCAAGCAAGTATAGAACTGAAATAAGATGTGAGTGGGGTCATTTGAAATAAATTGTTACATGCCTTGGATTACTCTTGGAAAAAGCTTTATGGTTTTGTCATAATTAGATTTGATAGAAAATTACCTGGCGATTTTACTTGTCAATTTAAATCATATTGTTTCCCATCAACAATATCGATTTTAAATCAATAATTTATCTATTATCAGGCCATTATGGAGCGGCTAAGTATGAATCAGCCTCGTTCCCATGTGGTGATCACAGGCGGTGCTCGTATGTCGTCACTTACAGCTGAGATTGAAGCAGGAGAAGTTTCAAATGTAAAATACTTGGCCTCCTGTTACAAAAGAGCCACTGAGGAGTGCAAGAAATGGAAGGTAAATTTTTCATATAACGTCGAAGCTTCCCACTTGATTTCTGATCAATGTATGAAAATATAAAAAGTATCTGTTCCTTTTGTCTTCTCTGCCTTTAGAAAAGGTACAACTATGTGATGTACAAGTTTAAAAACCCCATTTAAAATAATTCTTTTTTTCTCCCTCTCTTTCACCATTTATTTAAAAATAGTTAATTCCCTTTATTTGAACTCTAGTCACCTGCTAAGCTGAAAAAAAAAAGACTCTAATCTTTACATTGAAAAGAAAGGAAAGGAAAAATAAAGAAATTTTTCACCAAATAAATCCTGATCCTAGCTGTAGCATTTTGTAAGGTGAAATTATTTTTGAATATTCCACTTGAAGGAAAAGGATGCGTCTCTTGTGGAAATTACAGACAGAGCAAGAACACTGGCATTGTCTTATGCAGGGTAGGCACTTCATTTGCAAAATTAAATTTACTATATTGATTAAGGCTATTCTAACTTGTCAAGTATTGGATATCTTGTTCTACAAGTATGGCTTTTGTCTGAAGTAATTGTGTGGCTAAACCAAATAAAGTTTTAAACCTTTTAACTCCCAAGATTCTACCAGTAATTCTCCCTACTGACTACCATTCATTTCCTCCTAAACAAAGCAGGAGAAATTGGTGCCATATCAAGATATGACCCTCAAATTGATAAGCTTGTCTCTTCTCATTACCCATTTGCAGAATAATGTATCGGAATTGCAAGGAGAAGTTACTTGTTGCTAATTTTTAGGTGCTAGACAGTTAATGTTGTGTAAATACACACTTACTGAAAAGGTAGTTTAAATTTTTGTTTTTTGTTATCTTTCCAAGGACTTGTTTATTGAGCCCAGAAATGTTTTCTAAAGCTGCCCCTCAGAAGCACTTGTTTCAACTACTATTGACCATGCAAGGTACAAACTTTTTGCATGTGATTAACAGAAAATTGTCACAATTAGAAATAATTTTTTGTTAAAGATGAATTTGCAGATTAAATTGTATGCTTATTTGTAGATACCATTTATTTTGATATTGTAATTATTTATCAGTTTGAGTAACAGGAACAAAAATATAGATATCAACCTATTTGTTTCATAGGAGATCAAGTGCTTTTAGAGTTCATGGATGGTCTTGTTGAGGAGCATCAACAAAAAGATGACCTGGTTAGTCAAATATTATTTAAGTTGTGAATTTCCTTGTCAAGACTGCAAATCACTGATTCAGAATCCTTAACTTTGGCAATCTCTTAGAAAGTTTCCTTGTTTACCAATTTCTAAGAACATTTATTTAGACAGTCTGTGTGTTAGCTCTTAGTGATGGAACCTAGATGAGTACAAGAAGTTAGTTGGAAACAACCTTTGTTGATATTGTTATCAATTTGTGATCTCTTATTTTGTCTCATTTTATAATTTTCATTTGCTTCTACATGTAGATGACTATGTTCTCTCCAGTTCTTGAGATGTTGGCAGATAGAAGCAAAGATATCTCATCACTTCTTCAGCCTGACATCCATAACTATTTTGATATACTGCTGTTCTTTGCAAAGCATGTCACACTGGCTGAGGTGATTATGCAGCTATTTTTACCATTATGATACTAATGATACTGATTCATGATGCGCGGTTCTCACTGTACTCAGTCTGTACATCTTGACCTTGAGCCAAATATTTTGCCATGTGGACCTCCCACTCAGTCATTAAGTATGTATTATATTACAATGCAGTCTTTTTTCTATTTGATTTTCAATTATCTCTTTAGATCCTTGTGTCATCAAGATTCTGGCTTCCTGCTAAATCACCCATAGGTGCAATTCAAGGCCATGCCTTTGAGAAGCAAACCTTGTTAGGATTCTTATTAGCATTGACCAGCATGTCCAGGGATCCAACCAAACCATCTGTAAGTAGATAATAACTCTAAAATGATTTCATGATATTTTGCTTTTGGAAGTACAGTAGTTTTGAAATATTAAGTAGTCCAGATCCAGTTCAGATCTAAAGTTCGAGCACTGACTTGGGTGTAGCCAAATTGTCTTGGACAGTACCTCCATTCATCATTGGTTTGTTTGCCTGAGTGTCATTTCACTGATGATATTTTCTGTTGACAGGAATTTTTCCAGCATCCAACTGAGCAGAGTCATGCTGACATGCAAGCCACTATGGCCAACTTACGCAAACACTTGGATACATTGTCGGAGAAACTCCACAAGGTTTGTTGCCATATAAATCCAGAGGCAAAATTATATTCAGTCTGTCAAACACAGAAAATGTTGAATACCAGCCAGGGTTTTATTAGAAACTGGTTATCGGCAGTCTACTGTGGACCGTAAGACTTCTCACTACCTTCTTTTTAGCCTGCAAGCAGATTTGAATTTTGCCCTACAGACCAACTGCTTATTACACTATCAGAAGCAGCTACAAAAGTTACTGACAGTTAATTATGATGGTAGATTTATTTGGAAATTTAAGATAAAAGATGAACCATTTTTCTGATATTCAAAAAGTTATATTTGAAAGGTCATTCTGAATTACTGACAGAATTGTTGTACCATTACTGAGCACAGAGTACTGCAAGTGCTAATTGATCTTTATTTATTTGTGATAAACTTGAAGGTTGTCATTGAGATCATGAAAAAATCAAGTTCGGCAAAACACCAAGTTCTTTACTGGATTGGAGCATGTCTCCATGGAAACATAACAAGGAAGAAGGTGAAAGATGTATTTCATAGATTGCATTTTTTACACCCTAACATCAGTATTCATATTCTCCACACTGTTCTCTATACATTTCCTATGGCACTGACAAGGAGAATTTGTTTAACAATCAAGAGTGTCTTTAGTTGGTGATCATTTCCATTATTCTCATGACCGCAATGTTTGTTTTAGGGGTGATACTGATAGGGAGAAAATGTTAGTGATCACTCTTTGAGGGTTGAAGGGTTAACATGATATTAAAAAATCAGAAAATCATGCGATGCTATGGTTTTCAAAAAGAGAGATGCACTGAGATGGTAAACAGAGTGACCTGAGTCCTGTAAGCCGAACAGTTTAAAGGCCTCTGATTCTTACAAGACTTGATCAGTCTATGTTTGTATTTTTTTCTCTGCAGATGATGGCAGAGTTTTTTACAGCAACCCAAGCACAAGATGGATTCTTTTTAAATCTTAGTACTCTGCTCCTGAAAATGTGCCAGCCATTCATGGACCCATGCTCACCCAAGCTTTTGAAAATCAACCCACAGTACTGTGCTGTGAATGTTAGTTTTGACAGCATTACACGAGAGGGCACTGCATTACATGTCATTGGACTTGATGGGGAAACACGACTGGTTGTACCACCTAATGAAGGTACGAATGGCCAGCTCTGTGGTCAGCAAGGTGTAGGTAATTTTCAGAATGCCAAATGCTACATATTTTGTTCTGTCTTACTGGTGTTTTGATGAACAGAGATGGAAGCTGCATGTAAAAGTAAACCAGGATTGTTTGAGAAACACCACTGTAGTGCTGAGAACTTTGTGCTTTTATCAATTTTAATTTAATCAACTATTAGTGAATACTTTCTGCGAGCAAAGAGGTCAGAGTAAATCTGCAAATATACCAGGAGCACTGCTACCAAAACAAACAGAAAATTCTTTAAATGATGTACCTCTGACCATGGGGATGCAGTTTTCCAATAGCTATTGGACTACATATATTGCACTTTAAAAGATCTAAGTCCAAGCCCTAGCTCAATATCTTGGAGTCTCGGAGACCTTATAAAATCTGGCAGAGGAGGGGGGTGGGGGTAAGGGGACTTGCAATGGGCTAACATCCCCTCTAAGGGGAGAAGTAATGTTCGTAGCTCAGACATGTGACTGAAACTGAGACAAGTTAATAGCAATATGTGCCACTTAAAGTGTGCACACCACTTGTACTACTGACCATTCAGCTTAACCATTTAAGTCATACTGCATTCTTTAAATTTAGCCCTTCTGTAGCCTATGATAACTGTGAATTGTATAGTATGCAAAAATACAAACATTTCCATTTTTTCATTTTTCTATCAGAGAACATTACGCTGAAGAACACACCAGCATATGGATTTGTGACAGAGTGCTTTTTCATGACTCATCATTGTCTCAACTTGGGTTAGTGACACTAAGCATGAGGCAAGGAGGAGGCCAGACAAAATGGCTCTTAAGCATTGAGATTGTTTATAGACCAGGCTCCGGTTGTCAGTATGGTGGATAATCCTATTGATCCATTGAATAGCACAATACATCTTGGTAACACTTATCCACTGGATGGTGATTTATCCAGTGGATAGTGCTATCTGCCCTTTAAACAATTGGAGCCAGGTGTCTGAATTTATCTCACTCTCACATAAGTCAGTTTGCAAGGTGGCGGGGGGATTTTGGTTTATTCTAGGGGGAGGGGGCAGAAGAGATGTGGGTTTTTAGGACCAGGAGAGAAGGATAGATAGGCAGTCAGCAAGATTTACTAAGAAGATTTACTTTACTAGATTTACAATTATACTTAATTGAGGCTAAACATGATTTAGGCATGGTGAAAACCAAATTTGTGTTTTGTTTAAATGAAAATGTTGCCAAACCTTTTGTACTTCATCATGCCATTAGTGAATAGTCAGACAAATGAATTTCTGATCTTTCTCTTTTTTTAACAGGTCTGTGGAAAGTCTGCGAGAAATACAGAAAACTTATGAACGAGTTAGCACAAGTAAGTAACTATGCCATTTCACAACTGGGGTTTGGTTAGGGTATACATCAGGCATTTTGGGGAGAATTCTCTACTCTGTTAACAAAATTATCTGGCCTAACTTTGTTGATTAATCAATAGTAAGATTAACCCTTCAACTCCCAAGATCTGATTGTTGATTCCCCCCTCTAGCAGCTACACATATCCTTTTAAATTAGTTATGAGAATTTGGTGTAAGATCAAGATGATAACTTCTTCTTCAGACATTATCTTTTACTGTTCTCTTGCTACTTCATTTACCACTGAAAACCTGTTTGTCACAATCACAAATTACTGAGTGAGTGTTTTAATAATCCGTCCCGTAGTTTGACAAGGAACTTTTTTTATGCCTCTTCTCAGATGCAACAGATGTACCAAGATGCCTCAGCACAGGGAACTGAAGGAGTTTTGTTAGAAAGACTGAAAGTCCAGTTTGAGAACAGCATTATCAAACAGTTGTCTCTGAAGGTGAGAGGTTTAATAAATTGTAACAATTAAAATTCCAAGTGTCTATGGTGGTCGTAACAGCTCAGGAACCTATACGGATGGAACTGATCGTAGCATTGTAGTATGATACAGCCAGGAGAATTACTTACCTCCCTTGGATGGGATGGTAGTCTATTGTGGGTTCTCCCCCCCTTAACAATATGTCAGATTTCTCTGATAATTTTCCAGTACCCATTTAATATACTCTTGTGTAGAGAGAGGCACTGTGAGAGTGGTCAGGAGTGTCTTGCCCAAGAACACAATAATTAATTATTATTAACACAATGGCCTAGCTAGTGCACTGTGTCACTTGAAGTCCAGTGTGCAAACCATAAGATCAACCAGCTTAACTCTCCCAAAAGGTTTCTTTTTACATTCTATTTTGAACTTGTCATTTATTTTACAACAGACTCATCTCCTTAACCCGTCCCTCATTGAACTTGGCCTGAAGTTTTACATAGCAACTGCATCATGGCTGAATCAAGTAGCACTGGCCGGGGACAGCTTTGATGAGATGACTGCTTTTAAAGAAGTGGAAATTCCTCTTCCAACACAGGTTGGTGATAAGATGTTGTATGCATCCTTTAAGGAGATGTACTAGTCTTAGCATAGCTGTGATCATTTGAGCATCGATCTTGGAGGAGAGGAGAGAGTAGTCTTATCTGTGATCATTTGTGCGTTGATCTTGGAGGAGAGGAGAGAGTAGTCTTATGTGAGACTTGTCAGGGAAAATCAGTGAAAATGTTTCAACATCTTGTGGGGAAGTTCTTAGTTAGAGTCTTGTAAAGAGTTCTTTTTTGGGCAAAAGTTTAGTTCATGGAAACTTATCTGTCAGTTTTGCTGTGATAATAGGCCATTTTACAGTTGTGCACTTAGTCACCAAGCCTTTGATTTGGAGTTAGGCTGAAGGTGACCTCGTTGTGATAGAGACCAGTATCTAGTTAGCATGATAACAAAGTAATTTACATTTGAAAAGCAGCAAGGTTTGTATCATAACAAGGTCACCCTTAGCCTCACTCCTATTCAAAGGCTTGGCAACCAAGCACACAACTGTAAAATGGACTATTACAGTTAGTAACTTTTCAACATTGATGACTGTTCCAGTACCCTTTTTAATTCCTGGGTGCTGCTTTACTTTAAATTAGGTAATGTTTAATTAAATTTGTTCTTACAGTGGAAGAAATTATTTTCTTTCATTACGTAATACAATTTTCATTTTAATTGTAGACTCCTAGAGGACTCTTGTTTGTCCCTGAGTTCATCGTGGAAAACATGGCTGACTTTATAATTTTTCTGAGGTATTAAGCTTACTCTGTGTAGTCCTGGTTCCCTTCACAAATGTTGTGAAGGAGTGACTAGCTTAATTCAAAGACTTTGATTTTTGTGTTGAATATTTTAGGGAAGGAGGGAATGTAGTGTATAGTGATGCCCATGTGTAGAAATGAATGCAAGTGATGTAATACACTTGGGACTTATGGATTTGCATGTATATATAAAGCTTGTATTTATTTTATTCTGAGAGTTCTTTTCAGTTAAGAGTAAGTGTGTAGCAGACATGAATAAACGGTTTTAACTTAACTGTGGAGTACTACAGTTATTTTTGCTATATTAATATATGCCTTTACTTCACGTTGAAGACATTTCAGTGAAGAAACTTTGGAGAGTGCAGGAAAGTCTCTACATCATCTTGTAACATTTTTTGTCATTTACATGGGGTATGTATAGATATTTATGAAAACTTAAAACTCTATCCTTTGACTACCCTCATTAAGATGACCTTATGAACTCATATTGATAAATAAATTTATAATACTGATGTAGCCCAAGTTCTCTGGAACCAGAGAATAATATTGCAACTGAAGGGTAAATTTTTTTGGTGCCTTGAAAGGGTTAAGTTATTAATAACTAATTTTATATCAATGAGTATTAACTAACTTTTGCCTTTTTGATGATTTTGTTTGTCTACTAAGCATTTTTTTTTTTTTTTTACCAAGAAATTTTCCAGTGTCCATTTTTTCACAGTCTCGAGCTGTTTTGATAAAATTAGTAATTAAAGAGTTCCTCATTAATCAGCTATATATCAATTAAGAAAATATTATCTGATTTGTCAAAGTTTTCTTTGGTGATGTGAGAACAGCTGCTGTACAGATTGAATAAACTTTTGATGTATATTTTCATCCCAAGGAGTCCTGAACGTGTGCGCAATCCGCATCTCAGAGCAAAACTGGCAGAGACTCTGGAGGCATTGGTTCCCATTCAGAAATCCAAGAATTCAAGTGAACTTTTGTCTGCCCCACAAGTCAATTTGGTATGTTTGGTTAAAATCAAGTTGTAGAAATTCTAATGAGACCACTGTCTCAAGAGTGACTTGCTGTCAAATCTATTTTAATTAGTGAAATAAATTTGTTGTCTCCTTTGCTTGCTATGGTCCTGATCACTGATTTAGTGGGAATCAAACCTTAGATTCCTGATTTATACTTCTTTAAAGGAAGGTAAAATCAAATTTTGTCATGAGAGAGGAATCCCCTTTTTGTCACTCAAGCAATGCCCTTTAGCAGGTTGGCAATCGTTTAAGTTGCTTACTTTTTCAGGTAGTTAGTTATTTTGCTTGTTATATATATAGAGTTAACTCTGTCATTATAATTAGATATTAAATAAATGTAGTTAGCTCAAAGATATTAGAATTTGGGTGCTACTAGTAAATTTGAGACTTATAAAGTTCATCTGTGTACATATGTATTTACATGTAGGGCCAATATTAATAGTAATTGAAGTTTGTCAACTTTTGAGGCTAACAAAGCTAATAAACAAATGAGCATTTGGAACCATTATAAGGAGGGAAATAAAAGTGTGAAAACTGCATGCATGGCATTGTGTAGCTCAGCATTCTATTATCGGCATTTATTATTTGATCATAGTAATGTAATTGGTCAATATATTTTTATTTTATAGTTCAACAGACAAAGTGCTTTCCTTCAACACAAAGTTGCCCCTGCCTACCTCCCTCAGGCTCTTTTACAACTGTTTGTGGATATAGAATTCACAGGACATTCCATGCAGTTTGAGCAGAAATTTGGTGAGCTTCTTAACCCTTTAGACCCTAACATCATTATGCATATTCTCCATACTGTTCTCTATACATTTCCAAAGAGGCTGACAAGGAGAATTTGTTTCATAATCAAGAGCTGCTCTTGTTGGTGATCATCTCCTCTATTCTCATGACTTTTGTGTTTGATTCAGGGCTGATATTGTAAGGAGAAATTAGATGCTAGTCACTCTTAGGGGCTAAAGGGTTATTGACAGAGGTACTGCTTGAAAGTTCAAAATGCAGTATCCAACCTACATTAATTCTGTGTCTTGGTGACATAACACAGACACAAGTCACAGTGGACATTAAGAATTTTTTAGGCAACCTTTATCCCTGAATCAGCATTTTTATCCTGAAGCTAGATGTACAAATCCATGGTTTTGCTGCAGGGAGTGAACAATTTAAAGCCACTTGTTCAGTGATGAACTCGTTTGGAGAGCATTGTCACATTGACATGTAGCAGACTTGTTACTTAGTGTGTCCCAACTTGATTGATTAAGTTTCTCAGAGGGACTGAACAATAGGCAGGTGGAATTTACAAAACTGTAAATGCTAAATGTAGAATAAATAGCCCTGAATTTTGAATAGTAAAATGTGGTCCCTGTGTTTCCTTAACATGTAAAACAACACTGATTAGGGAGTTTGAGAAACAATGACAGCGAACTTATATTTTACCTACGAATTTTGCAATACTACTAATTAAAGTCATTAAATTTGTTTCTCACTGTCAAAACCACCTTGAAACTGAATTTGGAACACAGTGTTAAAGTAGACAGAAATTTAAAATATTAGCTGTCATCATTCACATTCTTCAGACAATGCAAAGTTTGGTCATTTTATGTCATCATTTTTCAGAGGGGACACAAAGAAATTTACAAAGATTTATAATGCACATGCACTGCCATTGTTCTGCTCATTAAACCTTTTGTTTAGTTACATTCTTGTTGCCATTTCTGTCATGGTTTTCTTAAACTCCCTATTAACCTAAGAACACTACATGACCAATTTTCTGGCTTATTTGGTTGAAAATTTTCAACTGAGAGGTAAAAGAACTTATGCATTGCATATTCTTAACCAGGTTACCGGCATCACATGTATTCGGTTTTGAAATTCATGTGGCAGGAAGATGATTACAAAGCTTCCCTGATGAAGATGGGTGAAGAGGTATGATGCAATGATTACACAGATATATGAATAGCAGTAAAGTTTGTAATATTAATGATGATGATAATAATAATGATAGTAATGTTTGATTTATTGAAAATAATAATGATTATTAATAGCAATAGTCATTATAGCAATTCCAATGACTTGATGTGTTGGGGCTGGTCAATGCTCAGCTATCACCTGGTTACCCATTCAGAACATTTGAGTTTTTTTTTGTGCATGTGTGGTGGCTGGCATCCTCGAATGGTGCCATAAGACCACCATGTTGAAACCTCATTATCTCGTTCAGTCTCTCTATTTATGGGTCTTAATTTTAAGCTAATAAAGAGGGAAAGAATGGAAAGAGGGAGGGAAGGGGTCCTCACAATGCTGCAAGTTCATGCTTAAAGCACAATAAGCACGCCTCAGATGAGGAGCACATGGAATTCAGATGCATGTGCATATGCAAAAAACAGTTGACTACTAGAGTGCGCTGTTGTTAACTCTGTTAAATTGCATATAACTGCATTTAAGTTTTCTAACCTCCCTCCTGTTCAGATGAGGCTACATAAACTCACAACAAAACCAACTAACCTCTATTACTTTAGAAGGTGTAGCTGTGCAATGATGAATTTGGTTTGTCTTTAAGGCTGCTGATGAAAAGAGGAAGAAAACAGCTATTCCACTATTTCTTCGTTTCCTTAATTTGTTGATCAATGATTCTACATTTCTGCTGGATGAAGCTCTTCAGGTATTTCTTAGTCAGGCTGTACACAAAAGGTGTCTAATTTTGGAATTTATCAGTTAAAACATCTTTGACCTTTTGTATTTAGAGTTACAGAGGCACTTTCACTATTTTTCTGAAGCTGTTTAAAAAAATTTTGTAAATCAAGGTCACTCCATGATGAAAAGTGGGAAATTTTTGGTGACAAAGTTTTCTGTTCTAGAACCACAGATAAAAGGAGATTCAAGGAGAGGAGAGATTGATTTGCATAGAAATGGTGTTATTTTTTTCTTTATGTATGTAAGCGATAATCATGAGTTAAGTTAAGTATTTTTATTTGTAGTTCATGGCAGCTCTGAAGAAGCTCCAAGCTGAAAAAGACAGTGGAGATTGGGAGAGTTTAACAGAGCAAGCACAACAGCAGGTTTGTGTTGTCATATTTCTTGGCATTACTCTTGATGTTTTACCCCAACTAGTTTTAATTATTAACCCTTTAGATCATAAGAATGGTATGGCAGACAGTAAGGAGAATTGCTAATAGGATCTTGGGAGTAAAAGGGCCATTTGGAAATTAGGCCTAAGTTGCTTGGAAAAGTAAAAAAAAAAAAATGTATACTTCACACAGTTTACATAAAAGCTGGGAGGCATAAAAGCTAGCATTTTTTTTTTAAATACAATCAGTTTAAAGTAAGCCCAAGATGAGGGAGGGGAGCAGGCTTATTGATATGGAGTTTTTGTACAGCAGGTGGCCAGGGTAAGAGTGAATTTTTTTTAAACTCGAAGCTCTCGATAGGGAGTCCTATTAGTCCTTTGACAGTAAATAATTTCAGGCAGGGTTTTTAAAACTGGAAGAAATGGAACCACAAAAGTAGTATGGAGGATTGTTACATGAAATGGTAATGTTACAGTCAAATGAAAGCCAATTTCTATGCTGATTAATGTGAGCTTGTCTTTGTAGAAGCAGCAGGAGATGCAGCATACCAGTGGAATGGCTCGCAGTCATAACATCTTAGCCAATGAAACTGTCCGTGCCCTGAGTTATATAACAACTGACATCAAACAGTGAGTAATTAGTTGTAATTATCTCATTATTACTAACAGCCTGGGTAATGTTAATAAGGGGTATATACGTAAATCTGACCAATCAGATTGTATAATTAAGGGGCAGCAATGTTTCTTATGCACTGATCAATCAATAGCTTCTACCCTACCATCCCCTGCCCCCCTGTGCAGCCCACAGGCAATTGAACCTTAAGTATGGAGTAGTTAAAAGGAAAACAGTCTACTTTTGTGAGCAAATGGCTAAGGAAGGAAATTTTTACATCATAGAATGATGCTTACAAACGAAAAACCAAACAGTGACAGTAAGAACTTATATGTGACTTTGTGAAATTTTAAAACATTTGTTGATTAGACAAGGGATCACTTAATATTGGGTGGGGCATTTGAACACAATTCTTTTTTTTGGGAGGGGGTGGAATTTCAAGAAGCCAATCTCCATAATCCAAATACCCAAGGGGTTGCATGGGAAGAGGATATCGAAGCTTCAAATTGATCAACACATTGGAGTATTAACTTAACTCTGAAGATGACTACCACACAGGTAGTCGAAACGTCAGTCACCAACAACAGTTCTTTTCAGAACTACACTCACCCGGACGATCACACTACACAAACTACATCGGAGTATTGTGTTGAAAACTGCTAAGAGTAGATAAAAGGATGTTATGCTATGATAAAAGGAGTTCCTGATGATAGGGTTTTTTGTTATTTTGCAGACCATTTCTCATAGGTTGCATGGTGAGAAGAACTGCAGATATGTTAAATTACTTCCTTCTAAGATTGGTTGGACCAAAAATGGGAGAACTGAAGGTTTGATAAAATTTAATTAATAGGAATTCAATTATATTTGCAGTTGATATATGTAACTGGGACATTTATGTTTCATTTTGTAATTTTACCAGATGAGTGTCAATCAGTTACCAGACTTGAACTAAGGACTGAAAGCAAAGTGATGTACTTAAATATTCTTTAACCTTGGATTTATCATCTGAGGTGATAATGTAAATTGGTCACCTTTTTGGATGTTTCAAGTGTTTAAGCCCTTTGTCAGAGTGAATGGCATTCTTTTAGTACCCCCCACCAGTCAAACACCACAGTTCCTTCTGACACTTATCCCCTTTAATTATTCTTTTGTTTGATTTAGGCAAAAAATCTCTCAGAGTTCCATTTTAAGCCTCAAAAGCTGGTTTCTGATATTATTGACATATACCTTAACCTTGGTGAACAAGACTCCTTCTGCAAGGCAGTTGCCTCAGACAAAAGATCCTACTCTCCAAATTTATTCAAACAATCAGAGAGGGTGCTCAAGTAAGTAAAAGACAATGGTCATCTTTTATTTCATAGTTATCAATTAAATTGTTTCCTAATGTGACCATTACTAAAGATCTCAAAAGGATTATTACACATTGTTTTCTTTTAAATTTCTAGATTGATTGGAAGACCATCTTCAGTAATCTTTAGACTTAGTGAACTTGCAGATCGTGTTAATGAATTTGCCCAGCAAGATGAAGAGGATGATTTGATAGATGTACGTATGTGCCCCACCTTAACTCTGTAACTCCCAAGAGTGACCAAGACAGAATTTCCCCTCACAATATCAATAATATATCAAACAGACAAGTAATGAGAATAAGGAAAAATGTCAATTAGGGGATTATTAGTTGATCCAATACAATACTCTCAGAGCTACCATCATAAGAATTACATGGCAGATGGTAATGAGAATTACCACAGAGATCTTGAGAGTGAAAGGGTTAAGATACATGGAACATGTGACATTTCCCTTTTACTACCAGGACCCTTGCTTTCAAAAGGGTCTGATGCAATCAAATAGGAAGGAAGTTGCAAAGTCTAACCTTGGCCATTGAATGAGAAAAGATTATTTATTTTTGATCAAGTGGGGATCCAGGACTATTCAGTTCCTCCCACACTACCCACACCTTTTTTAGGTTTTGCTTCATCTGCAAAATATTATATTATCCATATCTAGAAAATCCAAATTAAGAATGCTGGCCTGCAGCTTGAATGATTTTGGATAATTACAAATGAAATTTTGTGGTAGAATAAATGTGTGTTTTTGTTCACTCCTTAGCCACCAGAAGAATTTCTTGATCCAATAACAAACACACTGATGACTGATCCAGTGATTCTTCCTACATCAAGTAAAATTGTAGACAGATCCACCATCTGCCGTCACCTTCTGAGGTATGTATGAGAGATGCTGGCTCAACAAGATAAAGAGAGCTGATTTTTAGATATTTTATAATTACAGGTTATAAAAACAGCAGTTATTGGGCCCCTGTTAAGAATCTGATAAACAGACTTATTGATTGAATTAATTCAAAACCTGCCTTCTGCGTGGATGATTCCTTTGAATGTTGTCATTTTACTTCTATTGTTTCACATATAATTATCATCACTTCGCAATCAAATATCTCTAAGTTGCATGCATATTCCAAATAGCGATGATAATTACTGGTAAGCCTTTGAATTTTTCCTTCCCTTAAAGACCTGGGTGACTATGTTAATTGTGTTTCTGATGTGACCTTTCATATTTCATTGCAGTGATCAGACAGATCCTTTTAACAGGAGCCCTCTTACTCTTGACATGCTGAAGCCACATGATGAGTTACGGACAAAAATACATGACTGGATGGCAGAAATGAAAGCTCTAGGGAAACGCTGACGTTAAGTTTCTCACATGGTCCTCCATGATGGCCCTCATTTCCTCTCACTTCTTTCTCAGGAAATTTCCAATGAAAGTGTCTGAGTTTGAGTCAGTCAGGAGGACTGTGTGAAAATTGAAGAAATCTTTTTGGGTTTCCTGGTGATTTTTGGATGTTCTACTCATTTGGGATAAATTTTGTTAGGGCTTAGTTTATTTCCATGTTTTCTTTTTTCAAGAAAATAGGTTGTTGGGGGTAGTTGGGTGGAATTTTAAAGAGGAGGACTCTTATGTTATTTCAAAGGATAAAGAACAACAGGCTTAGTTTTCTGGGTCTTGAGCTAACTGAAATATTCTGAAAAATTTTCCAAATCTAAACATTTTCAATCAAGGGTTTCAAAAGTAATCTTTACTGCCAGTAAACAAAACAACCAGGATGCCAGTCAGAGGCTTGTGTAAGAGTCTATTTCCCACCCTCCTCTTCCCATTGTCAAATACTGTCAACACCTCTGATAGCACTTTTCAGTTGGCAGCTGGGTTTTTTCCTTGTCAAGATAAACCTAGAGCATCATGTATCTTAATGGTTTTATTACCCAAGCCCAGAAAGTCATCAATTTATGAATTTGAAAAAATAATTACCTTGATCATGAACATCTATTACTTCCCCTTCTTTTTTCATACAGAAAGTCGTTACCACCACCACCCTCCCCACCCAACAAGGATATTTTGAGTTTGTTTTTGCCAAATTTTGTCCCATTGATGTTCAGAACTTTAGTGGTTACTTGAAAAGAAACTGTTATTGCACTCTACAAAATGTTATGTCCTATCTGTTTGAATGATTGCTATCTGCTAAAAGCTTACTGCAGATGGCAGGATGTGTAAACAAAGGACACATTTACTAATCAGAGATTATTGCTTAAATTTTTTTTTTAAAAGAAGTTCACAAGGAAAAAAGTATTAGGTTAACGTAATGTAAAAACTCCTTGCACTCTTCAAAACTATCATGGGAAGTATTTTAAGTTAAAAATTTTTAAATATTATGTAAGATATGATTATTATGTACAACACTACATGTAGCTGGCTTGCATTTAGTGAATAGCTAGTAATATAAAAACTTAAAGATAAAGAGAGTAAATAATAACATTAGGTAGAGTGAAAACATTTAGTGTAATTAGTCACTTAAGGTGTTTGAAGGTGAAATCCCAGGTAAAATAAAAGATTATTTGTAGCTAATATTTTATATGGCTGCCAAAACTGCCAGTGATCTGTTTTATCTTGATATGAGATGTTATGGGAAATTTTTGATGAAAGATGAGATGAGTTCATTGGAAATAGATACTGACAAAGTAGTAAAAAATTTTCCTTTGACTTCCCTTGTACTGCATGCCCTTCTTTGATAGCTTGAGTATCAGACTCCCTGAGGGGGTGGGGGTGATATGGGAGAGAAAGGTGGGAAGCTCTCACCCCTCCTCCCCTTTTGTAGGAAGGCCTGGTACTCAGGTTACTCTTTGATCATGTTGGCACGGTTGGGATAACTAGACGAGCATATCAAGGCCAAGACACCTCCCTCAAAACAACACACAAACAAAACTCAAACAATAGATGAGGGAAATTTGAAGGATCAGCAAAGTCGTCTATGTCACTTACGAAGTAATAACATTTCCTGTCCACATTATCAGCTCCTGCTGATAACGTGTAGAAATACGTGCAGCAAGTAATTATAATGGAATGCCTACTATGAAAATCAAAGTAACTGAGGAGAGCTTTTATTAATCATTTGTATGGGAAGATAGTCTTGGCGAGACTACACCCCAACAATGGCAGGTGAAGAAAGGCCGAAAACACATGGCCCCATATGTGAAATATACAAAATTGGAAACAAAGTTCCTCGTTGCGCGAGTTATTCACAGTGACTTCTCAATCATCATCCTTCCCATGCTTGATTATTCTTGTGAACTTCACGTAATTGAAGTTGCCTTTGGAATCTACTGGAGCCCCATGCAACATTTCATCGATTTCTGCATCGGAAAACCTGTTATGTGAACGAAAGAAAAATTCAATAACTTGACTAATTGTGAAAACAAACACCGCGATTTGCAGAATGTCGAAAAGAATGTTAGGCATTTGGGTGTTAAAAACACTCGCTTTGATTGCACTGATGTTCAACAGAACATGAAACTTTTATCAGCCAAATCGAGTTTTGAAGAGATATGCTCATGAAGCTCTTAACGGGATTTAGATAAACGAAATTGTAAGTTTCATTGTAGATATGTTAATTACATTCGTGTTCGATTGGAAGATCACATTTTGTGATAACGCATTCAGATTTGATGGGACAAACAAACATTTTGAAAGTGGCCAGAAAAATACCAAATCTATTCGAAAAACATAATTTTACAGAGACGAACATTACAATAGCTAAAAAGTGTTCAAGATAGCATCTGACAGTTTTGACAAACGAACATTTCAGTACAATAAAGACAACCATAGTTCGATTTCACGGTGTTGTGAACAAGGCTAATTGTTCATGTCTGTGACAAGCATTCTAATCATCAATTGATCACATCTGTTGCACAAATCTCGAAAATTCCCAAGAAAAATATTAATTCTAACTCCAAGCCTGGATTTTTAAAGGAGTGGAATTGATTCTCAACGCTAGCAGTGGGTGATTCTTACAAAAAGAGAAAACAAATCAACTGCGATTAATTACAAATAACAGTACGTGCACGCAAAGAAAAGGTTTCAAACATTTGAAGAGTTCTTTACACGACACAAAGGGTAGCTCAATTCGCGCTATAAAACTCACGCTGGGCAATAACTGAGCAAAATATTGTAAGTTATATTAACAAAGATTACTTTACCTATCGCCTAAAGTTTGCAGCAAATCGACCAATCTATCCTCTTGTAACTGGCCAGACTGCTCCTCGTCAAAACACGCGAATGCATTCCTAATGACGTCCTCAGGGTCGGTTCCGTTAAGTTTCTCTCCAAAGAGGGTCAAAAACATGGTAAAGTTAATGGCACCGTTGGCGTCGTTCAACATGTCATCCACGTAATCATCTGTAACTTCTTTGCCCAGAGAGGCAAACATATCTTTCAGGTCAGCCGCGTCAATAAAGCCATCACGGTTTTGATCGATCATGTTAAATGCTTCTTTGAATTCTTGAATTTGCGACTGATCGAACATTGCAAATACATTAGAAGTTGCTCTCTGAGCTCGCTTCTTGGTCGATTTCTTCGTCTTGGCCTTGCTGGACATTTTGTTGTTGCTCTACTAATTCGTGTAAAGGAACGCACCGATTGAGGCTTCAGGCAAATTAAATTGTGAATGACAATGTGTTCATTAGAATATGGGATGGTTACTTGTTGGTTACACCCAAGCGTAAGCAAACCAAATATGGCAAATGATAATTATCTTAAGGAATTTTTGCGATAGTGAAAGATTTCACTCCCTCGATTTTCGAACTTTCCCGAAATTAATCACAACGCATCTGAAGTGCATTAGCTGAGCCTAATTATTAGAAACATGATTTTCCTAAACAGTTTTTCACCATACTAATTAAGAGAATTAAGATGTTATACCTAATCAATGTAACGCAACACCATATCGCCTCTAGTCTCCCTGGCAACCTTAACTCAGTCGCGTCACGTGACTAATTCTCATCCCCATCAACGGTAGAGACGCGTCATGGGTAACCAAAATCAATTTTATGGTCATTTGACAATATTAGTATTTCCGATCTTTCTAAACTTTGAATAGTGCGCAATTCTTTAATCCTGGAAAAGTAGTCGCAAATCAGATGTCACGCGTGACAGTGATAAGAGTAGCGGTAATTTCATGTGTTGTACACAACCATCACTTTGACTTCTAGGGTTCATCGATGTTTTGTTCCTTTGCTGGTTGCAAATCGCAGGCTTAGATAGGTGGAGAAACCAACGCTTACAGAGGCAGAGACTGCTTCAACCGATTCACGCCAATCACAGCGTTGTTGTGTCGATTGAGTGCCAAGGGAAGACGTGAAAGCACAATCAAAACTGGTCTTCTTCGACAACATCTAACCAGGACTAACCACGCAGTAAGTTTGTGTTTGCGACAAAATGTGATCTTCATATCAAGATTTCCCTCGTTGTTTTCTGCTTATCAAAATATCTTCAAGACCAAAACATCCTCCTATCCATTTCCTATACTTCTTGATGTTCTAGATTCAATGATTTAACTATTACGTTTGATATTATAGTTTATCAGACGATCTTTCAATGTTAGGTTTGTTTATAGGAAACTTGTTACTGATAAAATTTGGTCCGTGACATCATTAACTGGACATCAGAAGACATTTATTTTAAGGGTGCTGTACAGAAAGGACTAAATCCCTGGGGATGAGAAACTCCAATGACTGATCCATGTTATTGAAGCAAAACAGAAGTGCTTTCCCTTCACTACCGCCTAAGCCGGAAGTTGGGTATCAAATTTCCAGTTTAACTCAGTCCCAAAATTTATATCTCTTTGCTTTCAATTTGCTTTTCTTCGCTTTTGTTTTATTTTTATTTTGTTTTTATTTTTACATGTTTGTCTCTCCGACAGCAAGGGCCCGGATCAAAAATATCTATCATCCCTTCTTGGATTGTCCTAGGATGTCTCAGTTACCTGCTGCGGTCGTGAAATTAAACATCGACGAAATGCAAAATTTATTGCAGCAGGATGGAGTGGACGTGAATGCAAGAGACAGACATGGTAATACAGCATTACACCTAACAAATGATATATCGATAGTTTCGCTGTTTATAAACGCGGGTGCCGACCCAAACTTGCAGAACGAAGATGGAGACACCCCTCTCCACATGTCGTTTGTTCTAGATCAGGTTATGTTCAAAGAGTTTTTATCAGATCATCGCAAATTTTTAGAATTGGTCACCGTGTTGTTAGAGGCTGGGGCATCCCCAAACTTACAAAACAAACATGGTTATAAAATTCTTCATTCTTTGTTTGTCTACGGCGGTATTGCTGGGCTCGACTTTGAGGCCTTGTTGATTCATGAGTTTATTGAGCTTCTTCTCCGATTCAATGTGGATGTGAATATGCCAGATTTTGAACAATGCACTCCGTTGCATCACGCTGTCAAAGAACCACATGTGCTTAATGCTGAGCTGCTTTTGAGATCAGGGGCTCAAATCGAAGGTCGAGATTTTCGCGGAATGACATCGTTACAACACTTGTTTCACTCCGATAATGAAGAAATGATCCAGCTTTTATTGCAAAGCCAAGCTGAAGTAAACGCACAAGATTTAGATGGACGTACAACTCTATCTACAGCAACAGAAGTTGGAAACCATGTTATGGTCCGATTGCTTTTAGAGGATCCTCGCATCTCCATCGACCTTGCGGACAAAAACGGCACAACCCCTCTCCACCTTGCAGCTGTCTTTAAACGCGTCGACATCATCGAAATACTCATCCAAGCCTCCGCGGACGTGGATGCACTTGATTATCTAAACAGCACCCCTCTTCATTACGCTGCCTATGGAGGAACACCAGAAATTGTTACTCAGTTATTAGAGGCAGGTGCGAACGACAAGCTTGCAGACAATGCTGGCTGGCTTCCAGTACAGTATGCGTTGTCCAGGCACTATTACCACACTGCTTTGAGATTTGGCCGGGAATTTCTTGTTGATGTTGCGAACAATGCAAAGCGCGATGTGACAGTTTCAGGTGCTTCAGATGATGATATCATCGCTCAAAGCCTTCCAGCTGACGATATATTTACCATGGTTGTCGCTGCGTCAAACATATACTCAAAAGAATTTGACTCGTCCGTGGTACCTCGAGATTTGGTAGAGTTTATGAGGGAGAAATCTGCTGGGGATATTCCTGGCTATCTACGCGATATGCTCATGGTGGCAGGAGTTGGACTGGTACCCATAGATTTGGCAGAAGTTGACAGAATGAGGCAAAGTGTCGCAGATTTCATGACTAAGTGGGCAGAAGAAATAGCCAAAATTGACATGAGGTTCAAAGGCAATTTGATGCCGTCTGGAAGTGTTTACGAGGGAACGAAAGTAGGAGATCCCAACGAATTTGACTACATGTTACTTCTCGAAGATCTTGGCCGAATGTGCTCAGTCACGTTTGATGAAGACACTTTGTACAATAAGGTAGTGATTCACAAGAAATTGAACGAATCGGGAGTGTATGAGGACTTTTTTGATGGAGATCAGTTGGACAGTAGTAGGGTTATGACCAAATTTGTGGATAAGGCCAAACAGGCATTAACACGCCTTGCGGACCACACCCCAGCACCATGGGAGATGTACATCGAGGGCCTCACCGAACACAGCTTAGTTGAGGATACATGGACACTCTCAGGAACTGTCACATGTAATCTGAAGTTAAAGTGGGCTGGCTTGCATTACAAGCATTTGGTTATTACAGTAGACCTGGTTCCTGCCATTCCAGTGCCTCATTGGCCTCTCATAGCACGAAAAACGAGCAGATTATTGACAGACGATATCAAATCTCGTGGCTGTCATTTAGTTCCAAAGAGCGGCTATTGGAGGCTCTCGTTTTCCTTGCCTGAGAGACTGATAATGGCCAGCCTATCACAAGAACAAAAGCGTGCATTTGTTGGCGCCAAAATGGTTTTACATCCAGCTGTGTCTTGCAAGATACTTGTATATGATGATAATGATCGCGTCTCCTTTGACGAAAACAAAGAAAGATATGAGTTTTCAGAGCAAGAAGAAGACGACCTCGCCGGTGATGCACATCTCGCCAGTGATGCTCACGGAAAAGAAAGAGATTTTGACCAACATGAGAGCACGAAAAGCGACTTGGATGCTGAAGATGCTTCGTGCTTAAAAATTACGACTAATGAATCTGTTAGCATAACTACAAGCGGGATTTCGAGTGAGGAACGCGAATTCCCTTCTATGCCAGTGCCGTGTACCATAGTAGGCAGGCTTGCTTTGTCTAAACAAGGAAACATAACTACAGTCTTAAAATTGACAGATGCTCAAGATTTCGAATCATCAGATCGAGTAACGTTAAAAATTGCTGACCATATACCGATCCACTCAGTTGCAGAACACCTACATAAACTTGATGAGAAAGGAGAAATTGAAGGACAGTCATCCCAAACTGGAGAAAGTTATGAGCAAGTCAAGACCCTTCTTCCTTTCAACATTTTGTCGACCTACCTGATCAAGAACTTGTTTTTCAATTGCATTGAAGAAAACGCAAAAGAAACAGGTGGAAAAACAGTCACAACAGGCCAGATTTTTAGCAAACTGACGGAGTTCTTGAGGGAATCTCGCCCAATTCCATATTATTTTATCCCAAATCAATATTTCTCGGGAATCGATAAAGATTCTTTATTAGAAGATGATGGACGTGAAATTGTGTTAGTAGCTACCGTGATCAACTCAATACTTAATGAAGGTTGATTTTAACCCTCTAACCCTAAGAGTGACCAGCATCTAGACTCTCCTTACAACATCACCCCTGAATAAAAAATTAAGGTTAGGAGAATGAAGGAAATGATCACCAACAAAAGAAGCTCTTGATTGTTCAACATCAAATTCTACTTGTTAGCACCTCAGGAAATGTATAGAGAACAGTATGGAGGATATGCGAACTGATATTAGGGTGTAAAGGGTTAAGAGAAATAGGATTAAAGTGGTCCCAAGTTACTTTCGACACAGAATTTTGAATTGTTCCGAATGACCACCCTTAGGTATCTGACAGAGTTTATTAGGCTTGCAGATCCTGAAACCCCACAATCTTCGCGTAGCACACATCCTGTTCACTAAGTCACGACAATTTCTGGCTCATGTTTAACATTAGGAAGAAAACAAATCGTGGCGGTGTTTCAACAATTCGCGCGGGCGATCGAACCGAACGATGCAATATAATAATTGAGCATTTGGTCTTTCATCAGTCAAAAATGAACTGACTGCTGCCGAAGCATGCGCATGATATTCTTAGCTCTTTGGCAAATGGAGGACTGTTTGAACGATCTAACCGAACGATTTATTAATACAACAATCTAACTTATATTCTTTCAACGACCAAACACGAACGAACCTCATTTGAGGTGTCCTCGTTGTTTTCTCTAACATGTTGCATAAGCCGGTACTTAGGAAGATTTCTGTAAGGCACCAACTATCCTCAGATTAGGCATTCGATAAAAGGTAAATTATTATTTTTGCCCTTGAGTTCTTTTTTAAAATAAATGTTTGGATAATTAAGGATAGGGTTATACGGAAATTTGCAATATTCTCTCTCCCACCCCCCCCCCTTTATTTTTTTACAGTCACTCACCCACTTGGTACCAAATCTCTTTCTCTCCCCAGCTCACCGCTGGCATTAAAATATTAGGAACCTTAAGCAAACCACGACGGCGACTTTGTACATTTCTTAGCTGTCCTATGCAAAACAACAACGTGAAATCACCACAATTTGCGTCGTCTGCGAACCGAAACCGCGACGGCAAATTATAATTTCCTCTTGGAACTCAGTGCTTCTCTTCTACGTTATGCTGAAGTTGAGGTATGGCGCCGTATGAGATGGCAAACACCTGCAGCCATTTTTTAAATTCTAATTAGAGGCAGAAATTCATTTTTTAATCGAAGTCTTCCTCGGCGTTGCTGTCCTGACTGCTTCAGGTCCCTATCAAAATCACTCATTCGCCAATCACACTTGCTATGCTGGCTCAATCACCCGCTGTGTTTCTATTTAGTATAGCGTTACATAAACTCTTGTAAAGAACATTTCCGGTCAGATTCAGACCTTGAGAAATACCTTGGTAGTCACAATACGTCCCATAGCTTACTTGTGAAATACCTTTTTATTTATTTTTTGATAAAAGAATGTTGGTAGACGATGGTATTAATCCAAACATCCACGTCACAAAAAAATATTTTGCTTATTTTACGATATTGCACCGACCAAACTGTTGTCGAAAATTGACGTCTAAGCCGGAAAAAAACGATTCTATTCGTGACGTCAGTTGTCTTAACAGATATACAGAATCTTCGCACTTCCCAGGGTGGCATGAGGTTGCGCAAAATGACAAACGGTAGTATTGTCTGATCAAGGTAATTTTCCGTAATGCCAGAGTATATAAAGACACAAACTGTCAGTTTTCAATCCATTAGTAGCAGCATCCAGAAATATTCAGAGAAAGAACCAAAGCTTTGGAAGCATGAAATTTGTGTTCTTCACGTTATCAGCCTTACTTGTCGTACAATATGCATATTGTTTACCCAATGAAATTGATAAGAAGTGTGTGTTAGACTCCACAGGTGCACAAGGCACTTCAGCTAGTGTCCTCAGTACCAACGTTCTTCACAGCACTTTACATGGAGTCATTGGAACCAACACTTCAAACAGCCCCTCAGCAACACTCTTTAGAATTATCTCTAGCCAATCTTGGCACCGCACCACACCTGGAGTCATTCAAACGCGCGCTGTACGAAGCACTTCAGCTGGTACCTTTGCAACGAGCACTCCCAGTCAACTAGCTGCATAGGACATCAAACACGTATACCGGAACGGTTACGGAGAAGAGATAATTGAGAAAAAGATTGCGAGTCATATTGAGGAGAGACGAAGCAAAAATGGGTGTACCTGCGGGCCTATTCTAACAACTACTCTGATCCAAGAGCTTTGTACGTTCATTTCGACGGTATATGCATTTTAGCGACCATAGCTGGTCACTTTGTTTGGTACAATTCCATATTGGTAGAAACCAGCCATGAATGGTCGAGCGTGAGGCGGTCTTTGAGGAAAGGCAATTTCAGTTACGAGGACTTCTCGACTTACTCAAGCTACCGCGAAGGCTCGCGGTTTCGGGTTTACACGGACTGGGTTGAAATCAGGGTGTTTACAAACGATGTTCCATTAGGTCGCTCCAAGGACCTTGGACCTTGGACCTTGGACCTTGGACCTTGGACCTTGGACCTTGGACCTTGGACCTTGGACCTTGGACCTTGGACCTTGGACCTTGGACCTTGGACCTTGGACCTTGGACCTTGGACCTTGGACCTTGGACCTTGGACCTTGGACCTTGGACCTTACCACTTTTTACGTGACGCGTGATTGGTTAAAAAAAATTACCCGTGATGCGTGATTCGATGGAAAAATTCTGCGTGATATGTCATTGGAACCCCTCCTTTGCCACCCTCCTCTAAGTGCCAGAATGTTTAAATTCAATATATGTACCTTTGCAGCACACTTTTTGCCCCGATTTTCTACATTGTTGTGCAAGTGACGTTTATATTGAAGTGATTTTCAAGGTTTCGTTACAGTTGCCAAGAACTTTTCCGATCCCTAAACTTATAAATCGCTAGGAGGAGTAGCGTAATACTTTGATTAAGGCACTGATTTGTAATTTTTTATCCGCAAGGAAAGTTTTATTGAAATCCGTCAATCGGTCGAATTGCCATGTTTTATTCAAACAACAGTACATTTTTCCTCGCCAGAAGTTTAATTACCGCCAGTCGATGTTATTGTTATTAATAGACTCATATCTTGTTGCGTCATTATACACCACCATATGCATGTCATGTCTCTTGCTGTGCAGGTAAGGTTTATGTTGAAGTGGTTTCCAAGGTTTTGTTACAGTTTCCAAGGGCTTTTCCAGTCCTTAAACTTATAAATCGCTTGGAGGAGTAGCGTAATACTTTGATTAAGGCATTGATCTGTAATTTTTTTTCCGCAAGAAAAGTTTTATTGAACTTAATCGGTCGAATTGCCATGTTTTATTCGGCAAACAACGGTTCATTCTTCCTCGCCGGAAGTTTAATTACCGCCAGTCGATGTTATTGTTATTAAAAAACTTATATCTTGTTGCTTCATTATACACCACCATGTGCATGTCATGTCTCCTATTGAACAAGTGACGTTTATATTGAAGTGGTTTTCAAGGTTTTGTTACAGTTGCCAAGAGCTTTTCCGGTCCCTAAACTTACAAATCGCTAGGAGGAGTAGCGTAATGCTTTGATTAAGGTATTGATTTGTAATTATTTATCCGCAAGAAAAGTATTATTGAGATCAATCGGTCGAATTGCCATGTTTTATTCAAACAACAGTATATTTTTCCTCGCTGGAAGTTTAACTACCGCTAGTCGATGTAATTTTCATTAATACACTTGTATCTTGTTGCTTCATTATATACCACCATATGCATGTCATGTCTCTTCTATTAAATCTCGTTTTAGCTTTAAAGTAGTCCCATTGAAGGCTCCATGGGGCTCTACTGTTGAAATATTCTGTAATAAATTGCAGATGTGCCAAATTCAGAGTTCAAGATTTCCGTAAGGATCTTCGTTTTCGTAGTGTCTCGTGAACATAATCTTTGTCCACAAAGGTAATACCAACCTCTTTTGAGCTTGTTTTAGTAATGTGTTTTCGTTTTCGCGATGGGTCTTCGTTTCCTTAGGGGGTCTTCGTTTTCGTTATGGGTTTTCGTTTTCGTAGGGGGTCTTCGTTTTCGTAATAGGCCTTCGTTTTCGTAGGGAGTCTTAGGTCTTCGTTTTCGGGGTCTTCGTTTTCGTAACTACTAGTAATTTCGTGTGTTGTGCACAAAGATCACTTTGACCTCTAAGGTTCATCGTGGTTTTGTTCCTTTGCTTGTTGCAAATCGCTGGCTAAGATAAGCAGAGAAACCAACGCTTGCAGAGACTACTTCAACCGATTCACGCCAATCATAGCGTTATTGTTCGATAGAGTGCTAAGCGAAGAGGTGAAAGCACACTCAAAACTGGTCTTCTTCATCAACATCTAACCAGGACTAACCACGCAGTAAGTTTCTGTTTGCGACAAATGCGATCTTCATATCAAGAGTCCCTCGCCGTATTCTGCTTTTCAAAATATCTTTAAGATACCAAAACATCCTCCCATCCATTACCTATACTTCTTGGTGATCTAAATTCAATGATTTAATTATTATGTTTGATAGTATAGTTTATCAGACGATCTTTCAACTTTAGGTAATGAAACTGATGAAATTTGGTCCGTTACATCATTAATTGGACATCGGAAGACATTTATTTTAAGGGCGCTGTACAGAAAGGACTTAATCCCTGGGGAAGAGAAACTCCAATAACTGATCCATGTTATTGAAGCAAAATAGAAGTGCTTTCCCTTCACCACCGCCTAAGCCGGAAGTTGGGTGCCAAATTTCCGGTTTAATTAATTCCCAAAATTTATATCCCCTTGCTTTTAATTTGCTTTTCTTCGCTTTTGTTTTATTTTGTTTTTGTTTTTATCTACACCTTTGTCTTTTAGACAGCAAGGGCCCGAGTCAAAAATATCCATCATCCTCTCTTGGATTGTCCAAGGATGTCTCAATTGCCTGCTGCGGTAGTGAAATTAAACATCGACGAAGTGCAAAATTTATTGCAGCAGGATGGAGTGGACGTGAATGCAAGAGACAGCCATGGTAATACAGCATTACACCTAACAAATAATATATCGATAGTTTCGCTGTTTATAAACGCGGGTGCCGACCTAAACTTGCAGAACGAAGATGGAGACACCCCTCTCCACAGGTCATTTGTTCTAGATCAGGTTATGTTCAAAGAGTTCTTATCAGATCATCGCAAATTTTTAGAATTGGTCACCGTGTTGTTAGAGGCTGGGGCATCCCCAAACATACAGAACAAACATGGTTATAACATTCTTCATTCTTTGTTTGTCTACGGCGGTATTGCTGGGCTCTGCTTCGAGGCCTCGTTGATTTACGAGTTCATCGCCCTTCTTCTCAAATTCAATGTGGATGTGAATATGCCAGATTATGAACGTTGCACTCCATTGCATCACGCCGTAGAAGAACGAAAGGTGCTCAATGCTGAGCTGCTTATGAGATCAGGGGCTCAAATTGATGCTCGAGATTTCCGCGGAATGACATCGTTACAGCATTTGTTTCAATCCGATGACGAAGAAATGATCCAGCTTTTATTGCAAAGCCAAGCTGAAGTGAATGCACAAGATGTTTATGGACGTACAACTCTATCTATAGCAACAGAAGCTGGAAACCATGTTATGGTCCGATTGCTTTTAGAGGATCCTCGCATCTCCATCGACCTTGCTGACAAGAACGGTATTACTCCTCTCCACCTTACAGCTGCCTTTAAACGCGTCGACATCATCGAAATGCTCATCCAAGCCTCCGCCGACGTGGATGCGCAAGATTATCTAAACAGCACCCCTCTTCATTACGCTGCCTATGGAAGAACACCAGAAATTGTTACTCAGTTATTAGAGGCAGGTGCGAACGACAAGCTTGCAGACAATGCTGGCTGGCTTCCAGTACAGTATGCGTTGTCCAGGCACTATTACCACACTGCTTTGAGATTTGGCCGGGAATTTCTTGTTGATGTTGCGAACAATGCAAAGCGCGGTGTGACAGTTTCAGGTGCTTCAGTTGATAATGTCAACGCTCAAAGCCTTCCAGCTGACGATATATTAAACATAGTTGTCGCTGCGTCAAACATATACTCAAAAGAATTTGACTCGTCCGTGGTACCTCGAGATTTGTTGGATTTTATGAGGGAGAAATCTGCTGGGGATATTCCTGACTATCTGCGCGATATGCACATGGTGGAAGGAGTTGGTCTGGTACCCACGGATTCGGTAGAAGTTGATAGAATTAGGCAGAGTGTAGAAGATTTCATGACTAAGTGGGCAGAGGAAATAGCCAAAATTGACAAGAGGTTCAAAGGCAATTTGATACCTTCTGGGAGTGTCTATGATGGAACGAGAGTTGGAGATCCCGACGAATTTAACTACATGTTACTTCTCGAAGATCTTGGCCGAATGTGCTCGGTCACGTTCGATGAAGACACTTTGTACAATGAGGTGGTAATTTACAAGAAATTTAATGAATCGGGAGTGTATGAGGACTTTTTTGATGGAGATCAGTTAGACAGTAATAGTGTTATGACCAAGTTTGTGAATGAAGCCAGACAGGCATTAGCGCGCCTTGCGGACCACACTCCGGCACCACTGGAGATCTACATCAAGGGCCTCACAAAAGACACCTTAGTTGAGAATACATGGACACTCATAGGAACTGTCACATGTAATCTGGAGTTAAAGTGGGCTGGTTTGCATTACAAGCATTTGATTATTACCGTAGACCTGGTTCCTGCCATTCCAGTGCCTCATTGGCCTCTCATAGCACGAAAAACGAGCAGATTATTGACAGACGATATCAAATCTCGCGGCTGTCATTTAGTTCCAAAGGACAGCTATTGGAGGTTGTCGTTTTCTTTGCCTGAGAGTCTGATAATGGCCGGCCTATCACAGGAACAGAAGTGTGCATTTATTGGCGCCAAAATTGTTCTACACCCAGCTGTGTCTTGCAAGATACTTGTATATGATGATGTTGATCGCGTGTCCGTTGACGAAAACAAAGAAGGATATGAGTTTTCAGAGCAAGAAGAAGAAGACCTCGCCGGTGATGCACATCTCGCCAGTGATGCTCATGACAAAGAAAGAGATTTTGAGCATGTCAAGACCCTTCAACCTTTCGACATTTTGTCGACCTACTTGATCAAGAACTTGTTTTTTAATTGCATTGAAGAAAACGCGAAAGAAACAAGTGGAAAGACAATCACAACAAGCCAGATTTTTAGCAAACTGATGGAGTTCTTGAGGGAATCTCGCCCAATTCCATATTATTTTATCCCAAATCAATATTTCTCGGGAATCGATGAAGGTTCTTTATTAGAAGATAATGGACGTGACATTGTGTTAGTAGCTACCGTGATCAACTCAATACTAAATGAAGGTTGATTTTAACCCTCTTACCCTAAGAGTGACTAGCATCTAGATTCTCCTTACAATATCAACCCTGAATAAAACAGTAAGGTCAGGAGAATGAAGGAAATGATCACCAACTAAAGAAGCTCATGATTGTTAAACAAATTCTCCTTGTCAGCACCTCAGGAAATGTATAGAGAACAGTATGGAGAATATGCATACTGATGTTACGGTGTAAAGGGTTAAGAGAAATAGGATTAAAGCGGTATCGGGTTACTTTCGACACAGAATTTTAAATTGTTCCGAATGACCACCCTCAGGTATCTGACAGAGTTTATTAGGCTCACCTGCGCGCAACCCCACTACATGTACAAAATTATCACCTTCCTTGCAACTACAGTAGCCAGCCATATCATACCCAAGGGGTATGTCTGAAATTATCTCGCAGATCCTGAAACCCCACAATCTCCGTTTGGCATACATCCCGTCCATTAAATTACGACAATTTCTGGCTCATGTTTAAGACAAGGAAGAAAACAAACCGTAACGATGTTTCAACAACTCAAGCGCGGGCGGTTGAACCAAACGACGCAATACAATAATTTAGCATTTAGTCTTTCAACGTTCAAAAACGAACTGACTGCTGCCGAAGCGTGCTCGTGATTTTCTTAGCTCTTTGCCAAATCGAGGACTGTTTAACGATCTAACCAAACGGTTTACTGGTACAAAAATTTAGCATATTCTTTCAACGACCAAACACGAACGAACCTCGTGGTTTTCTCAACCATGTTGCATAAACTGGTGCTTAGGAGAGGGTCCCAATGGGGTTAACCGTTAGCCGTAAAACGGCCAAAATATTCAGCCGTTAGACGTAAAAATTGACAAATTTTAACCGTTAGTCGTAAAAAAATTAACCGTAAAAAATATCGCTGGAGGAAACAATGGAGAGGTGTTAACCGTTAGCCGGAAATTGGCCAAAATTTTAACCGATAGCCGTAAAAGCCATCACCCCATTGAAACCCTCTTAGGAAGATTTCTGTATGGCACTAAGCTATTCTCCGATTAGGCATTCGATGAAAAGGTAAATTATTGTTTTTGCCCTTGATTTCTAAATCAAGATTAATAATAATAGTAATTAATAATAATTAAGGATAAGGTTGTACGGAATTTGTAATATTCTCTCTCCCACCCCCCCCTTATTTTTTACAGTCACTCACCCACTCGGTACCAAATCTCTTTCTCTCCCGAGCTTACCGCTGCCATTAAAATATCAAAATCACTCGCTCGCAAATCACACTTGCTTTGCTGACTAAATCACTCGCTGTGTTTCCATCAAGTAAACGCTAGCAGTTACATCAGATTATTCCCAAGGGTCTTCTTGTGAAATCTAACCACATTTGTTATAAGTGTAACTTTTTATCATGCAGTGTTTTATCAATTATTAATCACAGAATATTTACATCGCGCAGTTAACAAATTCATTTCGAGAACAGCGAAATTCGTAGTTTCGTTTGTCTATACATACGAGCATTTCTTGAAGCCGCTAAGTTTGTCGGATGGTATACATCATTACCGACCATAATAAAGCCAGTAACACATCGACTTAACGGCAACCTTTGCTTCAGTAAATTGGGTAATTCTAGGATAGCCATTAACGCAGTGACTTGACAGCTTGCGAGATTTGTGATTATCATACTTCCTAATTCATTTCCCCCCAAGAAAAGGGAAAAGGAGGAAAAGATCCGACTGCCAAAATCACGTATAAAGAAGATTGGCACAAGTCTGATCCCTAGACTAGGGAAGTCTAGAATTAATAAAGGGAGTAAGTTTCTAAACAAACTGTGGTGCTGCGTGGGTGGGAGTGTATAACAGGGTAATTTAGTATTACCAACTGAGTTGATAACGTAAATTGGCCACCGAACAGAGTGTAAAAGCTGACGTTTCGAGCATTAGCCCTTCTTCAGAGCGATAGACGATAGATTCTTTGCTCTGACAAAGGGCGAACGTTTCCGCGATCGATGAGTTCGCGTTCCACGAAATAGCGGGAAAAATGAAGAAATCGAGAGATGTTTCAGAGCGTTTCATAACATCTCATAGCGTTACATAAACTCTTGCAAAGAACATTTCCGGTCAGATTCAGACCTTGGCAAATACCTTGGTAGTCACAATACGTACCATAGCGCACTTGTGAAATACCTTTTTATTTATTTTTTGATAAAAGAATGTTGGTAGACGGTGGTATTAATCCAAACATCCACGTCACAAAAAAACATTTTGCTTATTTTACGAGATCGCACCGACCAAACTGTTGTCGAAAATTGACGTCCAAGCCGGAAAAAAAACGATTCTATTCGTGACGTCAGCTGTCTTGACAGATGTACGGAATTTTCGCACTTCCCAGGGTGGCATGGGGTTGCGCAAAATGACAAACGGTAGTATTGTCTCATCAAGGTAATTTTCCGTAACGCCAGAGTATATAAAGACACAAACTGTCAGTTTTCAATCCATTAGTCGCAGTATCCAAAAATATTCAGAGAAAGAACCAAAGCTTTTTAAAACTTGAAAGCATGAAATTTGTGTTCTTCACGTTATCAGCCTTACTGGTTGTACAATATGCATATTGCTTACCTAATGAAATGGATAAGAAGTGTGCGTTAGACTCCACAGGTGTGCAAGGCACTTCAGCTAGTGTCCCCAGTACCAACGTTCTTCACAGCACTTTACATGGAGTCGTTGGAACGAGCACTCCAAACAGCCCCGCAGCAACACTCTTTAGAACTATCTCTAGCCGATCTTGGCGCCGCACCACACATGGAGTCATTCAAACGGGTACTGTACATAGCACTTCAGCTGGTACCTTTGCAACGAGCGCTCCCGGTCAACTAGCTGCATTGGACATCAAACACGTATACCGGAACGGTTACGGAGAAAAGAGACAATTGAGAAAAGATTGCGAGTCATATTGAGGAGAGACGAAGCAAAATGGGTGTATCTGCGGGCCTATTCTAACAGCTACTCTGATCCAAGAGCTTTGTACGTTCATTTCGACGGTATACGCGTTTTAGCGACCATAGCTAGTCACTCTGTCTGGTACAATTCCATATTGGTAGAAACCAGCCATGAATGGTCGTGCGTGAAGCGGTCTTTGAAGAAAGGCCATTTCAGTTACGAGGACTTCTCGACTTACTCAAGCTACCGCGAAAGCTCGGGGTTTCGGGTTTACACGGACTGGGTAGAAATCAGGGTGTTGACAGACGATGTTCCATTAGGTCCCTCCAAGGACCTTGAATGCTTTGGCAAACAGTTTCCCTCGTTGAAGAGAACTTCCAAAACCGGCGGAGTTCGCGTTAACCTCACAAAAATGTATTTCAAACAAGTTGGTGTATCGAAATGGTGTTGTAGAGATGTGGAAGAAGAAAGTACTGTTATAGACCTTAAAGAGGGCCTACCAAAAACCGTCTCGCTCAAATATGTGTCTGTAACTGATAGCATTGTAACCAATGGGCGAGACGAGATGAAAAGCGTATTTAGAGATGAAAATCCGCGAAATTTAACGTTGCTGTTTCATGGTGGCATCTTGTATGCTGGTATGGCTAAGTTGGAAGAATCGGCCTACCATACTGGTAAATATTGGTTGTATGACTCCTCCTGGAAATGCGTTAATATCACCGTAGCAACGAAGATCACGGGTCCATATACGCGAAGAAGATTGGACTTTTTCAGTTACTACAGCAACGCTGGTCCTGTTACAACTATACAGAAGCGAACAGACTATGTGTTTCTAGAGGTTATGGGCATGAAGTCGCGAGCTGGACTCGTGACATCTTCCATAGCGGTTCTCATTGCAGCTTTAGCCGCAGCCTTTGTTCTGAGCGATAAGTTTGCTGAAGTAGTCCTCCATTGAGAATCGAAAATTCTTTTCCACTAATTTATTCTGATTCACACTGGTAACTAACCAGAGAAAGAGTGTTTGTTCCTAATTCACAACCTCGTCCTCATGATGAGTGGCCTGGGAACGAGGTTGCGAAGTTCAGTTATTTCAGTTTTATGGACTGACATTTTTGGTTTTCTGCAACAAGTTGACACTGATTGCGAACTTTAAAAAAAACTGGATTAACTCTTATATTTTCAGAAGTTACTAGTCTGCGGAAATATTTACTTCAAAACAGACAGGTGATTTTGATGTAACAGTGGTCAAAGCAGTTCCTATTTTCAAGTGAATAATGAGTTACTGTTACTCGGTCAGGTTGTCGATGTCCACTGTATTTAAGTTGTTGATATTGACATAATTTTCGCAATTTTTGTAAACGCTTTCACTTTTCTTTTCATTTTTTTCTTTCGTTTTCCTTTTCTGAAGCTTGTATTTGGATAGCGCTCTTTTAAAGGAAGTAAATATTAATTAGTCATTTATGTTGCTTTTGTTTTCATTCCTGTACACACTACTGATTTATGTCGCAGCACTCTTAAATTGTAATAAACAACTTTTATTTAATCGAAAATTCTCTTTTAATTCAAATTCACTTTGGCAAATAGAGATGAGCTGGCAGGGGGGGACTTCCTGGACCAAAGAAACTGACAGTCAAACACAAACTGAAAAAGGCGCACATGAGACGGCAAAATGGAACATGGCTAGGACGACGGGGAAATTACAGGAAACGCTCTTATGCTTTTGGATTAAATTCGTACGCAGATCTTACCGTAACTGAACTACTTGTGAAAGGTCTGGGTACTGGACCTTTCTACTCGTGAAAGGTCTGGGTACTGGACCACTTTTACACTAGCTGCACGTCATAACTCCTCTAAAGTGGATTTGAAAAAATGATTGTCAGTATGTAATGTTGTGAAGGCGCGTTAATTGGATTGGCTCACCATAGTCTCAACCTATTAGCTGCACTGCTCTAGGCGGATCGAATAATGGCTGAAATCATTCTGAGGCGTCTCTCGCGAATGATCAAGAACAGTATTACGCAACGACCATATTATCTTGCCCCAAAATTCATCTCTACAAAATAATTTCATGAATATTATCCTCTTTCTGTTCGAGCTCTGTGAGCAAAGACTACCTTAAACTTATAGCATAGTCCAATATTACGCACACGCAGTTAATTGCCAGTTGGCACCTCAGATCTTATAGCCTACGTGTAGCCGTACCCTCCCCCGTCAAGGTGAAACGGAAGCGAGCGCCTCTGCTTCACCGACGTACAACCTGGAGACATTACAGTGAAAATTACGTAGAGTAGTTACTCACCACGATGGAGCTTTGCGGCCCGGCCTAATTCAAGATGGCGAAGACCTTTGAATGGCCGTGGCAGTATAATTTTCCTCCTTTTTTCACGTAAGTAGAGATAATAGCCGCGTCAGATACCTCACCTATGTTAGAGTATTAACACAGAAATCTCTCGACAGGCTTCAAACGAATTTGGATACTCGCAGAAAACAAATCGAAGGATGGTGTGATCTTGTGTTGGCCTTCTACAAATATCATAAACGCTACGTTCTCGATGTCACAGAAGCACAGACAAGCGAATTATTCTCCAATAAGAAGATTGATCATATCCTTGTTATATAAGCTTTGTTGAAATGCATCAATATTGACCCTCTACCTGGTGGATTTAAAACCCTTTAACTCCCATGAGTGACCAATGCAGAATTTCTCCTTACAATATTTTATACAATATCAAGCAGACAAGTTATGAGAATATAGTAAAATAGAAATTAGGGGATAATCAGTAAATCAAATACCAATATCTCCAAACTAACATTTTAAGAATTGTAAAGCAGACTGTGAAGCAAATTACTAATGAGATCTTGGGAATGAAAAGGTTAAATTTTCAAAAGTGATGAAAATGTAGCATAATCCTCCTTGCAGTATCGAGAGGTAAAATTTGCCTTCTAAACTGCAAACAGGTGGTAAGAGTAGAAAAAAATTAACTTCTAGTGGGTATCCTATTGATATAGCACCAATTAAGAAAAAATAAGTTACAAAAATGTATGGGCAACTACAGAATATTAATCCCCATCAACAGATTCCCCCCTCCCCTCCCCTCACCCTTATGGGGTATTGAAGAAGGGGCTAGCTCAGTGGGTCAGTAGGGAGTCAGTTCAAATGTATAGTGTTCCAAAGGGAGAATTATGCATAAGATCTTGTGATTAAAAAGGACAATGGGAACCATAGTTGGCCATAACAAAACCTTGCCGCATCATCTTCTTTAACTGTTGTTCAGGTAAACTATCTCTAGAAACCATAAATCTTATCTTGGAAGAACTTCAATCAAAAGGTAGAACCCAGTCCCCCTCCTCTTCTCTAGCATTTTATCAGGTCAATGCAAGCTATAATCCCAAGTGGAAAAAAAAAAGTTTTTATTACCCTAGCAAACAATAAACACCTTTTTGGTTTCGGTAACAAATGTGACTTCCAAGAGCATGGCCCCAGAACTCCAATCGAGGCCTCTGGTTCTAGAGTCCCAGCAGTAACCCTTACTGGAAGCATCTCCTCTTACTCTGGACAATATATTGACACATTATTTTTCCTTTTGAGTCAGGCAACATTGAATGGGAAGACAAGAAAAAGCAGAGATGCTTTGTCATGTGGCGCACTCCAGATGAATGGGCTGCCTTGATCTTCAAATGGGTAATGAATGAGACCTTTCGACCTTCTGTTGTCTCACAAAGTATAAATCCTTAAGTACTTTCCACAATTTTTCCAGAAGTCCTCAAAAAACTGGTAAATAACAGGTTTTTATGTTGTCTAGGTGCAAGAAAATGGAATGACGGACACTGTATGTACATTATTTGAGTTGAGAGCTGGAGATGACACTGTAAATGAAGGTGTGGTGACTTTTTACTTGTTGATGGCTGTTTTCTTAACAAATGTTGGATTAGGAGTTTGAGGCATTATAGAGGATCTAACATCAACTACATTTTGAATTATTTCTTTTTGTTTCCACAAGAGTTCTATGGCATTGACATGTGGATGCTGAAAAAAGCCCTGGGTCAACTGGAACTCAAAGGAAAAGCTCAAATGTTTGAAGCTCCAGATGCTACAGATGATAGTGGACAAGGAGTAAAGTTCTTTTCATAGCTAAAGAGGCATACGAAAACAGTTAATATCTGCAATGATTTCACAATCTTTAATCTCAGTTTTACCATCAGATGGTAAAAGTAGGAGGACAAGGAAAGTTAATTTTAGTTTCTGAAGGAACTGATAGTTGATGGAAATCAGTGTTGAGAAGGAAAACTAGGTTAAAGTGTTTTGAAAATACATTATTCTGCATCGGCAAAAAATATAAACCCTTTGTTGATACTAAAGTGCAAGTTGGAAGGGGTCAGTAAACCAACGGCTAGAAGCAAATTCAGAAAATCTGATATTTGAACTGCAAACCTTCTACAGTAACATTGATAACCACACACACACACAAAAAAAAAACTTTTCCTGCTTGTCCCAATGAAAAGCTAATGATGACTGCTTTCATTGGATTTAAAGACTTCCTTGTAGGACATGACTTAAGGATCAAATTTATCTAAACAAAGCTTCAAATTTTTTTTTTCGATGATCACAGATTGTAGTAAACTGATAATAGGAACTGATCACGGTATCTGGCAGATTACATGGCTACACTGACAAAATGCTGGAGGGTTGTCAAAGTTGTAAAAATTATTGGCGATAATCTCGATGTAAAGACTGATATGCAAATATGGGCATGCGTAACATGCAAGAGTTACATTTTTGGCTGGGTGGGTTGAGATGGGGCAGTTTGTGTACTTAATCATTTCATTTTTGTCACTGAAAAGAGCATAACTTTCAAAAAACGAAAATATCAGAAAGACAGAAAAAACCAAATTTATCTGAACTCACAGATATTATGTGATCTACTGTCTCTACTGTCAAAATACTTCTGAGTGAAAATGAAATGCATCGGTACCACGCTTTCCGCTGTCTCCTTTGTAGACGTTGTTTGGTCTCGTCACACAACGCCCTTTATTTCCCGTTTGAGAGAGAGCGCGTTGCGTGACGAGACCAAATAGCGGTTACGAAAGAGACTACGCTTACTGCAGTTCCTCCAAAAGATAGAAAGTCAAAATTCTTCTTCTACAGTTAGTTTCCTCAAAAATATAATTCCGCGTAATTTTGCTACGAAAAGCGAACCGAAACTTTGTTGTACCTCCAATAGACCCTAACCAAAGATATATATTGCGATATCGGATAAGTGAAGATACACTGAACAACAGATAAGGATCATATTTCAGAGAGGGCTCCCTATTTGGTTGTTGCCCTTCTGGACTTTGCCCTCTGTGTGTGAAATGCGTGATAAAAAGCAGGTTGTTTTACTAGGAATTAACGCGCAATTAGGTTAAGGCCAACGTAGCTTAAAGCGACTTTTAATTCGTAGAAAAGTCAAACGCGGGAGAATTGCTTGGAAAACTCAATATCAGTAGTATTTAGTTTCATGTGAATTTTTTTCAGCGGGGTTGGACAATGCAGTTAGAATACGTAATAAAGTACCGGTTGTTTACAAAAAAATGACACGTGATAGAGCGAAGTCCAATGTGGCAAAATGGAATTTGATTGGTTGAAGACAATTCCAGCACGTGAAAAATTACCTAATGTTCATGTAGTGCAATGGTTAGGTATGTTCTGATCGGACTTTGGACGTTGTTTTCTCGGTACGTGATGGAATGTAAGTTGTTTGGCGCGTGCGTTGCGAGTAAAGGAGCGGAAAAGACACGTTTTAACTTGAAAATTTAAATGCGTACTTTTCATATCCCGATACATCTCGACCTTAATCGATGAGGCTCTCGCGAAGGCCACAAACCATTACACTTATCAAATGAGTCCAAAATCTCTACTTAATTTCATTCTTTGTACATAGCCCCGTGATCCATGACATCACTTACAAGAAAACAGTACCCAAACGCCGTGATTGGTGCAGGATATTTAAATACTATGAAATGATTGGTGCGAGATACATACCCTAATGCGGCAATTGTTGCAAGAATTTTGGGGTCAGGTGACAATTTGTTAAAAAATCCACTGGTAAAGGGAGGGGTGGGGTTTGGACCTCTGGTACCCTTTCTTTTGATTTACAACTGAATTTAGCCTCCAGTCAGTCCGCAAGAGATCCATTTTCTGCTTTCTGTAGGAAATAACAGAAAAGCATCACCGTGTTTTCCTTTTCAAGAGCATCCACAGGTATCAGAGAAAAGGCAGGAACCAAAACTGCAGTCCTCTCTAAACTCCTATGAATTAAGTCCTGTGCATTCCAATGGTCCATAACACCTTTGACATAAAATATTCTCAAGTACATCAGATGAGAAAGGCTGAAGTCGTGTTGTGAGGTGCAGCATTTTAACTCATTAACAAATGTCACCATGACTTCCTCAAGGGTAAAATCAGCTGATGTACTCTCTGAAATGTGCAAAGGAAAATTTGTAACAAAGGTTGTTGACTTGGCATCGGAGACAGGAGAATTCTCCAGCTATTAAGCAGAATTCTCGGTCAGATTTGGGTAACCAGAGTTATGTTATATTTAGACATGGAGCCATCATAAACGTTTTTTCTTGTTACTTTATACAGTAAGTATTCTTCTGCTGTTACATTTCCTGGAATGTCACTTGTTATTAACTGAGAACTCACTCAGATGGAGTAAAAAGATGCTTCATTCTACAACCTGAAGGAATCTTTCACTATTGTGTACCCTCCAGTAACTTGAGAATGGAGCAACTAAAGAATCAACATCCCAAGTCAAACAGAAATACCTTTTTATGACCAGAATTTTTACAATCAGTTGTGTAAATGGGGACAGCCCAGCACAGCAGAATTGCAAACTTACTTACCAACTGCTATGTTAGCGGCAAAGCTGCTGTTGATGTTTCCTTTGACAGCAATGCTTTTTACAACAACACTGAAACTCCCCCTATCAGCTGACGTTGAGTTATCTGATGAGTTATATTGGTGTGAAAATACAATGAATCAGTTATTGATAAATGTTGTGTGCCTGTCTGTCGCCTGAAATGTGTTAAAACATTTTAAAATGCACAGAATGCTGAACTTAATTGAATAAATAAATAAATAAATAAAAAAAGTGTTTAAAAGATCCAATTGGATTCCAATTGAACCCCAACCTACACTGAACCCACATTTCAAGCCTAGTACTCTAACCAAGCAAGCACACTGCTTCAAGTTATTTAATGCTATTCAACTTCCCCTGCATGTCCTTAAATATTAAATCTGGTCTAAGCATGTAACACTGAATTATACCTAATGAATAAGAGTGCATATTAGGTTTGCTCCAAAAACACATTGATTTCCAAACTTACACAAATGCTGGAAATCACTTTCCTGTGCTACAACATGCCATTCAATCAAGGCTCCTTTGGGTAATGCAGGCACAATGATATATGACATTAATCCTGTTGGTGATCCTTTTTCTGTCTTACTGTTCTCACACTGTTAACAAACAATTTATCAATTTTAAAAAAGGTACAGGATCAGTTAAGAGTATGTTCAAACAACCGTGTCATGTTAGGAGAACACTACTCAAACCTCAAACCTCTTAATCTATATTTTGGAGTAACAATAATCATAGTTCCTTTATGCCACAAATATTAGCCTAAGATAAACTGTGTCAATAGATCCATGGCAGCCACCCTTAAATTGTCCCCGAGAGGATTTTCGTATTGTTTTTACCACAACATTAGACGCTGTTACCTGTCTACCTGTTACCTTGTCTTTCAATGCACAGCTCCAAGCCTTCTTTGCAACTGGCACAGAAACAGATGATGTTAGAAAACAAAATCCATGCACAACACTTTGTAGTGATTCTACCACATTCAGTGCTGTTAAGATTTTATCAACATGTTGAAGAGACAGTGGTGCCTCCCTCAAGATACCACCAGACACCATTGTCATTGCTGATGGCCATAAACCAATGGAACCAGAGACAAATATGGTGTCTCTGACCTGCAGAATAGAAAGTGACTGTTAACAAAATTCTCTTTACAGTGTCATTACTCCTGAGTCACACATTAAGGTCATGGAAATAAAGGAAATGATCCCAAATTCATTAAAGAGGCTCTTGATTGTCAAACAAATTCTCCTAACCAAGAACAGCATGGAAAATATGCTTATTAATGTTAAAGTGCAAATGGTTGCAAAATCAAGTCTACAGGAAAAGCTTATTGCTCATCAGGGATACCTGGAAATTACCCCATCCATGGTTCCAACCACAGGAAGGCCACACAAACAGTGTGAATGCTTAAAAATTCAAATTTAGAGAAAACGTATGTGTATATAAAAAATCTTATTCTCATCCTAAATTGCAATAAATAACATCAAGTGCTCAGGGAAAGTTTGGCAATGGACACTGATCTGAATGCAAAGTGCTGTTAATAGTTAAAATCTGTAAGCACAGGAATGTCAATATAAAACAATTCAGGTAAAAGTGTGCTAATTGTTAGCAATGATAGGTAAGAATAATCACTGCAATTTAGTGCCATAGCAGGAAGCTTTTCGATCGTCCCTTATATTTTCCTCTAAATTCAAGTATTCAAGGGGCTACACAGATTATGTTCCTTGTGTGCTTTGACTCAGGCTTTATAATCAGGAGCACTGTTATTGACCCCTCAGCGGGCCACTGCATCTCCCCGGTGACTAATAACGAAAATCTTACCTTATAGCTTTAATATAATTACCTTTGTTGCCTGGCTGTAAGGTCCAATATTTGCTGGCGCCCAGTGAGAAATGCTCTGAACATGCATAGCTTCTCGCAGTGAATTGTTAGCACCTTCAGCAGCAAATACAAGGCAATCAACTTGAATGGCAACATCCTCTGGTAAGTTAAGCTGAATACAAGCCCTTTAAAACAGTAAATGGTCTGGAATTACAATTACTTCAATGCTTGATTTCAGTATTTCCCTTATCAGATTCAGCAATCATCAATTAGTTACTACCTTATGGCAGATTGCATGAACAAAAAATATAAAAAAAAAAAAAAAAAATAAGATCAGTTTTACCTGGGCATGATTTTTCTGCCACATTAACAAATTTAAAAAATTGTTCATTTTACAAAATTACACAGCCATGTAACCCATAATGCAGTTTAATGTTTTGTCAGTCAAGTATCCCATCATATAAAGAAGCACAAATGTGTCAGTCATACACAAGGGGGTTATGGGATAGCATGAGAAAGCCAAAACCAAAGTGATCACAACAGCCAATCAGAGCAAAGGAAAATATCACAAGGAACCAATGAGAACTCAAAGTACAGATTTATGGGAAAAACTTACAATAGCTGACTCCTTAGACTGCTGGGAAATGTGATTGACCCTAGTTCTGATTTGATCAAGTTTTGAATTGTATTGGTTGGAAAATAGAGCTAGTTCCCTGAATTAATCACAGAGCATAGTCAAGCAGAACCAAAAGCCATTCCAAATTGTTGTTGACACTTAAAGAAAGTTCTTCCAGAAACCAGCACTTACATTTGGTCATATTCCTTTACGAGACAATTTGATGGAAATTACCTTGCAGGAGGGTTCACTGATAAAAACCTCTTGTAAACAGAATTGACTTTGGCAAAGTCATCCATGTTCTTCACAAATAGGTGAACCATCATTCCATCAGACAAGGATGCCTTCAAACTTGAAAGTGTATCTACAAAGGAGACAAGTTAGCATTTCAATGGTCATGTGTACTAAGAAAAGCTTGCATGACAAGCCAAAAAAAGGTTGGCTTAGGAAGCTGATAATGAGTCAACTTAAAATACATTTATTATTTTCTGCGTTTAACCAGAGTGACTGCTGGTAAAGACCAATGCATCCCACATCAACACCTCCAGGTATCTTGTTGATGTTAAAAGAAAGTCACACTCTGTAATTTACAGCTCTTGTAACACTACTTCAACAAGTATTCCAAGCTCTCAGCAAACATAGCATTCATATCCCAGCTGTATCAGAGCTGGCTAAGCCACCTTAAGACAAAAATCATATCGAAACAACCTGAGCTGCTTGGGAACACCCAGTTGCCTGGTTAACTGAAAAATCTCACCTTGTAAACTCTGGAACACATTTCTTGTTACATCTTCAATTGCCAACTTTTCCCCTTCAACAGTGCAATGGCCATATATCCCAGAAAGCCAAATATAGTCACCACATCTGCTAAAGAGGATTCTACCTGATGAATAAAATGAGACAAGTGTCTAACCAGGTAACTGTTTCAACCATAACTGTAAATAATAAGGTGCATGGAAGAAAGCTCCACATGCATATAGTGTAGATTGCTACATTCTCCTTCCAAATGCCACTAACATTTATTCAGATCTGCAACCCATGGAGTTGATGATGCATCAAAAGTCACCTTTTGACTTTTTACAGCCCCACATCAGTGGGGATATTCTCAAAACTGTTCTCCATACATTTCTTATGGTACTGTAAATGAGAATTTGTTTAGCAATCAAGAGCTTCTTCAGGTCATTTCTGTAATTCCCATGACCTTTTTGTTTGATTCAAGGGCAATATTGTGAGGAGAAATAAGACAAAAGGCAGTCACTTTTAAAGGTTGAAAGGCTTACGATCTATTCTAGGAAACCCTTCAAATGAACTATCAATACTCGCAATCGTAATGAACTAACACATGACCTTAAATCAAAGTTAAATTCTACCTTGAAGTTCCTTTCTTAACTCTGGTTGACTCGTGAGAATCTTTATATTCAGCCTTCTCTCCACAATTCCCTTTTCTTTTCTATCTGTTGTGTTGTCTGGCTAACAAAAATAATCATTATGATTCAGAGAATTATAAATGACAGCTGCACAATGAAAAATTAAGAAAAAGAGCTCTTACTAAGAAGTTCCTGCTGCTATTGTTAAAATAAGTATATCCTTACAAGCATCATCTAGTGAGCTCATAGTGTGAACTTATTCAGATGATATGATAATTTTGGTTTTATCAACTGAGTTGTTAACTTAATTGGCCACCATAGAGTTTCAAAGCTGAGCTTTTGAGTGTTAGCCCTTTGTCAGAGCAAATGATGTTTGCATCAGATAATGTTTGCAGGCTATCATCTACCTTTGAGTTCATTTAATTTGTAAAATGTGTCATAAGAAGGTTTATCTATGAAATATAATTATTAATAGTATCAGACATTGTACATACAGCTGGATGGTGAATTGTAATAGCCCAGTGTTTTGTCATGTATTGTGGGGCAGGGCAAATATCTTATGGTGAAATTGTCAACAACAAAAAAAATAGAAAAACCTATCAACAGTTATGCAGTTTACTGAAAAAAAATTATATAACATTATGTGAATTTAATTTATGCAATATTATAATTGTGGCGATGACAGGAGCCACCCACTAATAAACCATTTTTGTTTTTTTATTTGCCTCTTCCATAAAATTAATACTAATGATCATTGCTCTGAAAAGGAAGTTGAAAAACATCATTACCAGTACTTCCAACTTGTCACATGATTCCCCACATTTGTGGTTTTCCAGGCACAGCTCTGAATTAACCTGGAAAAGATGGCCAGGATTTAAAAAAATTTGATTAGGGAGGATACTCAGTCACTGTGAAATTAGTGCTGCAACTGACTCCTTGTGATCGGCTTTGACCTCGAGCTCTATGATATATCTTCAATTTCAACATTTTCAAGAAGATATGTAAAAGCAGAGGAATAGAAGTGTAAAGTAAGAAGATAATTTATTTTTATCTCTGATAAACCCTTTACATCCTAACATCAGTATGCATATTCTCCATACTGTTCTCAATACATTTCCTTAGATGCTGACAAGGAGAATTTGTTTCACAGTCATTCACAGGAGCTTCTTTTGTTGGTGATCATTTCCTTGATTCTCATAACTTAGATGTGTGATTTGGGATTTATATTGTAAGAAGAAATTAGATGTTTGTCACTCATAGGTTCACAGGGTTAAAAGATAGGGATCAATATCAGTATCTGGGCAACTGCCCACCTACCCCTCCCCTAACTCAACAACAGTCAATTGATAACAAGTTAGGTTAATGTTGGGTTAGGGGAGGGGTAGGTGGGCAGTTACCTAGATACTGATATTGATCCAAACATAGTTCTAATGCAGCAAGGAGAATTGGAAAATCGAGAATTATCTAAGCTTCAGTAGTTGATGAACATCCTGCTACATGTATATTAATTATTTCATTTACTTTAATTTAAAAACTAAAATTAAAAGCTAATTCACTGAATAACAACTGTCCTATTGAGAAAAAACCATTCAGCTGATAATTCTATACATTCTCAACACTTGTTTGTTGTAAAATGCGTGGGCATTGTTAGGAGAAGTTACATGTTTATCACAATTAGGATTTCACTTTCCTGTACCTTATCAAGTTCTTTATCCTCCACATGCATTTTCTTGAAGCGAAGAAAGCCCACAGGAGCAAAGGCATCATCTGAATGAATGACACTTTCACTTTCATCTCTTGTGATAAAAAGAAAAGACATATGACTCTTTTATAAGCTATTAAGACAGAGTGCATTGCATTTTTCCCCATATTATGTGTAGGTTTTTAAACCAATTATTAATTAAAACATTCACTAACCCTTATTTACAATAGCAACTCTTCAGAAGAATTTAATTAACTACAATTTTTTTTGCACTCTCAGTAAATTTTAAAAAATCAAACCTTGAGAGAAGGGATAGTTTCTATATGGAAAACCACCTTGTGCCTCTAGAGAAGGGGGTTAAGTTTTGTAGTTAACTTGATATTCAATCAAAATATAACTCACATGACAATTTTCTTCTTGAACAAAGGACAATCCAAAGTAAAAGTTTCATATTCTCCTCCTTCCCCACAAACATTTGAGCCATATTTGTCTTTCTAGTGAATCAGATGTAAAAAAAATATGATGTACAAAGGATGTTGCATGGATACAAAATTGTTTTTCAGTATGAAATGGTATCTCTCACAAATGAGCAGTATGCCTGACATCTCATCCTGAGCAGAGTTTCAATACTCCTACAGGTAGTTGTTTTGCACTAATGAAACTGGGATATTATAACCTCTTCAACTCCTAAGCTGGATTACCAGCTGCTGTTCAGGAAAAAGAGCCTGCACTCCTCCCCCAAACTCAGGGAAGACTGGACATGCGAAAGCAACAGAAATTGAGCCTATTCACCTCCCATACATGATCAATGTCTAACTTCTCCATGCAATTCCAATGTTATCTTATAATTGGTTTATGAAAACAGACAAGCTCGTTAGCTGGAGGGTGTTACCCTAATAGACCATAAACTCTATGTTCACAGTTACAAATACAGTTCAGATACAATTTGCATATAGCAAAAGCTAGTCAAGACAAGTTGTACGGAGAGAACAAAAGACTGAAAATTTAAATTCTCTTTGGCAATTTAAAGAGAAAAGTGTAGCAGTCAGTAAGGAGAGTGACAAAATTAATCAAATATTGAAAGTTTAAGTATCAGCTTTGGCTGGATGGTTTCTTTGGCCTGTAAGCTGACATCTTTTTTTCAATCCAGGATGATCACTTCTCTGTAAGAACTATGATAACAAAGTAATAAAAGCTATATGCATCATGTACTAAATTCATCTGATTATTCTTTTCCTTACCAGCTTACACATTAGAGAATACACATCTGCTATGGGCAGTCCCAAATGTCTCTTTGGACTTAGATCTATAAACAGCCATTAAAAAACAACATTTTAACAAAGAAGGACTGGTGAAAAAGAGAAAAGGTTCATGACGATCTAATACTGAGAGTGATTGCACTTTGCCTCTTGTATAACTGGAATTCCATGTTTGGTGGTGGTAACAAGGATGGACTGGCAAATATGAATAAATGGGGTAAGTTTCTAAAAAAAAACTGTGATGCTGCATTGGTAGGAGAGTATAACAGCTGATTTAGTGTTAACAAAGTTAAAAATGTAGATTGGCCACCATAAAGAGTTTAAAGGCTGACATTTCAAGCATTAGAACTTTGCCAGAGCAAAGGGCTAATTGCTCTGACAAAGGGCTAGCACTTGAAATGTCAACCTTTAAACTCTTTACAGTGGCCAATTTACATTTTCAACTCAGTTGTGGACTGGAAAACATGCTTGCCAAAAGTTTTTAAGAAAGTAAAGGGAAAACATTGACTCTCTTGTAAGTCCTCATTTTCAAAGTATTTTAAAATAATTTTCAGTCAAGAAGTATAAATTTTGTATATAAGGTTCCCCTGAGATGAAAGAATAGCTGAGAGGTCTTGTTCGCAGCTAGGTCAAAATCCTGCCTGAGATTTTTGTGTCCCTGTTCTGTATACAAAATAAGCTGTATTCACTCAGCTACAGAGACATGAATGTAAATTACAGACAAGTGTGAATACCCATTGCAGCTACTTTTATTAGAATGGCTTCAACTCCAGAGGAAATCATTTCACCAAGCAACTCTGTTTGATCACGTTGCCAAAGATAAGCTAGTGAGGATAATCCCAGTCTGGAGCAGCTAAAGATCAAAAATTAAAACAAATATCTCAAAAAGACCCATTATGGGTAAGCTGTGTCTTAGCATTTATTGAATTGCTATAATCCTCATAAAAGATTAACTAGCTAATTCTAAAATTATGGTTACTAGCAGTTTTAAAAATAAGATGGGAATCATCCTCAGTATTCATGCTAACTCACAAGAAAAATGAACCCAACATTCTTTTACAATACAAAATGAAAGTAGTCAAAATACAAACAACAAGTAAAAATACACAGCAATACTACACACCAAAACGTCTAATAAGTTATTTACCATCCAAATACTTTTTTTTCTGCTGAGTTTTTGCTCATTTCTCATAAGGCAGGAAAAGCAAAGCAGATAGAGAAGTTTAGCATGAGCAGCCAACTGGTTAACCAGGTTTTTTTACAGAGTGCAAAATAACCAACTGTCCAAATAACTGTACAACATTGCAGGATATTGGCACATTATTTGCACTCTACTTTGTGCAGTTGGATAATATCTCCTTTTATTCCAATACTTAAAACAAGAAAATCACCATTCATACAAGTGCAACATTCCTGTACTTTATGTAATAATTTAAGGATGAGATTAAAATAAAAATGTATTCTGCTGTCTTACACATGTTCCACTCTAATTCGTTGATAATCAGACAAAATAGCTCCTGTAGACACTGCATCAAACTCAATGTTCTCCTAAAAGAAACATATTCAGGTACAGTCAAAGAATGCCAAGTGTGTTTGGAACAAACAAGAGCCATATATGTAGGGAATATAAGAGATGACTTACAAAAGACATGGCTTACATAAAATGTGAACTGAAACAAACAAGCATAAATCACATGAGGCACTGGGTGCTTGTTGAAATGATTTGTATCTTATTTTGCTACTTAAGGCAACCTTTTCACTCTCGAGATTTCATTGGCAATTCCCCTAACTGTTTTCCATACAATTGTTATCACAATTATTCTAAGAATTTTGTATTGGATCAACTAATAATCCCCTAATTGATGTATTTCTTTATTCTCATCACTTGTCTGTTTGATATTGTATTGATATTGTAGAGAGAAAATGGTACAAGCCGGCAGCACAAAATACCTTGATATTCTTAAGAAGTTTGTAGAGGTCTTCAACTTCATCTCCTTGGTTTTCTGTATACACTTTTCCTTGATCCACTGAAGATCCCTGTATTGTCCCTCGATACAGAGGCAAGTCCATGGCCTCAGCATACAGGTCTATGGCATTGTGACCCACAGTCTGGTACATATAGCTGTCCAGTTCATCAACTGTCGTAATTTAACAGTAAGAAAATAGAAAATCACATTCTGCAAAGTAATTGCACTGACTGGATGGTTGAAGCCCAGGACTCTGAGTTTGAGCCCCGTCTGGATCATAGTGTTGTGCTCCTGGGCAAGACACTTTATGCCCACAGTGCCTTTCTCCATTCTCCACCCCCCCTCCCCCAGGAGTATAAATTGATACCAATAGGGGGAAGGGGGATTACCTGAGATGGTTTGGCATCTCATCCAGGGCAAGTAGCTAAAATCCTAGTCACTTCATGCTACCAAATTTAAGTAAAAAAACCGACTAGAATAGGTTGTATACAGCCACTTCCCCACCCCTTTAAAAATTATCTTCTATTGCTAAGGGGGGGGGGAGGGAGGGGAAGCAGTTCGTATGACTGGATGGGTTACTGGACAGTTTTCAATGGTTAGGTCACTCTTTCGAATCTTAAAACATATTCACCCGCAAAATTTAATACAAAGTTTGTTATGAAGGGAAAAAAATTAAATAATTTCCGGAGAAAACTCCATAACAATCCCCTTCTCTATTAATCACACATACCTTCCCCTCTTGGCTTCAGATTAGCAAGTGCAACGATAGTGTGACCTTGTTGAACGCACTGCATCATGTTGTAACAGCTGTCCTTTCCTCCGCTAGTAAAGAAGAAATCAAAGAAGCTGTGAAGCTCTGGTGCACGTGTGTTTCGAACAACAAAAAATGGTACGATCAACAGTGTATATCTATTTTCCCTCCGAGGAAGTCAAACAGTCACCTGATTAAAGCAACAACCCTCATCATTAAAAAAACAAGATTTCGTCGACAATCTCTGATCACATCACTTAACTATTCCATTGTTAAACCAAGTTGTTTTTTCGATCCATTCGAGCTCAAATCTGCCGCCATTTTGGACGCACAATAATCCAGCGGATGCTGCACGACTATATGCGTGAAGTGCACGTAGCAATGTTGCGCAGTATGTTGTTGTTTCGCGCTGTGTTCCCGCCTTATTTGAATCTATTTTGATAAAACTACGAATATCGCATCCATTTTCATATAAATTGTACCGGTGATGGTTGAAAATCCAAGCGTGATGGATGATCAAAACGGATCTGCAATAACTGAGGATGAAGCTGCGTTGTATGACAGGCAAATACGGCTTTGGGGCCTAGATGCTCAAAAACGGTTGGTACTCTAAACAGCTGTTCTCTATTTTCTCTTTGAGTCGAACCATCGTTGTAGAAATTAAAATGACTGTTTTTGGATCTGCTCGAGTTCGAATTCGTAGGAGAAATCTGATGAGACAGATTAAGCATCAAGCAAACCCTCTTTTGTACTATGTTATCTTTTGTTGTGATTTTTCCGCTTCAGGCTGAGAGCTTCACGTGTTTTGCTGGTTGGCGTACGAGGTATTGGAGCCGAGATATGTAAAAATCTTGTGCTATCAGGTGTGAAGTCCTTTACAATAGTAGATCCCAATCCTGTAAATGAACAAGATTTTTTGTCACAGTTTCTGGTGCAGCGACAAGATTTGGGAAAGAACGTGAGTCTCAAGTCTATGTACATTTAAGTTTACAAGATAAGGGGTAACGGCTTTTCCCCACAAAGGTAACCTGTTTTAAAATGATAATTGATCCTGTAGTCTGAATGTCGTCGACAGTGTCAGGCTACTTACCTAGGTGATCCGACTGGGTAAGGGTGGGGAATGGTTACCCTTGACTGAGAGCAATTTACCGTTATGTATCTAACGATGAATGAAAGATGTTGTATCTACACCAGTCAGTATCTAAGAGCATTATAGCCCTTTCATGAAATCAGCCTGCATTTGGAAAAAGGTTCCAGCCAATTAAGTTCTGGATTCATAACATCAAGTCTGGCACCCAATTGAAGCCAAAGAACTGGACTGTGAGAGACTGGATTTCACATAGTTACATTTCTTAAACGCATTGTAGGCAAGGTTGGCATTTGACAATTTGGCATTGATCTTTCATTAGACATCACTAAACATGTTTGTGGATTTGCATCATTACCTAAGCTACATGTATCTTAACCCTTTAATCTTAAGAGTGACTGGTATCTAATTTCTCCCCCACTGTGTCACTATTGAATTAAAAAGACTTGGGTCATGAGGATGAAATGAATAATCGCCAACTTAAGAAGTTCTTGATTTTCAAAAAAAAATTATCGTGGTCACCATTGTAGGAAATTTAAAGAGAACAATATAGGGAAGATGGAGAAGGTGATAACTGATGTAAGAGCACAAAGGTTAAACTCTTCATATCTTAAACCAATTTTAGTGAATACCAGTGGTTTACGATATTGCAATTCCTCCCTTGATTTTACTGTAGCGTGCAGAGTCTTCTCTACAATGGGCTCAGCAACTCAACCCTATGGTACAAGTTACAGCAGACAGTGAGGATATTTCCAAGAAAAGTGATGATTTTTTTAAAAATTTCGATTTGGTGGTAGCCACAGACTGTTCTGCAGATCAGCTGGTAAGTAATTCTGCATAGAAAACTCCTTTCTTAGTTTTACTAGTAAACAATATAATATCACAATGCTGAAATCTGATTGGCTACGTTGCTTGCTATTTGTTACATGATGGCTAGTTAGTAAAAGGAGTCGCATTGCAGTGTAACATTTTATACAGAATGAAAAAATAAATGATGATGATGTCTTCTTGGTTTTGGTATGACTGGCATATTTATTACAAAGCAATTTGTTTAGTTGCACTTGATTGCTAAGGGAGTGAGTTGATTTTGGCTTTCCCCTTTTAAACTACCGGATATTAATATAATAAGTTGAATTACAAATTTAACTCTTTAAGTCCCACGAGTGACCAAGACAGAATTTCTCCTTACACTATCAGTACAATATCAAACAGATAAGTAATGAGAATGAAGAAAAATATAAATTAGGGGATTATTAGTTCATCCAATTCCAAATTCTCCAAACTAACATTATATGAATCGTATAGCAGACAGTAAGGAGAAGTACTTATGAGATCTTGGGAGTTAGAGGGTTAAGCATTTTGATTCATTCTTACCTATGATCGATTGAAGGAAAGATGCTTAGATGTCATTACCATTAAAAGCATTTTGCTTCTTTATTATATAATTGAGAGACACTTAAATATCATTACCATCAACAACATTTTTCCTCTTTATCATATAAACAAACAGATTCTCTGTGGTGGTTGGTCTGTTCAATAATAGACCACAGAAGATGTCAAAATGTGATAAGAATATCAGTGACATACTCGGCTGTGCCCCAACTGTCACCTTTTTGTTCTTGCCTCATTTTGATGTCAGCTATGATCTCCTATTGAACAGATGTGTGGGAACATGGAATCTGTGAACATAATTTATCAGCTTATAGCCTTATAGATACTGAAGGCTAGTGACTGACAACTGCCAGGTTTATGCAGTGATGTGTGAGAGTTGAATGTATTTCCAAAAAAAAGTGTATGTGGGTTTTTGGTCCAGTTTTGTGTGCAGTTACAGTGTAGCCAAGATGTTAACCTCCTACTTGATGGAATTCCTAATAATGCTACTCTTATTACTAATAATTTAATTTTGACATATAAATTTTCTTTATTTAACCCTTTAAGTCCCATCAGTGACCAAGAAAGAATTTCTCCTCACACTATCGGCACAATATCAAGCAATCAATTAGGGGATTATTTGTTCCAAATTCTCCAAACTAACATCATATGAGTTGTATAGGAGACAGTAAGGAGAATTACTAATGGGATCTTGGGAGCTAAAGGGTTAAAATGAATTCTCTTTGTTTCCTAGATTCATATGAATGATGTTTGTCATGCTAATGGTGTAAAGTTCTTTGCTGCTGATGTGTTTGGCTTTTATGGATATATGTTTGCAGACCTTGGGGAACACAAATATGTAGAGTACGTCAATAAAAGTTTGTTGTGATAGTCTCAACAAAACATAAAAATTAGCAGCAATTTGGTAAATTCCAGTCATTATGACAGGGCTCCAAGCTGCAATCATTTTTGTCACCATGGCAAGTAGAAAAAAAAAATTTAGGCAACTAAATTCTCGATAGGAGTTGCTTAGGGTTGTAAAGGCAGAAATCTAGTTCTGGAGATAAAGACTTGCATATAGACTTGAAGAGATACAGAATTGAGATGTATTGATCTTCTCAAGTTTGAAGCCTGTTTTTGGTTAGTCCACTCAGCAGTTACAATTCAGATAAATTAGTTGTATATTGCAATATTTGTAAGTATGTTGTCTTTAGCATGACAGTCTCTTTTCAATGAACTCATGTTATTCAGAGAAAAACCTAAAGTTGTTACAGCATCAGAAAGGAAAAACTCAAGTTCTGATGGTGAACCAGTAGCAAAACGTAGAAAAGTTGATGCCAGTGAAACCGTCATAGTTCAAAAGGTAATGAGTGTCTCGTCCAAAAGTTGACTGTTACTGAAGAAAAAATAATCAAAATTTCATTGGGCATCAATCTGTGGGACATTTAAAAAACTTGCCTCCAGATAACAAGTGAGGAGGATCATGAATCATTAATATCAAGAGAACATTGAAGCTGTTTAAATAGCTATATTTCCTTTTCATCTGCTAAAAATAATGATTAAAGAAATTTTGACTCATTTTTCCATTGGGACTTTCAAAATTACAGTCAACTTGAAGAGGACTGTAAAATATGCATTTAGTAGGATAGAAAAACTCAAAAGGTGCATTATTGACCCTTAAACTCTTAGAAGTGATTATCATGTAACTTCTCCCCATAATATGCAAGATTATCCAGCAAACAGGTAGTGAGAAGACTGAAAGTTATCAGGTTAAGGTTTTTATCTTGATGTCCAGCAGATAGGGAGGGGGGTTAACAATCAGATCTTGGAAGTTGAAGGGTGAAGCAAAGAAGAATTAACCCTTTAACTCCCATGAGTGATCAAGACAGAATTTCTCCTTAAAATATCAATACAACATTGAGCAGGCAAGTGATGAGAATAAAGAAAAATATCAGTAAGGGGATTATAAGTCGATCCAATACCAAATTCTCCAAACTAACAATCACAAGAACTGTATGCCAAACAGTAAGGAGAATTACTAATGAGATCTTGGGAGTGAAAGGGTTAAGGAGTGCTAGTGACAGAAAATATTAAAACAGATTGATAATGCAATAAAAGCAGCAATAATTTTGATATCTTTTATTGAAAGAGAGTAAACTATTTAATTTGATCATTTCAGTGAATGACCTTCAATACTGAATATTTTGTCCTTTGATAAATTTTTTTTAACCTCTCAACTCCCATGAGTGACCAAGACAGAATTTCTCCTCACAATATGAAATACAATATCAACCAGATAACTGATGAGAATAGGGAAAAATATCAATTTGAGAATAATTAGTTGATCCAGTACTAAATTCTCTGAACTAGCATTGTAAGAATTGTATGGTTGACTGTAAGGAGAATTACATATTGGATCTGGGAGTTAAAGGGTTATTAAAATTAATATTATGAGTATTTCATTCTGTATAATGTGATGGATACTAATGGTAGGTTGTTTAGTTTGCAGAATTCTATCGATTGAAAGCTGCATTATCATGCAAACTAGATGAAAGACCTGAAAAGATTTTGAAAAGATTACCTTCTGTATATTTTATGATAAAAGGTATGTGAAAGTTTATCAAAGCTTCTCATAAATTTAGTTTTATTTTGTTATGGTATTAAAAAAGTAATTTCGCTTACTCTTTGGGCTTAATTGTAAGCATCTCTGAAAAAAATTTAAAAACTTTGCTCTCCTTTTTCACATGTACTGTTCCTTTATTTAACCTTGATTTTACAGTACTGCTAAGATTTCGCAGCCAGTATGGCCAACTGCCACAGACTTCCACAAGCTCTGAGGACAAGGAGAAATTGTTGATATTACGAGATGAAATAATGAAAGAACTGAACCTTGATGTGACACTTCTTCCTGAGGAATTTGCTTCGTAAGTGTGTTCACTGTTAGCTTTTTGTGTCTATGATGTTTAATGAACAATAATTTTCTATCAACTTGAGACTGTAAAAAGTTCCAGAAATTTTTAGTTATTTGCTGATAACAATGTTTTTATAATACTTTCCAACTGACAGCTACTGTACTGCAGAAGTGAGTCCTGTGTGTGCCATTGTTGGTGGCATTGTGGGGCAGGAGGTTGTAAAGGTAAATTTATAACAGTTTCAGTACACCATTTTTTTGAGAGGCATGTGGACATGATGATGTTTTAGTTAATAATGGAGGCCTAAAATAATTTGATAGAAAGAGAACTTGTTGCAGATATGTCCAATGCTGTAACATGTTGGGCTGAAAACAAAAATTTCATAGAAAAAAGGGGGTTCTCTCCTTTTTGACAATGCTCTTGCAAACCTTACTCTGGACAACAACAGGCAGAAATCATGTACATCAAGGATTCAAAATGTAATACCAGGGAATTACTTCAAAAGATATTAATGTTTGTACAATTGTTTGTTAGGGCCAAACATGACAATGATTTAACATCTTTCATGTCAAATATTTCGCTTGCAGTAGTGCATATCTGTGAGTCAGATCTGTTTTATTGATGTCTTTGAGTAAGGAATGAGTACTCATTGGTTATTGGCAAAGATCTCATCTTGAAATTTTTAGCATCTAATCCCATTTCTCTGGTTATTATTTATCTTCATTCTCCTGTAGGCTGTTTCAGGAAGAGATGCCCCACTGAATAACTTCTTCTTCTACAATGGTGTCGAGGGTCATGGATCTGTGGAATGCTTTAAATGATGTTCAAACAATCTTACATTTTTCCTATAACTTTAACTGAAAACAGGGAAGTCCTATCACAGGACACTTTGTTTAAAAGGACATGAATCACTGGCCATCTTTGAACCTCGTTGTGTGGTGGGCCACAGGATTCCCACTGAAGAGACAAATTACTTTGAGATGTGCAAGTCACATTTGTTGTTGTTGTTGTTGTTCTTGATCTTCTTCTTCTTATTATTATTATTATTATTATTATTATTATTTTCATTTTTATATTATTATTATTATTATTATTATTTTATGAAAGATGAGCATTTTGTTATAAGTAAATAACAGTTACTATTAATTAACAGTAAAATATTATTTTAAGTGTATCTGATAGTAGTCCAAGGGTTTTGTGCTTGTACTTTATTTTTCTTACTATTTCTACGATCAACATCAGGATAACATATGATCTCAAAATTTTGATAGAGAAAGGAACACCATACGACTTTTCGTGGGAAATTTTCGTACATTGACAAACGAAAATTTATATGTAGCTCGTTTTAATTTTGGGCATATTACAGATTGTCCTTGATCTTAAAAATGAAATTCTTACAGAAAAAAAATCCCGCAAAACAAAACACTGCAAATATTTACTAAAGGAGTCCATAAAAACCCTCAGGGGAGTAGGCAGAGGAGTAAGCTGGTGGTAAGGCTGGGGTAGGGGGTAAGTCCCTTGGTTTGATTAAAAATGCTCAACATTCGGATGTTTGAGGGGAGTATTTCACTTGCGCAGGAAAATGAACAGGAGAGAATGTTTTTGAATGGGCGTCATGGATATATGTGAAGAGAAGTAAGGGCGTAGCTAATGCCGCTTAGGGTCACTCAGGAAATATACTCCCAGCTTTTTGCCATTGATGAATAGTGTTTCAAATGGGTGGGATGTAAGATATAAAACAGTTAAGGAAGCCTTGAACAAAAACAGCACGACCGAACGCGCGTTTTGCCATTTTGATACGGGTCAAAAAATTTTTTTCGCAGGCAATTCCACAGGCGATAAGACCTTTAGTTGGAAAGAAGAAACTTCATTTGTTTCATGAATTATCAGCTTTCTGAAAGAAATTAACTTTGTACTCTTCAAGGAAAGGTCTTATCGCCTGTGGAATTAAGGTCTAGGACAGACGAAAAAGTAAAAACAGCGAAACGACTCAGCGTTCACGAAACCAATTCTTTACTTATTGAGGTTGGCCAGATCCTCTCGGTCCACTAAATGAAGGACAAAACGGTCGACCAGAGGCTGGCTTGAGGTTTTCCCAGTACGCTCGATTAGCCCTATAAAATACAAGAAACAGAATTATCGTCAAGGAGAATTAGAAAAAAAAGAAGAATGTCACGAAGAGCCAATGGAAACATAACGTTGACACAAGTGAACTGCTTAGAGCGCGGGAAAACGAGGGCGGGCAGATTGCGGTTGCGGTTCGAAGGTCGTCGGATTGGTTTAGAAAGTGGCGCGAGTTTACCAGACCAATCACAAAGCGAAATACAGCTAACGCCATCTCCCAATCAAAGTTGCTCAAGTTTTGATTCTGATTGGTTGAGAGGGTCAGGTGGCGCTACTCTCCAGACAAGTCACAAAGCGAAGTAAGGATAACGACGATGCATTTTGGGATATTTTTCGATACTACTCCGTTGCAAGAAATCTTAGTATACCTAACTTAGCACTAAAGTGATAGCCATAGAACTTAAGTCACCTCGCGGGCGCTTAGGGAATTGTGAGAGGGAATGCTTGAGACGGCCATCTTGAAAAATTTGTGGAACTTAAAAGTTTCTGTGTTCTCAGTTTGTACGCACTTGAGAAGGAATTCTATTCACAATTCGTTGCGGACCCACCTTGCTCGAATCAAGTCTACCGAATGATGTTTGAGTGCCTCTCCCCACGGACTGTGCTTTTCGCTGGCGGCGGGTAATCTACCTCGTTCAGGAGCCAGCTAAACAGGAGTGGAAGTAATTCCTCTATCTATAAAGTTGATAAATAAACTCCTGCCATTTTAGAGAAACTGGTCTCGTAGCTTACTTGAAAACCTATTTTTTTTCCGTATAATGGGTTATCCAAGGTTTGATCATTTCCCCAAATTTATATCGAAGGCCTTTTCATTACCGGAGCACCCACTCACAATGTGTATACATCATATGAATGAAGAGAAAGCTGTCATCTCTGTCGAAGTCACTTTTAAAACAAAGCCTCAAGTCTTAAAATTTCCACTCTAATTTATACATTAAAACTGCCAACTTTTGACGCGAGGCATTCATCACGAGTGAGCCTAGATATTTCGCAGCGAACCCGATCATATCGAAAGAGATTTCCAAAGACGTTCCCGACGAAGAATTCCGAAGGTGTCCGAATACTTCCGACACAAATTCGTGTCCAGGGCTCTCGCCTCTAAGACAAGGATAGTCACTCCTTTGAGGAGTCTTCTTTTCTCGCTCCGGTTTGCTTGAAGATCGTATTAACGTTTTGTTCATTTTCAAAAATGAGGCAGTCCATGTCGTAACGATTCATATCGTTTATTCTTTGTTGTTCTAAACTGATTGCACCTCGAACTCGAGGGTTGGATGGGAATGCAAAGATTCACATACCTCTTCTGCTATAGCCCGGATGTGGTATGGTTGAAAACCACAACAACCACCAATGTACCTCACCCCCATGTCGTAGGCCCGCCGAGCGTACTTGTGCACATCCCAGCGAGTTAGTGTGCGAGGCTCTAAGGCTTAAAGAGGAGAAAAAAGGGAAAAAAAATTATATATTGTTAGAAGGTAAACTGACCCACTCTGCTTGGGCAGTGAATCTTAAGAGTAGTTTTCTATTGAGTACCGATGGTAATCTAGGATTGCTTTACTCTGATTGGTCTAGAAAACCGGTACCACTTTCTTAAACAATCAGAATCAAATTTTAAATCAGTCTCGCTTGAAGTAGTTTGCTGGTTTTTACCATCCGTTCTTCCGTTCTTAAGGGAACGTTTTAATATTTCCTTTTCCTCTGATTTGCTGTTGAGAGTCATTTGGTTTTTGTCTTACAACACTCAAATTGAAATGCGCTCTAAGGACAAACACGATTAGCAGGGGTTCCTCTCGGTCGGGAACTAGTGCGTGCGTCTCCGTGACAGTTGAGATATCTCAAACTCTACTAACATAGATTTGATTTTAACAAAATAGAAGCATAGCAAATGTGTGGGTAGCTCACTAAGGAGTTAAAAATCACACTTACCAAACGGAGTCTCTGGTAAATCAACAAATCCTATTTCAGTATCTGGAGTATGATAACCCACCGGTTGAACCATCAGGTAGGTTTTAAGTCCTTCCTTATCTAACGCCTCTTTCATCAGACTAATGGTCTGTAAACTTTTCTCAGGATCAAAGCAACAGTTAACACCTACCAGGTCAGCACCTGAAAGATAAAAACTTGTTTCACTACACTATTTCGAGTTCAAATTTCACTGTTTGAAATGTTGTGGAGGTAAACTTGAAATAACTAACAATAGCCTCTATTTGGCGCGGAAATATGCCCGGATATTTGTCCGCGGACATTATCTGTTTCAAGATGCGAACAGTTTTCCGAGGAAAACTGTGAGCTTCGAGGAACAAATTATGTCCTGGGACAAGTATACGAGCATATTTTCGCGCAAAATAGAAGCTTTTGTGTTAATCGTCCTTTTAATTTTTTGCATTGCGCGTGAAACTATGCATACAAACAGCCTAATGTTTGCTGCATGTTATGTTCTCTTTTGAGTGTGTTCGGGTATGTCTTTGATGAACAAAGAAATATTTACGATCTTCTGTAACAACCATAAAACGCTCTCTTATCTTGAATTAAACTTTAGAGGAAGACTTCAGTATCTTAGTGGACATGAGGCTTGAAAAATAGGGAATATCACTTGGGTGATATATCGGATATCCCCCAGTTTTAGCCGGGGAATATTCGGTCTTGTGATGCACTTAGACCAATCGCTTGTGTGCAAAAGTATTTGATGTATCTCAACTGATAATACCACGTCTTTTGAGCAAAATTGGATCACGTCATAAAATGTCAAGTATTTATTCTGTGTCCATTGTGGGGTTCTATTAAGAGCTAATCATGGCAAGGAAAGTGACCAAATCGCGTTGGTTTTAGTGTCGAATCTGATTGGTTGAGAACGTGCGGCGAGTTTTCTGGACCGATCACATAACGAAATGAGGCAAAACCAAAGCAGTCACGGATTACTTTCGACTCTCAATTGAAAATTTCTGTTAAGGTAAAGTACGCTATGTTTCTTCATGTTATAATGCTCTGTGCTAATTAAATTCAAGGTACGTCGCGGAACGCTATGACATGCCAAAGCCACAGAATGTCAAGTCATCTTGTGTTTTTTCAGCGTCATGCGATGTAAAAATGTCATCTATTCCGACAGGTCATGTCACTTATTTTTACGGTGAGTCACAACATCACCACATTGCGTCGTGTCATGACATGCCATGCCATGTCCAACGTGTCAATCAATGTCAGTATATTTCGCTTTTGACAAGGGGCTAACGCTCGAAATGTTAGCTTTAGAACACTCTCTACAGTGGCCAATGTACATTATAAACCCATTTGATAAAGCCAAATCATCTTGTTATACTCCCCAACTGACATGGCACCACAGTTTCTGCAGAAACTTACCCCCTATATTCAATGTCAGTACATGTCATGTCACACTGTGTCACGTCAAGTCCTGTCGCATCATGTCATGTCACACCGTGTCATTGCAAGCGACGTCACATCATATCACGCCATACCAGCCCTTGCCAGCCTCACTGCACATTCGCCTGACGGTACATTCTGCATGTCACCCTTTGGTCCAATTTGCATGGTAATGGCTACTGGTTTTCCTGTGGACTTCATCACCTCTACTGCCCATTCCGCTTCTTCTACATTAGCAAAGAACTGAAAAGGAAGGGCACTTTCTTAAGAGATTTGCCAAATGACAAGGTAATCAAAAGCTGGTACGAGAGAGAATCTCAACATCGCAAAGCTTAAAGATAGCAGCTAATGCCTATGTCCTGATCACTTCACAATAACATTGGTAAGCATATTCTCTATACTGTTCTCTAAACATTTCCTAAGGTACTGACAAGGAGAATTTGTCTAACAATCAAGAGCTTCTTTGGTACGTGATCAATTCCTTTATTTTCCTGACCTTTATGTTTGATTCAGGGGTAATGGATAAGGAGGAATTAGATACCAGTCACTTCAAAAGATATCCTAGTTATTTTTAGCCTTTTATAGTCTCAAAAATGTGACTTGGTTAGAAATCTTACGACTGCTAGTTTCTTGCGAGACTGACTCTAATATTACAAATTACACAAATACAGCATGGGCTAATCTAGGCGGGTATTACTGAGTTACATTAAGCTAAAAGATAAAATTATCATGCAATTACGAGTTAAAAGTTAAATTAACTAACACATAAATATGCACAGCCAGTACAGCAGGCAGGGAAAATGATAACTAGAACTAGCGTTGAAACGAAAGGTAGAGAGGGGAGACTGGAAATCTTACCTCGCCAATGAGAATATCGGCATTATTCTGAACGAAAATCTCGATTTCATCTCTAAACTTCTTCATTACAACATCTTTTCCAGCACCTTTCTGATACAAGAAAGCAGTCTGACATATACAACCTGCAAAGTACACCCCGCCTTCTTGTGCCACGCCCTTGGCAAGGTCGCACGCTGCTTGGTTTATTCTCTGGGTCTGAAAGAGAGTAGGAAGACTGATCTTAAAAATGGTCTACATAAACGGACCGTATTTCATATTGACTTACCATTATGCTATTCCTCGCGAGATTCTGAGAGAACACGAGGAAAGGCTGTAAACCATAAACCCAAGATATCAATGGTCTATAATTTTTGAAAATTACTCTAGAATTAACAGTAAAGAATAAACAAAGGAATGTGACCTATCAGAGCTGCGTACAATCTCAGCTGTTAAAACAGACCCCAAGCAGCCCAAAAGTGCGCACAATGAGCCTCTGTAAATATGTTTATGTCTCAAAATAAACGAAACTTAAAGATTTTTGTGCAGTAATAAAGGGTCGCATGCTAAACCCAGAAATCTGCCCTCTTTTATGAGTAAAGCAGGGGAACTAAAAACGAGCTTAATGGCCATAAATCAGCCCAGAAAACTCATAAGATTCATTGAAACAAACACGAAAGCAAACTAGTTCAGATTTCTAAGCTATGAATGCGACCGTTCATTCTAAAATAAATCCTAATATTTCGACTATTGTGCAATATTAACATATCTACATATTTACAGAGGCTCGTTGTGCAATTGAACAAACATATACGTCACCCCTAGGTAACAGGAAATACATTTTCTAAGAAAATTGATAAGATAAGAGTTTTTTTACTTCGCAAAAAACGGAAATTGGAAAGAAAGAGTTCGCCAACCAATATCCGGTTTCATTTCCATCCATTTTGCAAATGCCCCCCGTTTATCGCATCACAAGCATGCAACCCAAGCGCTCACAAAAACAGTAACTCCCTCCACATGCTCGCTTTCCACAAGTATCACCTGTCAATCACGCTCGGTACCGGTTTCCGTCACATCCGGCTCTCAGAAGACGTTCACCCTAACAAAATATTAGTCTTTCTAAAGAACAGCCCGCCTCGTTTTCGCGAAAAATTTATCACCTCACCCCATATTTGGCATGGTCTCCTCCCAAGTCATCGTCCATAGAGAATGTGAAACCTTGAATGACGTCAGCTCCTGCTCGAAGAAACTCACGATGAAGCTGGCGAACTACAAAATATAATTATCGAGGATGAGAAAAGGGATTGTTAAGAAAAATGAAGAGAACGAAGATTGAAAATAAGAATTTTATGCAGGACTAACGAAATGAACGAAGAAAACAAGGGACGGCGAAGGAACTTTTTCAGCCAACGTCGCCTACGAGCAGGCCCCCATTTCGCCCCATCATTTTAGCGCTGCAGGATTTGAGACGAATCGAGAAGATCGAGGTTTGCCGGAGGTCTGGCACTAATAGTGAGTGCTAGACTCCGAACGGACCGAGCGGTCGAAGCACTACTAGTCCTCAAATTAAAAAAAACTGACCTCCGTCGGGATGTTCCACGTTGCATTCCGGTGTCCAAGGTCCTGCTTTTACATATCCTCGTTTTTCCAAGGCATATGTCATCCCTCCATCTCCGACTAAAACCTCACCAGCGTTAAGGCGCTCTAAAATACCAGTCTCAGACAGAATAAGAAATCACAATGAAAATCAGCAACAAAGATATCCAAGGCATTTTTTCTTAACTAGGTCAACCCTTGAATTTAACCTCTAGAAGTCAGGCTTCACTTGGTGAGTTATCATATGTTAACGAACTGTTTGATTAATTGTAAAATTTCATAATGATAAAGTTAAAAGAAGTTACAGCTGTATGGTATGGAAAATTTTGAAATTTTCTGCCTAACTCCGATTTTAGTGGTTATTTTATGATATAAAAGCATCATATGGGCATGTAACCCAGAAAAAAAAGACTGTTTCTTGCAAAGAAAGTTTAATAGAAAAGGTTTCTCAAGTGTCACGCAACGGAAGAACTTTGCGTGACGATTTGTACATGCAAATACCAAACGAAAGTTCGTTTTTATTTGGTGTGAAAAGTGATTAGCATTCGGTGTATTCGAGACCGTGCCCGACAGTCAGAAATATTCACCGAATTTTCACTGAAAATCTCAAGCAAATCTCATAAGAGTGCTCGATATTTAGTTAGAAATGCCCAGCGATTCCAAAAATTTGGATGGTTTTTAAGTCGACAAATTTTTCGAGCTTGTGCGTATCTTATGATCGATCGCTCGGTCAGGTCGACGACCTAGCGGTTTTTACGGTATGCACTGAAAAATAAAGTGATTTGTGGAATCGCTTGACATTTTTAAACAATCATCTGATACTCTTAAGAGGCTTGAAAGAACATTTCAATGGAAATTCTGTAGAAATTTCTGACCGCTGCGCAGTGCCCGGTTGCGGTGTATTTGACACTGCGACTGGTTGCATTAGAAAAAATTTGCAGAGCTACAATGTAACACTCACCTTTCCAGTAGTTGACATACTTTGCTTCCAAAACTTTGATTAAAAAGAACTGATCAAGCCTTCTTTCTTCTGAGAACGTCTTGAAAAGTCGAGAGGTGAATTCATGGACTACATCTAAAGTGAGAGAGTGCGGTATCTTCTGTGTTGCTTAGTCATTGGTCCGTTGCGTGACGAGTGTAATTGGATGAAAGCTTTTTACATCATCAGTACAAATATGCTTGGCTTTTTTTTTTTTTTTTTTTTTTTAATTTATTTTTGCACAAGATCATCATTATAACAACACTACATACTGCAACGCAATTAATATAATCCTGAGCGGGAAGTCTCAGAAGCCTTTTTAGGTTTATCTAGGAGACCCCCTTTACTACCTGATAAGACAAGTCTGGCGGTCAATGATTACAGATCTTATACATTGATTTACAGATTCGTGAGTAAGTTACATTGGTATTGAATATATTACTATAAACTATTCGTTAGAATATAATTTTTTAATTTTCGCTTAAAAGTCGATTTATACTGGATATTTTTTAGATCACTTGGTAAGCTGTTGTATACATCAACTCCTTTAAAACTAATGCTTAATTTCCTGAGTTTTGTTTTGACACAAGGCTTGTGTAATTTTTTTGTTTGAACGAGTGTTGTGGTTGTGAACTTCTTCATTAGTCCTAAAAATATTTTTCGATGAGATAGGTAATTGATTATTTGAAATTTTTTTCATTAAGATAGCAATATTGTAATAATTAACTTGATAAACATTCAGTATCGTCAGATTATCAAATAATGGTTTTGAGCTGTGATTGTATTCTTTGAAGGTTATTATTCGTACAAGTTTCTTTTTGCTTTCGGTTAGCCAATGCTAAGCGGGCCAGTTTTTAAGAATCTGAGTACAGAGAATTTATAATCGTAGAAAAAAAAACGATTTACATTACATTAAGAAGGATAAAAAAGATGACAAATCGTTTATAAAATGGAAAGGGAGGGAACTAACGCTTCGAATGAAAAAACCTATGAAAGGTTTTTTTTTTCTTCTTTTAACTCGTGCATTTTATTTAAATGATTATCTTTTTTGTATCAGTAAACGAATTTCTTCTTCTCGAACAATTAACAATACATTTTGTGTATTACAAGGAATTTACTCCGAGTGGCTCTGTGAGAAAGCTGACCCACTGCGCCTATGTGCAGCCGTACCACCCCCCCCCTCCGTTCCTTTTCACCTTGACGGGGGAGGGTAAGGCTAACGTAAACTATGAGAAAGCACGGTATCACATTACACAGTTGAAAAAGCGTTTCTTCTTCGATAACTTGTTTGCTAGAATGATTACTTTAATTCTGGTTTTTCTCATAACAGAAACTGGTCTATTACAAAATACATCGTCGTTGTAAAGCTACTCGTATTTCGCTTTTTACGTCCTTACAGGGCAAAAGGGGGCAATTTTCATCCGAGTTCATCGCCAGTCCACCCCATGTCCCATGCGCTGGTGCTGTTCCGTCGAAAGACCTAGCTTTCGTAACCTTAATAGGGCCAGCTTATGAAAGAATTCTTGAGTTCCTATTATGTTCACTTCAAAATATGCGTTAACAGTCAGGGAGAGTTTAGTCTCCCCTCTCCTACGGATGGTATACCTTTCATTCCCAGGGAGAAGAGCCCCTAGGAACCATTCTACCTTCCAGGCTACAATTAGCTGGTCGCCTCACAACAAATTAATTTTAATTTAGAAAGAATTAGTTCGGCGAGGGAAGAAAAGTGCAATCACAGCGTTTGGTACCTCTTAAGGTTTTGGGATGATCTCGTACCCAGATCCCACCGTGTAACTGTGACTGAAATAACGACCGCCTAGCCGTGGAGGGTCCCAGTAAAAGACTAGTTTTGGGACTACATTTAGTTTCTGGAGTTTCAAGAAAGGTGGGATGAGAGGGATATCTATCCTTTAAGAAATTCTATTATGAGTTAGGCCATTACGTGGTTCATATGTGACTCGCGTCCTGCATACAGCTAGGATCAACCATGTTGCGCGTGAATAAATTAACCTTTTAACTCCCAAGATCTTATTATTAATTCTCCTTACTGTCTGTCATACAATTCTTGTGATGTTAGTTTGGAGAATTTGATATTGTATCAACTTATAATCCCCTAATTTATATTTTTCTTCATTCTCATCACTTGTCTCCTTGATATCATATTGATATTGTAAGGAGAAATTCTGTCTTGGTCATTCATGGGAGTTAAAGGGTTAAAAGGAAGATGATGTTTTGCGGTAGCGATTTCTTTTTATCAAAAAAGATGGGTGGCAACGTCGATTGACATCGTTACGATGGCTGTATTTTAACCCTTTACACTCTAACATCAGTATGCATATTCTCCATAGTGGTCTCTATACATTTCCTAAGGTGCTGACAAGGAGAATTTGTCTAACAATCAAGAGCTTCTTTAGCTGGTGATCACTTCCTTAATTCTCCTGACCTTAATGTTTAATTCTGGGGTGATATGGTGAGGAGAAATTAGTTCCTAGTCACTCTTAGGAGTTAAAGAGTCAAAAATAACACAAGCCATAAAGTTTTTACACTATCGTTTGACACTAAAACCTATGATCGATATTTAGCGCTATCGATCTGCCTCAGAACAACAGCGATTTACAATTAGCGCTTTTAATTGGAGTCTTACAATGGCGTTTGGTGCAACAACACAAACGATTGACGTTCAGCGCTAACGATTGATCATTTTAGAATGAAAACTAAAATTTATTTACAATCACGATTTGTTGCTAGCCTAACGACTGAGTTTTACAACAAGCGATTGATAATTTTGGCAGAAATGGTACCCCATAAGCAAGAGGCTTCATTTGTCTATGTTAACTTTCAGTATAGTTACAAGATAGCGAATGGTCAGAAACAATATCTTAAAATTTCCTTTTTGTTCGATTTTTCTATGTGAGTACGAACACAAGTTGCTAAACTAAAATTTCTTTTAGCAAGTGAAATTTATGTTCGACTGTGACTTCATCAAGCAGGTCCGTCAAACTTTGAGACCGCGGGAGAGTAAGGACGACCACTAGCAGGTTCCAGATTTTCCCAATAAGCACGGTTAGCCCTGGGTACAAAAGTGTACGTTGTTAGCATCAAGTAGTTGTCCCTAGATAGCAGAGAAGTACTTAAAGTACGCTTGACATCACACTGATGCCCATTTTAATCAAAACGTTAACAAAATTCTCGGGCGTCATTGGTTATTACCAGCCCGATTTGAACACCAGTAGGACAATTTACGCGTCATGCTTTTAATTGAACAGTGAAATAGGACAATAAAAGGGACAGTGAACATGTCATGCCTGTGTGAGTGGACAAAACGCGTCATGTGTGCGCACTGTTGTCTCGCATTTCACCAAGTTAACTGTTGTTTTTTTTTTTTTTATGAAAACGTATACCCGATGTCTAGTTTCTGCCTCAAATTTTGTCATAGTTTTGATGAATTGGTAACAGGAATTCGGTATGTAATCGTATCTAATCATACAAGTGATTAACAAAATCGGACAACCGCGAACGAATTACTACCACTCGCTCCTATTACCATTATAAACCCCAGGGCATGGAAAGCCACAGCGACGACAAAGTGATAGGCTCAAGAACATAACACAACGCCCTTTTTTTAAAGCTGGAAGCAGGACCTCTCGACCAGGATTCCAGCGTAACCCTGGGTCGCCACGTCTCCGAAATAGCTCTTATGTCATCTCTCCCGTCTTTTACGGGACCTTACCAAAATAAACAGCGCAAATAACAAAAATAATAAACTTGACTATAGTCAGCGGTAGTTATTACGAAAATATGCGTGAGGAGTTTTACCTTCGTCCCATCCATTCTTTCGGGTGATTTTTATACCCTCCCCCCCACGGTTCGTGTTTTTCACTTGCAACAGGAAGAAAACCGCGTTCTGGAGAGAGCTGAAAATGAATAAATAAAGAAAAAATTCAAAAAATTTGACAATAATTTTCTTCAAGGGATAAGCTTGGACAGGTCTACCCTCGATTCTTAAATCACATCTCTGTAAGTTATGTAACCCGTACAACTGGCACGAGCAAGCCGAGGCAAGATTGTGGACATGGCTTTCGATAACATTTTCTTATGTCTTTTGCTATTACGAAAAATATCATTAAAAAATTCCCGTACCTCCTCTGCGATAGCCCGGATGTGATATGGTTCGAATCCACAGCAGCCGCCGATGAACCTCACTCCCATGTCATAGGCTTGCCGGGCGTATTTATGTGCGTCCCATCTGGTAAGTGTACGAGGCTCCAGAGCTAAATTAAAGAGATGTAAAAGGAAAACGTTGCTTTTTGCGAGTTAGATATCTCTCTTCTGAATAGCAAGAATGTTTCCTCAATCTATGTATCCATCAAAGTCGAAAAAAACCGACCAATCAGAATTCGCAATAAGAAGCGAACCAGCAAATCAGAACAAGCGGTCTAAATCAAATAACCAATGATAACGTGCCTTAGTATAAGGTATACACACAGCCAAGATTTTGAGATGAATTTCTTACCAAATGGTAGCTCAGGTAAACTAGCAAATCCAGCTCTTCCGGCGTCTGGAGTGTGGTAACCAACAGGTTGGATCATCAGATGAGGACTGAGTCCTTCTTTATCCAGAGCTTCTTTCATTAGAATGAGAGTTTTTATGGAAGTAGTGGGATCGAACTTACAATTTACTCCAACGATATCAGCACCTGACATCGAGGAAAGAGAGAGAAATGTATTTCAATCCACCCTTATAATATCATGCATTTATCAACCCAAAACCACAGTAACTGATATTGTTTCGGTTGGAAAACGCACCAGCCCTTGAAGATGTCAATTTCTATCGAAAATTAATGGGAAAGGAATAGAAGATTTAAAGAGAGGAACAAATTGGGAATTTCTGAAAGAAGGAATATATTCTCCATGAAATAAGATCTTACTTTTGTCACCCCGTCCCAAGCCTTAATCGTCCCAAAAATGGGATGCTAATTCATTGCAAACTACTCCCCCTCCCTACCCTAGAATTTCACTATCGGATTTCTTCTTACATTTCAACCCTGAGTTACGTTGACGGTTCGCACGGGCTCATGGGATCGGAACCACCGAGGGCCGAGTCCAGCTCCTTGACTGTCTGTCAATTAATCTCATTGCAGGAATAAACCAATACAGTGCGGCTACATTCTGGCGGTAATATAAACCACAGAAAGTGATTATAACCCCTTGGCCACAGTAAAATGTCTAATGTTACCTGCTCTTGCCAGTCTCACTGCGCAATCTCCTGGTGACACATTGGCAAAGTCTCCCTGTGGTCCAATGCACATCGTAATGGCAGTTGGTTTACCTGTGGTTTTCATCACTTCTACGACCCATTCAGCTTCCTCGCCATACTCAAAGAACTAAGAAGAAATTAATAGATAAATGCAACAGTGTGACCATGTCAGAGTTCACAAACACACGCAAGACAACATCGATGTTAAAAGAATGCCTACCTCGGCGATCAGAAGATCCATGTCATTCTTTAGAAATATTTGGATCTGTTCCTCGAATCTTTTCTGTATTTTTTCTTTACCGGAACCATTTACGTAAAGCTTTGCTGTTTGACAGATGGACCCTGCTGCAAACACCCCTCCCTCTTGTGCCACGCCCTTTGCCAGGTCACAAGCAGACTGATTGATTTCGTCGTTCTGTGGAAGGAAGATGGAACGGAGGAATTGAGTTCATGGATCAATGTCAGCATCTGAGAATCTTCACACCTACCCCTCCCTGACTCAACATTAAACCTAACTTGTTATCAGTTGACTAATGTTGAGTTAGGGAGGGGCAGGTACGCCGTTTCCCAGATACTGACATTGATCTGAGATCATAACAAGAAATTTTTTCTAGATAGGTGGATTTTCGAGGCAAACCAGGTGTGTTCATGAATTTATTAAATAAAATTAAAATGGGGGTCAAAGATACCTTCTCATCAATAACTTCATCATCCATAGAAAATGTAAAAGCTTGAATGACATCAGCGCCAGCGCGAAGAAATTCGCGATGCACCTGACGAACTAAAATAACAAAATAGGTCCGTGAAATAAAGAAGATCAAGAAATGTTAACCCTTTAACTCCAAGATCAAATTTGTAATTCTCCTTACTGTCAACCATACAATTCTTATAATGTTAGTTCAGAGAATTTAGGATCAACCAATTATCCCCAAATTTATATTTTTCTTTATTCTTATCACTTAGCTGATTGATATTGTATTGATATTTAAAGGAGAAATTCTGTCTTGGTCACTCACGGGAGTTAAAGGGTTAACCATCTCAAATAGGTGGGTCGAGACAATTGAAAAATGTGAGTCTTTAGAAAATCTTTACAAGAAAAAACTGGCTGATCGCCGTGACATAAGATGACTAAAGCCCCAATAGAATGCCGGTTACTTTTCCATCTGGACTGTAATTCCCGCCTTCTCGCCACAGTTAAGTTGCGAAGTGAAAAGATACTTAATCTTCCTGCTTGGGCGCACAAAAAACATAGATACGTCAATGTCTTTCTGCACTCCAACCATTGATATTTTGTTACAGTATCTCCATCTATGCAGAAAAATTCACAAGTCACTGAACCATGTATTTCCCCTGCCTAATCCGAGTTAAAATTTTGACCAGCTACGTTCTTCGATTCCCCACCCACCCCTCCAAACTAGCTTAGTGAAAAGGAAGACAAAAACAAAATTACTCTAGGGATAGGAGTGGGGAGCCGTCTAACCAAGGTTATGATAGTGGTTATGTCCTTTTGCCGGATTGCTGTAGGGGTACTTACCAGCCTCTGGACTTTCCACAGTGCATTCTGGGGTCCACGGTCCTGCTTTGACATATCCTCGCTTCTCTAAGCAAAAGGTCATGCCCCCATCGCCGACAATTATATCGCCTGCATTCAATCGGTCCAGAATGGTACCTTTCTACGAGAGATCGGAGGAAATAACACCAAACTGGATTCTTTTTCCTATACGTCGAACAGATGAAAAAGGAGACAGCGAGCGAAGCGATGAGAAGAGAAATGCCTTTTTTATTTTACTTTATTTTTTTCGCGCTACACATCTTCAGCGTGTTCCATTCTCCGTGCTCGCCTCGCGCTTGCCTCCACTCGCGTGAAAAATGCAAAAAAAAAAAAAAAGCTACCCCATCTCCCCCTCCCACATCACTTCTCTAATAGTTCATCTTTATGCGGACATTCTAACCCCTTTCGAGGGGAAATAGAGAGTATGTTTTGGCGACCAAGGCGCGAGCCTCTAGGTAGGTCTGAGGGCATACTCCCCCCCCCTTGAAATTTTTCAAATTTCGTTTCTCTCTGGTGTTATTTCCTGACATCATTTTTGTGGTATTCTATAAGGTATTTTTATCAGAGATATCTTTGAGATTTTCTTTGCTGTTGTTAATCCATCTTTTCAGAATAAAAAAGAGAGATTTCTTTTACCAGACATTATATGATGGGAAAGTGTTATAGGTAACGTTTTGCAATCAGATGGTAGAAAATATTTATAAAATGAGCATTTTTTTCTGTTTTCAGAATTTCATGATAAACCGGGAGAACCTGTTAAAATTAGGGAGGAAACACATCAAATCGGAAGGCATGGAATGTCTGCTTATGTGGTGTCATTTCAGTTCGAGGCACAAGGGCTGAGCTGCGTGATTGGGTAACAGGTAGTCAGAAGAGCGCACGACTCGTGCGCAAATAGCCTGCGGAGCAGTCGTAATTTTGGCGAGTGAGTGCTTAGTATTTTCGAATCTTTGATTTAATGGCAGCGGAAGGCTGGGGAGAGAAAGAAATTTGTCCGATCGCAAGCTTCTCGTTCACCCAAATAAGACGCCAGCACTGCAGGCTAGTGCGCAAAAAATCTGTCCAACACAAGTAAAAACGCTGGTTAATTTAGCTTACCTTGATGTCTGTCGTGTATGAAGCACTGTTGACAAAAGGAAATAGAAGTTGTTACGTTTTGACCGGATGTTGACATTTCTAGCCGAAGAACTTAAAACTGCTGTCACGCAAAATTTAGCAGCGTTGTTTGATACAGAAACAACGTAATTTATTTGCTGATTCCCAGCTCGGTGGAAATAACGGAAAAATTATCGGGTATCCTAACTGGCGAAAGCTTTCTTTAAATACAATGAAGTGGGAACGAATTCCTACTCTACTAGCTTAGAACAAGATTAGAAATTTTGTCACTCTAGCGGTACTTTTAAAAGACGGAAAGGTCCAGAGACTGTACATGATAGATAATCACCATTATCACAAGAATCAGAGTTTAAGCCCCAAGGCTGTCGAAACAAAGGAATGTTTTCGACTTTTAACCCTTTAGTGGCGAACTAAGCTCTTCAAGGCAGATTACTTAAAGCTCGCCTACGCATAGCCCTCTCTTTAATTCTTTGTGAAATCCAAGTCTGAAATCTTGTATGTCGTGTTCAGCCCGATAATTCTGACAACATAGGAGGTTAGCGTACAATTTGCTTCAAAATAAACTTAGAAATGCTCTTTTACTATAAAATTTTCAACGTTACGCCTCACATGATATACGTACGTACATTGGAGGAATACAAATCAACATGTGGCATTCATCTTGCATGAATGACAACATTAATTGTTATAGATACCTCTGGTTGTAGTTCAATAAATTGCTACAAACACGAGTCACGGCGGACAAATTTCTGGTGGCGCACATCTTGGTGCCTTGCCATAGAAACGGAACAAGTGGACGCCATCCCCCGATCATGCTTTTAACAGTTTCGAAGAGATTGACTTAAACTTCGAACTCGTAAGCGAAGACAGTCGTGAAGCGGAGTGTCCTGCTTAGAAATTAGCATATGGAATATTCGATGACAGCTAATTATAATTACACGAAATCAAACCTGTAAGTACAGATGAGGACAAGAGCAACAACTAGAACGAAATCAGAAAAAAAAAATTCTAACAGTTGATTGACATACTATATTCTATTTGGGATCATGCGTGTAAATCTTTCTTGGTTTCCAATTCGTTTGTTACACTTTTTTCCCAACCTATTCAAGTCAAAAATTATTTCAGTTTCAATGAGGCGAAACCAGTGAACCGTCAACACTTTTAACGCAAGGTACAATCATGCTCGGGGCACCCTTTCTGATTCACATGAAGGTATCTTTCACATCTTTGGAAAACAACCCTGAAAGCAAAGATAAAGGACATAAAGACGAAACATGTTTGGTTTTAAAATCAGCGCTGCACAAGCTCCTCGAAGGAGGCGAGCTTTGAGCTGTTTTCTCAGGCGAGATTTCGGAGGAAACCACGTTCCAGTAGTTTGGTCACTTTGGATCCCTAATCGCGTTACGCAATAAATGTTTGTGTGTACTTTCGAATGGTTAGCGGAGCATCTTTCTTCTATAAGTATTTAACCATTTAAATCCCATAAGTGACCAAGACAGAATTTCTCCTTACGATATCAAGACATTATAAAGCAGAAAAAAAGAAAAATATCAATTAGGGGATTATTAGTTGATCCGATACCAAATTCCCCAAACTAACCTTACAAGAACTGTATGGTAGACATAAAGGAGAATTACTAATGAGATCTTTGAAATTAAAGGATTAAGTTGTTTATAAACATGCTGCGCAAGAGGTTGTCATGTGTAACAACCCCCTTAAAAATTATGCCCTCGTTGTCAGTTAGCGCTTTCATAGGCACTGCTGCTCAGCTGTAATTACGACGACTGGAACCAAAAGGAAACTAGAAAGCATCGGAGAATATCAATTTATTGTAAAACATGTACAAAGTGATAATATCAGATCATAATTATGTTAATCCGAGACTTCCTCCTTTTTTTCTTTCTTCTTTTTCTTCTTCTTCTTTTCTTCGCTCTTCGGGGTCTGAAATGGTACACAAGTCACGTAGATCATTTACATTTAAGTTAAAATTTAAACTGAGTTAGCAAGAAATATTACACCAAACGAGAGTGTGACAGAGTGAACTAGGACTTGTGTGACTTAGAATTGCGTGACAATATAGTCGGTGGTTAAGGAATGTTTGTAGGATTTCGCAACTTTAGTCTTTGTTATGTGAGCCCTTTGTGGGGTCTCATGTTTCAGTGTCTCGTGTGCTTCGATTCGTACAAAATGTAAAGTTCATTTACAGAAAACAAACGCCGTTGGGTTTTGAGGGGAATTAGACATTTACGGTTTGCATTTCTTTATTTACCCACTGCTACAAGAGCTATTCTTAATTGTTCCACGTGATTGGTCCAATGAAGCTCTTAGAATGAAAATTTGTCAGAATTAAGCCTTCCATGAAAAGTTTGATATAGTTACCGAGCTCTTCACTTCCCTCCCCTCCCCCCACCCCTAAACAAAAAGTCCTTCAACTCCGAAACAAGATTATTTCTACACCAGTCGAAAGACTTATTTCTCACCACAGCCGCGGAGGTCTCCAATTGTTCTTCGTCGTCTTCATCTTTAGATTCTTCGTTCTTCTTCTTCTTTTTTTTCTTTTCTTTCTTTGACTTTTTAGCCGGCGTCTCCCCGTCGACTGCGTTAAGGCAACATGAATATCATCAGTTAGCTAGGTTAAATAATTTTTTAGCATAACACATGGGGCAACACAACCGACAACGAAGAAAAGCAAGTAATACCCATTATTCTCATAGCACAGCTGACAAGAGGGGGGGAGAAAGCTCTTGGGTGTATTTGAGTCCCAACCCCCTATTCAAGTTTTATAGACACAAATATCACTCAGTATGTCCTAGGTTAGCGCTCCTTGTCTAATATTCTGACAAGCACAACCTTAATTCAGGATAGCTTTCACTTGAAAGCCGAACTTTGTGCTAACGGTAGCTTGAACGGAGTAAAAAACTTTACCTTCCCCAGTTATCTACACCAAACAAGATATTTAAAAGAATCGAACCACACACCTTCCTCTGTTACAGGCGTGCTCGGCGTAACTGGGACGCTGTCGCCTGGTGTCGAATCTCCATTTTCTTCTGATCTCTTCCGTTTCTTTCCTGGTGTGGCGATGGTCGAGTCAGTAGCCGGATTGTACGACATTACAAGGCTGAGGAGAGAAAAAAAAAGCGATTATAAATGAGCATTTGAAATAAGACTTGCGAGGACAAAAATTTAAGAAGTCACGTGCGTGCAAGATTTGCGTGTTAGTCGCGCGAGGGAAAATGGAGCGCGCAGAATTCACGAATCACGCGCGAGGTCCATTAACTTTCGGGTCCACCTTGTGCTTCTTGAATAACATGAGGGAAGATAAATTAATTAATTGGTTGCAATTAGTACCTTTTGTTTTCGTACTTGTCTACTCTTGCTTTGGCCTTGCCAGTACCACTGATTTTTCTCAGCTAAAGAGAGAATATCATTCATTTAGTGATATGGAAATTGATTTTCTTATGAGTTTCTGTCAGCTTCAAACGATCCGACACCCATAAAAAAAGGAAGGGAATTCCTCTCCCAGAATTTAGCGCAACGCGGAAACATGGATTTATACCAAAACATTTGTGGTCCTAAGCTGAAAAAAAATTCGGAATATTCTTAACAGAAGTCGGACTTGTAACCATGCGATATGAAATTTGGAAGCCTTTAGAGGGTAAGCCTTTAAACTAAATGTCCAAATGATCTCCAATAGCGGTTGGAAAACGCGGTAAGCCATGCAATGTCTGTCAAACGCGGGAAAATAGGAAACCGGTTTATTACCTGATTTTCTTCAAGTGCCTTCAACCTCATTTCAAGCTTTGCTCTGTTTTCAACCCCCATGGCCGTTCCACTGTCTTCTCCCAGGGCATCGACTCGTGCTGCAAGGGACACCTTGGCCGCTAGCATTCTAGAAATCTGTCACAGTAAAAGACAAAAAAAAATAAGACATTCGGATAACTATCTAAGTGGAAAAAATCATGACAACCGTAAGTACGCGACCATACGAGCATGAATCTCTCTAGAAACGGTGTTTTGCTGGCCCTCATTTTACAAAACAATTCTGCGTGCTGAAGAACGTACAAATAGATGAAAGGGTTTCTAAATCTGGGTGGAGTAGGGTGAGTATCTCCCAGCCCCCGCATCCCCCCGAACAGGTTTTCCGTAAAGGCCTCGTGATCGTAGTCAAATTTACATGAAAGGAAATAGGTCTTTATTTTCACAAATATTCACAAACCTTTCCTTTGTGTTTTGGATTTGTTTGACCCACAAGCGACGCATGGAAGATCAGACCATATTTGGGAGTATCACGTTTTGTTTTTAGTGCTCTGTTTAAAACAAAACAAAAAAACAAAGATTAAAAAAGAAAAAAAAACATTGCAACTATGGTATTATGAGATTCTGGACCAGGCTTTCTTTCTTTCTTTTTTTTTTCTTTTAAACCTTTAGCCCCTAAAAATGACAAGCATCTAATTTCTCCTTAGTATATAACCCCTGAATCAAACATGAAAGTCATGAGAATAGAGAATTGATCACCAACAAGAGCAGCTCTTGATTGTTAAACAAATTCTCCTTGTCAGCCTGTTGGAAATGTATGGAGAACAGTATAGAGAATATGCATACTAATGTTAGAGTGTAAATGTTTAACAGCTAGAAGTTCTCCTTTGATAGATGTGCACTCAAAGTCATGTTATTACCCTTACAAATCATACACCCTTTTAAGACCCAAGACCTTAAAAACCACATCCTGTTTGACACATCCTTCAATGCCACACAAAATCCCTTGCTGCTCCCCTGTGCTCATTACTAACCTGAACAATGCCTTCTCTGCACCCAAGATTTGAACTGTTGACGATGGATGCTTGGCTAAATTTAGAAGTGACCCTGTAAAACAGTGATCCAATTTTGTATAAGTGGCAACATGTATTACACAAAAAATATAAATCTGAAAGAATCACAGCTGTCACTTATTGTCATGACATGCATGTGAAAGGAAGTGGAATGAAGGTACAAGTGATTTTCATCTTGGTCGCAAACAGTTACGGTAAGATAAATATTTCGATTAGATTCCAAAAGGTGAATTATGTATTAACCAATCACAAAAAAGCTCCTCACAGGCCACCAAACATCAAAACCACAAACTAAATATCATTCATGTTTCATTTTCCTTTGCCTGATTGATTTTCTCAGACAATGAACAAAAATTTCCAAATATCATTTTGGTGTTCATGGTTTTCTAAGTGTCAGTGATTACTGAGCACAGTCCCACATGCCCTTAAATGTCAAAGATGCTTCAGAAGGACTCCAGACCCCTTACCCCTGTTGCAAATGACAAAAAAAGTTATTTCAATTCACCTGCATGTGCAATTAGTCTGGCACCAACAAGCTCTCCAACAAGCACAGTCAGGTTTGGGGCAATAGCTGTCATTCGATTCTTGAGGTAATCATACAGCTGAGCACGGTAATCAGTCATTTCAATGATCTGAAAATTGCAATGAAAAGTGTTCATGAAACAACTCATAGAATGGATAATTTTTTCAGGTAAGCTGTTGGTTTGAAAACACGCCTATATTTCATGTAATACCTGATCACAGAGGTAAATGATATTATTCATGTCCTCCTCAGAGATCTAGAAGGAAACACAGTCACAAACGTCAGCTCACAAAATTTAGCAATTGATTTTTTTTGTGTTAAAAAACCTTCATATACAACTCAGGTTACTTTCACTTGGTAGTGAGCAAATTCAGTAATTCTTGTTGAAAATTTGTGAATTTAAGTGTTCCATTGTGAACCATGATGACCATACCAAAATATGGATGCCTAGCTGTTGAAACATTTGGATATCAAACCAAGAATATGAAATGTCAGGCAGGTCAGTGAAAAATATAACCAGCACAATGTGAACACCATCTAAATTTCTCCACAGCTAAGGTGTGGTTGCATAAATGTGTAACAGCTCAGCTAGAAAATATTGTTTTGAATTCGGTAAACCAGCACTCTGTGCAATGAAAGTTGGTAAAACTATCAATAAAGTTAAAAGGTTAAAATTCAAGCAGGGTTGTTAAGTTTCATGTGAATAGAGCAAAGATACTGGGCATTCCATGTGAAAAAAAGCAGAGTCCTATATTTGAAATGGTAGAAAATCCAAGCTGTACAATCCCACCTCAGTTCCCATGGAGATCTCTGCAGCAGCTTTGACTTCCTCCTCAACTTCCTCAGGCAGAATCTCAGACAAATCAGTTTTATCAGCATTTAAACGAGTGCCTGGAAAATATGAAACAACAATGATCATGAACATGACACAAACTAAATCCTAAGGTATCCAAAGCTTAAGATAATTATCATGAAATAATTGGCTTTTCTCTTGTCAACCAGCCTGGGCTGATTTATGAAATCCTGCCTTAGCAAACTCTCTTCTGTAAAAATTCTTATGTGTAAATGTTAGAAAACAAGTTAAGCTGGTTAACAAGATCATGAGATCTTTGTGAAAGAGGGATAGAAATCTTCCCAAAGGCATACTCCACCCCAGTTTCTAGGAAAAACTAGTGCAAGAGACTGCACCTTTTCTATTTTGATAGCTGATAATTTTCTTTCCATTACCTTGGCTGAAATCTCAACTTGCTAAGAAGGACTAAAATTTCTCACTTCTCATCAAAATTCATGTGGGTTTTGGCACATTGACCTTGACATAAAACTTGGAATGTTATCAGAAAAAAAATTGGTGGGTAATTGGTGGAAAGTGCACTAGTAACATACACTCTCTATTTGAGACATCTGGTCCAGAAATATAATAATTATGCTTTTCAAACATAACAATGTACATGAAAAAAATACATGCTTCTGATTGGCTGAAAACCAGTACATTATCGTGTAAAACATGTGCCAAGTTGTAACGCAAGTGTAAATACAAATAGTGCACACTCACTTTCAAATTTTGCCTATCTTAACTTACTGTGATGTCTTTTCATGTACATTATTAACAAGTAATAACATGACTTCTCTTGCAATTTGCTGTAATTACCCTTAAGGCTTACAAATCAAGATCTTAAAGACCACATCCTGTATGACACACACCCTCTAAGGCCAAACAAAATCCCTCACTTCTCCCCTGAATAAGGCAAGCATGGTTTCCCAGGCACAAAAATGAAAGAAAAAAAACCAAAGTCCTATGTGCCTTGTTCCAATGCAGTAAAAAACAAGATTATGTCATAATAACCCTTACCCATAGTCTTGACAGTCTTTGCATAGGCCAGGTTGTCTGTGACAATCTTGCCTAGTTCAGGAAAATGCCAGCCATACCACTCACGGCAACGCATCACATAGTTGTTCAGTTCTTTGTCAAGGTCATCCAGTAAAGATATCGCCTGGACAATCATGGTGTCAATTTTGTCTGGACTGAACTTCAGCTTATAACGAGACAAGCTATATCAGATAACAGAACTTTGTTAAGAAGAGTAAACAAAAAAAAAGGACGACTGGTTTTTCGATAAAAAAAAAAAAAGCAGACATGGATATTAAAATGGAGAATTCAATTTAAAAAAACCAAACCTGTGTGCTAATCCCAAGGCCATAGCACTCATTTCTTTATTTGGAAGACCTAAAATGTTGAAAAGGAAATTTAAGGAATTAACCCTTTCACTCTCTGGAATGACCAACTTGGAATTTCCCCTCAAAACATCAACATATTTTCGAGCAAATGCTTCTTTGCAAATGGTTCACCAAGGTTGTCATTACGAGCAGATCTCAAAGAGTACTTTACAATTACAATATTAATGTATTGGTTTGAATACATTAATGTATGCAAATTTTATGGGTAAGTATGCAGCTGTTGAAGAAATGGTGTGTATTTGTTGAATACCTGTGATAAGACTTTCAAGCTGTAGCCTTATTCCTCGCATGAGCTCTTGAACTGCTGAGCTGGAGACACAATTCAAGCTAAGCTTCTCCTAAAGAACAAAAAGACATGGCAAAAATTCTTACTAATATGTAACTCTTAACCCTTTACACCCTAACATCAGTATTCATATTCTCCCTACTGTTCTCTGTACATTTACTAAGTTGCTGACAAGGAGAATTTGTCTAACAATCAAGAGTTTCTTTAGTTGATGATCATTTCCCTTATTCCCATGACCTTAATGTGTGATTCAGTAGTGATATTGTAAGGAGAAATAAGATGCTGGTCGCTCTTAGGGTTTGAAGGGTTAATTCTACGTGAACCACAGATGACCTGATGCTCAGAAAAGAGGAAACTTATAAATTCCTTGAATTGAAGGGATTCTGAAAATCTGGCCAGTACAAAAATATACTGAGCAGGCAGATAAACTTGAAAACTTGTACTCTTTAAAAAATGACCACTGCATCTACTTTTTTTACATTAGAAGAATTACAGGGATACACAATTTGTTTTTAAAACACCACTCAAAACTAGAGAGAAAAAATTGTACATCATTAAAAAGGTTTCTCACCTTGATGACACCTCCCAGCTTAGCATCAGCCACAGCCAATTCTTGGTGAATGTCTTTGGCAACAATTTTCTTTAAGACTTTTTTAAGACTCTTACCCATCTTCCCCTCTACTGCAGCAGTTGCAGCTAAAAACATAAATGAAAAGAAATGTAAATCAACGTTAACTTTTAACTCTTTTACCCCAAAGAGTGACTGGCATCTAATTTCTCCTTACTATATCACCCCTGAATCAAACATTAAGGTCAGGAGAATGAAGGAGCTGATCACAGATGAAAGAAGCTTGTGATTATAAGCCAAATTCTCCATACTGGCATCTAAGGAAATGTTTAGAGAACAGAATGGAGAATATGTATACTGCTATTAAGGTGTAAAGGGGTTTAAAGATACAGTAACCCCATGGTCAATGCATCAGACTCCTGATCAACCATTCCATTGGTCATTATATCATAATCTTTGGTTTGGTACCACAGCTCCAAGCTACAACCATTTTAGTTACCATGGTAAGAAGTAAAAACTTTTGGTACCTAAAGTTTGATTGAAAGTTGCCCAATTATTAACCCGTGTTCAGTGGTTTAGCAGTGAGCCTTTGGCAGGCCTCAGCCATACCACAAGGCTCACTGCTTATCCAAAAAAAAAAAATGTCAATGAGTAAAACAAAATTCAGATGTCAGCATTATGATCTGTTACATATCCTTAATACTGGCCTAGACCCCCCTTGGAAAGAATTTAGCCATACCCCTTGAAACAAAGTTATACAGACAAATACATGGTAAACTTTGCCATTCTACATAGAGAGTTAGTTTTAATGTAAATGATTGAATTAGCATCCTGTACACAATAATAAAATACATTGCATCAGGATTTTCTATACCCTCAAGATTAGCTGGCTTGCTCGACAAGCTCACCGTATAACAGCCTAAATTTAATTTACTGACAACCCCAATTACCATAATTATAAATGGCAATTAACCCTTTAACTCCAAAGATTTGATTGTTATTCCTCCCCTCTAGCTGCTACTCATTTCCTAGGAAGTTAGTTACATGGATTTAGTGTTAGATCAAGATAAAAACAACTACTCCATAAGTTTGAATATTATCAAGACCTGTCTGCTGGATAATGTATGAATATTATAAGGAGTAGTTAAATGTTCATCCTTCTGGGAGTTGGGGTTAATTGAGCAGTCAAAATAACATAATGCTATTGCAAACATTATATTTTCTACGTAGTCTACTAACCTGCCAAGGCTTCCGTTGTGTCATTGAACTTTTCAAAATGCTTCAATTTAACCCTGAAATACAAATCAACTTATATCAGAAGGTTTAAAATTGCAACTAAACTTAGTACGTAGATCGATTGAAAGAGATACGTAGATCATTAGATATAAAGACGGTACTTACACTTTGCTAGCGGCATCTGGTGTTTCAAAATCCTTGTACAGGTTATCGATTTTGTGTAATTTCTTCTCATCGAGGAGCTGAAGAAGCAAAGTTCAAGATTTCAGCACGATTCGAGCCAAACTTGGTTTAAGTTTGGAATGAAGAACTCAAAGGTTTTCGGCTGCAAAGCGAGCCAGATTTCGCCGTAAAAAAGAAAATCATTTCGCTATTTAGAGGCAAGGCACTTACCTTAAAGATCGCATAGCCTGCTGGCGTTTCGAAAAGTACTAACATGGTTAAAATAGTAAGATTATTTTCCTAACACGGCTACAAACATAAAAATACAAGAACACAATCTGCACGTGGAAAGAACTTCGGATCGGCTCGTCCCCAGATTCCCAAATTTGTCACGTGATCATGCAGCCAATGATTATATACTCACTAATTGCCCGTTAGGAACACGCTTGACAGGTGGACTATATTTGCTCTTTTTAATTATTTTCCGCTTCTCTCCTTGTTATATTTTAACCAAAATGGTAAATTTGAAAATTTTCTTTTTTGTTTCGTACTTTTATTCGTTCAATTGCGGTTATTCTATGCGAAAGGAAACTGTTATTTTGGTCTCCTTTGACGGGTTTCGGTGGGACTACTTAGACATGAATCGAACTGCCACGAAGAATTTCTCCTCTATCATGAAACAAGGGGTACGGGCTGAATATGTTAGGAACGTGTTTCCAACGGTAACTTTTCCCAATCACTACACTATCGTCACAGGGCTTTACCCTGAAAGCCACGGAATAATATCGAACTCGTTTTACGACGCGATTGCAAACACATCTTTTGACATGAACACGAACAGTTCCGAATGGTGGGACAAATTTGCCGAACCTCTTTGGGTGACAAGCGAAAAACAAGGACATAGAAGTGGTATGTGTTTTTGGCCAGGCTATGATGTGGAATACAAAGGCCAAAAACCGTCTTTTACCACGAGTGAATTTGGATTTGGAAGACCTTTTGCCCCTCGTGAAAACGAAACGATTTCTCCTTGGAAGTGGCGTGTTGATTTGGTTTTAAAATGGTTGAAAGATCCAGACCCACCGTCCTTTATCACTTTATACTTTGAGGAACCGGACGAAGCTGGCCATTGCTGTGGCCCAGACTCGGTAAATGTTACAGAAGAGATTGGAAGAGACGACGAAATTACGGGTTATCTCTTGCAAGAATTACACAAAGCAAATTTAACGGATGCAGTTAATTTGATAATAACAGCTGATCACGGCACTGCTATGTACAATTCAAGCACAGTCTTGAACTTGCATGAATTTTTACCTCCAGATTATTCCTTATGGATTCCAGGTTGGGCTTACTTTTCATTCAATACCACCAATGTAACAGGAGCGTTTAATAGTTTAAAGAAGGCAGAGAAACAGAAATCGCATTTTAATGTATACAGAAAAGAGGAACTTCCGGAAGAACTTCATTTCAAACACAGTAGGTTTGTAGCTGAAATTAATGTCATCTTGGAAGAAGGTTGGTTGGCAACAGTGGGACCCTTCAACCATTCCCACAAGGTAGTCACAAAAGGAACTCATGGCTGGCACCCATCCTTACCAACCATGCACCCTTTCTTCTTGGCACAAGGCCCAGCTTTCAAGCAAGATTATAAAAGTGGTCCTATCGAGATGGTTGACATCTATCCATTGATTTGCCATTTACTAGGTATAGATCCTTTGCCAAACAATGGCTCACTCAGTCGCATTACACACTTGCTGAAAGTTGCGTCAAATCCTTCACACTCAAATGACCACAGGCTAACAACTGGAGAAGTTATTGCCATAGTTATAGGTACAGCTATTGCTTTGACAGTCTGCATGTATGCTGTTTTAATGATAAGAAGGGATCGCCGACATATGGCTAGAGGTCACAGACATGGTGAAGGTAACCAGCCGTTACTGTTTGGAGATGAAGATGATGAAAATATGATTTAATATCTTATCAAAATGATCCACTGTCAAAAATAATGGTGATCACCTTGTGAACCCCAAAGGTGATTGACATGTACCAGTATTTTCTCACAATTCCATAACTCCATCCAGCATTGGAGGTAGGGAATAGATAAACTTTATCATTTAATGAACTATCTTGAGGAAACAAAATTCTCCTTATCACTTTATGAGGAACTTTTTAGAAGCAAGAAGGGAGAATTACTTATCAATCTTTGAAGGCAAAAGGTTAAAAATACTAATACAAAAGTGGTAAAGTATTCCTTGTGCATATTTTTAGAAGCTGAAGCAGGTGGTTGTAGTAGGCACTTTCTCCATACTGAAGGATGGCTTTCTAAACTCTAACATGCACTGAGTTCTATCGAGAGCCCTGAATATGTAACCAAAGTTTCTAGTTGCTAGAAATTATCTTGGCCCTGGTAGTGGAAAGGGTGGGTTTAAATGCGGATAACTGGATAAATCTCCTTCCAGTAGATGGTGCAGCATCTATTGTTAACACTTTACCTCTATATAGTGAGTAATTAGTTAACTCTTTAGTCCTAGAAGTGAAAATTGGCTAGCCTGGTAAGATGTGACCACAACTCACTGAAGACTACAAATTATTGACAAGTCTTCCTTCCACCTGACATTGTACAAAGCCACAACTATCAGGACTCTAACACAACGAGCACAACTTGTATGCAACACAACAGACAGCTTATCTCATGAGAACAAATACCTCAACTGTATTTTTTCGAGAAACAATGACAATGATGACTTCATTTGATGAAACACTCACCATCCTATGGCATCTCAATCAGCTAACATGAACTGAACTTAGTGCACTCGACTGACAACAACTTTTCACTTGACTCTGAAAACAACTTCTACTCAGGTTGTTGGAACATCAGTTACCACTTATGACAACATTCCCTCTCAGAACTACTCTCACATGGGCCATCAGACCACACAATCAAGTTACTCCCAGGTTCAAACCATTCTCTGTCCTAGAGGTGATTGACATATAACCTCTCTCTACAATATCTATACATTATCCGGCAAATGTGTAAAGAAAATACTCAAACTTATCAGGTAGAAGTTGCCTTGATTTAACAAAGTCATTTAAATTTACTAAAGGTTTTTTTGGAATTTGATTTTTTTTCAATTTTGTTATTATTTACTTACTTATTTACTTACTATTTCTGTGGGTCTGTTCTGTAATAGGTCACAGATGATGTCAGAATGTGGTAAGAACTAAAAAAAGGGGCAGGTGAGGGGCAGCTAAGTGTGTCACCAATGTTTTTATCACATGTTGACATTTTCTGTGATTATCAGTAGAGCCCCATGAATCAAACTTGGTTTACTCCAACCCTGGGGTAACTCAAACAAGATCACATTTCCCTTGATCCCATTTTTTTTCCTAGTCATTTACTATCAGCTAACTTGAACCACCACTAAACCCTTCAACTCCCAGAAGTGACCAACATGTAGCTTCTCCCTATGATATCTGAATGTTTTCTAGCAAATGGTTGGTGAGAATACTAAAATTTATCAAGAAGTTTTTATCTTGATCTTACACCAAATTCTCACTACTAAAATTTACAAGGAACTGTGTAGCAGCAAAAGGAGAGAATTAACAATCAACAGCTTGACACAATCTCCACCATTGTTGTAAATGGTTACATCATATTTTGTTTATGAAGCAGTCCTGACATGCCATAACATGACAAGGCACACCCAGGAATATCTTTAAACATCACTCTATAGTTATATTGGTAGGGCAACAATGATACACACTACTCTCTTGAAGCCTTGAGTGACCTCTGAAAAAAAGCTAACCACCTTCCAAACTGACCTGTTTATCTCAACTGACCTCTTTGTTTTTTCTCAGGTGAAACACAGAGATAATTTTATTTTGCATCAAAAGTCACTCCAGGTTTTATTCTGGGCCCCAGCAACCTTCCAATATATTAAATGTCAGTTATTCATGGTCATATCTACACAGCACACACACACAAAGAAAATAATGAAAATGTGTTTTCACAAGCCTCTATCTCAATTACAAGAAATCACCATAAATAAAGAATACAATGTCAAGAAGAGCTCTATTTATTTTGGCTCTGCTCTACAACATTGAGCCTATGGCAATAAAATCTCACCATTCCCAAATATCCACCATTGGTTTTTCATTGGTAGCAACTTGAATTACACTCTCAACAAAACTTGGGAAAAAGAAATGTACTGTTTCAACAAAACTTAAATACCATGGGAAATATATTTGCCTTTTTCTCAAAGCAGCTCCTTTGATCATGGAAAGAGCACATTCATCCACAGGTTCTCTCTTTATACCTTTGTCCACAGGAAGGCCTTTGGTCATAGTGCGAGCATTTTTTGTCTCAATATACCCTAAAACACATAATGTGACAGAAATTCCACGCTGGCCTTGCAGTGCTAAATCTTGACGCAAGCTGTCAAAAAATCCATGCAGTGCATGCTTGTTTCCACAGTAAGTTGAAACCCTTGGCACAGGAACAACCCCAACAAATGATGACACAACAAGTATGCTTCCATTGGTCTTCTGAAGGCCAGGGAGCAGTAAGGTAGCGATATTGATATAACTTATGGTATTGACAGCAAAGTACTGAGGAATTTTTTCAAGGCTGCTGTTCTCGTTCCATAATTCATAAAATGGCTTTAAATGGTTGAGAATTAATACATCAGGTCCATCAAATAGCTTGTTAGTTTCCTATTAAAGACAACAATAAGTTCATTTCCTGGTATCTTACAAGGGTTTATAATGACAGATTAAAGTCAGGCAACAAGACTAAGGAGTAAAGCGTTTCATGATTCCAAAACAAGTTCTATTACTCAATTTCTCAGTTTGATTATATGCACATAGAAATTCAAACTGATATGAATTTGTGTGGTTACCTTCAGGGGAAAAAGTCAAATAAAAAGACAGAGATTCACACAATGTTTTTATCAAATGAGAGAAATTGTTACTGCAACCTGTCCCTCTAATGTGTCTCTAGGACCTGCCACCTTGCATACTTGTACCTATAAGCACACTAATTGAGGAGCAACTATAGAATAATGGGGCAGATCACAAAGGGATGTATTGTGATGTTAATGAGATGTGAATAAGTAGCCCTTCATTCCTTTGATTTACCTAAATAAAATGACAGAGACTTAAACGGCAATGATTAGAAACTAAAAAAAAAGAAAGTGCGCTCTTTGATATCATTCAAAGGGGATGGGGGTGGGGTTGGGGTGGCTTGGTTCAAATGTTCCATCTCGCTGATCTGGCAAAGCAAGCAGATCAGACTAAAAATTGATTGCTTCTTACCTCAGCTAGATACTTGGCAGCCTCCAAAGAAGACAGATCAGCAACGACGTAATTTGCCGTCTGTGCTCCTAATTCTCCGCAACGTGCCACAACTTTTTTAAGTTCTTCTTCACGCCTGGCAACAAGTAAAAGTTGAGCTCCAAGTTTGGCATATTGATAAGCGAGTTCTTCTCCAATTCCAGTCGAAGCTCCACAAATCACGACCTTTTTGCTTCGTAGAGTTTCAGGATCAAAATTCTCACTCGTGTACCAGGCAATCAAAACCGCTACAAGAGCTGTGACTATTCCTAGAAACGCCGCAACTTTCAAGACCGCCATTTTCCGAACGCCCAATGCTTGGTTGCAAGGAACATATTCGGAATTCACGAGTATTTCCGAAACCTTCCGATAATGTATCGACTTTGCTTCGCACGCTATATGTTGTTGCTACGTGTCAGTGACCTGAGACAACCTTGTCTCGAAGAGTTACCCTCCAAAATAATGCGTTTTAATTTGACACATTTTCCTTATTTAATCACTGACTCTTCGCTACAATGAAAGTGGTATTTATAACAAAACAAGGCTGGTGGATTATACTTGCCGCTTGTGTATTTGTGCTAGGAAACTGCGTGCTTCTCTATCGCTTCATCAACAAGACTTCGATTGCTGAGCTAGAGAAAGCTGCCAGATTGAAGGAAATATCGGATAGCTATCTTGAAAATTTAAAGGAGTCGGACTCCAAATTAAAAGATTTAGCTGAAGCTGTTCAGAGATTGCAGAGTAAACCCGTGAAATCCGATAATGTTGGACTTGAGATACGTGAACAAAACAACAATGAGGTTCATGCAGGCTTCCAAGTGGAAACACCAGCTGAAGTTCAGTTGAAATCAGAGCCACAGAAAACTGCAACATTGTTGAAGTCAAAGTTACTTTTGCCAGTTACAACAGCAGCTGAGGAATTTGTGGCTGCAGTGCTAGTTATGGCGTGCAACAGACCAACAGTGAAGCGTTGTCTAGATCTTTTAATAAAGTATCGCCCTTCTGTTAAAGAATTCCCCATTGTTGTAAGCCAAGATTGTGGGGATGCTGCGACAGCAAATGTCATTAGATCATACGGAAATCAGGTCTCATTCATTCAACAACCAGACCTGTCAGATGTAAGAGATGTCCGGGCCAACATGCGTGGAATGATGGGTTACTTTAAAATAAGCCGTCATTATAAGTGGGCTTTGGGACAAGTATTTGATAACATGGGCTATGACACAGTCTTGATTGTTGAAGACGACCTTGATATTGGTAAGTTTTTACAGTCCTCTATAAGAGCAGGAGAGAGGTCTGTGCCACTCTCTCTTCCAGTCAAATTAAAAACTCATATATAATCATAACTCTGTAATTTAGTATCATCAACTGAGTTGATAACTTAAATTGGCCATCATAAATAGTTTCAAAGCTGATGATTCAAGTGTTAGCCCTTCATCATGTGCTCTGACAAAGGGCTAGATCTCAAAATGTCAGCTTTGAGTTTCTTTAAGGTGGCCAATTTATGTTACCATTACCCTGTTACACTCTCCCACCAACGCAGCACCACCGTTTCTCTATAGACTTACACCCTTTAATCATAACTTGGCCACTTTCATTACTCATTTATCTAGGGAGTCAGGGTAAGGCTTGAGCTGAGTGGCCCAGTCAGCCAGAGCTTGTCCCAGTTTCCCAGTTTCTTTAACATGAAGCAACATGGAGTATCACTTTAGTATTCCCCCCCCCCCAACCCTTTCCATAATTTGGTGCTAGTCCATTGCAAGGTTACCCCTATTGCATTTCATCTCATTTCATGAGGCTTTCCTGACAATTCTCTGGTATCTGTTTACACTCCTGGGTCGAGAGAAGCACTGTGACAGTTAAGTGTTTTGCCTAAGAACACAACACAATTAGCTGGCCAGACCTCAAACCCAGACATTTTGACTCAGGGCCCAGTGCACTAACCATTTGGCCACTGCCTCTCTCTGCTCTGGGTATTTAACATGGTACTGCAACCTTTTCTGCATTTTGTTGAATTGATAAAAAAAATTTGAAAGAACTCAGTTGGCACTCGTGCCCTGGCGCAGGCAATTATGGAGTTTATTTTATTTTTATTGTTCAATTTGAGGCTTGCACTCACTGGTGAATTCAAATGATTCAACTGTCAATGACATAATATGTTTTGTTATGTATAAAAAAAAAGTGGACTTGGAATTTTTGGGGCAAGCTGGACTTGTATTATGCCTTAGGCATATAAAGGGGTTTTCTAGTTGATTTTATGAATTTTGAGGGCTGTCAGGAAAACCATTAGAGCACACGGTGTTATTTAAGTTTTCATTGGCTCCTTGTTATATTTCCTTTGTTCTCATTGGCTGTTTTTGCAGGTTTGGTTTTTGTTTACATCAAACCATCAAACTGCATTCTGTTAAGTGCACAGTTAGGTGCTAATTTGTTATTTCATTTATTTCCACCCTTACAGCACCAGACTTTTATGAATACTTCAAAGCAACAAAACCCTTGCTGGACAAGGATCCAAGCTTATGGTGTGTCTCGGCTTGGAATGATAATGGAAAAGAAGGAATGGTTAAAAGAAATGATGTTCTTTACAGAACAGACTTTTTCCCTGGACTTGGCTGGATGATGAGAAAATCTCTTTGGATAGAACTAGAGCCAAAATGGCCTCTTGGATTTTGGGATGATTGGATGAGGGAAGCCTCGCAACGTAAAGACAGATCATGTATTCGACCAGAAATTCCACGGACAAGGACATTTGGCCGAGTAGGTGTTAGTCGTGGACAATTTTATGATCAGCATTTGAAATTTATCAAGCTAAATGACCAAAAGCACCCATTTTCAAAAACAGACCTTTCCTATTTACTGAAAGACAACTATGATCAAAGGTTTGTAGTACGTGTACATTCACTGCCTCTCGTAACTGCTGATCAATTGGTAGAAAAAAAGGTTTTTGCCACAGATGTACAAGTTCACTACTCTTCGCCAAGGAACTTTGAACAAGTTGCTAAACAACTTGGTGCAATGACAGACTTTAAGGCAGGAATACCCAGAATGGCATACAAAGGCATAGTTTCAATTGTGTTCTCAGGAATTAATGTGCACATTGTTCCATCAGAGTAAAGCATCAGAGTTTTATTGCAAAGTACACAAGCAAGCAGTAATTTGCTAAACACATCCAATGATGAACATAGGGTTCCCTCTACTGGAACAGAATGCTAACAAAGAGCAAATCAGAGTGAAGCAACCACAAGAAATTGACCAGAGCTGAAACTATAAACAACTGTAAAATGTGATTCTGTCCAAAATGAGACAATAACCAAATATTGAGCAATCAATATCAAGTGTATGATATCAAGCAACCCTATTTATTCTCAACAAACCTCATCAACAAATGGAAATTTAACCACTGGGGATCTTTCTCTAGCTCATCATGGTGGACTTCTAATAAATATGATTTTGTCTTAAAAAAAAAATCAACATTTTCCATGGTCATTGAGGTGTTTATTTTTTAAGACTGCCATTGTTGTCAATTCCTACCCTTTTCTATCAAACTGCTCCTTGTTTTCAGACGGCTCTTCCTGGTTAGCTCTCCACAATCTTTGGTGTGCCAGCCATTGAAAAAAATAGTTGGCAGTAAGAAGTAAGTTAGTGCTCGAAGGGCAAATCTCCGCTACATCTATTCCCTTTGGTTTTAATTTTACTTTTTTTTTCTAGTGTTAATAAATCTTTTTAAGTATACAGGTGAACAGAAATAAAGCAACGTTAAAATTCATTTCAGATCTCAACAGATATTTTACACTATTTTGCTCTAACTCCAGAAACAAGTAACCTGTGAAAATACCGGTTTCTGTTGCTTCTGGAGAACGCTGAATCTTACTCTTTATCACTGTGTAGAGTTGAAATAATTGATAGTACACTCTCAAACTAGACTTAGACTCTTGCAAAACTTGTTTCCAAAGTCAATGATAGATTAGGTTAATTTTAGCAAAGTTTAATGACTGAACATATGTAACAATCATTAACCAAAGTGAGGTTGAGTAGGGTTGGATATTTACCAAGTTCCAAAGTGGCAAGGTTAATATTCAAACCTTTTGCTGACTTTTGAGGTGAATACTCATTTTAGTATATACCACACAGGTTACCCTAAGCTCTTGAAGTGCAATTTTGTCTTCCTGGCTCCTCGAAGGTGAATATTTCTTGCTAATTACTTCCGAACTACCCAATCAGGGCATGCGAAAAGTACTTCTAACCTGTTTTCTAAATACAAATAAAAATTATAATTGTACTTTTCCAGGTTGGCTTGTTTCTTTGTACAAGGAGAAGACTTTCTTGCCATCCAGCCATTTAAAATTAATTGAAGTTGAGCTTTAAACACTGCCACTTTCTTGTCAACCTTTATTCTCCTTGTACCTTCAATTTACATCATCTTTTCCAGAAGAACAAAATATTTTCACTGTGCAATTTCCTCTGACTGAATGTTCCTTGCAATCAAACCATTCCACATACAATGATCAAACTTAAAGTGCTACACTGACAACAGCCACCATTAAAATGAAAATCAAAATAAAAATGTTGTAAAATAATATTCAACAAGATTAGCAGAACTATTTTAACACCTTTGAGTTAACAAAGAGTTAGCAACTGCAAGTAAAACTTTGAATTTCTCTTGAAAGGCTCTAATACATCAATATATACAGAGTTTGATGGACAATTTAAGGACATTTATTGCTCCTTCACTCCATCATCTTCAGCAGGTTGATCAGCATCTTTTGCTGCATCATTTGCCTCATCTGGTTCTTGTTCTGCATCCTTTTCTGCATTTCCTTCCACAGCTTCATCCTCCTTTGCCTCCTCATGGCTTTCTTTGACCGAGTCTTCTGTCACTAGTTCCTCCTCCTCCTCTGTTTGTTTAGCTGCCTCAGTTTCCTCATTTTGTTCATCTGCTGTTTCTTTGCTTTCCTCTGCACCTTCAGGTTCATCAGCAGCACTTTCTTCTCCAGATTTGACCCCTTGTTGGAGATTAAGTTTACATAAGTGGATAATGATAAAACAACTTTTCCCAGCAGCTATTAATGACACCAATTTTCAATTGAATGTCAAAAGCAATGCCTTTCTTTTCCCATACTTAGCCCAGTTGGTGTGTGTTTACCCTTTGAACTTTCATGCATCCATTTCATGGGAAACTTCCCTTTTTTCTAACTGGTTGTGGTGATTAAATTAGTTGACAAATTGTCTAGCATAAAAAACGACCCAGTCTGAACCTCCCTCATTTTACGTTCTGCCCCTACTACCAAGCTGTTTAATATTTCGCACAGACTTTGGACTGTTTACCTGATCAATGCCTGGAACAGAGTAAACCTTTTAGGATTAAGTTTCTAAAGAAACTGTGGTGTTGTGTAGGTGGGGGAGTGTAAGAAGATAATTTGGTTTTATCATCTGAGTTGATAATGAAAATTGGCCACCATGAAGAGCTTCTAAGCTGATGTTTGAAGCATTTATTTAGCCCTTTGTCAGAGCAAATGGCTAAGGGCTAATGCTCAAAATGACCGCATTAGAAACTCTTTATGGTGACCAATTTACAATATCAACTTCGATGACAAAACCAAATTATATTATTAGTTAAACTTTTAGAGAGTTTATCAATACCCTAGGTCACTTATGTTTAATAACAAGCAATAGGGCTCTGGTCATCTAAGATCTTCAGGCATAACTGCTCATTAAAAAGGAGTAAACACCATGACAACCCACTCACCTTGTGTGATTCTGTCATTGACGTCATTGATGGCTTTGGATATGGCATTTTCAGCTGCATCATCCTCCAGTATTTTGGCTAGGTCTAAGGCTTTTTCAAAAGATTGCAGGGCATCTTTGAGATCTCCAAGCTTCACTAAATTGCAAACAGTCAAGTTGTATTGTTAAAGATCAGTCAGTGGAAAACTTCTTTTTAAAAACCTTAAATGATGATTGTGTGGCCTGCACTGTAGTTCACTAACAAGTTTAAAAATAATTCACTTCGACCTGTTATTATCTTTCTCTAAACAGGATAGCTGGGACATTGCTCAAATGCTGATCTTGGCAGTATGTAGTACACTGGTTGCATATGATACTAGGAAATAACATTGCTCATAAATGAATTCTATGCTGCTCAGTTGGATCTTTCAAAAGCAAAATTGTAGCCATCTTGCTTATGAATCTTCCTGGATATTTAGAGTTGTCTTTAAACTTTAAGGTACTCCAGCAAATCCCAAGATCTGATTGTTAATTCTCTCCTCTTGACTAACTTCTACACATTTTCTTGCAGTTACAAGAATTTAGATCAAGCTGACAACTTCTATCTGAAAATTTTGAGTATCCTCATGACCTGTTTGCTGGATAATGTATATATATCATAGTTGGAAGTTACATGTTAGTCACTTCTGGGAGTTGACAGTTTATATTTAAATTCAAACAAGGCCTATCTTATTAGCAACAAAAATCACCTTCAGCTTGAGCTGCAAGAACTGTGGCATTAAGCTGCCACACTTTATCATCTGCTTGCTCTGCTGCAGCCAATGATCTTTGACCAAACTCTTTAGCATCCTGGTAGTATTTGAGCTCTAAATGACACCTGCCAATTTCATGATAAAGCCATGTGCTTTCTAAAACTGATTTACTGAGTGGAAGTTTCTCCATCCAGGAATCGATAGCTTTGGTGTATTCTCCCATCTTAGCATACAGTCTTCCAAGGTTGTCCAGCGCTCGTGATTTAGCTTCCTTGTTCTCCCTAAGAGGGAAATGTAGAAAATAGAGGAAAGTGTTTTAATTTATAAGCTCTCTTAATATTGAATGGTCATTGTTTATAAGGTATCTCACAATTGTCTGTTAAAATTTCATTCATAAAATTTGTACTGCCCCTTTAATGATTACAGGTGCCTATACCACCATCAGCAACTATTTGATGATGAAACCTCCATGTGATCCTAATTATCAGGAGGGTGTACACTGAGCTTCATTTCTTTCTGCTTCATGGGAAAAAACCATAATATGGTATTTTCCAGCAACTGACTTCATTAGAACACAGATCACTTTAATTTACCAAATTCTATCAGCTGGACCAGTTCTTGAACTGTATCTTTTTACAAGTAACAACTTACATTTTTTTAGCAGCCTTCAGATCTTTTTCATGGAACTTCAAAGCTTCTTCATAATTTTCCATCTCAAGATGAGCATTTCCAATACAAGAGTACAAATTACCCACAACCTCTGCCTTGTTTGGGACACTCTCTGCTCCTAATGACTGTACTGTTTTTAAAGTCGACTGTGCCTTATTTAAACTTGTCTCTGGATCACCATCTGCCAATGCCTGGTCTATTTCCTCCAAGGATCTCAAGATGAATTTTGTTGTGTCAGCAGGGAGTTGCCTCTGGGGAGATTTTCTTGGGGGCAGTTTCTTGTTCTTGCGAGCATAAAGTGGTTCTTGTTGTCTCCAGAATTCAATTCTCGTATCTAAATAACTCAAGCCATCTTGGACCAGATCATAAATTGGTTTACTGCTATTTCCATGAATAAAATCTACAAAAAAAGAAAGTAAAGTTTAGGAATGCAAGACTTGCAAGACAAACACTCAGAATTTTGTTATGGAATGTTTAGCGGCTAACTTGAATTTTTTAGGCAGACAAATTCTTGGGAGAAAAAAGAAATTTCATTCCTAATTAACTTAATTGCCAGTGGTCTCTCAGTTTCTACCAATCCTGATTTGAAACTTAAGAAGCACCTTTCCGCAAGGCCCTAATTTACAATTGAGACATAGTGGATAGTAATATTTGAAACCTTTTGACACTAAGGGCCAGTTTCCATGCTAGGATTGAAACAAAACAAGAATTGTTCTGACAAAAACAAAGGACAAATTTTTTCATTTACAAATTTTTGTTTCATCTGTTGTGTCCACTTTGAGATTTCCAAAGCCGTCAGATTCAATCAGCACCTGATCTGTCTGTAAGACCAGCCAGCATAGTTTGCCAAAGGACTCCAATTCCAATCATTAGGATTTATCCTAGGTTGTTTTGCAACAAAGACAATTTTTGCACTTGTAAAATGTTGGTGATGACAAAAAATTGGCCTAACTAAACAACTTTTTCCATGGAGCAGAAAAGGCCCTTACCCTTCAGAACAAAAATTACACCTCCACTACATGCTGCCAAAAGTTAATTGACCAAATAAGGATGCCTACGGCTATATGTTTATGCTAACTGTTATTTCCATCTCTGCCTAGAATTAAACATCATGGAATACACACAATAAGAGTAAGTAAAAAGGCAAAGAGATGAGGAAATTAGAACTGTTGCATATGATGTTGCATACCTTGGTCATCCATCAGTTTCTCAAGGTACTTCTTGTCTGCGTACAATTCACCTAAAAGCTGCAAAAAAAAAAAAAAAGGAAAAATTAAACCAACAATCAAAAGTGATTCAATTGAGTCCTGATGATCAAACAGCCAGAAAAATTAAGACTCCACTGACAAAGGTATAGTACTGTAAAATGGGCTTACTTTTTTGACTGTTTTTTCTGATTTAACAGGACTTTTGGTGTTTTTTCCTCGGTTTGCTGCTTGTTGTTGATTTCTTGCTGCCAGAGCAGTTGGTTTGCTGTAGCCTTTAGTTGTCTTTTTCTAACATTGAATAAAAAGAAATTTAAAAAAAAATAAGTTGCAACATTCAACAGCATTGATGGAAACTTAGAGCTCTTTGAGTCGTTGAACAACTATTGGTCATGGTAAAAAATTTACCCCATAGAATTACATCAGAATTCAATATCCTAGGAATTAGTACTCCTTTATAAATAAGGACAACATCTTTTGATGTATACATGAGCTACTGAGATGATGTTACTAACTTAAAAACAGTCTTATACTCACAGCTTCATCCTGTTTGGCAAAAAAGGACAAATCTCCTTTATTTTCCAATTTGACCCTGGCTTTACCTGGAAAGCAAACATCAATAAAATATTTGTTTACAGAATTACTCTCATGATATGTGGTAAGTGACGTTTTGTTAGTGTTAAGTTTCACCTTAAAAGTATACACACAGTAATGTATATAAAAAGAAATCTCTGGTCGCAGTTTTACATCTCACATGTGCATTCAGTAACTGTAACTAAATAATGTATAAGTTAGAATGGTCAGTGCATGCAAGGGGCAAAGTTATAAAAGGACTTTGAAAAACATTTAAGACATAAATGAAAATTACAGCATGTGAAACTTTTTTAAAATGCAAATTATCACACATTGTTAAATTTTGGTTTGTAAACATATCTCTTCTCACTAAGGGAGGTCAAAAAATTCATTACACAAAATCAGATCTAGATGGAGTGTCACAAAAGTACAGGAAAGATATGAGATCAATTCACCATATTGGTCTTTGTATAACTGGTTGGGGGGGGGGGGTTAGTTTTCAAGACCAACCACAGAAAAACATCAGATTAAACCATTGGCATTCAATATAAATCTACTCAGTAAATTAATTCTAACAAGTAATTCTTACTTCCAATAGCATTATCAATGGCCTCTTGAGCTTTCTGGATGCCAAGTTTGAACTCCTCTTGGTCTTGTCTCAGCTTATATCCACGGTGATAATACAAGAGAGCATACTCAAACTCTCCCTTGGAATAAAGAGCTTCTGCTTTCTGATAAAGGCCCTGTATATAAATAAATTCCCTTTGTTAGTGACTGAAATGTTGAACTTCCACAACAAATGAGTACCGTTAGTAAGAAAATTACTCTACCATACTTACCTTTCAATAAAACATTGAGGAAGAATTCCTCAAAATAAGGATACTTGCCAAAATTTAATGCAAGAAAATTTCCAATCATTTTCTTTTTTCAGAGAGGGAATTTAAGACAGTGGCAGATCCAGACCTTGAGCTGGGGAGGGGGGAGGGCCGGCGGTTTTTCGTCACTTGCCATACAGCTTTTCTTCCATCTGTGATTCTCGCCCCCTGGGTCCCTCCCCTAGATCCACCATTGTTAGAGCACATCCCTTGAGATCCCTATCCCTGTAACTCCCGTCACTGAGATGAAAACCTTTTAACCCTTTAACCCCTAAGAGTGACTAGTATCTAATTTCCCCTTACAATGCCACCACTGAATCACTCATTAATGTCATGAGAATAAAGGAAATGATCACCAACTAAAGAAACTCTTGATTGTTAGACAAATTCTCCTTGTTAGCACCTTAGTAAATGTACAGAGAACAGTTTGGAGAATATGAATACTGATGTTAGGGTGTAAAGGGTTAACAATGTCAGGATGAAGTCAAGGGGATTATTCAACAATATTCACTGAGCCTAAAGGCAAATAATTATTTTAATATAATTGCTCAGGTGCTTTTGAATTCTGTAGCAATGTCATCATGTTGTCACCATTCTATAAATAAAGAAAACTTTGCATATCTTTTGTTATAATTTTTTTAATTACTTGTATCAAGATGAGCAGCCAGTTTCGGATCAATATCAGTATCTGGGCAACTGCCCACCTACCCCTCCCTTAACTCAACAACAGTCAATTGATAACAAGTTAAGGTTAATGTTGGGTCAGGGGAGGGGTAGGTGAGTAGTTGCCCAGATACTGATATTGATCCCCAGTTTCTACCTGAATTTAACAATGTAAAATTTATATTTTATCTTTTAAAAGTGTTCTACCAAACTTAGTAGCAGCCTTTATGCTCTTTGGGATTAAATTTTACACTATCCTTGACCAATCAGATTGTGTATGTCTGAATAATCACCAGAACAATTATACTAAAAGTAAATACTTAAATATTCCTCACAGTTTCAATGCATCATCTAATTAACAAGTTATAAGTCAGAATAATCAACTTATCAGTTACATGTAGAAGGTGTTACAGATGTAAAACCAAATTCTCTTGTCAAGTTAACCATGAAATGAGTAGTATCTAGAGAGGTGAATTACAAATCAGATCTAATGGTTTAAAGTGTTGACAGGCTTCCAAACCTTGTTATATTCTTTATCTTCTGCAAGTGATTCTTCTGCATCTCTCAGTGCGGCATCAGCATTGCCTAACCTCAAGTAACACTTTGATCGCTGGACAAGACACACTTTGTAACCTGGCTGTAGCTCCAGGGCCTGTGAAAAGAAGATGTAAATAGGTCATTTAATTTCATTTGAACATTCTAGGGTTGAGTCCCATAAAACCAATATTGAGGTAATTGTGTCAGCCAATCAGAACAAATCACAGAGAACTGAGATGCTTGTGTGGGTCAGGACAATGCACATCATTTGTGGGCACATTAGATAAATATTTGGTATCTAAAATTTTTTAATGATCGTAAAAAACTGGTTCTAGTTGTATGAAGGGCTGAGATAACACCATCCAACAGATAAATTCACCATCCAGTGGATAACTTTTAACAAAACGTACTGCACTGTCAACCAGATTGAGATTCAATCCTGCTATTTAACAAACGCAACAAAGCAAGTTCAATTCCTAGTCATTAAATTTTGTCGATCTCATGTCGGATCAGAGAAAAGACTAACATCCTGTAACCGCTAATATTTTGAAAGGTCCAATCACAGTAGGAAGTCATGCAACGACAGCAACTTGGCTACAAAAGTACATCACGATACTTAAATAATCACATAGATAAACGGTAATTTTGTTTTATTATCTTTAATCTTGAACTAATGGCAAGACTTCAACACTTCCAAAGCAAAGAAGTAGCATTTATAAGAGCTCGAATAAATCAGGATATTCTAGAGAATCGTAAGTGTTTTTGATCAAATAATATTTCATTGAAATCGACCAAGTTATTCGAGTATACCTGAGTGTAACTATCCAGAGCCTTTTTGTATTCCCCCTGGTTAAAATGCACATTTCCTTCGGAAAGGTAAGTCGTGAAAGAACTCTTTGGCCCTTCTGGTTCGTCGTCGTCGTCATACATGGCGGAAAAATGGCTTTTTTCCCAGAAGACTACGGATAAAATAAAATTACTCACAACACGACAAAACTGTAAATATGGCCCCTTGACTGTTCTTGCTTGTCGTTAAGGGAGTGTTGCTAAGTAGAACCCAGTACTTTGCCTCTACAACAACAACCGCTGTACAGTGTTTTTGTGTTTAGAAAACCTTTGTCGACAGTGGTCGAGGTACTTCCTACAAATGAAAACAAAAGATTAGTTTTGATTTGACAAGTGCTCATTTGACGTAAGGTTGAGTATTCTCGTTACTGTCTTTCTATGGATATAATAGGGAGAAATTATATGTTAACCCCGGCTGGAGGTGTGTAGGGTTGTTTAAAAGTAATATAAGCTTTTTTGATCTCACTACTTCCTACTGCAATTTATTTTGTGGAATATACATAAAAAAAATTTGTTATGTGTCATGGGCAATTTTAATTTGTTTAAACGAATGTTTTTCCTTATTTAGAATTTCATTTCCCTGAGGGTTTTATTGGAAAATGACTAATTCAAGCCTTTCAGGAAAAGAAAAATTACCGTCAGTACAGCCGACATTTAACAAAAAAGTGCAAACAAGATTTTCATTGAAAATTAAATGAAAGTGAGGGACAAAAAAAATTAAAACGTTTTTATCGTAGATGTGATAATCTCTATGGACATCTTTTTATGATCATTTCTTACGCATCACACTATTCGGGGTTTTCATTTATTTGTCGCGTGTTTAGATGCATTAGCAACAAAGTGTTACATTTTTTTCCGGGCCCAACTGGAAGAAATTGTAAAAATTTCCTGGGCCAATCCAGAATTTTCTCCATATATGAGCAGACGATGACGTAGCTTATCGCTAAACCAATCAAATTACAAAACCTATTTGATGGAGATTGTTTGTTGTCGAATGTAGTTTTAGGTATCCAAACTTTGGGTACTGTATATGGAATAACTCCAATCAGAGGTAACAAGACAATGTGGAGATACCGATGTTTGTTGGAAGAGTCTCCGTTGACACAAACTACCTGTCTGTGATGATGTAGTTGGCGGCGTTGTGGAAGGAAGACGCTTGTACTCGCGGACATCGCGTTGTCGAGAACGTACGCGAAGCTCCTGAGAGCTACCATGGGTAACATTCACTGCTGTGTCCTTCCTTCACCTCGTGGTGGACCTGCAGTGAAAAACGAACCCTATGATAGAACAGGGCATGCCAACGAGACGTTCGAACTACCGCACATTAGCGATAGAGAAGGTAGCGGTGAGCAAATTGTTTGTGAAAGGCCAAGAGGTTATAGTGATTGCATGCTCGGCGAAGCGAATTGGATGATTGATGTTTTTTCGTCTAATTTCTTCTCAGATCTATCAAACCACAAAGGAACCTTATTTTTACATCGATCCCTCTCCAATCCAGGTAAGATAAATGACGGTTGATTTTGCATGTTCTCGATTTTATAACTAGGGTGAAACACAATTCGATCATCTTTGAGTCACATGTTTGTGTTCTGTTCGAATGTATAAGATACTAGCAACCTTAACTCCTGTCTTGCATAAGGAACAAATCTTCCCTAAAACTTGCTTCGATTTTCCCTCAAAACACAGCAGAGTTGCCATCACCCGAGTTTGTGAAAATACGACTCAAAAAACTGTCGTCTGTGTAATTCAGAATTTTTAATAACAGTATTTAATTTATCTTGTGACCTACGTTTCCATGTTTTGGATTAACATCACACTACAATTTAATTTACAAAAGGAGATTTCAAGGTGATCCAAAAGTAATTTGTGTCAACGTTCTACGGATCACGCAACTGGATCTTTTGGAGATCCGTGAGATTAAAATCCAATATCTTGGTCAACTAATCTGACCTGTTGTCTACACCACACATGTGATCCGTGACAACGCGAAATATGTTCTTAAATTCCCTCGAAAAGCCCTGATTATTGTTTTCCTGTGTAAATTTCTTGATGATGAGTCTTTCTTTTTTTCCTAATGGAAAGGTATGGTACATAATTTTGTAGGGAATTTTTGTCTGTACCGAATCAAAATCTCAAGATTCAGACAATAGGCTAAACTAACTAACCACACCTGACTTGTTAGGTTATCGTCTTTGGTTGTAAATCTACTTAACCCTTTAAACCCAAAGAGTGACCAGGATCTTATTTCATCTAACTTTAATATTTCCGAATCACTCAGTAAGATAATTAGAATAAAGGAAATAATTTCCAACCCAGGAAGCTACAATGGTTGACCTTTAACTTCCAGAAGTGATTTACATGTAACTTCTCCCAACAGTATCCATACACTGTCTAACAAACAGGTAATGAGATTACTCAAACTTATCAGTAAGAATTTGTTATCATGATATAACACCAAATTCTTGTAACTGAATTACAAGGAAATGTGTAACAGCTAGATGGGAGAATGAACAACCAAATCTTGGGAGTGAAAGGGTTAAACAGATTCCCCCCTTGTCAGTATCAAAGGAAATGTATAAAGAAGAGCATAGAGATATTGATGCTGGGATGTAAAAGGCTAAAGCCAATTCTCCTGGAAAAGTTTCTCTTGTGATTTTAAGAAAAGCAACATGTGTCTTTCTGTTTAAAAATGACTGCTGCTATGACTCGTCATAAAATTTTTAAATGTGGTGACATTTTGCATGATCATCACAATGTTAAATTTAAGTTGTAAGCTGATTCCATGTAATGGCTATCTCTGTAAATCAACCCTTAAATTCTTGGGAATGATGCATTTTTGGCAAAGCCACACTTATCCCAGATATGATGGCTGATATATACAGTGTGAATGGAAGATGAAAGTCTGAAGTCCAATGAGCCTACTGGGATCCTATTTATTTGTGAGGAAAGTTGCTCGAGTAACTTTCAGGAGGACTTTCAGAGAGGTTGTTTGAATCCTGTTTGAACACCTAGCGAAAAACCTTGCATACATCTTCAAATGCAACAGTAGTGAACTATGGTTCCCAATCTGAGTGACAGTGAACAGCAGAGGTATTGAGATGCTGCACTTCCTGAGTATCCCTCTAACTCCCAAGATCTGGTTGTGAATTCTCCTTCCTAGCTGCCACACATTTCCTTGTAAATTAGTTGGGATAATTTGATTTTTGATAAAGATAACAATTTTTCCTGAAAAGAATGAGTATTCTTGCTACTTGTTTGCTGGATAATGTACAGAATGATGTTATAGGGAGAAGTGACATGTTAATCACTTCTAAGAGTGTATAGGGTTATTTATTTAAATGCTTTTTTGTTATCACTAACCCCTACTGCAATGCCCATGGTCATATTTATGACCAGTTATACTGGTCATGATGATACTTCTGATAAGATTATTAAACTAAGTATAATTTTCATTATTACAATGAGATTGATTAGATTGGATATAAACTAAGTGTAATTTTTTTATTCTAAGGTAACAATGGAATGTTTCCTGGAAGACGTACATTTTCAACAGGAAGTGATTCAAAGAAGAGAAATGGGATGGGGGTAAGATCAGATACGTCCAGTATAAATGTGTTATCCCAAAGGTTGATTAGAAAAGAATGCTTTAAATCCAGGCTTATTTACAGCCCTTGTTTCCTAGGGATGAAGTTATCTATCTAAACATTTTTTTTTTGTTCATAAATGACCCCTTTTTTTGAGGAGATGTTAATTTATAATCGTTGTAAAGTTAAAAATGTAGCTGATTGCCTCATTCAGCTAATGCTCACTTTTTACTGCACCAAGAGCATGGCATAGGCTATGAGTAAGTGCACTTGAATCTGGGTCAAGCTGCACATCCTCTCCCTTGCTCTGGCCTAAGAGGCCGTCATATTGTGGTGGTCATGTGGTCACATGCTCTTCTCTCTCATTGGCTCTCTGAACCAAGAGAACAGGAAAATAGGGAAGAGAGGGAAATTTTCCTTGGGATGGAGGAGTTGTATCAAGTCCACAGGGCCAAAAATAAATCTTAAATCCAGCATGCCCTAGACAAGTAGATTAAGATGTTAATATATAGATTTAGCCAAGCCTAAAAGTGGAGCTCGCATTTTTTTTTCCCGCATGTCTCAAGGGCGCAATGCCTTGCCCCGGCCAGGATTAGAACCTGGGTCGTCCAACTTGGAGCCCAGTACACTGACCACTGGACTACTAAACAAAGCCGTGGCACTGGCGTGCCTGCAATACAGTTGACCACACATGTCAAAAGTAGCACTATTTTGTATCATTATGGGGCTACGCTCTGCGAGCTCCACTATCATGTTACCAGTACTTAATTGATGTCAATAATGCTCAGACTGTAGAGTATTTATATCTTTACCGAAAAAAAGTTAGAGGTTCTCTTTCCAATTACTTAGTTTTAAACTTAGTCATGCACCATAATTTGACTTTTTTATTTTCTCAAGGGAACTCTGACAAGAAAATGTAGCTCTTGTTCAACAATCTTTCTTGATGACAGTACAGTGAGTCAGCCCAACCTTAAATCTACTATTAAATGGTAAAGTATTTCACTGACATTAGAGAAGGGGGGGGGGATTAGGTATGACCCTCGTAAAATTTTCTTGACACACCCTATTCCCCTTTCAATGATGAATTATCTGTGAGCACTGGAGTTTTCTTATAACTAACATTGAAAGGAGGGAAGGGAGACGTCAAGCTGGATTGTTTAAATAATTTTTTGAAAGGTTGGTTGTCACAGTTACAAATTTTCTTGTACCTTTTGTGAAGTGGCCATGGCAAACTCTTGGACACTTAGGAATGCAAGGTTTATATTTGATTTGGTGATTATCTCTATAATTCCTTTTTCACTCACAAAATAAAAGCAAACGGCACAAACGTCATATTGTGCAAATAATGCTTGTAGAATTCAGGTACACCATGAATTAACCTCAAAGTTAGCAACAATTAAGATATTTTCTTTACAAAAACACAGTCTTAAACTGTGCTATTATTTTTTCACAGTGTGGCTTTGGCGATATATTACCATATTAAGAACAGGTGGGTAATTGTTATGTCTGTTTTGAAGTATACACATGTACTGTTTTGTTTCTCTACAAACAGTTGTTATAAATTGTTTTAGCTGCTGTAATACATCTTAAAGTGGCTCTTTCAGCTGTTTTATTCAATAAACATGTGCTGTTTACCTCAGAATCTTTAGTTCTATAGAAAAAAATAGGATCAAAAATTTATATTCTGCTTGATTTTAATTTGATTAAATTAAGATTGATTGCGATTAAGGAAAATTGTGACAAAGAAGAAACAGGAGCACATAATTATTGACACAGGGCAGTTTGCCATGTATGAATTTTTGTTACTCAAAATTTATCAAGGAGAACAATTTAGTTAATAGCTTATTTTGTGTTTTTGGTAATATTTGCACGATATTTGCATGCACTTTCCTTTAAAGCAAAAGTACTGTTTGAATTAATTTTTTTCTTTGTTTATCCTCAAACGGAAGTTGTTGAATTTTTGTAAAACACTTATATTGTCAATTCTGCTACCCTGAAGGTAGACATTTACTTAATTATGTTCTTAGTGTTCCAGTTTTACCAAACGATTGCCAAAGGCAAAGATTAGTAGATTATGGTAAACCACATTCAAATGCAAAGTTCTTTTGTGCTCTGATGCTATCAGTACACAGGCCATACTTCCAATAATTACTGAAAGTGGTTTTTTTTTCTTTTTTGGCTTTAATTTGAAAAACATTTAATTTGTTGCTAGATTTACCCCACACTGAAAAAACATCTTACTCTATTTCTTTACTGAGCTCAAAACTTGCCATCCCTCTTATTCTTTTCACAAACACAAGGCTATGAACAATGCTGATCCTAGAAATATGCAGGGTGTGTGTCATATGAACTTCGTAGTAGACCTTGCTCACAGTAGAGTCTCTGTGGCTCAGTGGTAGAGCATCGAAGTGTGGAATCTGAAGGTCTGAGTTTCGATTCCTTATGGGGACTGAGAATATTTTCTTTGTCCCTTGCTTGTGAGAAGACAAAAAAACATATTTCTCAACATTTAGTTGATATAATATCGAAATGAAGTCTCATTCTTTACTTCAGAGACCATGATGTGCGTTCTCTGGACATATTTGATGAAAAAGCTCACCCTCTCACAGTAAGGAACTTTTAAGGAATATTAATTATTTAAAACAAATCATGCGCATTTGTTAAGAAGCATAAATCTGATTTGAGTGCATAATAAAGTAGTTATGTCACATACGGTGGTTTGAATCCTTTGATATAAGATTCAAGTAAAGATATCTTGGACAACAACTGAAAATTTGAAATTAAATCTAAGAAAATGCCATGAATTACCAGGTTCAGAGATTAGGGGATGGGGAAGGGGGGATTGACATTTTCATACACAGGTGACACAGGATATGTCATGCTACTGAAAGATAGAAAACTAAAAGAGAAAACCTGTTGTAAGGTTCATGAAATATGCATTGCATTGTGGTTTATGGGATTGCCGGGGGGCATGATGCTATCCAAGAAAGCAGCTTATCCTTTGACCCCTTAGAGTGACCAGTATCTAACTTCTCCCAACAGTATCACTCTTGAATAAATCATGAAGGTCATGAGAATCAAGGAAGTGATCAACAAATTCTCCTTCTCAGTAGCAAAGAAAATGTATAGAGAACAGTATGGAGAATATGCATACTGATGTTTATGGTTTAAAATGTTTATTGAGCAGCTCAGTCCCCATAGGGTCAGAGTTTTCTTTGCCAGTTTCCCTTAAGATTTTATTTTTGTTTTTAAAGCACCATGAATTAATTGTTCTTTGCTCTCCAGCATGATCCTGTGCCTGATTACTATGACAGAGTTGACCCAGAACACAGACATATATACAAGTTTATCAAGACTCTCTTTCATGCAGCTCAGCTTACAGCAGAATGTGCAATAATTACATTAGTGAGTTGAGCAACATATTAAGCATTCTTTTCTTCAATAACTGTGAATATATTAAAATCATATAGGTGAACTGCAGATAAAGAAGAAAAAAGAACTGGAAAAATTCAGGCCTGTACAGGATTTGAACCCATGACCTCTGCAATACCGGTGCAGTGCTCTACCAACTGAGCCAATTGGCTTGTTAGCTTATGGTTAGCTGATGTGGATGAGCGCCGGACTACTGTGCAGGAGGTCGGGGTTCAAGACCCAGACCAGACCCACACTCAGGGTCTTGAAATAACTGAGGAGAATGTGTTGCCTTTGCTATGACATTTGCAAGTGGTTAGACATTCTAGTCCTCTTGGATAAGGACGAAAAGCCGTAGGCCCCATCTCCTGCATCTTCTCAATGCTGGTTAGTAGGGGACATTAAAGAACCCGCACACTTATCGCAGAGAGTAGGGGACATAGTTCCTGGTGTTGTGGTCTGCCATAGAATCTGAAATTGGGGGCATTTGCTAAATCTCCTTCAAAAAAAATTTTTTAAACTGCTCAATGCAGTCTGACTAAAGTCCCCTGCAAAGTGTTGTAAGGTGAATTTGATCATATTCAGATGTTAATTTGTGCCCAATAAGTAATAAATTATTATAATTATTATTTATTTTTGTTTTTTTTTTGTTTTTTTTTTTTTTTTTTTTTTTTTTGTTTTTGATATCTTGTTGGTGTGGTGCTATTAAGGGTCAAAGCCAGGTCTTACATATTTGAATTTTAGTCTTTTCTAATTTTTTTCTAATTAATTAATTTTTAGTTTTTCCTCAATAAATTAGGTTTGTATTTTTTTTTCTTCTTATAACCTGTAGGTTTATCTCGAAAGGCTGCTGACTTATGCCGAGATAGACGTTCATCCTGGAAACTGGAAAAGAATTTTATTAGGTGCCATTTTATTGTCATCCAAAGTATGGGATGATCAAGCAGGTAAGACGATTGCCATTGCACTATCCTCATACCTTGATAAAATATTAGGTTAATGTAATTTAAGAGGTTAGGAAAAAATGTCCATCTTCTTCCCTTATCTTTGCTAATTTTGCTTGATTTGTTTTTCTTGATAGTATGGAATGTCGACTACTGCCAAATTTTAAAAGATATAACAGTTGAAGACATGTAAGTTTGTAAATATCCATAGTTATTGTCCTAAAAAACCGCGCCTGGTTAGCTCAAGTTGTAGAGTGCTAGACTGCCGTGTCAGAGGTCAAGGGTTCAAGTCTCAGAACGTACCAACTCTCAGAGTCTTTAAATAACAATGGATAACGTGCTGCCTTTGCTATGACATTCGCAAATGGTTAGAAGTTATTAGTTTTCTCGGATAAGGACGGTAAACTGTAGGCCCCGTCTCTTGTATCTTCTTTGTACTGGTTAGCAGGAGAAGTTTAAGAAGCCACACGTGGAGTAGGGAACATGGCCTTCGGTGTTGTGGTCTGAACTTGTCTTGTGTGTTCGAGTTTTCTTTGATTTAAATCAGTTCGAGTGTAATTGTACTTTTCCTCATTTCGTTTGGCCTTCATGTGTTTCTCCGAGTTATCAAGGACGATACATAATCCAGATTTAAAGCTGAACTGGGCCAGCCTGTCTAAATAGCGCATATAAATAAATAAATAAACTGATCAATCGAAGTGCAAACCAACGACTGTGTGACATGACTTCGTTTGTTTCATATTTGCAGGAATGAATTGGAGAGAGCGTTTCTCGAGCTATTACAGTTTAATATAAATGTGCCATCAAGCGTCTATGCTAAATATTATTTTGACTTGCGATCACTTGCGGATGCCAATGACCTGGTTTTTCCTCTGGAACCACTGAGTAAAGAAAGGGCAAGGAAACTAGAGGTGAGATATTTTTCACCATACTTTTTATTTACAGATTGCAAGGATACTTATTATCTCGTAATGACCACTGTTTGTATTATTCTCAAGAATTTCTAGATTTTTTCGGTTAGAAGCGTTTCTGCATAAACCAATAGTGACAAATATTTGTTGAAAAGATTTACATCCACGAGGCGAAATTAAAAACATTATGAAAATCTGCTTCTGTGCTAGGTGGGAGAACGTAAAAAAAAGTTTTTCAAAAATTTTTTAATGGAGCAGAATTGAATTTGCTTTTACATTTCTCAGACTATAAATTTAGCCTGTCTCTGTGATGTTGTAGTTAGTACTCTGTTCGGTTGATCAATGCTTTTGAAATAGTCATCTGGCGAGCACCGTCAAGCGTGGGACGTGCAGGAAAACCATGCGCGCAAGGTGGAGCTCCTCTAGTCTCGCGTGTCTCGCTTCTCGCGCTTTCCACGCGCTCGCGTCGTGCTTGTCCTCGCTCGCCTTAAAAAGACCGACGCATTCCCTGTTGGTTAATGCATTGGTCTTGCTTTACATTTACACACTCGGTCATCTGACGCGTTTCACACCAATTGCATGACAGCGAAAACGTTTTATGGATTGTGAACATTGTAATGCTCTGTTTCTTCTTGCAGGCTCTTTCCAGTGTGTGTGATGACCGCGCGCACGATGTGACTCCGCCCATTTTATACCGCTCCAAAAGTGCCGATGCTCTGATCCCGCGTCGGAAAAGCATGGCTATTCTTTCATGACGAATTTTTCCAAACCGTAAAGGGCAAAATAGCGGGTGATAAGTCACAAGAGACCTGTAAGACGAGAGGAGCTTTACTAGCACAGTGTGCTCGGGGGGTGTTGTTTAGGTCTGTTGAGTAGCGCTGGTTTACACCTCTGGGGAGGCCAAAATGTCGGTTGGACATCTGGGAAAAATTGACGACCACGCCTTGCGTGACCGCTTTCGCACCTCGCGTGACCGCTTGATCAGCTTCCTGTGTCCCGCAATCTTCCATGCGCATTGAGGAGACACACATCCGCGTCACTTTGAGGATCTTGTACATTGGTAGCTTATTTAAAAGGGTCTTTTTCCTGGCCCCATCATTTCCAACAATGGCACAACTGTAGCATATTAGCGTTGCATTCACATTTCAAGCACCGACACTAAATCACTATTAAAGACGCGGCTACGTGAGGGAAAGACAAGGCCACTGTTGAAGACCTCACCATACTAAATTTATAAAAAGAAAAGACTATAATCAGCCCAAAGCATTTTGATTCTGGAGTGATACTTGGTTTTTTTTTATGATCATCCAAATAGTTTTGTCGACATCGAGGTTGTTTTAGTTGTAACTGTTTCCACCGGTTGATTTCTGAGGAAAAATTTCGTGATGAAGGAATAGTCGCTGACTGTTTGTCACGCACGTAACCTTGCCTTTCTTACGCCACTCCTAGAGAGTCATGTGATTAGACCCGGACTCTTTTCGAATTACATTAATCAGAAGAAGTTTAAATGTTACCCGATATGGAGGTTTTTTGCGAGAAGTTTAACCAATACAAATAAAACCAGTCACCGACAAGATTCAGTTATTTCAATGACGTCTGACCTTCTGGGTGACTAGAATTCTGGAGTTTGTTTCTCAGACACTCTGTCTTAGTTTGGGACTACACGCGATACTGCAATTAATTGCTGGCCAGCATTATCTTTCAGTTCATTTGATTCTTTGCCGAGTATTTTTTAAAATAATATTTTGACGATTTTGCCCAGAGCAAAAGAATGTTTGTGAGGGGCGTTTCTCTTTGAAGTCAGACTTGCGAATCGAAGTCTCAGATTAGTATATTTTAAACCTGAAAATTGCGTTGAAGAATGTTTTTATGTTTTTATTGCGTTCAAAACAATTTTACTCTCCTTGGTAACCCCTACCACCAAATATGGATGTGATTGTCTCTAAGATGAATAAATGCGTCTCAACCAGTAACGATTTTAAGTTTATTTTTTCAAGTAAGACCTTTAGTCCCTGCTTTATTCTAGAATTATTGTCCCTGGAGGGAAGGTGCGAAAAAAACGATAGCATCAACAAGGGTGCGAGGACACGCATTACTTCTCTCCTGCCCTCTCCTGTTGCGTCCACGCACGTCTCCCACCCCTCGTCCGCGCACGTCTCCCACCCCTCGTCCGCGGACGTCTCCCGACCCTCGTGCTTAACTCCATCTAATAACTGCAACAAGTCATGACACCTGTTGTTTAGGCTTACGTCCGTGCGACAGAATCCCATCGCCGTAACAATTTTCGTAAAAATTGAAGCGCTTAGAAAACTTGTTGTGGAAGCTGTGCTTAAGACTCGATTTGTAGCAAAGACACGGAGCTATTCAGATTGTTCACTCCCTCTTCGTCAGCGGGATCTGTCGCCTGACCCAAAATAAGTAAGGGAAAAATATCCAGGCGACGAATGAACTCTGGGAAGAAAGTCAAATCTCAGAGTTCATACGGTGCCGGTGCCAATCATTTTCATATTATCCTTATGCCGTTTCGGGAGGTCTGGGTACTAAACTACCATTATCCATTGCTTATTTCTTTTCACCAGTCTCTTTGGTTAAAAACTGCCCAATTTCGGCGTCTAGACACGCGCGGTAGCCCTCCCTGTGGTAGGCACTAAATAATGCGGGGGTGAAGAACTGATTGAGAGTCGCGTGATGAGGAAAGAATCCACACAAAATCCTGAAAAGAAAACAGATCAACTTAAAGTAATCACGAAAATAAATTACCTCAGTCCGAATTCGTAAAATATCTGCGTTCTTAAAGCAGTGTTCTCTATAGCTATTGTCTCAGGTCACTAGACTCTAGACCAAATAAACCGATTGAAGAACACGAACAGTTCGGGTTCGCTCATAGGTTTGATATCCGAAAAACGTCATTCTTACCCAGAACAGCTTTTACAGCAAGTCACGTGACAGCATTCACAACAGCAGCCACTCAATCGGTCGACTTCCCCCGCTTCAAGGTCAGGACCGGTTCCCCAGTACTCATTGTTGATTGGTTGATGAGTGTGACGCAGGCAATCCTTCCATGATTGCGACGATCCAGTTGAGTTGGATATACCTTTCAGAAAGGAAAGTTAAAAATCTTGTCATTGATACAGGAAGTATGAAATGAATCTCAAAAATATAATGCTACTCACCCTCGTCTGGATGTCGAGGTAGTATAAGTAAAATCTCCCCTTCCCCGACCTTCTCATCGCTCAAGCAATCCACATTTTTCTCATAGTAATCAACCCTGAACTTGTAGAACCGAGGCTTATAATTGTCGGGCACTTCCTCGAGCTTGCTTCGGATATCCTCGACGATGTCTCGACCGTCCATCGCACTAAAAGAACACCGCAGCCTCTTTCGCGCCAAATCAAGCGACCAGAGTAACTGAGTAGAAACGGGATTGCCTTCCCCCATGCTGCTTCCGTCGACTACCACGATTTTCTTCAGCTTCTTTTTCAAAAGTGCTAATAGTCCCAGCTTCTCGATGTGACCGCCATCACTAAGGTTGAGGAGAGGCGGGGGAACTGGACCGAGATCGACAGTCCGAAGTAACAGGCGTGCAAATCGGACATGGTAGATGTTTACAACACACCATCTGAAAGCAACAAACACAAATAAAGCCGTAATTCAAATAACTATTGCTTGGCGGAATATAAACTAACCAGTGACCGATCAGGATAAAGGAAAGAAGCAAATTACAAGGAGCTAGTCACATCACATTACAAGCAAACTGTCTTAAAGGCGGGAAAGTGTCGCAATTGCAGCCATGGTTGAGAGAGTAGCACAAGCAAAACCGCTGAAATACCAGATAGGTTCTAAAACTCTTTTTAACCTTGCTTTATGCAATGTTTGAGTTTATTCTAGTACTTAAAAGCTTTGAAGAAGGAATTTTACATTCAGCGACTCTGTTACCTCACAAACTTGTCGGCCCATCCGCCATTTTCTGGGCCCGTTGGCAAAGCAGCGGTAACCATCACCAGGACAACAATAGATAGATACCAGACCACCAAAATAGCATGCCAGTCATGACTCAAAAATGGCGGAAGAATTAGGGGAACCACAATAAACAGCTGTATAATGACAGGCAGGAACTGGAGGAAACGAAATATAATGTTGGCACTTTTGTGATAAGATCAGATTAAGCAGTAGCTGTATGTTTTTATTTTTATTTAATGACTAAGGTTGAGGGTTATAGTTTCAGTCTGCCTCGTACCGGAGATCTATCTATTAAACAACCAATAGGCACTCAAATGAGGAAAGGAACGCTTTTTCCCTTCTTCCCGTGGTCCCTTGCGCTTCGCGCTTGTTTCTCAGAGTGTAGGTTGATGTCACGGTTGCGTGACATCATAATTACAAAGTAACACCGCGCAACTGTTGAAGGAGGCTACAGGATTTTAGTTTGATAAGACAGTTTAACACAAATGAGGAAATGATAAACCAAGAATGGACAAGCATGGCTGAGGAGATCTAAGGATGGTGAAGATTGACGTGGATTAAAAATGCAATAACCGTAAGGAACTTCCTAAGATGACGTCATAACTTGTAACCGGAATTCGAAGGATGATCCAGGCTCAGTCTTCGCTCCTACATAAAGTCAATGATCCAAATGTCTTTGTTAGGGCAAAAGAAACTTACCCTACAACAAGAAATTGTTGATCCTGCCACATCTCTGTCTGGATCTGATATCAGGGATTTTCCACTATGCACCCCCAACACCATTTGAAGGTTACGCACTGCCTCAGTCTTGACGTCATACACACCCATGTACAGCGCCAGAACAGCCGCTGATGTTGCCATGACATCAGACAGTGGAAGACCACGTGGTTGGATTTTTCCTGTTGGATACATCGTAAAGCTTATCTTATTGAGATAATAAGAATTTTTTTGTTAGCGCCGATAGTGAAATAAAAATGCGTTATTGACCAAGCGGGAGGTCAAGATGGCTGGATATTGGCGAAGTTCTTTTTTTGCGTGTGTTTTCAGGAGGCGAGACGTAATCATCTTTAAAAAACGTCACTGCTTGTCTATTTGTCAAAAAAATACCGTGGAGATAATAATTGCAGTACCGGCAAAGCTGTCGTGTTCCTCCGGACTCTCGTCCAGTCTTTCTATCCCCGTGGGGGACAAGGTGAGAAGCTCATAGGAGTCCGAGCGGACCCCACCAGGTTCCTTCTGCCAGTTGTTCACAACTGTGTTACAAATATATTCTGGTTTCATATCTGCAAGGTCACCTATCAAAAGCAAGTAGGATGAGGAGAAAAATAAATCCAACAGAGCAGTCGTAAGTACTTCATTTGTTTACCGGAACCGAGTTTTACGCGAACGTGCCCGAGGTTGACCTGAAAAGTACTTCGCTTTGATCCGACTCTGACCAGGACTGACCTGAGTTTGGCTCGAATAGAAATCAGATTAGATAATGCGGAAAAGGTGTGAAATTAAAAAAGCACCTTGCCCCCTTGTATTTGATGGGGTTTTATTTTTTGGCTTCAAATGGTACATTAGTTTTATCTGCTTCAAATATTTTCGACTGATCTAAAAGAGTCGATCTAAGTCGAGCATGAGAGCTCGAGGATTCTCTCCAGCGTGAGTCCGGAAACATTTTCGACAAAACATTACAAACCGGCTCTTCTCTCATTTGATCAAATTAACATCTATATACTGTACCATGCAGAAATGATTAAATTGTCTTTGACTCAAGTATTGAATAAAATAAAAAGACCGTTTAGTTGAAACTTTTTCCTCATCAATTATTTTTTGAAAAACGCACTCACCCAGAGTAACGAATCCTTTGTCCAGTCTCTCCCACTCAGGAGTGTCTGCACATGAGCAAAACGGTATGACATCATTGAAGGATATCCCAGAACATCCTAAGCACTCGGTGCTCTGAGGTGCGAAAAAAGCCTTTTGAAGACGCCATCTTGGAAAAGAAAACAAAATCTATACGTTAAGATAATTTCCCACCTACGCGGGTGTCCTTTGGAAAAAAATTCGTAAGCGCGCTAGTTTCACTAAAATCCTAGCAAAATATTCATTAGAAGAAAGCTTAGTAAATGCAGTTTACGATAAAAATATAATTTAAGCGAATTTTCCTTTCAGGAAGTGTCAGAAGCCGGTGGGGCGTGAAACGGCTGAAGGTTCTTCTATTGAATTTATCGGGTATCGGGTGCCGCAGCACGAGCAAAATGGCTGCACAATCTTGTTCACAAGGCATCAATCAACAAAAGCCTATTAGACTTTTTCGATATTCTGATTGGTTGTCTGGATATCGACATCTAAAGTTGGAGTAGCTAAATATATGTGGGACGAGTTGCGTAAATGGAAGCTTCAAATATCAAAATTTCCCGACACACTTTCCTTTGTCATCATTCCTGGAATGTTTTAGCGAAAATTGACGAAAATCGGTTGAATCTAAATGCACTACAAATTCGCCTAAAGTGGATACATTCCAGCCAAAATCAAATGCGAGATTTTAACTCAGAAAGGTTCGTAAACAACTCGCGCCACGTCAGGAGATGATCTCACCTCCTAAAACTGCAAACCAATGGGACATCGGGACCTCCTGGCGTCAATGACGATGGATCAAAATTTTACGTGAAAAGTAACCCATGGTAGACACGTTTTTATCTCGATCGCCCAGGGGAGCGTTGAGGAGAACGACGCAATAATAAGCAAAAAAGCTAAAGGCAAAGGAAAGTACCGCGGTAAAAATGGAAAATGTGCTGAGAGGGAAGACAACGACTCGACAGACAACTTTCAAACTTACGATTCGAAGCGATTGTTAATGTTTTCGTATCAAGGCTAGTACTTGCATAAATAAAAAGGAAACCCGATTTTTAACTTTATGAATGACAAATTTTGGTTAGACGGCGAACTCTTTGTTCGAGATCTGGACGCTACGTGGAGCTCCGTCAGCGCTGATTGTTTTCACCAAGAATTTTTTTTCTGTCCTTGACAGAAGGTTACTCTTTCTGTCTTCTTTGGACCTTCTTTTTCTTTTTCTTCTTTGAAGGAAAAAAAGACTTTCTTTTGCTTTTGATATTTCCATGAGCAAAGATTTTTCCAAAAGGAAAGAGCTTCCACGAGTGAATATTGTCAATTGCGCAATAGAAAAACATGCCCCAAGATGTGCAGTTGCTGCGAAAACTCCCCCGGGGAGTTCGCCCAGGTGCGAGATTATGACACGTTCCTGAGTTATTAGCTTTTATTTAAAAATACGTTTTCCCAAAGAACTCGGGTGCTTTTGGAGATTTGATATCTTTTTCTTTTGGAATCGTTATGTAAAATGTTCGAATTCAGTTTAGACAAATAAAAGGAAAAATTATTTTTTCGGCCCCTCAAGGTGCGAAGTAACTTTAAAGGGGTGCAGGTTTATCATCACAGAGCAGGTTGCTTGTCAAACCCTCCAAAAACTTCGGTCAAGGCTAGATCTTTACATGATACATGTTATAGATAAAAGTTTCTTTTAAGAAATAAGAATTGCGCACTGTGAATCGTAAGAGACGGCATGTTTTACTGATCGACTTCCGCGGTGCGGTCGATTGCGTAAGCTCATTTCCCGAGAGGCAGCCGGCAGTGCAGCCTGGGGGAAGCACTTGGTGGAAGTGTTCAGTTTCCAAGGTAACGTACTGAAGTTGCGCAAGTTGCGCAAAACTTCAGTAAGTTACCTCGGAAACCGAATGAGCAAGGAAAGATACAGAACACCATTTGTGGAAATTTAATTCGCAAATTTTTCACAAAAGATAATTAGTCCTTTTTACAACGATACCAATTCGTTTTAATTATTTTTCCAAAATTACTTGTTTTAGAACAAGAAGTGTTAATTTAACCATTTGTCTATAGGTTGCCTGTTTTTTTTTAATCACTAATATCAAAGCTAAAGATAACATAGTTCACAATGGCTCACCTGTTGTATGTATGTACTGCGCCCATATTTAAAAGTCCTAAAAAGGGTGTCATCCAAAGAAGTATGGCAGATCCAAGAAGAGCCTCGTAAAAGAGATCCTCTGAATAACTGATGAATAAAACTGGACTTTTATACACTCGCCATTTTGTTACATAGGCATAAGCATACACCAACATGGCTAAAGAGGCGGTGTTTCTGAGTGGCGGAAACCCAAGCCATAGAGCAATGCTTCCGAGTAAGAGAAAGCCGTTGACATACACTGAAGTATGTACCCTTAAAAATACTTCAAAAAACCATGGCAGAAAAGTCATTAAAAGCATAGAACCAGCGCTTACATAAAACACCTTAAGAATGTTACGGATAGAGAAATGACGGGGGTGGAAAAGAGATTTTAACACATAGAATCCCGCGCAGCTTGCGAAAAGAACACCAAAAAGAGTAAATGTGTCATCATGGCTCTCTACGAACTGACAACCTTCGCTTTCTGCGGCATCTTTGGGTGCGGAGTGATTAGGGCAGTGAAATCCTGCGCGAAGTATATCACCAAAAATGTAATCCACCGAGAAAGCTGTGGGTAGAGCAAAAGCAAGAGAGGTGAAAGCGGGAAGGATGATAACCACTACAATGCAGAGAAGAACCAACATTATGGAATCAATGATTCCAAGGAAGGGGTTCCTCCAGGAGCAGAAGAAACCGCTACGCTTCCGCAAGTGATTGAAAAACTTCTGGTGCCATTCTGGGCTGTCTTGTTGATTGTGGTGATACTTCCAGTCGAGGTAGGAAGCCCCTGTAAAACCACCGCCTGAAACACAGCTCAAGTAATCCAAGTCGATCTCATCTTGAAGAACATAGCGCAACACACCAGAACAAAATGCAGCAGATCGAATCCCGCCGCCAGAGAAGGCTATACCTTTCGGGAATAACATTGCCGCGAATTTTGACAGAAGTCTTGCTTTGTTGTCAAAAGCCTTGTTAATTTTTATCCCTTCTCTAGCTCAGTCGTCTCTTGGAGTTGTGAGCGTCTAAATTAACGTTCACTTTTGTCTCATTTATTTGTCATTTCCTTTTCTAATTTTATCCAAGCCTTGAGGTTACAATTGTGCCGCACACAATGGGGCAAGATGAAAATTAAACTTATTCTTCATGGAAATGTAAATATAGAAATAGGTGTCGCTTAAATATGACTTGTGGACACATCTGCTGAAACGTTTATATCAAATTCTCCATGAAATCATTTTTAACGACATTCTCCACTTTAAATTACGAGGAAAATACCAAAGAAAAAGAACATGCAAGTGTTTGGGTTCCTTTGAAATAAACAATTATATGGTAATTTATTTGGTTTCAAAAGAATGACGTGGCCACACAGAATTATTTTGGCTAAAATAAGTAATGATACAAATTTAATCTGCTAATATGATTTTTAAGAAATTCCGAACGAGAATGAATTCATCTTCCAATGAGAGATTTTAATCAAATGTCATCGTATAAGTGCGCTTAATTAGTAGAACAAATTTTTTTGATGAAAAGTTACCTTCTTAGCGCTGGCGCAAAGATTGGGACACTTTTATTAAAATTTGTTATAGTACAATTATGGTATAACGTTTGTTTTTCAGCGAGGTGTTAGTTAGACTAAATTTCTCTCGTAAGCTTTATTTCAATTTCTTCAGAAAGGAGCGAATTTCTTTGGAGAAACACTGTTGCCTTGGCAACAGTTAGTCTGTGTCAGACTATGTGGCAAATAAAAGCGGGGGAGGAGAGATCCTAGGAACGAGGTTAGCCGTCAAATTGTGGTGACAAGTGGAAAAGCGAGGCGAGAAAAAGAAGAAACGGGTGGAGGGGAGAGGAGGGGGGGGGAAGAGAAAAACCTCACAGATTTTTGTCGCTCGCTCATTCGTTTGGTCTAAGGGGCTAGGTAGGAAACAGAACACCCTCGCATACTCTGTTATTCGCTACTTTTATCTTTTTTGTCTTGGAATACTACGTGCTCGCAAGACCAAAACATCTGGAAAAAAATTAGTGATCATTTGTTTGAGGAGCATTGCCGAGCTCTACAACGGCTATCACCCTGCTGTTCTCACAGATAGTCCATATCGACTCCTTTACCCCGAATTTTTGTGTTCCAGTATTCATGTTAACATTTAGATCTCAACTGAGTTCTGAACGTCAAAGTGGTCGATTAACAGTTTGTTACTATCAAAATTACAGTCACATTATAAAATGTAACGACTACCAAGCAATTTTTTTTAAAGAATTACCAACACGTGTTTATATATTGACATTCCTTTAACTGTTTATAACCATTTCTGGTCTTTCCCTTCAGTCTTGTCCCCCCCCCTTCCAGACTTTTTCTGTCCTTAACTTTTGAGATATTCTACAGTCGCAAAGTAGTTTTTAAATGAGTATTGCCAGCATGATCGGTGCAAACATTCGTGAGGCCCTCTCAAGCAATCAAAGCAAAACTAAAGTCAATAACGACTTGGTCGTTAGTTATATGTTTTAGGGCAGTTTTCCAGCCTCCTCTTTGTGAAGCAGTAAACTCTGATATTATAGGAATATGTGTTTTTTGACATTACATTTTTACACTTAACTGAAAAGCGTTCTAAAGTAAGGCGTCATTGCGACAGTTAAGTTATGCCATTATCGGCTGGCCAGTCTTTGAAAGACTAGAGTAAAATTGTAAAACCAAACCACAGTAGCTGAGAGTCAAAGATGTAAGCTACTGATCTCCTGCGGTTTCATATCCGATACGGAGCCGGCAGGCCGTCTTTTAGCGGCATTGCTTTGACTATGAGACAATTCTGCACCAGTTCTCCATTCTCTTCTGCACAAAAGCTTTCTGAACGCGCGTCTAAATTCTGAGCCCGTAAACGCGTACAGCAGCGGATTGAGCGAAGAATGCAGGTATGCAAGCCAGCATGTGACAGTATCAACAAGCTCCACTGCGCATGTCTCTACACCTTCGTCGATAAGAATCACAACATTTATGATTTCAAAAGGCAACCAGCAGATAACAAAGCACAGCACCACGATCCCAAGCATCTTAGCGATCCTCAGTTCCCGTCCAAAAGAAGTCGTTCGCGATGACGTCACTGATAGAGCCCTATTTGATGACGTCATGGTATTAACCCCAGCACGCTGGGCGTGCCCTTTAGCGATTGTATAAATCTTGAAATACAAAATCATCATAATAAGAAAGGGGAAGATAACATTTCCGATGAGGAGAAAACCATGAACAAACGGATTCAAGTCAAAACTATAAGTCTCGTCTTTCGGCGGATCTAACAAAAAAAACAATAAAATTGCAATACTGAAAGAGTATAGCCAAACACTGGCTATCATGGATTTGGCCACCTTCGACGTCATCCATATGGTATAGCGAAGTGGATATACCACGGCTAAATAGCGGTCGATACTTATTGCTGTCAGATTTAACACGGAAGCTGTTAGGAAAAGAAAAAATGAAGCGTTCCATAGATTGCACACGTACCCACCCAAAGGCCACCTGGGGAAGGTTATCCAGTATATGACGTCAAACGGCAGAACGAAGACCGCGACCATTATGTCTGACAGGGCAAGGCTGACTATGAAATGCTCCGAATATGAATGCAGATACGAAAATTTTACACTTGCTATGCACACGAGTGTGTTGCCAAAAAGAGAAGTAATCATAATCATGAAAATAAATACTAAACCGGCGAATGTCAATCCAGAGCCAAGATGATTCTCGCAAAGAAGTAAATCGAAGCCATGATCTTGAAACAGATCCGATCCATTTCCCATTTGTAAGGTACCTTGAGGTCGTCGCTGCTTCAGCGAGGAAAGCTTAAAAGACGAAACCATGAAAATTGGAAATGCTGAGTTATGCTTCAAAATTAAGAAAGTGAAAGTTTCAATCAACAGGAGTACCGATAAATCTGAACAAACTGTAAAGATACCTTCAAAATACACACTGTCAGCTTTTTGATAAAGGCGTTTACCGCAAACAAGATTTTAAATTCGAGGGTTGTATGTTTCTCCTTTTCAACTCAATAGTCCTCCGGGTTCAACAGATGCGTTACTCTTAATTTACGGTTCAACAAGCGACTCTAACCGAACCAAGTCAACAGCATATAAATCCACCAGATGGTAAACGGTTATGTACCGCCGAGTATTTGAGTAAAGTGAAAATGAAGTTATCAACTGCATAAATTAAATGTACTCCTGTCGTATCTATGTTGTTTATCAGCCTTCAGAGGTATTGTTCCCAAAATTGTTGTTATTAAGCGGCGGATCTCTCTTTACAAGAAGACGCGCGTTATATTAGCTCATCAGCCAATCCCTGCGTAAATTAGATCTTCGGTGCTCTCAAAACTACAGGAGAAATAGCCACCTTATCTCAATCATCCCCTGACACAAGATGTTTAGTGTGTGATTCACTCACTCAATTGGTAAACTCTAACTGAGTGTTCTTTTCATAAAAGCCTTCGATGTACCAATTCCTCATGCATCCTTTCCCTACGACTAAGCTCCATCTGAAGATACCTATTTTAATTTTAAATAAATCCAATACCAGTAAAGCATATGTTATCATTATTTTAAAGTTGACGGTGCAAACAGATTTGCCCCGCCCATAACGAAAATTGATCCTTCTCTACAACTGCGCACGACATTATTTTCACTAAAAGAGCAAACACTGTATAATTCTGAATGAGATGTTGCTTTTCATTAAACAAAATATACACCTGTTCTTACAAATCTTTAAATAATTATTGTGATTTTGCAATCGACCTTCAAAATCCCTTCGACTTTTAGCGGCTTATTTAAAAGTATTTTAAATTTTGCTACAACTTCCAAGAGTATAAATTGATTGACGTTAAACACACCGTCGATTTCTCACAACTTTTCGCCGTGTTGTCATCATCAACTGCTGTACAAATATGTTGAAATTGCGGTTTTGTCGACTACCAATTTGTTTATGAGAAATTGTGCGGTTAGGGATATTAATAGCAAATTTAATATCTTCTTTGAGTGAAAAAGTAAAAAAAAAAGGGCTAATGCATTTTTTCTAAAAATTAAGAAAAATCGTCGGACACTGATGTATTAATTGTGGACATTTGCTCGACGATCTTAATGATTTTGGGTCAATCACGATTTCGAATATAAATGTCATCATATTGACTCTTCATTGCAAAAAAAAAAAACGTTCATTTTTATGAACATATAACGTGCAAAAAGGTTCTTATCACCTAGATTTAATTTCCAAGCTTAAAAAAAAAAATTAAAAAAATCACCGACTGATCGCCCACGCTGCTTTTCATATAACTGTCAATCAAGTTGGAGACAAATAAATCGTTCTGAATAACGCTTTGTTTATATTCAATTTCAAGAAATTAGCAGTTTGCATTGTGGACTGAAAACTAACATACCGGATCAATTTTGAAACACGAGTCATAACGTTTAAATTTCCTTGATGTTCTTAAACAAACAGAGAGGAATGTACAAAGTTATCTAATTAACTGAAATCCTTTGCTGATTCTTTTCTTCAATTTTCGTTTGGATCCAAAATAATGAATACAATGTCGGAGATTAGCGAGACTCGTGCAACAATAGTTTTACAGCAATTTGCTCATTGCTGAAGTTAATCACTTGCAAATCACTAAATGTTCTTGAAACACAATAGAAATATCCAACCGTTCCCGACAAACCTAGGGGCCAGATCCGACATCTGTCGACGACATCCCGACGACACTCGCGCGATGGTCGATATTCATTCCCAATCCTCTTCATATTTGAGTTAATCCCAGCATGCCTTCTGCTCTTGGAAATGAAACGTCACCAAAATCCAAGATGGATTCCGCAGTTCTTGTAAGGGATTTGATTTTTTTCTAAGGAGTTTCGTCGTTATACTGAATATTTAGGAAACTTTTGTATTAGATAGTAACGTACGTATATGAAAAGTTTCGAAACGCTTGGGAACACGCGAGTTATTCTTTCGATTCAGTGCTCTGTTCGCTAATTTATCCGCTCGATGCAAATCTGTACGATGTTTGACCAAAATGGTTCGCTTATCCACAATTTACAAGTCTTACCACTGATTATTCTTGTTTTTCATACAATAGGAAGCATCCCTGTACACAGTTAAAGCGATTGCCATTCTGGATAATGATGGTGAACGAGTAGTTGCGAAGGTAGATAAGATTTACTTTATCAATTTAACGTGTTTATGGCCTCATGTGTTGCCTACATGAACATCGTACATGTGAACTTGATATTATTTTTACACTATTAAGATTTTAAGTTGAGTTTATTTTATCTAAGAAATTTTGTCTCACATTTTCAGCTGTTAAGCTTGACATGATTTTTAATTTTTTTTTCTACTGTTGTAAACAGTGTTCGTTCCATGAGGTTATTTCACATAATGTTTAGACGAGAGACCTCTTATTAAAACTGATAAAGTCTCCTTTGAATGGTCAGGGTCTTGTAAGTACCTAAAACTAAAAATTTTTCTTTCCAACATAAAAATATAAATTATGTATTTTTTCAGCCATAAATCTGAATGTGAAAAAGTACATAAGTAAATTTCCAATTCTTTTTATTTACATTATAGTACTATGATGACCAATACCAAACCACAAAGGAACAGAAAGAGTTTGAAAAGAATCTTTTCAACAAAACACACAGAGCAAATGGTGAGCTTTCTTATCAATGTTATAATGTTCAAATCACACTGCTTTGCCAAGTTGAAATACTGCCAGCCAAAAGGACTGCTGTTCAACTTAGGTGACTGATTTTTTTTGGTAACCTGTCATGATGACCAAAACAGACACTTTGGAGAACTGATTGCATGTTCCCTTTTTTTTTTTCATGTCATACTTTTTCATAAATGTGCAAGGCATAGAGATGACTACTATTTTTCCTTCACTGATTGCTTCTTTGTTTTTCTCTTTTCAGCTGAAATTATAATGTTAGATGGCTTGACGTGTGTGTATAGAAGTAATGTGGATCTCTTCTTTTATGTTATGGGTTCTTCCAATGAAAATGAGGTAAATGTCTTAAGTGGGTTTCAAATGGTATATTTATTTACTGTTTGTGGCAGAAAATTAGTAAATTTTTACAGATATACACTGTATTAACCCTTAACTCCTAGATCAAATTTGTAATTCTCCTTACTGTCAACCATACAATTCTTATCATGTTAGTTCAGAGAATTTAGTATTGGATCAATTAATTATCCCCATAGTGATGTGTTACTTTATTCCCATCACTTATCTGGTTGACATCATATTGATATTGTAAGGAGAAATTCTGTCTTGGTCACTCATGGGAGTTAAAAGGTTAAGTGATCAAATGTCAAAGTCCTGAAATTCTTTCCCCTTAAAACTGTAATTTTTATCTCTGTCAAGCGGTCTCCTCTGTTAGGCGATCATGGTCAACCTTTACTGAGTCCCAACAGCCTGTTGTATTGTCTTCCACCTGTATTGAACCACTCAATTAAAATTAAGAACAAGCTTTCAAGTAAATTTAATTCACAGAGAGAGATGTTTTTCATCTTCACACGAGCGTGGGACAAAGAACAAATTCTGAGTCCCCATGAGGAATGGAACCTTAGACCTTTGGATTCCTTGCTCTGTTGCTCTTTCACTGAGCCACAGAGACTCTACAGTGAGCAAGGTTTATTACAAAGTTCATATGACAAGCATCCTGCATACTGCTAGGATCAGCAATTTTGATAGTGTCATGTTTGTAAATAGAGTAGGAGAGAAGGAAAGTTTTGAGCGCAGTAAAGAAATAGAGAAGGAGTTTTTTCATGTTGTCGTAAGCATGGGACAAAGGAAAAATTCTGAGTCCCCACGAGGAATTGAACAAACCAAAAACACACATTTTGACTTGTTTAACCCAAATTTTATCTTTAATTACCACATTAATATGTGCAATGTTTTTTGCAGTTGATTCTTGTAAGTGTTCTAAATGCCTTCTATGATGCAATCAGTCAGCTGCTGAGGAAGAATGTGGAAAAGAGAGGCCTAATGGATAACTTGGATGGTGTTTTGTCAATACTTGATGAGATTGTAGATGGAGGGTAAGTACTGTTACAGTGTTCCCTAGAAGCCCTGGATGTGGATGTCTTCATTGGCTACCTGTTTCTGAAGCTCAGAATGTTTTCTAGCAGCCCATATTGGAGTGATGATTGAAGTAACCACTAAAACATTGCTTTAGAGTAACTTGGGATTCCAGCATGCTATAGGCTTTTACTGATAGCTCTGATTGTCCAGAGCATATTAAATTTTACTCAGCACTGAAGCAGTATAACCCTGTTTTGCTTTCAGATCATGGCTTTGACTGTTTCCATCATGAATTAATGATTTTTTTTGTTTGTTTTCAACAGGGTAATAATGGAATCTGATGCTTCTTCAATATTGCAGAGAGTTGCCATCAAGGTGAATTTACTCTGTTACTAATTGTAGTATTATTGAATATACTTTATTTGAGATAAGCAATCTTGAAGTTATGGTTAAGTTTATTCCAGTAATTGCTTGAAAATGTCCATTTCTTTGCTGTAATGTTAAATGTTGTGTTTTCTCTCTTTCAGAATGATGATGTACCAATCACAGAGCAAACAGTGGCCCAGGTAAAAATTTTATGTTCATAGTGCTCATGTGAAGATTACTTAACTTATTCCTCATGGTAGGATCTGTGAGTTTGTGCTGAAGTTTCTTTACCTTTTTTGTCCTTCAGAAACCAAGTAAAACCACTTCACCAGTAAATTGTAACCATCAAATTAAATTGAATCACTGTAAATTCAATTGATAGTGAGAGCAAGTAAAGGTTATTGTAGACTACCAGGAATTTCACGATTCTCTGCTTTCCTGAATTGTTCTCAACAATGAGAACAGAAATAGTGGACATCCATGATTTTGTGGCAGTTGCCTTACAAAACTTATACTGCTCCTGAGGAGTTTAGCAAAATTAAGTCAAGAATTCAAGTTACCTTTCTAGTTCCAAAGGGGATTTTCTTAGTTTCTACTCCTACTGACCATCTCTTCATTTCATTCTTTCAGGTTCTTCAAACTGCAAAAGATCAACTAAAATGGTCTCTTCTGAAGTGATCCCTATTATGTGGGAATTCTATCAAATATTGTTCTATTTAGAAAAAAATGCAGACATTGTAGTTAGGCATCCGCTTTGGATCTTTAATTATCTCAATTCTGCTTTGGTTTTCCTATTGAACTGGTCTTGTGGAAAAAAATGTCATCATACTGTACCAAAGGAGATGTAACAACAGCAGAGTGAAAGTAATCATTAGTTTTTTTAATTTTTTTAATTTATTTTTTTTTAAGTTCTGCTAATGTTTATTTGGTTGTGGCAAGGTGTTTGGCATTCAGGAAAGAAAACTGTGCTGGAGTACTGTTCTTTTCCTTGTTTTTCAAATATGTTCTGTTAACTGTTGACTTTTGGAACCACTACTGTCAGGAGGGTCACTAAAACAAAACTGACCAGTCATCTTACTGGAAAGAAACAATGCTTCCAACTTAATTTGACTATGCCAATCAGTATTCAGGACCTGAGCAAGCAAAGATGGCAAATAATTCAGGTGGGCTTCTTAATTTGTTTTCAGTGGTGAGACTGGTCAGTTTTTTTCATGTATCTTGCGTTACAGAAGGTTCCATTTAGGTATGCTACTAGCAATGTATCTTTTTTTTTGTTTTTGTTTTAGCCTAACAGGTCTATCAGTTAGCCTGTGAAGGTAGACAGATTTGTGACTGCATTGCACCATCAAAACAGCAAACTTTATTGTAAAGATGGTGTGACTTAGTCTCAGACAGAAAGTATGATCATAAGGTAGAAATAATAATAATAAAATGGAACTTTAAATGGTATTTCCTGAGTACAATTTTTATCAAAGGGGTAAGTTTCTAAAGAAACTGTGGTTCTGTGTTGGTGGGAGAGTATAACAGGGTAATTTGGTATTATCCATTGAGTTGATAATGTAAATTGGCCGTTTCAAAGCTGATGTTTTGAGTGTCAGCCCTTTGTCAGAGCAAATGACAAAGGGCTAATGCTTGAAACTCTTTTACAGTGGCCAATTTACATTACCAACTCAGTTTATAATACCAAATTTCAATTTTTATTAGTTGTTCTCAAAAGGGTGCTCAGTTCTTACTGGACACTGAGAGCACAGTAACTGGGTGAATGTAACATGCATTCTAAAACACCAGTTAAACTCCAGGTTAATTCAATAACTGCTTTATTAAATTAAATAAATGTCATTATTTGTTTGTCGCAAATAGCTTACTCTGGTTTAATTACAAAATGCCATCTCGGTGAATATTTTCTTGCAGTTTTTGGTCAACTTTTAATCAGTGAATTGTTTTCCAACAATCAAAGGTCCTTACAATTTCTCTTGGCAATAGGAAGCATTATTCATAGCTATTTTCCTTTATCCTCTTCAGAAAGTATATTCTTCAAATAACTTGCTTGTCAACTTGCATAACAGCTTTAATTTTCATATTGAATTTAATTTCCCTTCTTGACATGGTATATAAACTTTTTCAATTTTTTTTGGCCATTTTCTCCTTCATTTAATCTTGCCTACTCTCAGTAAAGTAATTTTGGGGACAGACTAAAAGAAAGGTTACAAAGATAGTTATCATCAATTTGAGTGCCCACCCTCTTCTTGTAGTCGTTAGTTATGGTCTGATTGGCTGTACTGACTATGTTGGTTTTTTTTCTCTACGACACTCTGGGGAAAAGGGCATTTACTAGAAGTGCCCTTTACAGAAAAAAAAGTTGAATGTCATTGAAGTTTTACAAGTTATGTCATCAGAGGAGGTTGAAATATTTTCAAAATTTTTCCTTGAACTATTAATGAAACTACTACACAAACACTTCTGCTGTTTTATCTTCCACTTTGTTATCTTTGGGAGTTTTCTTTGCTTGGGCTTGCCTCATCTATAGCATCTACACATTGTCTGTAAACAGGAATTGATATTAAAATGAATCCTGACAAAAAATTTGAAAAACTAGCACCTCTCACAGTTACCAATCTCTGGACAAAGTTGTGCTAAAAAAATATTTGGATTTGTCAGTGGGGAGAAATTTATTCATTCCAAAGTCAAAACTAAAGAAAAAGATTTATTTATCTGTGAGACACTGAAAAACCACAATATCATTTTTTTTTGATGACTGAGTTCCATTTATTCTTTTAATTTGATTACTTAGTCTTTTCCTTTAATAATTAATGCAAATAGCTCTCTGACAGCCTAGGGAAAGGACTCTCCATTTCCCACCAAGAGGCATGATCACAACTTTGCCTAATCAGAATTTCACCTGCAGGGCTGGGTTGTTCAAAGTTGGGTTAAGATAATTTCAGACCTTTTAAAAGAAAAAACAGAACTATTTGATGCTTTGAAAAGGTGAAAATTTTCCCAGAAAGGCTTTGAGCAGAATAAAGAAAATATTTTTAACCCTGGGTTAAGCTAATCAATTGAACAACTGGGCCCAGGAAAATGCATGAGCAGAATATTTTCCGTAAGCAGCAATTTGTAAATCGTGATGGGCTGTCTGCCATTGAAAAGGAGGAAAAATACTTCTGATGATAGAGTAACTTACTTGTATAGATAAAAGAAAATGTATCCACTGTGTTGTCTTTTGTAGCGAACTGAGTGTTCAGCAACCTGCAGTAAAAAACAAGAATTTGCCATAGAGTTCAAACTAGCTAACCTGTGAAATCCAATTTAAATGATATTTATGATATAGCGTCACAATTTTTTAAGGAAATATTTGTGATTTTGACCTTAACTCATCCATTTTGGTTAAAGAAAATTGAAAAAAACTAGCTAAATCACTGAGACTTTCTTCTTACTGTTATTAAATTAATATTTTAAACCTAACAGGTAAGGATAAAGAATCAGATAGGATACCTTTGTTGCTGCAGAGTCATCATAACTTGTCCACTGTTTGGTTTTGCAATCATACACATCTGAAATATAATGTCCTGGTACGAAGAGAGTAATTCGAGAAAAGCACACCATCAGGCAAATCTAAGACTATCAGCAGTCTGTCCTTTCCAGTGAAGTCTGTTGTGTGAGTCAGTAACAAATCAGCCCCCCCCCCCCCCCTACACCCACAAAAATAAAAATTTATGTCAGCATGCAGTGCTCTTATACAAGTACTGGTAGTTCTGCATGGTGTGCTGACATCAATTTTTTTTCCAGTCACAACAGACTTAACAAAAACTCTCAAGATATTTCCACATAACCAAGTGTTTGTCACCAGCTGAGGTGAAAGCGCACCATTTAGCAGGAAAAAAAAGGATTAAAACAATTTCAACAACATTCTAACTGGAACTTTGTATTTACCTGATGGGAAAGAAGCTATTGAGCTCACCTGAAGTAGAACTTGTACCAAGATGGCTGACAATACTAATAAGTCTGTATGAATGTGTAGAGGGCTTCCCCTCTCTCTCATCAATCTGACGACAAAACAAATTATGTAAGCAAAAGGCAAACATATTAAACAATGTGTAAATAACCGAAAGTAAATGTCAAGCATTTGCATCTCCAAGGATATCCAAAGATTATTTCCTGGTCAAATTAGAGTTTGTAGTGTTGAAGTTTGCAAAAAGAAAAGTAAAGAACACCAAAATCCTCTGCTCTGTCTTATTTTTGACTTTCTCTTGGCAAGATGTTTCACAATTCTGGATACTACAAAAACTTTATAATTGTGAAAACCACTGGAACAATATAGATAAATATATATTCTGTTCTAGTCCATTCAAACGTACCTCAAAAGTAGGCTCTGTTAAATTATCAGGGTCCACTGCAGCTGGTGATACAACCTTGGTGGATTTTAAGTCCTGCCCTTCAAAATCTATTGAAATAATCAAACAGATGGCAAATGAAGACATGATTAACCCTTTAACTTTCATGATCTGATTAATAATTCTCCCCACTAGCTGCAACACATTTCCTAGTAAACTAGTAACAAGAATTTGGTGTTGGATCAAGATAACAACCAGATTAGTTTGAGTATTCTCATTACCTGTTTGCTGGATAATGTCTTAATATTGTGGGGAGAAGTGAAATGTTAATCAATCCTGGGAGTGAAAGGGTGAAAAACAGAAATTAAAGACCATTAGGGGCCATTTCCCATGCTTGTCACTTATGGGCGCAACAATGGTTTAAATGCTCATGTATTTTAGAGGGCATTTTCCACATTTCCCCTGATAAATTCACCTTGCAAACTCAGCTGCAAAGCCCTCTTCAGATCTTCATCTTCTGTCTGGTAAGAATGATTTAAAAAAATAATATTAATAACTACTTAATAATAAATAAGAGAAATTTAAATTGTGGGTACCAAGCTGTAAACAATTCATCTCTATCTTCTACTGCTAATGTCAGGATGATAAACTTTGAAAGGCTTAAGAGTTTAATGTATTAAGTGCTTCAAAAGTTGCTGAAGAATGCTCTTTATTTTAAATTGTGGGTACTTAGTTTTCAGGAAATAACTTATGGGAAAATTGTGGCCTTCTGGAAGAATAATGCTTCTATAGTCTCATACATGGTTTTTTCACAGAGAGAAAAGGTTGTCTTGTTTTTGATAGACACGATCAATGAAAAAGAATGCTGTTAGGAAAGTGAAATTCCTTCTGGGATACAAATTCTTATAAATTTAAAAGTTACCGTTTCCTGTTCACTTCTTGTCTGGTCTTGAAGACTCATGTTGATTGCCTTTTCCATGTCTTCATCGCTAAAACATTGAACCTCCCAGCTGCTCTTGTCAACAATCTCACTACCAATAGTATTGGTTGAAGCAAGATTACTCTCTTTAATGCCAGCATCAAACAGATCCCCTTCAAATTTTCCTAGCTTGGGTGTTTTACTCAAGCTGAAATTTCTTTGAAGTGTTTGTCTTTGAATGGAGCTACCAGTTCCTTTTTTGATACAAATCTTAGGAGTGCTGTTTTTTAGAACAAATCCTGCGTCTATGCTATTTTCTAAGCTTGAATCTTCCCCACAGCTTTTGTCATTGCCAGTATCATTCAGACAACTATCATCAAGATCATGGGAAACATCTTGAGCTGCTGTTGTAATTGGAGCACCTCCTTTTAAACCAACAGGTTCTTCAACTTTGCTGCTCTGAGCCATGAAAACTAAATCTTCATCAGAAATATCACTCAATTGATTAAAATCATCACTGTCGAAATTAGAAATTGCATCTTCACTCAAAGCTTCTGTTTTTGATGTGCGTTCCCCAGCATTTGTGTTGGCTTTTTGTTCAAGTCCATTCAATTTTGCCATTGATTCTTTTTTTGCTGATTTTGTACTCTCTGCCAAAGCCCATTTCATTTGCTCTTCCTCTGTATCTTCCCAAATCCGTTTGAATCTCAGTGGGGTATGACGTAAAGGTGTGTTCCCAACCTCTCCAACTTCAATGACATCTTTCTCACAAACAGTTGGTTGATTGGTAACATGGCTCACAGGGTTGGAAAAACAATTGCCAATATTAGATTTTGTATCATTGCTCAAAATGTCTGCCAAAGTATTGCATTTGGCATCATCTTCATTTACTTCTTTGTTTACATTTGATTCTTTTTCTGCTGATTGAGCACTTTCAGCCAAAGCCCATTCCATTTGCTCCTCTTCTGTTCCCTCCAAGACTGATTTATTCCTCAGTGGCATTTGATGTGACGGTGTGTGCCTGATCCCATCAAATTTAGTGATATCTTTGTCAGCAGTTTTTTCAGATTCATGGGTCTGTTCTTCTGTTTGGTCATTTTCAATGACCCTGTCTAGCTTGGAAACACCCATGACCTCCACATCATCATCTGAATAATTTGTTGTGTTTGTCAGAGAATTTCTGGCAGCAGTACTGATAAGAAAAATTCAATGATCAGAATTTGCATATTGACTTCAATGACATCTCTAAACATAAAAAGCACTTTCTTTGTCCTTGAGGGCAGCATACTGATTTATGATACTGTTAACATACTTTGAAACATTTTTCCCCCAAAAGATTCAACCCTTTATACCCTAATGCCAGTATACAATCAAATTCTCCAAACTGTTCTCTTAGCATTTTCTGAGGTGCCACGCCAGGGAGAATTTGATCAACAATCAAGAGCTTAAATCTATATTTGGTGATCATTTTTGTTATTTTAGTGACCTTAATTTGTGAAAATAGATGCTAGTTACTCTTATGAGTCAAAGGGTTAGTTAAAGCAGGGAAACTTGCTTATGGAAAGTATCTAAATATAAATCATTCTTTTGATGAAAGACTGTCAGTTGTAATAAGATTATCATTCCATGTTTCTTCCATGAATACCATAGTTTTCCGTACCTTGAGAAATTTTCATTTGCAAAAGAATGTGATAGTTTCCTCCTCACTGAGGGAGAGGGTTGAAAATGAAGAGAATCATCATCGTCTTCATCACTGGTTAAGTAGCGTTTCTGTGGTTTACGGCCTGATTTTGTTGGACTGCTGGGACAAAAAAAAATAGAACAGATGCCTGATGGTGCCATATCAAATTATATAAAAGCTGAATTATACATTCATTTTGATTGGCTCCTATATATGATCTGTTGGAGGACAGACTTATAGATGACATCACTATTAACAGAATTTTGCTTCCTTCTTTTTATAAAACAAAAAGAACCCATGTTGCTGCACATCTGTTCAGGAAAAGATCTCAGAAGCTGTCAAAATGTGGGAAGAACATCAGTGACACACTTGGCTGTCCTTTGAGTAACAATGTTTTGCTCTTATCATATTTTTATGTCATCTGTGATCTACTACTGAACACCTCACAGCAACATGGGGGTGGGGGGTGTTTTCATTAAATAAATGTCCTTCCATGTCTAGTGTTTAGCCTTCTGGACACCATTCACAAAAATAAATGTTCAGATAAAAGATTCAGCTAAATTGAAGATAGTTTAATGGGTGGTTTTGTTAAAAAAAAAAAAGGCTAGTTTTCATGCTACACATTACTTACAATTTGAGTGATGACTTTGGTTGGAATGGCAATGGAGGCCTTGATGTTGATGAGCACAGCATACCTACAGACAAGATGAATCATGAATACTTGACTCTTGTGTACTTCCAGTAACAAGGCCCAAAATAACAAGGAGAAATTTCCAATTGCCTTCTGGCACCTTGATGGTGAAAAAATGGTTGCCAGCACTAAATTTTGAGTTGCCAATTTAAAAGCTGGATCTGAATGTACCTGCAGTACCACTAATTTGGCTTTACTATGATGTTAGATGTATGAAGTTACAACATGAAATTCTGCACCTGCCTTTAAAATTGATCACATTTGCTGAGTGTATGTCAAAAGATAGATGTGTTTGATCAGTTTTCCTCTTTTTTATCAAGGTAGAAGTAAAACTAGATAGTGTGATGTACTTTTGAGCTCAACTCATTTAACTTTCTAATTTAAAACATTAAAAAATGAAGTAATTACAGTGACAACTAGCCCAAAACTTTTAGCTTCCAGCAAGAAAATGCTAGTTCCATTAGCACTAGTATTGATTGCAATCTCAAGCCCCCAGTAACAATGGGTATTAACTGCCAAAGAGAAAGATGTTGTGTTGATACTCACTAAGGTTAATAAACCTTTCAATTTTAACCTTGTCTTGCTTCTTGGCCTGTTCTTCAGTAAAGTTGTCAAATCCATACCGCTTCAAGTGCAGAATAAGCACTCTGAAAGAAATGACAAAATACTAAACAAAACTAAATTCAAATATCCAAGTCACTGTTTAATGGAATATAAAAATAGCCATCCACTACTCCTGTATTCTGAAGTGAGTATTCAATATTATGTAGTGAGTTTAATTTTTTAAAAAAAAAAAAAATTTTAACTAAGATATATAAATTTATCAGGTACATCACTTAGATCAAGTACAGACTTGCCAGTGAGTGGCAGACTACCACCTTAGTAAAAAGTGAAAAAGGCAAAACTAACCTTGGAAGCCTACTGAAACTGTGTGCAATGATAGCTTCCTTGGACTTACATTTTCCACATGTGTACTCAAGCTGTTCATCCTAAAATGAGATAAAAATCAATGTTGCTTTTCGTGAGATATGTTCTTCAGATCACTTTGACATCTTTATGCAAACTTTACCCTTTTAACTCCCAAGATCTCCATAGTAATTCTCTTTACTATCTCCGATACAATTCTCATGATGTTAGTTCAGAGAATTTGATATTGGATCTACTAATAATCTCCTAACTGATATTTTTCTTTATTCTCATTACTTGTCTACTTAATTTTTGGCGACATTGTAACGAGAAATTCTTTCTTGGTCACTTATAATAGTTGAAGGGTTGATCCAATTTTCAGTTTTTCCACTGCTTACCTCAAAGTGTTTCTCTAGTAAGGTTTGCATGCTGACAGCTGAGCCAAATGGAGACTTATCTGAGGAATTACACCTACAAAATGGACAAATGAAGTTTGGACTGTTGATTTCTGTAAAAGTTATGGTGCTTTTTAACAAAAAGTGAACTACAGAGTTGGAAGTAACCACCAAAGATTTTATTTCCACTGCTGTTGGTTGTGTTGCAGAGCTCCTAAAAAACAGCTATGATGTTCCAGGGTTTTAAAGACCATTTGATGAGTGGTGATCACAGCATTTTAAACCAATTTTTCTTGTTTCCATTTCAAGATATCATATGCCAATGATAATGATTGATGGCAGCATGAAATGAAATAACAAGTTTGGCTCAGAGTGTTGGAGTTTACATGTTGTGAAGGTGTCGGTTAGGAGTATGTTTATTCAAAGTTAAAGGATGAGTGTCCTGTAACGGAAAATACTTAAGTTGGAATAAAAACCTTGGATCAAGAATATATACTCACAGAACTGGGATGTCAAGAGAAAAGGCATGATAAATCTCTTCTTTTGGAGCAGATTCTCCACACCTAGATGTCAACATTTACACAATTTGTATTTATAGCAATAATGGCAAAATGTTTAAATCAAAAATTCATACACTGGTTTGAATACAAGAGCAAGTTAGGAAGGAAGACATAAGCTTGAGAGAAAGAGAGGAGGGTGGGGTGAGGTAAAAGAAGAAAAGAGGGGTTGGGGAGGAGAGTAATGGGTATTTAGTGAGAGTTAGAGGGAACAAAAGAGTAAAGGAGAGGAGGGAGGGGAGGATAGACTGGGAGGAGGAAGTATGACTTAAGGGGAAAAAAGGGAAGACTGGGAGAGAGGAAGGATGGAAGGAAGAGACAGAAGGAGAGACAAAGGGGATGAAAGTAGTGAAGTGAGGAAGAAAAGGAGATGAAAAGAAAAGAGAAGGAGGGAAGAAAAAAAAAGAGGAAGGACTGGAGTGGGCAGAGAGGAAAAATGAAGAAAAGAAAGGTGACGAACTGGAAAAAGAAGGTTAACAAAGTGTGAAAAGAGGAAAGGTTAATGGAGGATCAAAAGGATAAAGAAAGAAGGAAAGAGAAGAAAAGGAGTGAACAAGAAAGAGGCCTGGGTACGTTAAAAAATCATTTGCATAGCTACACAACAGTAGTACCAATTTGTAATAAACTACTTACTGTTTACAAATGACTGTATGGACCACTCCACTTTCAAAAGATCTTGTCACAGGACATTGAGAATCTGCCAACTACACAGGAGCAGGAATTAAAGTCTATTCATTACAAAGTATAATTTTGTTGAGATCAAAATTTTTACCACTGGTTTCAACCTCAAATAACATACAATGTGGAGCTATATGTAAAAACTTATCATCATGATGGTAAAAACCCTGCTTTGAAATTAAACAAATATCATCAGTGCCAGCAACAAATTTTCCATAAAATTCTTACCTTTGGGTTACTTCCACTTGAGGTATCTTTGGAAGATGGAGAGTTAGATTTGCTCACATCATCCTTCAGCTGATCAAACACTTGACAAAGGAACTCATGAGCATCCTATAAAAATAAATCAAATAAACTTCAAACTTCTCTGCAATAAAATTTCACCATTTGACCTCCGAGAGTGACTAGCATCTAATTTCTCCCAACAGTATAAAACCTCCCCTCCCCCCAAATGAAATGACACATGAGAATAAAGGAAACTATCAACAATTAGAGAAGCTTTTGATTGTTAAACAAATTCTCCTTGTCAGCAACTAAGAAAATGTATGGAGAACAGTATGGAGAATATGCATACTGATGTTAGGGTGTGAAAGGTTAAGTCATTTCCAATTGCATACATCATAATTCACCAGACCCAAAGCTAGATCCACAAACATCTGAATAAAAGGTTGAAGATTTCCTTTTGCATAAGTGCTTGTTATTCTTTGGACAACCAGCTCCAGGTACAGATAATTGTTTTGTAAAGCTTTACCTCTCCCAAACAAAAGGTGAACTTCCTGTGACAGCACAATGAACGAGATAGATGCTGTAAATTCTTACATGCTGATGATATCCTGAAAAACGTGTTGCAGCTTCAGAGATTGTTCGCTTAAGTTTCCTCAAACAATTCTTCAGCACCTCTGGATTTCCACACTTTCTTTTACACATTAGAACACTATGAAGACATCTGTGGGAAAAGAAGGAAAATAGGAAGGAAGATAAAAACTTAACACTCCTAGATGGAAAGAGACGTTGTGAGAGTGAAGTGTTTTTCCCAAGAAAACAACATATTGGGGAGTTTTAGATCTACAACTGTTTCTGAATATGTGTGACTGCAAACGTCTAGGAGTCAAGTGACCAAACTCTAGCAGTCACATTTGCCGTTTGCCGTCAATTTTTGAACTTTGGACAAGGTAGTTTCAGGAACTCCCTTGATGCTTTTTTACTTCCTGTTCAAAAGTTCTCATTCGTGTTCCATAAATATATTTGAGGTGAAGTCTTTTCTTTATAACCAATCCATTTTGGATGCTAGAAAATCAATCTTTTAGCCACATTCTGAATTTGAAATGAAGGACCTCCTTCCTTTGTGTAATTTCAGATGGCAATGCACATGTTTATTTTTTTGGGTGATAGCGGATGTTGAGCTAAAAAGCTGAAAGTCTCAAAACTTCTAACTTCTAACTTCTAACCACAAACTGCTGATTGTGGTTTAATATTTGCAGTGAACACACCAAACTGGGATCTAAAACTCTCTATTGACACAACCTGGACTCCAGAGCTGTTTACTTGGAATCCAAGGCACAAACCAGTACACCATGATGTCTCCCATGACAAACAAACAAAAAACAAACAAACAAAAAAAAAGAGGTAATTTTACACTTACTTGTACAGACAGTGTGGAAAAACATTTTCCAACAAAGCTCTGTTAGAAAGATCCTGAACAAATGGTGGCAAACCAAGTAATGATTGAAGAATGGCATTCATGTAGCAAGTATTTCCCAAATTTGAAAAGCTGCAACCATAAAAATTCAATTTGTGTATTTCAGATTTGATTTCACTGAATGACAGTGTAACAAAGCTAACTGCAATGAGCCTTCAGGGCTCTTCTGGACAGCTGTCATTGTCACAAGTATAGGCTCACATGGAACATTGCAACCCAAAAATTTATTGTTCACATCTTTGAGTTCTTAATTCTGCCCAACTTTTGTAATTTTAGTCAAAATAATTTTATGTTTAATCAAACAACATCCCTTCTTTTGATATGTCCCTCTCAAATCAATCTTTCTGCTTAAAATGTATTGGTATGGTAAGCAATAATAATTGCTTTGGTATTGGTAAGAGGAAATTGCTTTTCGTTCACTTCAGAAACTGGAAGAGGATTTTAAAAAGTAATGAGCCTTTTGTAATTTATAATTTACTGCCAGAATGATCTGTACCCAAGTAAAGACCATGGGCAAGTTCAGATTCTATAAAATCTTTCTTTGGAATGATCATAATGATACAGGAAATTAGACTGCACTTTCCTACCCTGTCAATGCAAAATCTCTCTCGTAGAGAAGCTTCTCACGGGATCTGAAAGATATCTGACTTGTCAGACGTTTTGTTTGAGGTGCAGGCATCAAGCCTGGGCCCCTAAGATTCTTTGCAGATTTCCTGTGAATGAAAATGAACCATTATTGATGTCCATCCATCTCCAGATCAGGGTCCGCTTGTTGGAGAGGTAGTTAGTGATTATCCAAGATTAAAAGTTTAACCCTCTAACTGCCAAGATCTGATTGTTAACATCTTAATTGTGCTTTGAACAACTTGACCCAGACGAATCACTCAATTTCTACTTAATAGTAATCTACTGTTCCACCAGCAATAAGCACACCCATGCTAAACTGGGCATAGTCCTTTATGCCAAATGACCAAATAAGCATTCCTTTCCTCTCATCCCTTGAGTTTTTTAAATATCAAGCTTACTTGGAAAATCTATATCTCTTGTCAACCCATTTATAAAACTCTAAACCTCAAATTTAATGGCAACAATTCATGTAACAGAATGGTTCATTCCCTGCAAAGTCACTTCTGACCATAGGTGTGTTGTATTTTATTTATTCTCACATGAAGATATATCCATAATTGGGTCATAATTTGTCAAAAGAATAACTCAATGCAACAAACACCTCACCACTTTCCTCCTCAGTAAGCTAGTCACATAACAGGTTTTGCAAAGAAGGCAAAGCTGGATGGATGTGACAGGCCGTTCTTGCCCACTCTCCCCATCCCCTCCCCCTCAAGGGTAGCCAATCAGGACAGAAGATGTGCATCATCTTTCCCATTTGCATACCAAGCCCAAAATAAAATTTTAAATTACTAACCATTCACTTGGGGACTGTGTTAAATTTTGTGATCCATAAAATGAAGTGACCGACTTTCCACCACTAGATGTATTGCTTAGATTATCTGTTATAAAATAATCAAAGACAGTTTTGAGCCCTGACCTTTACAGCTGAAAAGTCTGTAATTCCTGATACACTCAAATATGAATTGTATTTATAGTTGACTCTGAATACTGGGAGAGACCCAATGGTCTGATTGTTAGCAAAGTGAATCCTGGGTTGAGGGACTGGGTTTGAGACCTGGCCAGGTCACTGTGTTGTGTCCTTGAGAAAATGCTTAAATTTTGCAATGCCTCTCCCCACCCAAGAATATAAATGGGTACCAGTGAATTGTCAGCCTTGATGAAATGCTAGGCAGAAGGGGGGGAGGAGTATTGCAAAGGACTGGAATCCAATCCAGGGGGGAGTAGTATTACTCCTAATCCCTTCATGCTATGGAAACCAGGCACCCTCACTGGACGGGCCAAGGAGGGGAGGGTATTGCAAAGGACTGGCATCCTATCCAGGGAAAGTAGTATTACCCCTAGTTGCTTCATCCCATGGGAACCAGGCTAAGCCTTCGCTGGACAGGTCACTTGGCTCTGGGGTTCAGACATATAGGGTCTAATTTCTCAGCTGAAAGTTTGGAATCAAAATTTGGTGCACAGTTTAGAAATATTTCACTCATGTGCATGAGCCTCGAGGGCTTTCTTATTATTTTAATACAAACCTCTTGCAAATGTTTTATCCACAAGAGGGGTTTTATTTGGTGATCTGTTTGATGAAGGTGGATTCATCTGCTTGGCATGGAGATTGCGCTGAACACTAGGGGTTAGTCTAAAAAAAAAATGGATTGATCAACAAAAACAGAATTACTGATAGTGCTTATTTCATGATGTCTGTTGAGTCTAAAGTAGGGGAAAAAAATATGTGCAAAAATGTTAGCACTTATAACTGACCCACATATTGAAAGAAAAACTCCTTTTAACCCAACAAAAGCTCTTTGAGGCTGAAAGATTGCTGGCTCTTGCATCAACTCTGATAGAGTTTCACTCCCAGGAATTACCGAAAAAAATCTTCCTCACTATATCAAATTCTCTAATTTCACACTAGAAGAAGATGAGAAGAGTGTGAAATATCAAGAAGGGAATACTGATTGATCTAACACCAGATTATCAGAGCTCGATTAGAGGAAGTGCATAACAGAAAGTGTGGAGAGCTTAAAGTTAGATCTTGGGAATAACAGGGTTAACCTGTAACTCCCTAACATCAGTACACATATTCTCCATACTGTTCTGTATACATTTCCAACAGTCCTGGCTAGGAGAATTTGAGCTTCTTCAGTTGGCGATCGCTTCCTTTATCCTCATGGCCTTGATGTGTGATTTGGAGGTGATACTGTACAGAGAAATTATATGCTGGTCACTCTTAAGGGTAAAAAGTTTAAGGAACTTACTTGTTTGTCCTCGCAGAAGGTGATGATCTCATCGAGTTTCTTCTCAAAGGTGATTCATATTTTCCTCTTGGTGATGATGCATTGGAGTGGATGTTATTCAAGGGCAAGTTCTGCAGTGAAAAAGTATGTTCACAGATTGTTGTCTGATGAAGAAATGTAAAATGGTTTCCGTATTTACATAGCCTGATGTAAACACTTGGGAGGTTGGGAGAACATGAGATAAGTGTAGGAAACCATGATGCGAAGCAGAGTGGTTTCCAGCTTATCTCATGTTCTCCCAACCTCCCAAGTGTTTACATCAGGCTATGTAAACACAGAAAGCATTTTACATTTCTTTTATAAAATAACTAATGAAAGAGGACGAAAACTGTGTTTACATACACTCATGTAAAATGGTTTTATGGCTAATCAGAGCATGCGTACTATTTGAATTATTTTATAAAGTATAATAATTCATTGTATAATTTACAGGACTTGATTCCCATTTAGTTTTATCTGATGACCAAGGAAAGAGAGGGTTAGTTGAACAAGCCTAGAAACCCATTAATATCAAATATTTTTTTGATTGTCTGAAGTTACAATAAGTATCACTATTTCTAGTAGACCAGATAACAGCCTTTTTTTTTTTTACTGTGACATCTCTTGACCCCTTTACACCTATCATCAGCATGCATATTCTTAACCCTTTAAGCCCCAATATCAACATGTATATTCTCATCACTGTTCTTCATCTGTTTCTTATTTTACTGATTGGGAGAATTTGATCAAACATCACGACATTTCATCTTTGGTGATCATTTCATTCACTCTCATGATCTGTACATTTGATCAGGCAGTGATATTTTTAGGAGAAATAAGATGCTGGTCACTATTAGGGTTTAAAGGGTTAAGGTGCTGAAACTGACACTTTGTTTAAAAAATCAAGAGTTTCTTCAGTTGGTGATCATTTCCTTTATTCCTATGACTTCAAGTTGCAATTTAAGGGTGATGTGTAGGAAAAATGAGATACTGCTCAACTCTTGATGATCAAAGGTTTAAGCTTACCTCAGCATTTTCTATATCTTTTCCTTTTGAAGAGGATGAAATCAATTTTCCTACAAATTAGAGATAACAAAAGTAGTAATTCTATGTAATCAAACTAAGAGGTAAACAACTATTTCATTAATTGCTCCAGTAAGCATTGAGAGTTTTTCCTAAATCACACCATGCAAAGGAAGTCGAAACTGCTATCTTTCACCTTTTGTACACTCACATTGGTATGCATATTCTCCATACTGTTCTCTTATATATTTCCTTTGGTGCTGACAAGGAGAATTTGTGTTACAATCAAGAGCTTTGTTAGTTGGTGATCATTTCCTTTATTCTCATGACCTTGATGTGTGATTCAAGGGTGATGATGTTAGGAGAGATTAGATGCTGGTCACTCTTAAGGGTCAAAAGGTTAAATACAAATTACCTTCAATTTTCCCATTTTCTCACCTTTAAAAGAAGCATTATATGCTTTTACATTGTTCAAAACATCTATAAATGCTCGCAGCTGGTTAGGTTCTGCCTCTCTCAAGTGCATGGAAACTGCTGATTTGCCACGCTCAGTAAAAGACAAAGTTAGCCGTGACTCACGGCTTTGAAATGAAAATTTATCAGGCTTCAAGAGGAACTGAAATTCAAAGAATTGAACACAGTTAAATATTTACATTTAAGAGTACAAATGTATTATTGAATTGTTTGATTTTTGTTAATTTTAATTGTTAATACACATGTGTTGAGGTATTCACAACAAACAGTGAAGATGTAGACCATATTTTTTTCAAAACGATGTGTAAATGTTTTGTTTCATTATAAAGTGTTGCTTTCTTAATTTAATCAGTTTTTGATCTCCATTAATATTTATATCATCGATAATCCGGACCCTCGATTATCTGGACTGTTTTGTCTAATCCCAATGAGTCTGGATAATTGTAGTTCAACTGTATTAGTATCAAATTAGACTTTAAAGCAACGTAACAGCCAATATATATGTCATATCTGGCCTAAACCAGACTAATCTGAAGAGCTAAGCAGTGGAGTTTTATGCATTGCATACTTTTTCATTTAAACAATAGCTGTCTGAGCTACATCTTTTAAAATCAAATTCATTTTTTCGCTAAAATATAACTACCCATTTAGCTATAGCTCAGTGCTGTAAACTATATTCATTGGCAAACAATAAAGGTCTTCGAATCAGCCATTCGAATGAATGGAATGAATAAACAAAACAGATAAGGTCCAGGTTCTCTTATGCTATGAACGGTTGTGTGCCCAAGGAAATGACAAAAAAATGTCAGACAGTAGCCAAGTATAGCTTCTTGACAGAGCGGTCAACAAGCGTGAAGTGTTCTACTTCAAACGCCGGTAAGAAAAGGAACGATTTTGACATGATGTTTAAATTACTAATTACGCAGAGTGTAAACTGAAATTACCTTCACGCGTTTTGCTTTTGTAATTCCATGTATATAAAAACTGGTACTCAGTTTATAGAGAGCTAATGATCCATGGCAATATTCCAGACTATAGCGTTCCACATTTGACCATTTTACTTCGCCAGAAACCTCACAAAGTTTCTCTCCGTCAAGAACACAAGCCGCCATTTTGTTTAGCGGGAAAAAATAACTTTAATCGCAAAGACTTAGGGGATACCTCTATTTTCGAGATAGAGAGAGGGGTGGGTTGAGAGCTAGTAAGTTTGACGATGTGGGGAGGGCACTCACAGGGGGCTACCAGATGTTTTCAACAATATGATCAATGGAGCTCATCATTTTATTTCGTTACCCTACAGTGAGACATAAAATTTTGTAACAGATTGCAGCACATCCAGGTATGGCCAAGGTATAAGAAAAAAGAAATTAATCACAGGTTAAAAAAAACTGTTAATCGCACATATAATGAATTTGTGTGTGTTGTCAGGAGCCCATTGCCTGGTAACAAGCTCATGTACTAAGTTTCTGATGCTTGTATCATAATCAAGCCCCACCACTCTTCCCTGGGGGCAGTGAAGGGGATGACCATGTCATAAAATTAATGCAAATCAGAAATATATGGTTGAAGTCAGAATAGAATTCTTACAAATTTAGGTCTAAATAAAAGCATAGGGTGTTACCTTCCCAAGTCAAGTTCAGTTTAGATCAATTCCTCAACATTTGTGACAGCCCCAATATATGTGCATAAGCTTCAAGCCAAGTAAAAACTTTGCCAGGAAAGGGGTGAGAAATGTTTTTTTAACTCCATAATATTTTAATTACCAAAAATTCTGAGTAACAAGCTCAAGCAATTGAAGATAACAACCCAATTATCTGAGTATTAAAAGGAAGTTGTGTGACATGACACTTACACATTACCAGTTAGGTTAAAATTGAAATAGGAGACATGATGATCGAAGTGATATGTTTTAGAGGAGAGTGTACTTAATTTATAAAGTGGTGACCATTGACGATAATCAGCAAAAGAAGGATTTTATGACTGAAAGTAGAGTGTACCTCACAAGTTCAGCGCAGTATGAATGTTAAAACTGTGAAACAAGAATCAATGATTACAACCAAGCACCTTAACAAGATCTTAAACAGTTTACTGCACTCTTTGATTACTCAGATACATTCCAGAAAAACAGTCAAATCATCCTCAACAATTTACTGTGAGTTTCATTATACACCAAGGTAACAATAAAACTCAGTGCAAAATTCCTAAAAAAGCCATACACCATAACTGTTCATCAAAAGTTCTTTACAAATTCTTTCTAGTTAGTCACACTTCCACAATTTAGTAGTCAACATAAATGTAAACAAAAGTAGCTGGTCTTTGAAATCCCTTGTCAATGCTCGCTGAGTGGTTTGTCACGTGTAAGCATCAGATAAATTCCAGGGCCCAGGATTCCAAAGAAAAATGCAGAAAAGGCTGCAACATGTTGAACAGGAGTCTGTTGAGAAAAGAAGTGTCACCATGTGACAAAATACATGTGTTGATTCTATCTTAAAATTTACACTGCTACAACAAGTCCCACTTTGCATAGCTTTACATTGGGCACCAAGTGAGCTGGTATGAACTTCAAACACAATTTTAAGGGTGGTATTGGTGTCTACATAAAGAATTTCATGTGTCACTGCTGTATGGCGTTTGTTCAAGGTATGGTTCCCCTGAAGAATTCCTAATAAGTTAATTACAAAAGAGGAGTAGTGACCTATATTTGAAAGTTGTCCTTGAATGATAGTTGTTGTTAAAAGCATTTTAATTTTTCTCTGTCTGTCTTCGCATGTTGGAAGTTCCAATGAATACAACACGATAGACAAAGACAGTTTGAGACCCAAGGACTCTACGCTTTGACCTCAGTAGGGTCAAAACTGGCTTGAAGCTTTAAATAGTAGTTTTCCTTTCATTAAACACGAAATGAAAAATTATCCGGTCTCATTTTTAAACGAACGTCGACATCGATAGCTCGATCACAATTTGCGATCTTATCAAGGTTATATAATATTGCCCATCTGAAAGTTAACGATGATATGGCATGTTGTGTGTAGTCTGACCACATAAAACATTTTACAACACTTCTCATTACGGTAATCAGTGTAAAACATGATAGGTAGCAATAGTAAACATCTATTTCAATCATCATTCAGTCATTTACGAAGCTAATACAATCCTGCAATTCTTGCCAGAGGTTCAGACGCGTGAAGAGCATTCAACAATTTTAGGAACTACGACAAGATCTCACCAGTCTTTCGGGAGTTTCTGGCCTTCTCCCAGTACTCATGGCTCTTCTTAGTAAGCCAATCCTCATTGTATTACAAGCTCGTTGAAGAAACATTGTCTAATGTCTACCGATTGACTCCTTTAAAACAGAATCCTTATCCGGTAGATGCCGTGCTTCACGTAAAACAAGATGGCGGAGGGGAACAATATTTACCGAAAAGCATCATGGGTAGGTTTAGAGGCTCAGTCCTTCTCGGTCGTAATTTGCTGAGTATTCGTAATTTGACGGGTCAAACAAAATGTTCTTCTCTTTTATCAGGCAGCATTTATATGAGTCCTCAAAAGTTTCTGCATAGAAATTTTTCTCTCTCTATGGCGACTGAGAATACGAAATTAGTTTTATCAACAAATTCTATTACCAGTAATACTTTTCTTTTATTACAATTGATTTTAAATATAACGTACTGCTATCATATGCAAGTATGCAAAAACACATAATTATAATGAGTAACAAGCATTGAAATAAAATTTTCCTCATGTATTTTACAAACACCTTGTCCATGTGCATTATGAAAAGAAGACATGATCATCTCTGTTGTGAAAATTTTTACACAATCCAATGATTGAAGGAGTTTTGATGCCTTAGCTTTCTCGGATCAATATCAGTATCTGGGCAATGGCACACCTACCCCTCCCCTCCCCTCCCCTCACCCAACAACAGTCAATTGATAACAAGTTAGGGTGAATGTTGGGTTAGGGGAGGGGTAGGTGGGCTGTTGCCCAGATACTGATATTGATCTGCCTTCTCGAGGTAACATGATTCATGTAGAAATTTGTTACATCACTAATGAAAAGATTATCTTTCTAGTTACATGTAAAACATCTTTTTCTGGCTCCACTCATTAGACTCTTTCATAAAGTGGCTCTGCCTTCAAACCAAACACTTCATAGTCTTTTACTGTGAAGTTGTAGTCTCCCATGAGAAGACTGGTTGAGGCCTGGGGACCATCATAGGAGTGAGGTAAGTTTGAGTAGGACTCAAGCCTCTCATGACACTCATCACTGATACACAGATCTGCCCCTGCCCCAAACATGGGTCCATATCTGACAAAGAGAAAAAAATGATAAATATTAGATATAAAATTTCTTCCTAAAACTGATTCTGACTATGGTCTGCCAGACCTTCATCCTTCATTCTGAAGAATGTACTAAGCTTGATTCTCAAATAAAACAGGTATACAGAAAAACTTAGATTAAAAATTACAAACAAGTCAACACAACTTTTCAGTCTTAAAGTAGTTTAACTACTAATTTTTTGCAAGTTTTAACCCTTTAACTCCCAATATCTGATTGTTAATTCTTCCCTCTTTCTACTACACATTACCTTGTTGGTTAGTTATGAGAATTTGTTGTGAGATCAAGATAACATCTTCTGCCTGATTAGTTTGTGTTTTATTATTACCTGTTTGTTAGATAATGTATGGGTAATTTTTGATGGAGGTACATGTTAATCACTTCTGAGAGTTTAAGGGTTAAATAATTTGATTTCTTTGGGGTTCTTTTAAATTGAGTGAGCATAGCTTTCAACATAGCCTGTGGTGTAATTTTTTCCATTTCACAGTTGAATGGAGACAAGTGCAAGGCAAATGCAAATTGCAAGTTATACACAAGGAGAGGAGCCCAAAAAAATAATGTGTTGGCTCACACTTCACAATTACCTTGTGCTAGCCTTCGTTTGACTGAACAATGCAAAAAAAAAAAAAAGGAAGCCTAATCTGCAGGCTACTTTCAACACTTAAATGAAAAATTATCTTAAAGTTATTTTTGTCAACAAACCTTGGATGATGTAGAGTAGCATATTTAGGATGTGTTACATCATACTTGGTTGGAGGAACACCTTCAGAATTCACCAGTGTAAACAAAAATGCCCTATTAATCATAGGTAAAAAACATTTAGAAATGTAGATTGGAAGAAACTCCTAGAACCTTTGATCGTATTTATGGGTTTAATTTAAATAAAAAAATATATTTATGAATAGAATGTTACCTTAAAAGTCAGGACATTTCATAGGTAAAACAATTTTCAGCAAATTTTAAACAAGAAACCCACCTTTCAGATGGCATGTATTTTCCACGAGGAATATCACTTCTCCATGGCTGATCACTGTATCCACCACAAACATTTCCATTTGTTCCCTGAGATATGATGTTGACATGAGAATGCATGAAAGAGAAAAACTGGCTTGTAAAAACAAACTATAAGAGAGTTCTGAGGTCTGAAACCTCAGACTTAGTTTCTGGGAACTTCCAGAAATTAAAGGATGCATGAATAAAAATCTACATGATTGACTCAATGTCAAATTATCTTTGTGTTTCACAAGGAAAGAGACCAGCAGTCATAGATATTTGGTCTTCATATCAGAAATCTAAAAGATAAAACTAGAGGGCTATTCAAAAGGCTTACTTGTACTTATATCTTCAGGGTGTGAAATTGCGCCTAATACAGGTGCCAATGCAACTAAATTTTTCACTTTGGCGACCAAATCCTGAAAATCAGTTGCCAAATTGGTGACTGGAATGTTTCATCATAACCTTACCAAGAGATATAACGAATTAAAAAGATTTGCAAAGACAAATCAGCAGCAAACTTCCTTGTTAAGTTTGTTCCAAAATGCAGCACATGCATCTTGATTGATAACTAGATGCCATCATGGATTTAGGTGAGCTTGAACTTTGTCTATCATCCATCCTAGTGTCCACTTTGTAGTATGTTAAAGATAATTTTGGAGGGTCTATCTAGAATGCTGACAGCATAAAAAAAGGTTTTGTTTGTTTTTGAAAATGGCGACCAACTTTTTTTGAATTGGCTACCACTTTGAAGAATTTAGGAGCCAGGGGCTATCAGAAAAAAAATTAATTTCATGCCCTGATCTTAAGTTGCACTGTCAGAAATATCCTTGGAAAAGTTTTTGCCTTAACCCTTTCACTCCCATGAGTGACCAAGACAGAATTTCTCCTTACTATATCTGTACCATATCATGTAAACAAGTGATGAGAATTAAGAAAAATATCAATTATGGGATTACTAAATGATCTGATACCAAATTCTCCAAACTGACATAATGAGAATCATTTGGCAGACTGTAAGGAGAATTGCTAATGAAATCGTGGGAGTTAAAGGGTTAATTTTATATTTACTCACCAGAACAACTGTAAATGTGGGTGAATGTCCATCACACTTTGTATGAAATGCTACAGCCGAAAAGCCATCCTTTGAAGCTTTGTAAAGTAACTGCCATTCCTGATATTCATTCCCAAACCAAGCATTGAGCATGTTTTGAAATTTGAGGCAGTCCTTTGTTAGTAAAGTTGAACCATAGAACAACTTTTGAGAAGCTCTTGGTCTTAAACGGGGATCCTCAGCTTTTCTGAAATGGGTTGGCACTGCTGCAAAGCGATACCTTAGAAAAACATATCGTCAGTATTAAGCACTAAACTTTGTTTTAACATGTTTTTTAAACTGAAGCACAACATTTTGCACAGTGTTTTTCACCCTGAGTGAGAACATAGATAACATATATTTAGAACACTGGCAATTTTTAAGGAGATACTAAAACAGAATTAGTTTTAGGAGTAGCAGAAAATTGATACATTGTCATCTGGTCAAAGATAAATGATGAAAATTTTATCTTAAACAAGATTAATTACAACAAACAAGACAATGAAGCTTACCTTTCTAAAGACACCTCCATAGGGACTACTCCAGTTGGTTCCACTTCTTCAGCGTACACACTGCTGTCAATCAACAGCAGTTTGATGTGTTCAATAACACCTGACATTGCCTTAAATACAAAAGTAAGTAAACAACATGAATTAGTAACTCTACTAGATGAATGTGCATTATGGTAGTCGTATTTACTGGATTAAACCTTTGATCCCCAAGAGTGACCACCATCGCATTTATTCTTACAATAGTACACCTGAAACACACAGTAATGTTGCAAGAGGAGAGAAAATGATCATCAGTTAAGGAAGCTCTTGATTTTTAAACAAATTCTCTTTTTCAGCACCTTGGGAAAAGTATAGATTTCAGTATGGAGAATATACACATTGATATTAGGGCGTAAAGGGTTTAACAACACACATACACACACAAACAACTTCCCCACTAAAGCACCATCTTGATGAGACAACCTTGTTTAATAAGGAGATTTAAAAAAGAAAAATTCAAATGTATAATTCTACTTGAGTGGGAAAAAGTGGACAATTCCATTTGGGTAGGGTGGGCTCATCTCCATCGATGAGGTGGTAAAGCAAGGGTATAGCTGAAGGAAGGGGGTGGGAAGGGGGGTTCTGGACTACCTTTGTCTCTCACAGGCACCCCAGAAAACCTTTTTTGGTCACATTAAGTAAGACATGGCATGGGGGTCAACATGACAACCTGGTGAGTACCCCCTGACACAGTGTGAACCCCCTTAAAGAAATACTGGCTACCCCCTGTAAAGGGAAAATGTGACAACACTTTGGATGAAGATTGTGGGTAATAAACAAATACACTCAGTGTAAATGGCACACCTCTTTAATCTTCTTGTTCTCCTCTTCTGTCCACTGACTGGTTGGCTTGTTTACCCCAGTTCCCCTTTTTGCCCAAAGTAGAACAGCTCGCCAAAGCTCTTCTTCTGACACTGCAAACTTTGTGCAGGAGGAGAGTGAAAATAAAACCTACTGGTAAGTCTAAAATTGGGGATGGCCTCGGGATGAAAGTTGTACCATAGGAGCCAAGTAAAACAACCACCCTCAATTAATTGGAAGAAAAATTCATGCCAGCAATTATATAGCTTGCAGTGCAGGCATCTTATAAGGGTGAGTTAATGTTATAAGCTTGCTATTGTTTATCCCACCAGCCATGTTTAATTTAGAGTAAGAGTGGATGGTGGGGTATGGGGTTTGGGAAAGGCAAATATTTACTCCCCTATCCCCATCCCTCTCCTTAATTTTGACTGTTGCACACCCCCTTGGTGCAATTTTCTTTCTCTCCCAAGCCTTCCACTGCCATTAAAATCAAAGATGGCAGGTATAATTTTTGCTGAGAAAATACTGAGCATTTGCTTGCCAAAATCATGCCTGCTCCGCAGACTTGCAATAATAGTCTCTAAATGATGACACTTTCCCTTAAAATACAGGTAGATATTCAAGGAAGGTACCAGAAGAAAAGGCTAGAATATTTATTTGAGACTTTTTTTCTCAGTTCTTAAGTTTATGTCTGTGGAATACACTAGTTCCCCTTTATCATGGTGTGATGAGGAGGAGTTTGCACTGAAACCACACAATAACCTGTTCCAAGCATTTAGAGAGCAAAACCAAGCAAAATTAAAATTTTGGGTTGGGTTTCAATCCCACCTAAACTTCTCTCAATTTTTTCACTCAGTTACAACTATGGCGGCATTTACAATTGCCCTTTATTTTACTGACCAAACACTTGGAACAGGTTACCACACAAAGGCTCCTCGACCCTAACTCTTGAAGTTTGAACACCATCAACTGTTAAACTTGTCACATGTACCTGTTCACTTGACACAAGTCTGATCATTGCTGGTTTAGGAAGGAGAAGAAACCCTTCAGTTTTTACAACCTCTTCAGCATTTTCCTCCATGAATCCAATGCATTTATCCACAAGTGAAGACATGCCTCTTGCATTGAATCCCCTGGAAAGCGACATTGCATCTGCTAGAAATTCTGAAGCACTTTCAGTACTCAGATTGTCCATAAAATACTGTTCACAGGCTAACTGTAAATCATTTATTTCCATATCCTCTGCTATTCTCAGCATTTCAAAGGCTGTGCGACTGTGAAGTTCAACCTAATAAAAGTGGTCTTTTTTTCAATTTGGGTCATCAAAATCAGGTGTAATCGTGAAGAACAACACCCTAAAAGAACCTCTTGGCCAACTATTGGCCAAAAGTTAACCCAATATTTGCCGCCAGTTTTAAGGAAAACATCTCAGCTAGGTAATCTGTCAGTAAGTTTTTGGTAACACTAGTACCATACTGCCTTATTTATTATCCAAACTTCAGTGGATAGAGACCCTACATGAATTCTGGGGTATATCAAAAACTGACAAACGGGAGCTGTTCTTCATTATTACCAAATCAAGACCATAATTGCTGAAATATACGAATTTTACATCTAGCACCGAATTTTAGGAGTAGAAGGACGCGAAAGGCATGTGTATTAAGAAGCAGATTTCTTATTCTGACAGCTAGAAAGCTGTTTCAAGTCCGAGAGTAAAAAAACATTTACCACTGAATGAAAGTGGCTTGAGGTTAAATTTTTATAATCTACAACGCTCATACGATCTAAAGATAAAAAAAAATTCAAACCCTGTAGTTTCGCGTCACTAAACAAATAACTTCACTGCATGTTATTCGATGTTAAATATACACAAAGTATGTACAACAATCAAAATCGATTTTCAGTGGCATTTTACGAGTTACCTTTCCGGTATACAAAAACTTCAAAACCTCGCGGAACACATCAGGTCGGAATTCGGGCTTTCTCACGGTCAACTGTGAATGAACCGCTTTAGAAGACCACAGCTCTCGTTTTCTATTCTGGAAATGTTTACATCTTGTTACCAGTATAAGCCTGTGAGCGTATATTGCAGTTTCATCATGGCCTACTAGAAACAACACATCTGCAGAGTCCCGATCGTCGATTAAATTTTGCAAATCAGACAAAAGCGCCTCTACTCCGAGCCAAGTCTTGTCCTTGGCTTGGAAGGAATCCATGTTAGGTTGACAAACAGGGTAAAAACAACCAGGCGACTTAAGGCGCTCCAATCAGTACCAACTTTCCTCGGTCATTACATGCATAGGCCTGCAATATGTACTGAGTACAGGGAACGCTTCTTACATTTACCAGGATTACTATTTTTTCCCATTAAAGGTTTAGCCCACTCGAAGAAAAAATAGAGGACACATTCACATATGAGGAAATTTTTTATCAGTAGTTAAATTTTTTTGATCCAGCCAATCCAGTTAGCGTAGATGAGTATTTTTGCAAAATCCTTAGAAGTATCTCAAATTGGAACTTGGAACTCAGTGACAGGGGCCATCTGTACTCTAATAAGCAGTAAGAATGCGACAGATTTATTCAACTTTTATCGCCATCATCATATCTTATTGAAATAACAAAGGTAAGCATTTAGATAATTCCCTTTGTGACAGCAGAAAACTTGAAGAGATTACACTAAGCTGTACCTTCAACGATTTAAACGTGGGCCGCTAGCTCGTAGCTAAGAAAGTTAAGTAAATTTCTTTAATTCATATTCTCCAATTATGATTAGCATCTAATTCTCCTTATTATATCACCCTTGAATCAAACATTAAGGTTATGAGAATAATGGAAATGATCACTAATTAAAGAAGCTCATGATTGTTAAACAAATTCTCCTTGTCAGCACCTTAGGAAATGTAAAGGGAACAGCATGGAGAATATGCATACTGATATAACGAGGTAAAGGGTTTAAGTTTAAAAAATCGTTAGCTTCAGTAGCTTTTGGGGAGCATTTTCGCATAGAGTTGTTTTTTAACTGTTCCTATCAGGCTTCGCTTCTCTTCAGGTAATTTTCCCTCGCTTTCTTCTACTTCCTTGGTTGGTAAGCATCCGCCTCGTTTCAAAATCACCAGCACATTGCAGCCCAAAACCAACGCTGCGCCTGCGATACTGTAAATATTGGCAGCGTAATCCAAGAACAGGAGCTGTAAAATGAAGGCTAACGCAATGTCCAGGGTGCGCACGAGAGCGACCACGCCTGCCCTCTCTAACTGCAGGGATTTGGTGAGGAGTGCTTGGCCACCTTGAGTAAAGTAGTTGAAACGAATTTGTTAGAAATCTTTAAGATCGGGTGATCAATAGACAAATTCACTTGGCACACGGATCCCTCGGCCCTCCGTCCCTTCCCCCCTCATCCCTCTCCTTTCTACCCACTTACCCCACCCCTCCTTCCCAAGCGTTGTGAAAAAAGATTGTCTGTCTGGTCAGCCATCCCGGAAGGGAGAGTTGTTAAAAAAACAGGGAAAGTTACTGGTTAGAAAAGGCTGTATATCTGTTTGAAATGGGCACATTTAGCTCATGAACACTGGGCAGAGGGCATACGTTCGAGGTAAATTTAATACTACGTGTAAACAAGTTAAGGTGTAACGAAGTCTTATTCATCTCAGAGTAAATTTAAACCTACCCAGTCCACACATGCCAAGTCCAAAAAGGAACCACTCGTGCGAGTGGCCACATATGACACTCTGGAAAGAACCAGCTGCAAGGATCGCCCCTGTTGTTAAGACCACGCTGGACAGCCCTACATAGAATACTGGCACCAAAAAGTTGACGCCTTTGAGCTTTCTGATCGCGATCAGCGCAATGGACGTCAAAATAGCACCACACAGAGCAACCAGGCTAGCAGTTATCTACAACAAATAAAATGTTCGGCCGTTAGGTATGTTGCCGTTAAAAATTGTTTCTTTTTTAAGGTTGATTGAGATGTGAAATCGCCAAGAAAAAAAGGGCCCTCACAAACTAAATGACACGAATGTTCTATATTTTGCCTAAGCATGTCGAGGCATTTAACAATTTAACGATTGGATAATAATTTAAAAAATGTAAAAATTAAGTATGCATTTTTCAAGAAATAAAAATCATTATTTTACCTGTTCAAAGTCGCTTTCTTCGTTGGCTGGTTCTATCTGTCTCGCAAACAAAAACGTTGGTCTAGCTATCAGTACTACGCCTATAAAGCACAAAAATGTTGCTAAAGCGTCGAAAAGGCCCCACGCCTCCCCTAACAAAAAATGCGCCAGTACTCCCGTAAATATGGGAGAAGAAAACACGATAACAGTGGCATCTGCCAGCGGCATGTGCTGGAAAGCGTAAAACTGACAGCACAGCGCCAACGTTCCCGCGATTCCGCGAACGCACAAAAATGGCAAATGTTTGGTGTCTTCAAATACTGGGACTTCGCTGTAGATTAGCGGTGGAAGAACAAAAATAACTTGGACTAGACTTCGGAAGAAGACCACTTCTTGAGGCGGAATTTCTCGAAGCAGCTTGACAAACAGCGAAGAAAAAGCGAAAAATACACATGAAGCCATTGCGAAAATCACTCCTAGAGTTCTCCTTAGTGGGGAGAGATCCTCGGTGTTCTCTTTTTCTTCGGCTTTTTTCTTCTTCGGCCGAGACATCTTAAAAATAAATAACTGCAGCCTACTTCTTCCTTCTTCTTCTTTTCCAAGAAAAAAAATTGTTTGGTCTACTTGCAGTGATTCGGAATAAGCTTCACCATCAAAATGCAATTGAAAACAGCGGCAGCATCACGAATTTTATTTCAACAAGCAACTAAAAGATACTTCAATGTTCTTTGAAAGCCTGATGTTAAGTTCCCATGAAGATATTTTAAATTGGGTTTTGGAAACAACTGGGGAATTAAAATGCTTTTAAAATTGTGATGTAAAAGTAAGGCAGGTATTACATGGTGTGCTCTTTCAATGGCTTTATTTACACCCTACATGAATATCTTCAAAAGATAATTACCCTACTGACTGAGAAGACACCTGTTTTATTTGAGCAAATCTCATCGGGAAATATTGAGGAAACTGAAATTGAACTGGAATAGAACCGTTTTAGGTTTAATTTTTGTGGTAACTGATCGTTGAGTCATGAATACTTGACTTTCTCTGACCTGAGAAATTTCAATTTTTATATTGTTCAGGAAATGAGACAGATATAACAGAAATCTGTGCACGTAAAGAGAAAGTCACCACCAGGCAAGAGTCTTATCCAAATAAAATTTTAAAAATCGCTGATAGTAAGTCCGCAAAGATTTCATCGTATAATTCCGCTTGACCAAAAGCTGCCTGAATTCCTCAAGTTGAATCTCTATTAGAAAATTTGCTACTAACCACTATGAGACGCCTCCATCAGTTCGTATTTTGATTTAAACGGAACTGAAGTAGGGGACTGGAGATAAGTTTGACGTCTTTGCGCGCACTCTCGCGCACTTTATTAACAGTGCTTGTAATTTTGACCAATTCATCACGCGTTTCGCATTCACAAATCGAAAATGTATTGATGAAACTTGGAATTTTTAATCGATTTAGTACCCAATTTTACGCTTGGTAGTCGTTGGTAGGCTCTAGTCGTGCAGTCACCCTAACGTGTGTGCATTCTCTCTTCATTGTTTTCTGTACATTTTCTAAGGTGCTGACAAGGAGAATTGGTTTATCAATCAAAAGAATATTTAGTTGGTAATCACTTCCTTTTTTTCTCATAACCTTACCATATGATGCAGGGATTATACTGCTAGGAGAAATTTGATGCTAGTCACTCTCAGGGGCTAAAGGGTTGATGGATCATGTGGAGAGAATAGCATAATTCATATATCTTGCACTATCCAGACATTAAACCACATTTCCTTAGACTATTTTTGCCACCAAGACTTACGAGGATTTCTTCAAAATGTCTCAGTCTCAAGCCCCCTATTAATGCAAACCCTTACCACCTGTGTAAATTGTTAGGTCCATATTGCCCTATAGGTTTCTTTCCAATCATGAATGTTATGAAGCTGTTGCTATATCCATTTTTCTTTGAAATGATGTTCATCAGAATTGAAATAGATGATATTTCCAGAAAAAAGTTATTTTTCCCCTAACCATTTCATGCCCTGTAGAAACCAAATGTAGTAATAAATTGCACAAAACAATAGAGCAAATGCTACTTTTAATGAATGCTTGTCGAAAGAAAACAAAATTCAACAGAGGGATGGTAAATGATCTTGTCCCCAATGATGGAACCTATCACAGCATTCAGAAGTAATCAAGCCATATCCATTGGATTAAAACATGTTCTTGATGCTCTAACAACATGTTCCATATTAGAGATTGTGTTGTTAAAAATCCAGGAACTTCTCATTCAAAACTTGTTGCAGTTGGTGGAGCAAATCAAGTCCACTGTTGTAATTCCATAGGTTGAAAGCAATCATGTCTGTCTGAGCACACACAGGTACAGGATATAAACATGGGTCAGGCACCATCCATTCTGCTGAGTCTGTATTTAATTAGATCTTGCTCGCATCTTTCTTCGTTTACGCTTTAACCTGTGGAAAATGAATATTGAAATGACCCCAAAATTATTTCAAACAACCTATTCCCTACCACAAATTTTTTACCTGCCATTATGCACCTTGAATGGAGGGGATGGGGACCCCACATGAATTTGACAGTTCCATCTTTTGACAGGTTTACACAAGACAATTTTCCACTGTGGGTTATTCATTATATGTCAAAATTCCACAAAGTTGCTCCCTTGAACAACCAGAACTTCATGATTTAGAAATAAGACAGAGGAAACTGGAGTGCATAGTGTATAGATTGACTCTAGTATCAGAGATACTCTACACCATGCTCTAATCAAAAGTCAAGTAAGCCTTGCTGAACACTTAACCCTTCCACTCCCACGATCTCATTAGTAACTCTCCTTACTGTCTGCCATACGATTCATATGATGTTGGTTTGGAGAATTTAAAATTGGATCCACCGCTAATCCCCTAATTGATGTTTTTCATTGTTTTTGTTACTAGTCTGATTGATATTGTAATGAGAGTGCAAGGAGAAATTTGGTCTAGGTCACTGCTGGGACTTAAAGGATTAACTCCCCAAAGCGATAGACATGCCACTACACCCCATGATATCCATCATTACCCAGAAAACAGGTAATGAGAATACTCAAACTTATCAGGGAGTTTTTATCTTGACCTAACACCAAATTCTCATAATTAGCTTACAAGGATATGTTTAAGTTCATAAGACAACCAGGTGGACAATCAGACATGGTTTGATACCACTCTGGTTTAAAGATCTTTATTCTTATCTTCTCTTTAAACCAGAGAAGCATCAAACCATGTCTAATTTATGATGAAGTGTGCAGCAGCTAAAGAAGAAAATTAACGACCAGATCTGGGGAGTTAACGAATTAAATATATGGGAAAGAGAGAGGAAACAATAGAATACGGTAAAACCTATTTTCTCATTCATTTTCCCTCAAAGCACAAGGTAGACTGAAGTGGCCTTACATACTAAACTTCTCACAGACAACTTTAGACCTGAACCCATCATCCAAGATCAGCACTTCTACTGAACTAGGCTATGCTCTTAAGCCTTCATACCCTGTTACAAGTTATGAAACAGGCCAACTTATTCCATCATTTGGACCGAAAAAAGCTACACCACAACAAGCCTGCCAATCGTAAAACAAGTCAACAAACTTACGGTTGTAAATAAACTGATTTCGAGTAAAACTTTGTCACCAAGATACGGGTCCTCAGAAGTCCTTTCCGAGTAACAAAGCATAATTTAATTGCCAATGTGTTACACGAGGATGGTGTACTACGAAAGTTTGTTCCAATAGGGATAATACACAATAACAGCTAAAAAAGTGACCTGAGGCGTGTGCAATGTCGCTATATCTAATACGTCTTGTATACATGGTTTGATTAGAGCGAGATGTGAGTACTATCTTTCACAATTTACTCTAGACAGAACTGCACTGAATCGTTATCATAAACATGAAAATTATAAGTACTAACCTTCGCATACGCTTCTTCCTCCACTGAAATATCAGAGAAAAATAACAACATGCCATTAAAATTTGTGGTAGCAAACCTCATGCATTCAGAGGACGTCTTTGTCCTTTACAACAAGTATTTTTTGAGTGAACGGTACCTACCTTGTCTCTCATATTGTTGTCCTCTAGTTTTCTGTAAAATAAAGAAACGGATTTGACGCTTAGTTAGTATCGATGGCCTAATAGTAAAGCGATAAACATGGATTTCTTCACTGTTTCAGAGCACAAACCTTCAAACATGGAGGACGAAAGAGAACCTGCGTTGGGTAACGTGTCCCGTATGTAGTCCTGAAGATTAGATTCCAGGTTACAATCGGTTTTGTTCTAACTCCTCGGCTATGACGACCCGCCTGCACTGTACTGGAAACTATTAAACACCTTCTTCCATGTAAAGCTTTAGATACTTTCATAGACTTCGCTAGGTCTGACTAGCTTCGGTGATATTTCAGAAAATATAAGTAATCAAAACATTTTTACAAATAAGTAATTACACTGTGCACAACTGCGACAGTAATACAGAGTATTTATCTTAGTAAGGAGCCCATTACTTATGGGAAAGTGGGTAAGTTTCTATCGTAACTGTGGTATTGCGTCGGTGGGGGAGTGTAACAGGATAATTTAGTATTATCAACTGAGTTTATAGCGCAAATTGGCCACCGTAAAGAGTTTCAAAGCTTTGAGCTTTTAACGTTTTGGGCGTCAGCCCCTCGTCAGAGCGAAATATATCGATGATACTAAATTACATTACATTCTGCTTTGGTTAATGATTGTGGCAATGCAGTTGCAACAGAAGAAGTTCCAGAAGGTTCACAAGTTGCTGTTATTGCCATGCCCTGTCACCCACTGTGGAAAACCGATAAAGAATTAAAAAGCTGGCTGTCCAGCGAATTTTGGCTGTCCTGACGTTCAATATAGGCCCATAAGAGAGCATAGGAAATATTCTCCGATTCCCACAATTCCAACAGATGAGTGATCGGTTCTTAAATGACCAGACTAATTTTCAAGGAAGTACTCAGATTTTTTAGTCTTCTTTTCTTTCCTCGTAGTTGAGAAAAGATTTCGGCACAAAGCAAAGAAATGACATGATCTAATAGCTCCTTATGGGGTCCCACGCTCGCGACGAAACAAAAGAGAACGTCTTTCTCTATTTTTACCTGAAAATTTACTGTCGTTCTTATTCCGTTAATTCAGCTATATGCGCCCAGCTACAGGCTGGACGCATGTCGTACATCGACTTCCGCCTGGTGAAGTCACTGTCAGATAGGGGGGAGTCAGCGGTAGAGCATCGGAGAGCGGAATCTGAAGGTCTGAAGTTCGATTCCACAGGGAACTCAGAATTTTTTTCTTCATCCCACGCTCATGACAAGACGAAAAAACACATTTGTTTTGATGCTTTAAAAAGCTCAAAAGTTACCATATTTCTCGGTAATGTTCCTGACCCAAAAGAATTGAACTTTTTCACTGCCTGACTTGAATTCCTGGGTTTTCTGTTCGCTCAAATGACCATATTCGTTGAAAAAATAAATAAAACTGCGAAGAACTGTTTTAAAAGGTTGCATTGGAAATTTCCTCAGCTTCTTTGGTTGTTTGTAGTCTCTTACTCAGACATACTCGGCACAGTCCTTCTCTCTTACCTCGATGTCCTCGAGAAGCCTGGGAGGGGTTCGGCATGAGAAAGGCGACGTTTCGAGTTTTCATCGATCTCTCGATAAAATGTCATAGTTTACGGTAACGCCCTGATTTAAACAAGCCGCCGACGACCTAGCGGGGAGAGGGACGAGGTAAAAGTTGGCTGGCCCACACATAGGATACGGGGAAAGACTGATGGAGCAAAAATGAACAAACGAGTAAGAAATAATAATTATCTTCCAATAGCGGTTGTTTACAAGCACCGTCCACCTCAGTAACAAATGATTCACCGTGAAAAATATATACAATAAAATTTGTTTCCATACGGAATATACCACATTTTCTATTTATTGCCACAACGAGGAACATTGAATTATAAGTAGTATTCCCGCCATTTGGACCTTTGAAAAAATGTTTGTCAATTTAATAACCATTTATTCTATACTAATAAATGAATTATATATTTGATAATTGCACCTTAAGTGTATATTCATACCGGGCCGTGACTGAAGTTGTCACGTAGTCTTTTCCATTTACCTAAGGAGATGCGTTGCGTGACTTTTCGTCAGAACTACTTTAGGTCCTGTAAGTCACGTCGTGATTAGTGAGTGAATCAAACACCAGTGACGTCACATTAACCCTTAAAACCCCCAAGATTAACCAGTATCTAATTTCTCCTTACAGTAATAGTACTGCTGGTACATTATTTATTAAGACCACAAGAACAGAGGAAATAATTGCCAAAAGAAGCTTGGATTGTTAAACAAATTCTCATAGCCAGTGCCAAATGAAAAAAATAGTGAACAGTATGGAGAATATAGATACTGATATTAGGGTGTAAAGAGTTAAGGAACGTAAAAATTAAACCTTTCATCCCGAGAACTGATTAATTGTAACTTCTCTTCACAATTTCCATTCATCATCCAGAACACTGATGGCAGACAAACTAAACAAGGTGTTCTTGATGTAACAACAAATTCTCTTAACATATTTACAAAGAAACTTGTAACAGTCAGTGGGGAGAATTACTAATCAGATTCTGGGGGTAATAACCTTAGATACAATAAAAAGTTGCATTCCTCCTTACAAGGTTTTAGTCAAAAAGTCAAGAAAAATATTCCTAATAATCTTTCTTTTATCTCAAGAGATAAGATGTGAAATTAATTTGAACACCCCAAAAGCCAAAGTGGGACTGATAAACCATAAGATTCTACCATGGCTCAAATTCACTTTGAAAATTCATACTTTCCTTTCCACATTGATTCTGAAGTTAAACATATAAGCTGTCCAGAGCATTTTTTGATTGTCACATTCAAACCTTGCCCTTTGTGACTCTATGCCAATACAGTCCCCATTTACAGTCGGGATGCCTGGAACAGGCCATAATTACAATTTATGTTTAAGGTTAAATTGAATCTTCACTCGAGAATTTCCAACTTCCTTCATGCTCTTCCTTCCTCCCTCTCTTTCCTCCCCTCCCACCCCACCCCAGGCTATTGAATAGCATGTCATTTAGGAATATTACAAAAATTTGAGAGGGAGAGAGGAAGCACCAGATAGTCTCTATTATCTAAGATAAGACGGACTTAGACAGACACACTAACGCTTTAATACCCCATTCACACCAGCAAGACATGTTTAGTTTAACTGGGTTTGACCGAATGAATTCAGAAACAGAGAACTGAATTCTGAACTTTCCATAGGATCCAAGTAGTCACAAACTTGTGTTTTCAATGAGCTTAATTTGAAGTCGACTAACATCGGTTTAAGCGGGTTCTATGAAGAAAAAAGATTTAAACCATGTTTAACAAAACATTTTAAAACATTTTAAAGCTTTGGTGTGAATGGGTTATAACAAACTAAAATTTACCCATTTTTTTTGCAAAACAAGTTGCTCCTACATTTCATGAGTTATAGGTTCTTGACTGTATAGATTCTACATCATTGCACATGCAATAATTCCCCCTTGTCAAAACTCTGTAAATTTAATTGTTGTAAGTTGGACTAATGATTTAGTCAAATTCCCATAGAAGCAGCCAATTTTAGGATTAATATATATATTTTTGACTGGTCTATTAATTCATTCAAGTAAACTAAGAGCTAAGAGCAGAGGCCCAAGTTTTCTCCGCTGACTATAGAACATATTTGCAAGACTCCTTTTGTAATTGCAGTAAGAAAAAAGGAAGATTCATACACTGACATTCTATTTGCTGATCAAATTCTCCCTTGAACATAATTTAACAGAAGTCAAATCAGTAAGAACAAAAGGTACCCTTGGAGAAAGGGGACCATTGCATTTGCAACTAACCAACAGCTAATTTAAACTAAAGTTCAACACTTAACACAACATTTTGACATTAACCTACACAACTCCTACCTTAACAATTTGCAATAACTCAATAATTCAATTTATTTCAAGTTATTCACCTTCTAAAAGGCATAATTTAATAACATTCAGTATGAATGGAAGTGTCATCTACCTATATTAACCTCATTAACTTCTTTCAAGGGTATATAACCATTCGCTCGTGGTGCTCCAGATTTACCTATGTCCTTTTGAAGTTCCTGTGTGCTTTGATTCTCAATTTTAATTTCCTTTTTTTCCTTTTGTACATTCTCTGTTGGTTTCTGGGTTTCATTATCAGCCATGCCTTCTTCCTTGCCATGACCTTCCCCAGTTCCATTTTCAGCTGATTTGGTTCCATTTAGCTGCTTCTCAGAGCTAGGCCCATCTTTCTTATCTCTCTGTGTGCCCCTTCTTCTTGATGGCCTCTCTCTTCTTTGAGGTAGTGTCTCCTTGTTCTTCTCTTCTTCTTTGTCTGGAACATGGGCAGGCTCACCATTTAAACAATGATTACTACTGCTGTCTGCCTGTGTTTCTGCTCCATTCAAGACAGGACCATCAGGTAAAGATGTTTCCTTTTTGACCTCATCAGTCTTTTCAATAGAACCATTTTCCTGGTTTGTACTCTTCTTTGAATCATGATCCCTGTTTTCATTAACTGCTGTTTTTGTATCCTCCTTGTCAGGTGAACCTTTATCAACAGGATCATTTTTAATGGGACCATTTTCAAGCTTCTCTCCTGGACCATTCCTCTTGTGGCCCTCTGCCCCTTCCCTTCTACCCCTTCTTCTGTCCCTACTGCGGGGCCCGTCTTCCCTTCTCATTCTCTGGTTTCTTGGTCGTGAATTTCTGTTTCCTGACTGCACATCTCCCTTAACAGACTCAGGTCGTGGTGTGACAGCTTTATCACTACTCCCTGAGGATTTCAAGCTTTCATCAGCTTCTACTTTTTGCTGATCAAGATCAGTGTTTTGAGCTGCGGGAGTGTCTTTATTCTTTGACCCCTCCTTCTTGTCATTTGGAATTTCAAACCTAGGACTTCTTTGTCTTGCACTCCGTTGATAAGATCTTCTAGAACTCCTATTATATTGGTTATTATATTGCCTATCTCGTTCAGAACCTCTTGCTACACCTGACTGGTTTTGTCTATTCCTCTCAGGCTGGTGATTCTGGTCTTTCCTTCTTTGCTGATTTTGTGATGTCTGCTGTTTGCCTGTTATGTGTGAAGCTGAATTGGACCTGTTGTTCTTTTGGTCAGGTGTTTCCTGTTTTTGTCCTTTAAAAAAAAAAAAAAGAAATTGTTAAATCACTGGTCATAGACCCAGCCCTTATTTCTTGTGTTAAATTTTCATTGCCAGTAATAATCAATTTGCAATATATCATATCTTCATCGTATCAATATTGTTTCCCTCTTAAAGTTTTACACCAACTTTTTCTCTTCCCAAACATATACAAAGATAGCAAAGTAACATCTTTGTTCAACCCTTTAACTCCCTTGAGTGATGAAGACAGAATTTCTCCTTACAATATTATCAAAATATCAAGCAGACCAGTGATGAGAATAAAGAGGAGATTATTAGTTAATCTGGTACCAAGTTCTCTTAATTAACATCATAAGAATTGTATGGCAGACAGAATGGAGAATTACTAATGAGATCCATTGCAGGTTACCCATGTCCAACATTTAGTCAGGTTTCCATCAACCTCAAGAGATCAACTTCATCTAAACATGTTAGCCTATCATCATTATTGTAAAAAGCTGGTTTCCAGTAGGGGTGTGAAATAAGTATAAAAGCTAAAAACTACTTAAAATATACATAAGGGAAAAAAAAAACATAACAAATAATTGTTACCCATTCAAACTGATGGGTGAAGAGAGGCACTGTAAGAGTGAAGTGTATTTCCCAAAAACACAACACAATAAACAAGACAGGTCATGAACCCAAACCTCTCCCCTGGAATGCAGCAAGCTAACCCTTGGTAGCTTCTGTCATCCACTTTTCATAAATAAAATACTTTAATCTATAATCAAGTACCTTCCATAGGTTCTTCACTGGGTGATGCCAAACCCTGTGAGTCAAAAACAACCAAAGCATTTAACATAATTGTTTGTCCTAGAAAACATGATAATTACAAACTTTTTACAATGATTCTTGCATTCCACAGACACATTTTTTCACTGAAGTATTGGGGCCTTATTAGGGGTTATCTGGATATGACATTTGAGTATTAAAATTTGATGGATACCTGATACTTTAATGTGCAAAAAAATTGCAAAATAAGAGATATTTAAAATAAAGGTTCCAGGATAATGAACTGGAATTATGAGGATACAATCCACAGGAATTCACAGATTGCAAGATATTTAGGTCAAAAATGAATAAGATACAGATACTCAGGACCCTGCTAATGGGGCCTCAGTGCTGCCAACTTACTTGTTGCTGCTCAGCAGATTGAAGCTTTGACTTCACTTCTTCCTCTTCTTGGAGGGCTTTCTGTGAGGATACCGACTTATCCACACTAGAAGTGGTCATAGGCAGACTGCAATTTGTAGGTGATGCCAAACCCTGTAAATCAAAAACAGTAGCAGGCCTTTAACATAATTGATTTTCTCACTGAAGTATTGAGGCTCTATTAGGGGTTATCTGGATATTAGATATTAGAGTAAAAAATTTGAGGGATGCAGGATAACTTAAAGCAAGAAAAAAAATTTGCAAGATAAGAGATAATTAACAGGGTGCAAGATATTCAGGTCAAAAATTAATAAAATACAGGATACTCTGGCATCTGCTAATGGGGACTTACTTGTTGCCGCAGAGAAGCTTGAAGCTTTGCATTCAGTTCTGCCAATTCTTGGAGGGTTTTTTGTGAGCATAGAGACTCCTCCACACTAGAAGTGGTGACAGGTACACTGCCATTTGTAGGAGCTGATGGCAGTGGTGGCTTGAGTGAAGAAACATTTTCAGCTTTCTTATTGTTGTTCCTCTCCACTTTCTTCATTGGTAGTGATGGAGGGTTTAATGTTACAGGGCTGTAACAACTCTTTATAGGAACAACTATCAGTGACAAAAGACACAAACAAGCAAGTAAATAAAAACGATTGAAAAGTATGCAAAGGAGAATATAAAAAAGATCGGCTATGCTACACAACGTAATAAAGTTGACTCCTGTTATTACCGACACCCTAACAGGTGAGGGTGTAATATCGAGAGTCAATAACTGGGGCTAATAAATCTGAAAAGATCCAGTGGCAAGCAGAAAAAACTCTCATGTTTGCACCCAATTGAAGAATGGTTTCTTTATTTGCCTTTATCATAATGTCGCTTTATATTATACAAGTCAGGATTTTGGATAAAGTACTTAGGTGTGTGCACTGTAGTGAGAGAAAAAGCAAGTGAAAAGTCATGCTGGGGGGCATGAAAGTGTCTGCATTTCTGCTACTGTGAGAGACTGTAGTAACAGGAATTTGTATCAGTCATTTCTTTATGCATTTTACTGGGGGACTAGCCTTTGTCTGCAATGGCAAGGTGTCTGTGATAGCAAGATGTCCAAAGGGCAAGAGTCAACTGTAGTAGATTTCAATTTGTGTAAAGTTCAGTGAAAATGATATGTACTGGACCCAAGGCAACAATACAATTGATTTGTAAATATGCATTCTTGATAACCACATCAAGTATCCATGAGAAAATTAAGATATTTCTTACCTTCACCAAAATTGGCAATCATTGACAGCAGCTGATCTTTGTCTGCCACAAAACGAGTAGTTCTGGCAAGCTCCTCATCAATTTTACGCTCCGTGACAAAATTCTAGTAAAAGTGTAAATTGCTCACAGTGAAAAACAACATCTTACATAGACATCAACTTTATATCAACTCTCCAGCCTTGACTTCCAAAGTTGCCTTCATATTAACACTACTTAAGCTCACTGCCTTGAAAAAGAAAAAATTTTACGTTCAGTTTACCAGATCCAACTGCCAACAGGAAGAAAAGGAGGGATTAAAAAAAGGAAACCAAAAATTTGCATTTGTACTGTGTATGATATTAGTTTGGAGAAACTGGTACTGGATCAACTTATGATCCCCTGATTGATATTTCTCTTTATTCTCATCACTTCTCTGCTTGATATTGTATTGCAGTTGTAAGGAGAAATTCTTTCTTGGTCACTCAAGGGAATTAAAGAGTGATAACTTACTTGCCATAATTTTATGCCCTTCCTTTTTTAATCATAATCTTCTACATTTGTCTTAACTCTTTAAGTCCTGTGAGTGACCAAGACAGAATTTCTCCTTCTTATATCTAATCAATATCATGCAGAGAAGTAATGAGAATAAAAAAAAATATCAATTATGGGATTACTAATTGATCCAATACCAAATTCTCCAAATTAACTTGATGAGAATCATTTGGCAAACAGTAAGGTGAATTACTGATGAGATCTTGGGAGTTAAAGGGTTAAGAATCACAGACAAATCCTATGTTGTATATTTTTTTCGGTTTGCTATTCAATCTCACCTTTATTTCACTCCTTAACTGTGTGACTTCTACCTCGTGCATCCCTCCTACTCGGTCAGATTTAAGTTTTAATGCTGCTGCATTTTCCTGTCTCTGTTCCAACAAATCAACTGCAAAGAATCAGACATGTTTTTAATTACATCACAAGAAGCATTTGCAAATTATGGTAGCCCTTTAACTCCCATGAGTGACCAAGACAGAATTTCTCCTCAAAATATCAATACAATAACAACCAGGTAAGTAATGAGAATAAAGGAAAATGTCAATTTGGGGATAATTAGTTGATCCAGTAGTAAATTCCCTGAACTAATATTGTAAGAATTGTATGGTTGACAATAAGGAGAATTACAAATTTGATCTGGGAGTTAAATGGGTAGTTCAAATTTTGATCAATGGACTATTCTGCAGTATATGACTGGCACAAAAGTTTTACCCCTTATCACTGCAATGCAATAAAACTAAGTTTGATTGTAGGTCATTACAATAAGTTAACAACTAATTAATTCAAGTCATGTGATCATTTAATTCACAGATTGCCAGTAAACAAAAACCCTGAATATTAAGTCAAAAATGGGCAACCAACCTGCCTGCTTTTTAAATTCAGCCATTCGACCAAGAAGATGAGCTTCCCTGTTGTTCAAACTGTGTGACATTCATAAAAAATGTTAGTTTCACCAATTTACAAGTAAAAAATTTTATAAATATATTATGCAATGATTACACCAACAAACAAAAGTTTTCAAGGCATCTGTAACCCAACTTACCATTGCCGTAACTCTTGAAATATCTGAGAAATTGACTTAGTGGACTTTTCACATTCCTGAGAAAAGAATTTCAGACAATTGTCAGGCAGGTGAGAGATGAAAATTAAAAAATTCCAACCAAGCAAAACTTTATAGATGGATCTTGGAACAAAAAGCATTTCAGAAGGCATATCCTTGTGCTCTTTCACTCAACCCTTCAATTCCCATAATCTGATTGTTAATTCTCCCCTCCAGCTGAGAATTTAGTTTTAGATCAAGACATCAACTTCTACCCTCCTCTTTGCCATATATTTAACCCCTAAACTCCCAAGATATGGTTGTTAATTCTCCCCTCTAGTTGCTGCACACTTTCTTGTAAACAAGTTACAAGAATTTGGTCTTAGGTCAAGATAAAAACCTTCCTTATGAGTTTAAGTATTCTCGTTAACTGTTTCTTGGATAATGTATGCATTTCATAAGGAGAACTTAGTCATGCTAATCACTCTTAGGAGTTAAGGGTTGAGACTATTTACCTCCTCTAGGAGAAGTTGAAAGCGTGGAAGTGAAACACTGGAGCGTTGCAAATCCTTTACTGTTTTCTTGAGAGCATCAGGACCAGTAGAGATTGACCTCTCAACCTTTAAATTTGAGTGGTTGGTCTGACCAGAGGAACCTGGTGTATGCTTCAAGGTGGCCTGAGTACCTTGTGAGGAATCTGCAGGCTGGTCAGAGTTAGAGGAAGGAAGGGAGACTTCAGAGCATGATGATGATGAAGGTGGATGAAGGAGCAGAGGGTTCAAAGATTGGGGAGCACATTTCAGAGTGGTTGACTCAGCATGTATTGGCTTTTTGCTATTTTCTTCTGGTGTGACTGGTGCATCTGGGAAAAGAAAAATGATTCCTGATTAACATTTCTCAGCTTTTCTCTCCCATGAGAGATCAAAGTCTCCTTACATTTTAACTAATGACAGCCTCAAACAGACAAGTAACAAAGAATAAGAAATATTGAGTAATATGAACAAGGTGAAGATCTGTCTATATGGCCTTGAGCACAGTGAAGTGAAAACAAGAAAGGAAACACGAGACAAGTTTATCCCAATGTTATTTCTCTACATGGATACCAAAACCATACAGACCATGTAATATTATGTAACCTCACCCTCAGATACAATACTTGTATTATTCTAAAACAATTTTTTTAAATGCAAAATGATTTTGGAGGGCTTTTCATTTCCCTTGCAAAGTCTAAAAATCTCTTTTATCTCCATTACATGGACAATACCTTCAAGGCTGTTTTGATTCAGTTGTGAAACTTTCTCATTGTTCTCTTTTATCACAGCAACATCTGATGTTTCTGGATCATTTGTTTTTGCCTGCTTTTTCCTGTTCCTTTTCTTTCTGGCACTCTGCAAGGAAAATAACAATTTCACTAAAGGTGACAAGTAGGTTGGTGCAGGAACAAATGCAGATAAAGAATTAAATAAATTCATTAGTAAATAGAATAAGGAAGATGGTAAGTTTTGAGCTTGGTAGAGAAATAGAGAGAGATGTTTTCATGTCTTGTCAAAAGTGTGGGACAAAGAAAAAATTCTAAGTCCCCATGAAGGAGGAATTGAACCCCAGAACTTTGGATTCTGTGCCCAGATGCTCAACCACTGAGCCACAGAGGCTCTATGGTGAGCAAGGCCCATCACAAAGTTCATATATGACACACATCCTGTATACTGCGAGGATCAGCAAGGTCGTTATCATGTTTTTTTAAAAGAATAAGACAGATGGTAAGTTTTAAGTAGGAATAAGAGAACAAGGGAAGCCCATGGCCACCCACTTTTTGCATTAAAAGGAAAAAGAAGACAAATGCAGCGGCATCAATGCATGGTTACAAGTAAAGTGTAATTTAGATGACTATGCTGAAAAAATAGACAAACAAACAAAATTGACTTCATGATTGCTTGAAAGTGAGAAAAACCTTTTGACTTGAAAACTATATATATTCCAAAATGCACCATATGGCAACAGATTGTACTTGAATTTTCAAAATTTAACCCTTTATTAACCTCCAAGATCTGATTGGTAGTCCTCTCCTCTTGCTGCTACACATATCCTTGTAAATTAGTTATGAGAATTTGGTTGTTAGATCAAGACAACAACTTCTACCTACTAAGTTTGAATATTCTCATTAGCTGTTTACTGAATAATGTAAGTATGTTATTGGGAGAAGTTTCAAATTGATCACTTCTAGGAGTTAAAGGGTTTAGGGAAGGATGACTCTTGATTCCCTTTCAGCCTATTATAACCCTTTAAATCCCATGAGTGACCAAGACAGAATTTCTCCTTACAATATAAATACAATATCAAGCAGACAAATGATGAGAATAAAGAAAAATATCAAATAGGGTATTACAAGTTGATCAAAAATCAAATTCTCCAAACTAACATCACAAGAACTGTATGGCAGACAGTAAGGAAAGTAACTGAAGAGATTTTGGGAGTAAAAGGGGGGATATACCACAACTACTGCTGTTAATGGACCCCATCACTTAAAAATTTGTTGCAAAGGCCTGATATTGACCTTGAAATAGTAAAAAATACCATGGTTGTGTTGTTGGAATTGTGAGACCTATAACTGATGCCTGCTTGAATCTAGGCAGAAAAAAGGGTCACCAGAAGGTAACCATTATTATGCCATTCAGAGAAACCAACATGGCTCTAAAAAATTTCAACCGACGAATCGCTCTTTTTTTCCCTTATCTGGAGCATCGACCTCAGCGCCCCAAAGGAGCTATTATATTTCGTAATTCGACCAATTCCGGAAGTTGCTGACGATGGGAAACCTTCGTTCTCTTAACGGGTTTTACAAGGCATCTGATTAATACTTCAATCGTTCGTAACATGAAACTTTGATCGGTGTGTTCTGAGACGTAGATTGATTAGCGATGGCCCAAGATTGCATGCCGCAGTAGATTTCTTCGAAGCGAGGGAGTAATGCGCCTTGCAAGACACCCAGATTTTCCGGCAGAGAGGAAAGTGAATACCTCAACTGACGTTTCATTTTGTTTCGGGCACTTTATTAGCTTAGAAATGCTGAAGAAATCTATAGCGAAAAAAACCAGAGACAAGACTCCCTAATCACAGAGGAAAATCGTCTTAAAATTCATCTGAGCTTAGATATCGAGTGACCCATTTAAATATTTAATACAAACTTTAACATCGCAGTGACGTGACAAAAATTATTCATAAACCTGAAAAAAAATTATTTAAAAAGCGGCAAAAAGTTATTTCAATTTCTTACTTTTGACTTCTTTCCCTGGGTATTCCACTCTTTTAAGAGGTTATCGGCTTCTCCTAAAAGACAAGGAATAACATGAGAATATATTGACGAAATTGTTGGAATTTAACATTCTTCTATGCGTAGAAACGGAGTGTTCTTGTGTCCACAGCGACTGATACTTTCCAAGTTTTGTTTCGCTTTTTGAAAATAAGCCCTCCTGTTTCGTATCAAATCACAACTACCCATCTTAAGTTTCGACTCTCTCTGTTTCAAACCGTTCGTTTAGGAAAACGAAAAAAAAACCCACCGTTGGTAAAGCAGGCGATAGCAGCTTCGACGTCGTAATCACAGGACTGCAGAACCAAAGTTATGTCATCTTTACTTCGGAACGGGAAAGCTTCGCGAATGAAGCCAATCTGTAATGACAGCAACATGTAAACGTAAGAGGCACAGAATAAATCTAGATTTATTCACGGGTCAGCTAAATACGGTGACTGACAAAGAACTTACTTCGGTCTTAGCATTTACGGAACTCCGTTCGGCGAAATTCAAGTCTGCAAGAACTCGACCACTTCGAGTGTCGAAGAAGTCCTTTCCTAGAACGCAAAGGAAATGAAATATGGTTTCAAATTTCCAACCCAAGTTTTCTACGAAAACGATCCTATTTCTTAGTAAATGGGAATTTTACGAACCTTGTTTCGCGGAGACTTTCTTCGCCATTTTCGTGCGGGGATATCGCCACCGGTGTAAGCGGTCTAACTTACAACTGCTGAGACCAGAAAACTCACCGCTTTGATTGACAGAACAATTCTCCTTTCCAATTGATAATAAGAGTATTTCTTTCGATCAGTACCACATGAATTATTGATTTCCAAACCCCGCCGGCATCGTTGCTTTCTTGTATTTAAACGTTCTACAGAGTGTAAGAAATGATTCTTCAAAATGACCGGAGCAATTTTTTAATCATTACTAGAACATTCTGGGAAGAAAAAAAGTTCTAAAATTTATTTAATAGGTATTTTCTCATTACCAGTCTGGTTGTCATGTCAGCTGAGTTTGTAAGACACCTACTGCGTTTACCTTAACTGTTAGGTTCTTTGTTCCAATCACGGTATTCTTTTTCAGATGATCGTCTTACAAACAAGCAGATTCCATCTTCCCAAAACAAACAATCCCGTTTACAAGAACAAAATATGTAAGGTGATTTTATGAATTATTTACATCAATGACCCTTTTGTTCAATACACTGATTTACGCAGTACGCTGATAGAAGGAAATCAATCATCATTGTGTATGCTGCATACCATGAACTACTTTATTTATCACAGAACGTAAATTGAATTATTTCTTTAAAAAACTTACTTTCAGATGAAAAACTTTCTCTATTGTCAAATTATTTTCATAAAGATTCGCTGGATAATTACATGTTTTATTTTCTATACCTTCGCGTGACCTGAAACACATGACTGGTGGTCTTCACACTTGAGAAAGCACAAACGATAACGCAAGATTCTTATCGTAGAATTTTTTTTTTCTATCTCAGACAAAGAAACTCAAGTTATCAAACCATTTTAATAATCTTTTGCTATTCTCTTCAAATAAAGGTGTAAAATCGTTTCTGAGTGATGTTATACTTTTCACTTTCTAAACTGCCATACCGTTTTGATGGAAAGCGGGCTTTCTTAGTTGCGTTTCGAGATAAATAGTTTCTCTGTTGGAAATCGCTTGCCCTAGCTATATCTTATAACATTTATTTTATCTCTGCTACATCACCGTTAGATGGTTAACCCGCAATGACCCACAAGTCAAAGAGAGGTTTGTATGTTGCAACTTGTTACCATAAAAATTCGTTTAATTTTGATGTGGCCTCCTTCAAAATGGTTAAGGAAATCGATAAATTTTTAATAGACACAGCAGGACCCAAATTGTGTCACAGGGTCACCAGTGTCAAAAGCCAAACCACAAGTACAGCATGTTTTTATTATTATTATAATTATTGCTATGATTATCATTATTATTGTTTTCTTGTTGTTTTTTTAAAGATACACGAAACAACATTTGTGAGGTGGCCCATTCCGTAATCTGTACAATTCTGTCAGCTTCACAATACAGCTGCTACTCCCTAGAGCATTCAGATGAAGAAAATACTAAACTGCGTACTGAATAGAGAGTTTTCAGAGGTGATCTTTAACCCACTCTCTTCTCTCAGTATAAAACCCTATTGAATAAATTTCAGTTGTTATGATTTGCTGAACCATGCCTGCTCAAATAGGTTCCTTGTGCAAATTGTAGAAGATAAAAATATTTGGTGTAAACACCTCCGCTGAATGGATTTAGTTGAAATTTTGCCTTTGCATCTCTGTTTTAAGCTCTGCATGAGTAAGTCCCTTCCCTCTTGTGATGTGTTCCAGTCATTAACACCCTCTCTACAATTCATGAATGGTTAGCAATAATAGACATTTGTTGATGTGGTTAACATACAACTTCTCCCAACAATATCTATACATTATCCAGCAAACAGGTGATGAGAATACTCAAGCATATCACATAAAAGTTGTTTCCTTAATCGAAGACCAAATTTTCAGAACTAATATACAAGGAAATTTGTAACAGCTGGAAGGGAGAATTAACAATCAGATCTCGGGAATGTAAGGGTTGGAGGGGAATTCCTGTCACATGATGTGTGCTCAGCCTGTAAGGTAGGAAGTTTCCCGTTTTCTTAATACAAGTCAGCTATGGTTAACCAGAGTCATCTGAAGTCCCACTGCATGAAAACCACAAACCATAGACTGAATTGATGGACAGAATGCTCGAAGGATAAAAATTTCAACAATTACTGAAAATGAACTGCTGTCACTTTCTTGTTAGTATTTTATGGAGAGTATGACAATGTAAAGTCTATGACAAAAATGATACGACTGAAATTCAATTGATGTTTTTAGGAGGTATTGCAACCCAGGTTAGTGTTGAATACAATGTTAGTACATTACTGTAAATTAGGTGAGTATGGAAATTTCCTAGCAGCTACCAAAGAATAAAAAGCAGACATCTTATACTGAGATTGAGGTCTATACTGTAAGTTGCAGGCCAAGTTTTTCTTGCACAGATTTATGGCCCTGGCATGAAGTGTGCAGGCCATAAACCAGAGCCAAATCAAACAGGGTTCTGTAGCTTACAGCATGGACTGAAAAATCAAGGTTAGTAACTACAGATATTTAGAGAAAGATATTTTTTTGTCTTGTCTGGAGTGTGGGACAAAGAAAAAATTCTAAGCCCTTATGAGGCATCAAACCTCAGACCTTCGGATTCCGAGCTGAGGTTCAATTCCTCAGACTCCCAATTTTTTCTTTGTTCTATGCTGGTGATAAGACCAAAAAATATTTCCCTACTTATTTATCAAGCTCAAAACTTGCCCTCTCTCTTACTCTAAAGATACTTATTATATCACTGTGTTCATAGAAAGGAGAAAGATTTAAGTTCAAACAAACATGGTGTTTAATCTAAAAGGGCCATTATTGAAGGGCTTGTTCAAGCAAGTAAGAACTGTAACCCAGATAATATTGTTATGAACACCTTATTATATTGCTTTTTGCAAAAGTTAGCCTACAACAAAAATGATACTATACAAAACAATTGACTCAAATGGGGTTGACAAGATGTTACTTTATTTCAATTTGTCACTTTGTGTGCCAGGGCATTGTAAAAGCAACCTGCAAGATGTTATGAACTAATAAGTAAAAACTCAATTGAAAGTTGTCTAGAAAAGTTCTTCCACATGTCTTTTTTTTTGGGGGGGGTGATGTTAAAAAAGACAAATGAAACTTCAAATAACCGCAATTAATCAACAAGTATACAGGGTGATGTTTACTAAGGACAAATATGCTTATTAATAGCAATATAGCAAAGCGATTTTTCTTTGAAAAAAAAAAAATGACAATAAAAATTCACATCTTGAGCAGCTGGCAAACAGCTACTTAACTATGAAGTATTGAGACTGTCCAAGGTTTGCTTTTCTATTCAACAGTTTATACAATTTACTATATGCACTATTATTGAACATAACTACAACACTATTCTTGTAAAAAGTCTATAAGAATCTTTGGAATAGGTAATTTTAAAAGCTTCTCTTTATCCTTCACCCATTTCAATACTTCAGTCTTGCAAAGTTCTTCTAAAGTTGCCACTATATAGTTTAAAAAAAAAAGGAAACAAAATAAAAATGTTATGCAGAGATATCAACCTATAAAATTCTGAAATCCAGGCCCTAGTTGTTCAAAGAGTGGACTAAACTATCGGCCAGATGAATCTCTATCTAGCGGATTATGATGCATATTTTGTCAACACTAATCCACTGGATAGTAACTTAACAGTTGGATAGCGTTACCTACTTTTCAAACAACTGAAATAGCTCATGTATATATATATTTGAGGATTGCATCTCCACCCCATCTATATTTTTCAGTCATTTGACTACTTTATTTCTGTCTCCTCTGATAAAATGCGAGAACACACAATTCAAAACAGGAACACAATTAACAAAAGTACAACATTCAAAAGAGAAGATATTCGTTTGCCTCATTAGTATGTGGTCAGTTTAGATGTGAATGCAACATTTTGACTGCATACTGCTAGTCTTCTTCAGGCAGTGAGAGCAGCTGACTTTGTTACAAAGAGTACCTTCCTATCTTTTTACCCCTTTAATCCCTAGGAGTGACTAGCTTATAAATTCTCCTTACAGTACCACCCTTCAATCAAATGTCACAAGAATAACAGATATGATCACCAATTTAAGAAGCTCCTGAATTCCCCTTGTCAGTACCAAAAAAAAGTTTACCCTTTAAATTAAATCCCAGATCAAATTTGTAACTCTCATTACTGTCAAACATACAATTCTAACAATGATAGTTCAGAGAATTTAGTAATGGATCAACTAATGATTGATTTTCTTCTTTATTCTCATTACTTTTCTGGTTGATATTGTAAGGAGAAATTCTGTCTTGGTCACTCATGAGAGTTAAAGGGTTAAAAAGAGAAGAGAATGGAGAATATGAATACCAATCCTAGGATAAAGAGGGTTAAAAAAAAATCCCAAAGCCAAACTTTTTGGTTGTTAAAACTCCAGTTACTATCTAAACCATAACCCCATTTCAGAACATCCCTGACCCCATTTTTCTCCCAGAGGTGATCAACAATTAACTTCTCCCAATAATATCCATATATCATCCAACAAACATGTAATGAGAATACTCTAACTTATCAGGTAGAAATTACCTCGATCTAACACCAAATTCTCATTACATTACAAATATAAGAGGAAATGTGCAGCAGCTATAGGGGAGAATTAACAATCAGATCTTGGGAGTTAACCCTTTCACTCCTGCAAGTGACCAAGACAGAATTTCTCCTTACAATATCAATACAATATCAAGCAGGCAGGTGATGAGAATAGAGAAGAATATCAATTATGGGATTATTAGTTGATCCAATACCAAATTCTCTGAACTAACATCATAAGAATTGTATGACAGATAGTAAGGAGAATTACTAATTAGATCTTGGGAGTGAAAGAGTTAAAAGGTTAATCAAGTCACTCAATTAAACACACATTAATTTCAAGTTCAAACCATTCATTGTAAATCATATTACTCAGTATACATTCCTACCTCCAAAGTACTTTACAGACACCTGTTTTGTCCTTCCATAAACATCAAATACAGCATAAATATCCTTTTTTAAAGGTATTTGAGTCATTGCAGCTCCTTGATTGAGTCCATTTACATAATAATTCAAGTTCCCATTGCCAGTCACTTGAACTCCTAAAACGTCGTTAACTTTTAGCGAGTGAATACTGAAATTATATTCTTTTTCTATCTCCCCATTGTGGATACGAGTTCCAGACAACATCCAGTAATCCTGATGATCAGCAGTAAACAAATCTGTTGCTGCTCGTACTATACTTGTGGAGGGACAGTTAGGATTGCACGTTGTTATTCCAAATCTCTGCATGATAAAAAAAACGTCAATCAGTTTTGATTCCTGAGAGCATCTAATTTCTCCTTACAATATCACTCCTGAATCACATATTAAGGTCTTGAAAAAAAAGAAATGATCAGAAACTAAAGAAGCTCTTCATTGTAAATTGCCAGCACCAGAGGGATGGTGTAGAGAACAGTGTGCACAATACGCATACTGATGCTCAGGTGTAAAGAGTTAACCCTTTAACTCCCAGAAGTGATGAACATGCAACTTCTCCCTAAAATATCCATTCAGATGATGAAACTACTCAAATTTATCAGGTAGAAGTTGTTACCTATATCTAATACCAAATTCTCCTAACTGATTCACAATGAAAAGTGTGGCTGCTAGAGAGGAGAATTAATAGTCAGATCTTGGGAGTTAAAGGGTTAACCTTTAGAGCTCCATGGTAAAAATCAATTCTCACTTCCTTGTTAGCCTGCTAGCAAGCTTTCTTGCAGGTTGTAAGAACCTCTCAAGAGCTTGCTTGCAGGGTACTTACAAGTGATCTCTTTTGATTTCCCTCTTCATCTATTATTAGTCATCAGGAAATTGTTTTGCTATGATGTGATCATTTCCTTGATTCTCATGAAAATGTATCAATACAGTGGGAGAAATTAGATGGTGATTACTTTGGGACTTCTGGGGTTAAATAATGACCATAATACTTTATGATGACAATAATGAGAGGGCTGCAAACAGAGCCAGGCTTCTTATTCTTTTAATTTGTATGCAGCTGGTTTTGATGTCTAAATGAAACAAAAAGATCCCTACAAACAAATATGTTGAAAAATGTATTTAAATGTACTTATCATTTCTTTTTATTTCCGAAAAAAAATGAGAAAGTGAAATAAAAATTAAGAAGTAATTCATAAATAGTTTACAGAAATTTTATAATACATATCACAATTATGCGATTGGTTTAGCAGATTCATTCAGATAGATTCTAGTGTACTACTCGACCTGAGATATTTCTCGTAGATTATGAAGCAAGGAATGCTAAACATATTTAAGGATCGAAGATAAAAACAGATGCATGTAGATCCTACCTTCTCGAAGTTTTACAATGTAATATAAAGCTATTCAATGAGAATTTAATTATCATGATGTCTCTCCTTCTCAGTGTTTTATTAATCAAAATTACTCAGTAGTTGTCCTATACAATTAATTTCACCCTTACATACCAGAGATCCTGCCCATTTTGATTCCAATTCTTCGATTTTGAGCTGAAAAATCTCCCCAATGTGCAAAGGCCTATCACTAAATACCATTCCATGGTCATATGTATCACCCTCTCTGGCAGCCCTACGTTTGTCACTAGTAAGTGTTATATTACGCCCGCGCTTATCGTGCAAACCTATAACCCATTTTTCCGGAAGAACAGGCATTAATGTTGTTTTTTTCCCAGTCAAAAATACGTTGAAAACTTCGAAATCTCCACGCAGAACATCATGTGTTTACGTACTCGGTAGAAGACGCTGTGGCATGAGCTCTTATGGAGACTGGGGACAAGACGGAGACGTCACAATTAGGAAATCGTTTCCTTTTTTCACCCATTTTGTTTGTTCAATTTCAAATTCATCTCGTAATTAATTTTTGATGGATTTTCACCATATGATATGGAAAATAAGAAAATCTACCGACATAATCAGAAGAAAAAGCAAAGAACTCAAAAACATTTTTGAACTACTAGCCTCTACGGGCGCAGAAAGCGCATGCGCAGGACATGAATCCAAAATGGCGGACGGAGCAGACGAGGTAAGTTTATTATATGTCGATAAAACTCCTGGAAGAAGTCACTCGCTTCATGGTTCATAAATGGTTCTAAAATAAAATTAAATAATATATATATTTTTTTCAAAAAATATTAGGAGGAAGAGGTGTTTGAAATAACAGATTTTACGACTTCTTCCGAATGGGAAAGGTAGGCTTTTTGACTGATTATGAGATTGAATTAGCCTAATATTTTGTAAATATATATTTTAATTTTTAAATGAAAATTTAGCGGTTGAATAGAAAAATGATGATCGCGTCTCTTTCATTACTTATCAGATCCGTTCAGTTGCAGTCTACACATGATAAGCTAGCCTAATTATTAGCCAGGATCAAAGTTATTAATTTATCTATTTGTTGATTTATTTTATCTTAAAATTATAATAGCCAAGATTGATATAAATTTTTCATAATTCTCAAATTATTATATTAAATATTTATGAACAACTATTTATTAATTATTTTTGAATCAAAGTGAAAGCAAAGATATTGATTGGTGGAAATGGATTCATGTTTTGTTTTGATAATCACCCATATGTAGAAGCAAACAATTGAAAACCAATGAGGGAAGGGTGAAGTGTCTATGCTCATGTATGCAGCTAGTAAAGCCCATATGTTGGTCAACAAGGGGTGTTAGAAAAACTAAGTCTTTGGAGACTTACATCTCAGTCCTCCTAAAATCTCGGGCCCTTATGTGTGTTGAAAACTCATGTAACAATGTCACGATAGCCTCTACAGGCTTGTGCAGCACAGTGAGACCTGATGTATCCGGAATGTTTGCACACGTGTTATGTTATGTATTTTTGCAATGGTCAATGTACAGTTACCTTAAAGTTGTTTTGAATATGAAAGAGATCTTTGTAGTAATGAACACTACTTGAGCAGTAGTGAAAATAAGGCCTGAAAAATATTCAGGCCTGCAAAGATCTCTTTCGTATTCACGCCTTTATCCGCAGGTCACATATATGACTTTCATATATTCACAGTTATTTATTCACCACTTCACGGCTTTATTTGGAACCAACATGATGACCAGCTCCCAGTTGGCTTGTTAGCTCAGTTAGTAGAGCACTGCACCAGTATTGCAGAGGTCATGGGTTTAAATCCCATACAGGCCTGAATTTTTTTTCAGGCCTTAATTTTCACAACTGCTCAAGTAGTGTTCATTACTGTGAAGATCTCTTTCATATTCATGCCTTTATCTGCAGTTCAAATATATGACTTTCATATATTCACAGTTGTTAAAATTGTTTTGTTATCTGACTACATTGCAACTCAGTCCCCCAAAAACTCAGGGATCAGTGTCATCATCTGAGTAACTGTGCACCTACCCCTCCCCTAACCCAACCTTAACCCTAATGTGTTATCAATTGGCTGTTGTTGGGTTAAGGGAGGGGTAGGTGTGCAGGTATCTGGGGCCTGGGTTTTTTTGAGAGTCTAAGGTGAGTTTTTTCTAGGTCTGAGTTTTCACAAGATGTGGTCAGTTATATGAAGATTATAAAATTAAAGGCCTGTTGGCCCATACTTCCTGTAGCATATCCCAGGTTCTTCATTCTTTAGGAACTTATGTGTGTCCCTGGTTTTGGATAGGATTCAAGTCTTATGCATCAACCCCTTGAAATATGGCTGCCTAGAAAGTTGGCTACTTCCAGAAATTGAAGGGAGGCTTGTGGAAAGAACACAACACAATTATCCAAGCAGACATTATGATCATCCAGTAGTAACATGACCACCCCACTTACCTCAGGGTTACCATTTCCTCTATAAAAATTTTAATCAATGGTTTAGGGGAGACATGTGGGAGACATGTGGGAGACATGTGAGAGACATGTGGGAGACATGTGGGAGACATGTGGGAGACATGTGGGAGACATGTGGGAGCCAAATTATAATCACATTAGACTCAAGGTCATGAGGTGTAGGTTTAAGACTCGACCAAGTCATTGTGTTGTGTTCTTGAGTAAGACTCTCATTCTACTCTCACTTTCCTCACAGAGTACCACTCTCCACCTAAGAGTATAAATGGGTGGAGGTGGACTGTTAGGGAAGCCAGGGGAGGGGTGAGAGGGGATAATTAGTCTATTGTAGATAATAACATGCTTTTGAGTGCAATTTGGTGTCAATAAGCACAAGTAAATTTTTAAAAGAGTGGGCGAGTACAATTTGTAGCCTCAGAAAATTTACAAGTGCTTATTACACCAAGTTTCAAGAGAAATTATGTAATTCCTTGTTAATGATAAACATGGAAAAAAACATCACAGAAAAGGAAGAAGAAAAACAAAATTTTGAAAGCATTTGAATGCCATTTTTAATTTGCACTTGTGTTACAACTTTGCACTCATATTACAACCTTGCACTTGTGTTACATGAGAATGCACTCAATTTCAACCAATCAGGGCACTTAATTTTTTCATGTAAATAATTGTTGCTAAAATACTCCCTTCAGTGGCACAAAGATTTAACTTTTCTTGCATGTGATGAAACTTGAAATTTAAGTTTATGTGCTTTTTTTTTAATATAATTTGCCAGAAAAAAGTGTAATATGCAAGTTAAAATGATTGTATTATTCATTTAGCTTAGATAATACTTCCTATGGATGTGAATCTTTTTTACTGATTACAGGTTTGCTGCAAGACTAGAACAGCTTCTTATTGAATGGAAATTGGATGACACAAACAAGAGAACATCTTCTTCAAAGGTATTCTTAGATTGGTTACTTGTTAAAACACTTTGGTAAAAAGTTGTTGAGCTCTTCCATCAGAAATTATTTCTCTGGAATTTTAATCAATGAAAATTTATTCAATTACTTTCCATGAAATGCAAAATAGGGTTCATTGTAATGTCTTCGAGTGAGTTTATCAATCATTCATGTGTAGGTTTTAATTTTTTTTTTTTTTCTTCAACAGGGAAAAGGAATATCTGGGAATTTTGAAAAGAGTAAACTGAATCCTATTCCAAGTAAAAAGGATAATTCAGAGGTAAGTTGTAAACATTCATTTGACAAATTTTGATTAACCCTTTTATTCCCAGAAGTGATCAACGTGAAACTTCTCCTTGTAATTTCCTTACATTATCCAGCAAACAGGTAATGAGAATATTCAAACTTATCAGGTAGAAGTTGTTGTCTTGATCTAACACCAAATTCTCATAACTAATTTACAAGAAAATGTGTGACAGGGAGAGGGGAGAGTTAACAATCAAATCTTGGGAGTTAAAGGGTTAATGGTTTGAACCCAGGAGTAACAGTTGATCGTATATTCTTATTGTCTGTTGAGAGTAGTCCTGAAAAAAAAAAGGAATGTTGTTGATGATAGAGACCGATCAAAAGTTTTTGAAAATGTAAGAGATAAGTTACCCATCATCTGAATCACACAAGAACCCTTGATTAATTCTACTGAGTGCTAATGGACTCAAAAACTATCCTGGCAAGTAAATCCTCACTTGACTCTGATGATGACTTTTGCTCTGGTTGTTGAAACATCAGTGAGTGCCTTTTACTGACAACAGTCTTTTCCAGGACTACTCTCTAATGGATGATGAGACTAAGGTTGTAGCTCACGAGAAATTTAACTTATCAGTAATTCTTCTTTGTTTTATTTTTCTGTTAATTCCAGCAACAAGAGGGATCTTGGGGTGTGGTGTCAGATAAAATAGCCTTTGGAAATTTCAATTTTAATGTGGCATACCATCGCTTGAGGACTAGGAGGCCAAGAAGGAATGGAACAAAGCAAACGGATGGTGAGGGTCAATGACCCAGAGTGGTCCCCTTTGCACCGGCTTACTAGTAGTTGTTTGTGTGCTGATATTCAGATTGAAATCTATGGGGTTGTGTTCCTGGGGTAGGACTTGTGACTTTCAAAGTACTTCTCTCCTCCGAGGAGTATAAATTTATTCCAGCCACAGATCAAAGGAAACTTACCAAATCCTGAAGAGTAACCCCAGGAGAGACTGGAATCTTGTCCGGGCTGGGAGGGGGAGGGGATAACATTAGTCCTAATCACTTGTTAAGAACTGAATCCAGGACAAGCCTTAGTGGAGGGGGGGTCAGGTTATAAATGTGACTTTGCCTTAAACACTTCCCTTTTAAGAAGACTTAAAGGCTACAGTTTTTTTATTCTTTTCTACAGCGTTATCCAGAAACACCATCTAGTAGCTGCCTTTTTTTTCTGGCTTCTAGTTTCTGAAGCACTGGCTACTGTTATCACACAAGGCACTAATATACCTGATTTGATCTGAAATAAATTTTAATGTTTGTTGACCATTGTTTTTTTTTTTTTTACTGCTGGCTATTAAGAACTCTAACCATAGAACCACAAGAACCATTAGCACAAAGGTGCCTGAAGCAACATTCTGTTCATGTTTCAGATTTTGAAGATGGTTTACCAGATGCTATGATGGAAATGTTTGATATGGAATTTGATTTTCCACCAAGAACTCACTGTCTTAGCAGGTGGTAAGTGAAAGATCAAGAATAAATATGCCATGACTTTAAAAGCTATTTTTTCATTATAAAGAAGGGGTAAGTTTCTTAAGAAACTGTGGTGTTGTGTCAGTGGAGGGGTAATAACAAGATGATTTGGTTTTATTAGCTGTTTTGATAATGTAAATTGGCCATCGTAAAGAGTTTCTACGCTGACGTCTCGAGCGTTAGCTCTTTGTCAAAGCCCCTTATCATTACCTTTTAATTTGTCTGGTTGTTAATTTTTACAAATAGTAGACTAATTTATTTTAATGTTGGGATTGAAAAAGTGATCATCCTTTCACGAGTTTAGTTCCTTTGTGTTCTTTTACTGAAAGGGAAGCTAACCCTTTGACCCCTGAGAGTGATTAGCATCTAATTTCTCCTTATAATATCACCCTGAATCAAACATTAAGGTCACAAGAATAATGGAAATGATCACCACCTGAAGAAGCTCTTGATTGTCAAACAAATTCTCCTTGTCAACATCTTAGGAAATGTATAGAGAACACTGTAGAGAATATACATACTGATGAAGAGGTGTAAAGGGTTAAGAGAGAAAAACAACTCAGAAATCTCAGTATCTCCGTTGTTAAAAAGTTAAAATAAAACTTAACGTCTCACTGTGTTCTCAAATTTTGAACGTCCAACTCACAGTGTGAAAATCATCTTCAAATGTATTATAAAACTTGCTGTGTTGAAAGTAAATTCCCCACATAGTGGCACATCCAAATTCATAACATGCAGTTTACAAACAGTTGCTTCTATGGTTGGTTCCAAAATCATGAACTGATTTAAAAATGCATTGTTGTGTAGCTTGTTATTTTTCAAACAGATCATTAAGATCACATTCAAACTGCCAGTCACTTGAGTGGAATTTTTTATGAATTTGCAAAAAACTTTTTCAATTGGATAGGTCACTCTTTGGAGTCTTAAAATGTGGCCAGTGTCTTCATTTCATGAAATGATTATGCAGTTAAAGGCAGTGGTGAAAAGTAAATGGTGTTAGGAGCATACTTGTGTTTTAAGTTTTCAATTCTGTTCTGGTTAGGTATGGCTTGAAGGAATTTATTGTCATCAGCCCAGCTGAGGAGGCTGAAGTTGTGGACAGTGAATCCAAGTGTCATCTTCTTCTTAGTTCCATTGGGATTGCTGCTACAAACTCTAAATGGTACAAAAATTCTATTTTGTAATATTTTTCTTATCTTACCATGGAAAGAACTGCATCCTTTAAGCTAGGAACTGCCATGATTTTGTGGGTTTAGTCAGCTCTTATTTGCTGAATTCATCATAGTATCAAAGATCCCTCCTACCCAAACTCAAAACTTTTCTCCTGAACCAGTCAAAATTGCCCTCTTATGTCCAAATATTTTGTAGACAAGAAATATTTTTTTCTAAGTTTCTTAACCTTGTTTTCCCACATCCTCAATTTTTTCTCTTTGTCTTTCTCTCCTTCAATCCTCCATCTGTTCAGTGATCCATGTGTTTGTCTATCTGTCTGTCTGTCTGTCTGACATCAGCCTGTCCCATGCATCTTTCCTTCCCTCACTTTTCTTTTCCCCTCCTCCGTCTTTGTCCTTTCCCTCTATCCTTCCAATTTCTCTATCTGTCAGCAAGTATATTCCTGTGATTTCTGGTTGTTCATGCATTTGTTCATCCGTCATTCTTCCTTCCTTCCATTCATTGTTCTTTCTCTCCCTTGCAGTACAATTCCCATGTTTGCTCATGTTCGTCAACGATGGAGAAAAATTTACTATGGTCTCTGCATTGGAGGTGGATTTCGCACAATGTATGAGATAGCACACTTGCGTCATGTTCCAACACAGTACAGACATCTTGCTGGACTCCTTGAAATATTTAAAGACAAATTGGTAGGATAGTTTAAACTTCTTTAATACTTTTCATTTACTAGCTAGTTGATATCCAAAGCCCAAGTGGGGTTAGTTCTGCACATCAGGGTTGTTTCACTTTGATCAAGCACTGATTTAGGAGTCAGGTAAAGAGAAAAAAACAGTCACGGAAAGAGGTTTGGTGTAGATTTGTGTGTAGGAGAGCCTTTAGGGGAACTTGGGAGAAGCTGAAGGTGACAGGAATGGGTTTGGGGATGTCTCTATGGCTTGGAAGCCATCCAAGGAAAGAAGATGTAGTTAGTTCTACTCACTCAGTCATTGCAGTGGACAGTTGTTTGTCACCAATTTTATTGCCCAGGTAAACTGTATGAAACGACTCCACTGAGGTTTCCTTTCCGCATGGAAGGCTTTTATCTTGATTCAGATCATATCATAATGATACGATTATTGCATTATTTTGTTGCTCAACCAGGCATGCCCTCTACAGCCAATACCACCTGTCACTTTAACTGTTCGCTTTACGTACGTTCTGGATGAATGGACAGATTATTCTTGGCCTCAGGAGCCACCAGATCTTTCATCGTGTCTGGAATGTAAAGTGGGAGTCAATGATTTGGGAATTTTACCATTTGGTGCCTGTCAGGATCCGGTCAGGTGATGAAAATTTAATGTAATAGCCATTTAGTATGGGGGGTACGTTTCTGAAGAAACTGTGGTGTTGCGTCGATGTGAGAGTATATCAGGGTAATTAAGTATCGTCAACTTAGGTGATAACGTAAACTGGCCACCATAAAGAGTTTCAAAGCTAGCACTTCGAGCGTTAGCCCTTCGTTAGTCCTTCGTCAGCCCTTCGTCATTCGCTATGACAAAGGGCTAACGCTCGAAGTCTCAGCTTTTAAACTCTTTACGGAGGCCAATTTACGTTATCAACCCAGTAGATAATGAAGAAATGTAAAATGGTTTCCGTGTTTACATCAGGCTATGTAAACACGGAAACCATTTTACATTTCTTTTATAAAATAACTAATGAAAGAGGAACGAAAACCGTGTTTACATACGCTTATGTAAAATGGTTTTATGGCCAATCAGAGCGCGCGCACTATTTGAATTATTTTATAATACTAATTACCCAGTCGTTGAGAACCTTCTGTAATTTATGCTGTGCATGTTAAAGATAAAAAGAGTGCAAAGCTGCAGTGAGGGCCTCTGTCTTATTCTTGTGGGGTGCTTTACCTGTCTGTGTGGCCCTCAGAGCTGCGGTCTTTCAAGGGTCACAAACCCATTCTGAAAAGATCGAAGGGTGGTGACCAGACAGAGACTGATTTCCTGACCCTCCAGATTGGATTTAGAGCCCCCCTTAAAATTTTGTGGCTATTACAGAAATCTACCAGCGTATGTGCTTATTGGTGACATGAGAAGTGATTGTAAGGACAAGAGGTAAAAAAGAAAGGCATTCTGTTGGAATTAAGCTTATGAATGACTTTTTTTAAATTTTTTTTCATCAGGGAGCTTCATCTTTCCACAACATGGCCCTGTCTCTCTGAAGAGGTCATTGTTGATAATTCTGTTTACTCGTAAGTTTTCTGTCTGTTTACTCATAAGTTTTCTGTTTTCTCGAGATATTTTGTCTAAATACAATTCTGTTGTTACCTGCTCAATTGCAAACTACAACTGCTCTATATTTACTGGCAGCCTTATGCACAAGATTCGTGTATTTAAACAGGAAGTAAGGGTGAGATCTTGACCTGACCTGGATGTATGAAATATTACTTTGCAGTGATCTGGAGCCATGTCACGCCCCACAGTGGTGTGTCAGAGCAAGAATGAATGACAACCCCCAGTGTTTGTTAGGTTTGTACCACTTTACGTGAAGAGTCTGTGTAAGGCGTCGATCAATTTAAAGCTTCAATATCCCAACCCCCTGCCAGGCTGGGCATTTGAATATGAGAACTTTGGTTTGTTCAAATTCCTGCTCTCTACCCTCCCCCCCCCACCAACTTTTTTGGTAGAGTTAAAAGATTCTTCTGACAAACAACCTTCACAGGTGCTGACGAATTAACTGTCATTTTTGCAACATCATAAATAAAAGTTTTCCTCAACGTGAACCTACAAAAACTATCTCCAAAAAGAAAGATATAAAAGATTGTCCTCATCCACTTATATGTTAGATCATGCCACGCGCTCAATTTTACTCTTTGGTTGAAGCCAGCAACTTTTAATTAATCAGTCAATCACTTTAAGGTAGCTCAGACATCTATGACACGAGAACACCATTCAGTACAGTCCTGCTTGAGGCTTGAAAAGTCGTCTGGGATGCATCCAATGGCTGCACAAAGTTGTTTGATTTAAATGTCTGTAAAGTGACCCACCATGATGCAGCCATACCTATTTCAATGCGCTAAGTATTGATAGTTACTTTGGATCACAGAACTCAATGATTTCTCCCGAAATAATGGGTTTAACTAAGGGTTTACTTATTTTTAGGTGAATATCTTGGAGGTTACTTGACGCTTTGTCATCGACAAGAGTCTACAATGCAGCTGCTGAACAAAACTGTCGTGGACTCTGACAGTGAGTAATATTATATAACTGAAGGTGCCCGTGGGAAACATAAAGCGAATCCTGTGTTCTGATTGTCCACCCGAGCGGGCAAGATGAGCCCATCATGCCCGCTTGGCTTTATGATGAATCCTTTATTGACCAAGTTCGTTCGGTCAAAATGGGTGGATATTGGAGTAATTTAGTATTATTCAACTGAGTTGATAACGTAAATTGGCCACCGTAAAGAGTTTAAAAGCTGACGTTTCGAGCGTTAGCCCTTCGTGAGAGCGATTGGATGAATTGTGGTTTGGGTGTGGGTTTAGATGCAGAAAAAAGTGGATGCAAGCCTTGGTTTTTTTTCTGGACTTTGACTTTGTCTTGGTCCATAACAACGCAAAAAAGAACTCGGCCAATATCCAACCTCATGCTCGGGAACATATATTTAGCTCCCAGTGTTGTTGGCTTGTAACTTTTTGTTTTATCGTCTACACATATTAACATTTTAAATTCTTAAAAGTAACCCAGGATTGAAAATCCATTTGAATCTTCTGCATCATTATCCATTCGTGTTTCTTCTTACTTCGCACTCGCCTTATTGGTGTTTTTCTATCCCGTTATACTGATATTTTTTAGTGTCCTTCACCAAAAGATAATTCTGCACGTTGCAAATAACGCTTCGAAATATCTTGACGTTCTACTCTCTCATGAAGAAACTCCTACATCCATTATCAACCCCGTTCCCAGTTTCCCCTCTCTGCGCCTCCTAGAGACGAGGCTGCTCCTCTGCAACTTTTTTCATTAGCATCATTTTGCTTGAAGGTGACGTAGCAGACATCACGCATGCGCTACAGAGACTCACAGAGGCGCCACACGTAGCTTCATTATCAACAGCTGTATCCAGAGCGACGTCGCGAATATCCGCCATGAGTGAACGAAGCTCTGAAGAATTTCCAATCCCTGGTCCATTACTGCACGAAATACTCAAGGTATATATTGATATATTGAGCTTATTTCAAGAAAATGTTATAGTAGCAGGGTTTGTATTGATGATGAAAATTTGGGAAGTCGCGGACTCCGAGTAATTAGTCATAAAACAAAGTTGGTTTAGGGAGGGGGGATACGGACCTCATTCCCCCACCATCAGACCCGTGGGTAAAAAAAAAAAAACCAAAATTCCTCCTAAGACAAGACAAAATTTGCTTATCTAGAATATTTCTTAGCTTTTTTAGGTGCAGTGCAATGCAAATTAAAAATTTTGTGTTTTCTGAATCAACGTCTGCCCCCCACCAAAAGAAAAAAAACATTCCTGGATCCACTCCTGTAGGCGACACGTCGGGTTCGAGACCAGAACCTAGTACTTTGCAGCGAGAGGTCCATGCTCACAGGCTTATTGCCTTGGGTAAGGTATATCACCCCCCACTGTGCCTTTTCTCTCCTCTTAGGAGTGTTCATGAGTACAAGCAAACTGTCAATCCCTTCGCTTTCTTGATCTCTTTAGTAATTCTCCTTACTGTCTGCCATGCAATTATTTTGATGTTGTTCTGTTTTTTTGGTATTGGATCAATTAATAAAACCCTAATAGAGATATTTTTCTTTCTTCTCGTCACTTGTCTGCTTGATATTGTATTGATATAGTAAGGAGAAATTATCTCCTGGTGAAGGTAACCTAAGATGGACCAGCATCCCATCAGGGGGGTAGCAACACTTCTATTCACTTCATGCTACAAGTATCAGGTTAAAACCCCATAGTAAAGGCTCACAAGGTTTAAAAACTCTAAAAGTCTTGGAAAATGATGTGGCGGGATTGTTTTCATTTTGCCATCTGGCTTCTTCACCTCCTCGTTTGTTCATCTGTTAACAAATTCTTGGGTTGAAAGTCCAATGAGTATCCTGAAATAAGTTGTGGTGTGCCATATGTTTTTTTTTTCAACAGCACCTATTTCCTGATTCAGACCGAGATTTAGACGAGTTAGAGACTGAACAACAGGAGCTGATGTTTAACAAAATGGAAGGTGGCGAGGATGCTAAACAGTCACAGGGTCCCCAGGTACTTGAACTGATTATCATCCACTGTCTGATTACTGTAAAAGTAAACAAAAATAAGACACAATTAATGAGAGATGATATTCATTCTCTTACAAATGAGGTGTAACGAAAAAACTCCTCATTTTTTTTTTCGTTTTCCTTTGCTCATGACAAAATTAATAGCATATTACCCAGTTCAAAGACAGAACTAATATGTTATCTCATGTTTTCTCAGCTTTTTACACTCACGACGCTCTCAATATTGCTTACCCAACTGTAAATGCAATACGTTTGTTACATGAGAACCACGTATATGGCAACCAGTTTCGAAAATGTTAAGACACCCTGACATTAGCTGGCAACATTTTGTTTGAATGAATTATGTTGCATATGGTGAACAGCTTTCTCTTCATAATAACACAATGTATGTTTCAATAATTCTTTTTGCTACTGGTTGTAGCTTTATGACGAGTTCTCTGTAGCTCATTTAGTCGAGAGCTGGACCACAAAATCCAAAGGTACGATGTTGCGCTTCCTCGAAGGGGAGTGACATTTTCTTCTAACAGGATTGCGACAAATTATAACAGCTCTCGTTTGATATCCTTTTTCTTTTCATTTTAAGGACAAGTTTCGTGGTTTAAAAACTGCACCTGAAGATAGTCTTACTTTTTTCCTTGCCGTGTGCGTCTGTATTGTGTATCACAGTTATGGAGGTGAGAATATTTGCGCGGAACATGTTCACAGATTGTTCTTTGAAATGGCGACTACTCTTAGTCTACCGAGCCCTTTTCTGTTGATTGTCGAAATCCAAAACCAAAGTGTTCACGACGTCCAATCACAACAAAGGAATAGATCAGCAGGAGCCAATGAGAACTTAAAGCAAAAACACGTTAACTGCCTGAAGCGCGGGAAAACGCGGGTGTTCAAGTTGTGATTCGCTTTGGTTTTCCATCTGATTGATTGAGAAAATAGCGCGGGTTTTCTGGACCAATCACAATACGAAGAAAAATAGAACTGAAGCAATACCAGATTTTTTTGGACACTCAATTGAACATCGCTCTAAATTACCAAGGAAATCTTTGTCAAAACACCTGTAAAAAGTCTGTGAGCCATAAGTAGAAGAAATTCTTACGATCAATGGATTTAGTGTGTAATATATTAAGTTCCCTACCGGTCAAAATGACTGCAATCAATTCAGTATTAACCGTTTCACTCCCAAGATCTGATTGTTACTTCTCCCCTCTAGCTGAAACACATTTCCTTGTAAATAAGTTACGAGAATTTGGCGTTAGATCAAGATAACAACTTCTACCTGATAAGTTTAATTATTCTCATCACTTGTTTGCTGGATAATGTATGGATATTGTAGGGAGAACTTACAGGTTAATCACTTCCGGGAGTTAAAGAGTTAAGCGGCATCGTATGTAGGGTCGGTTATCAAAGTCCCCAATTTTTTTCCCCTAAGTTACCACAATTTTTTACCTGTTTAAAGCGGTCACTTGAGGCGCTACCACCCAAATAACACTATCAATAATCTTTCAAGTAAACTTTAATCCATATTTATCTCCCAAAATCATTATTACCAGTATTTTTGGGCGAGTTTTTGTTAATTAAGTGGTCAAAAATGGCGTTTTTTTTTGTTTTATGATACTCCTATTCGGTGGAACCTGTATAAAGCGGTCACCTCGTCATTCCCCGTGGATGACCGCTTCAGACAGGTTCAACTGTAATAACGTTACATTTCAGCTGTGCCCAATTTTTCGAAGGCCGATAAGCGCTAACCCAGGGTTATTTTAATCTTTGTCTTTTTTTGTTCTAAAGCCTTTTAGGGAAAATTTTCCCTAGTCTTTTTAGAACATCCAGTGACCAAATTGCAAGCAAAAATATTTCAACTGAATTTATTTTAAAGCTTTCAGACCTAGAATCAAATTCCACACTAACCCTGGGCTATCTTGACCCTGCTTTAAACAACCCCGGGCCAGCTGTCCCTTTTTCGTTTACAGGCTTCGTGAGGTTTCTTCAGGCACGAGCAAATACAGGATGTTTTATGTAGTTGAGGAAACTTCTCAGGTACTCTAAGGAAGATATGGAAAATGTCAACGGCCTGCAAATACAATCAGGTTGTCTTTGCTTTTGTTCTTTTTAAAGGATTAAGAGCCGTGGCACATCTGTGGCAAGAGTTTGTGTTGGAAATGAGATACAGATGGGAAAATGACATATTTATTCCAAGGTAGGACAGTAATTAGAAACTGTTCTGTGATGTAAGGGAAGTCAACATTTCTCCAACAATCATGTGCGCGTGTTTTTGACATGTTTGAAATGAGAAAACCGCTGTTAAAAAAAGTTAAGTTCGCGGGCATCAATGAATTTCGGGCCCAACTTAGAGTCACTTCAGCCCGAGCCGCTAGGCGGGGGTTAAAATGACTCTGGGATAGGCCCAAAACGTATATGTGCCCAAGAACATAAACTGTAGTACTATAATTGTCAATTCGAAGGGCATCGAGTCAGTAAAACTGGAGAAAAATGACAACCGGACAGTCTGAACAATAGTACGAGCGTGCGAGCGGTTTAAAATACATTTCAGTCCGCAAAATGCACCAACTTGCCCGAAAAAGTAATAATAATGCAAGTTAACTCATAACTGACTGCAAATCTTTTATCATATTTTCGTCGAAGAATAGTGTAGTTTGGTTACCATGTGTTGATATTTTGTTCAAGTATAGTAAATCTCTGTTTCCTTCAATACCGCAACACTGTTTAGGTTAAAACTTCAGTCGCCCAATCTTGGAAACTGCCTGATACATCAAAAGCTACAGGTTTGTTTGTTAAGTAAGGTAGCTTAATTTGTGCCCCTTTTTGAAATTGTGCTTTTGTAAGTTTTTAACTGGTTTGGTGTTTACTCAGGCTGATAGGATTTCGCCGTCTCGACCCAGCTAGAGAATGGCAAGTTCCTTTCGACACGACTGACGATGTTGTTTTCAAAAAGAGCATAGTTTTACACAATTTTTTGGCGGCAGAGAGAGCATTTGCAAAGCTTAAGCTTAATGATCCTAGAAGCAATCAAATCTCATTTAAAAGGTAGTAATTGGTTGTAGACTGCCATCATGGCGGGAAAACTGTGCACAGAAGTCAAGGACGGGAAATGCGCGCGTGTTACCTTACTCGCCGCATTTGATTGGTTGAGAAAAGTACATTTACATTGATTGGTCTAATGAAAGCTGTGCGTGTATCTTTTAACCAATCACCGCTCTATTTACATGGAAAACCGAAAAGAAGACTTTGTAAATACTTTTAAAATTAAATTGGTAGGGAAAAACTTTATAATTTTTCAAGGTTACTGGAAATCAAGTCATTCTTTAGTTATTCCTTGATCCAGTCCACGTTTCCTTTTTTTATTTTCAGATGCTTAACTGCTGCATTGAAAGAAAAAGACTTTCCAAGATTCGAGCTGCCAGTCTTCAATTTTGCGCTAACGTTGGGAAAAACTCTGAGACGGAAATTAATAAAAGTGAGGATTCAAATTCAGACAATTTACGAAAAAAAGATTCGGACACTGCATCAGAAAGAATAGAAACGCAATCGAGCGTCTCGGACGATGAAGAATTTTTTGAAGCTGTAGAAAGTCAAGAGGAACCTGACGACGAGAACGAAAGCAATTCTACCGAAAGGAAACATATGGAAAGAACAGATACAGACTTAGATAAGGATACAACTACAAATGACAATTTATCTCCTCGTAAAAGAGAAGGAGCTAAGGAACCATTTGGTGAATTAAAACTTCTTGCTTCTGGTGAGCCTTTGCTGGTACCGTTTACCCAGGTAGGTATTGAAGATTGAGCATTTTTTCAGTTGAGTGTCGAAAGTAATCCGAGAGTGGAATTCCTTTTTTTTACTTTGTTATGTGGTTGGTCAAAAAAATTTAGCGCCATTTTCTGAATTGAAAACTGAAACCAATCACGACTTGGTCGCCCGCGTTTTCCCGCACTTCATATAGTTTTCTTGATCTTGCCTCGAGTTCTCATTGGTTCCTTAGGATATTTTCCTTTCTATGATTGGCTGTTTTGATTGCTTTGGATGTAGTTTTACGACTCTCAATCGAAAAACGCTCTATGCATGTAGTGATTAATTTGTACCTCTCCTCACAATTTGAATACTTAGCTAGTTTTTATCTTGATGCAACACTGAATTCTTCTAACTAATTAATAATGAAATGTGTGGCTGTAAGAAGAAAGAATTACTAATTACTAATCTAATGTCCTATTCGAGGATTCCCAAGCTATATTATATCGTGTATTAGTAAGTTATAAGTATTTGAAGCTGATAACGACTTATTAAATTTAGTTCTCTCACCATTCGATAGAGGTGTGCACAATTATTTGAGTAAGCCTGCTAAAAATGTGTCAAAGAAAAAACTCGTGTAAACATATTTTGGGAGGAATTCTGTCAGAAATGGGCTTGGTTTCCAGAACTGTTTCCTTGTGGAAATTGAAGCTGCGCCTCGTGTGCCAACCGATTTGTTTTTTTTATTAACACAGTTTGATGCCTTTTGTGACTTATTCGCTAAGCAGGCGCACAGCAAAATGGAATCTATTTGTTAATCCTTTAACTCCTAAGAGTGACTAACATCTAATTTCTCCTTACAATATCATCCCTGAATCTAACATTGAGGTCATGAGAATAAGGAAGATGATCACCAACTAAAGAATCTTTTGATTGTTGAACAAATTCTCCTTGTCATACCCTTAGGAAATGTCTAGGGAGTGGTATGGAGAATATGCATACTGATGTTACGGAGTCAAGGGTTAAGTCGGCAGTGTGCGCACTTAAATTGGCAACTAGTGTCTTGGAATGTGAACGAAATGTGAAAAATAATTAATTATAAATAAAATTATTTTATTGAAATGTTAGCAAGTAAACTTTTTGAATGTATTGCCTTTGTGTTTATTTGTTTTGCTTTTTGTTCACTATAGTTTTTTTCTTTCTGTTCGGGACTAGGAACCTGCACCAATGACAGAAGACATGCTGGAGGAACAAGCCGAAATTCTTACACAATTAGGGACCTCCGTGGAGGGGGCTCGTGTTAGGGCTCAAATGCAGTGTGCATCTCTGCTCTCTGATATGGAGGCCTTTAAGGTGCGTAATTGTGGGTCCCCCACGGTGTGTTAGAGGTAAAGTACAGGTGAGAGGCATTTCGATTAACTGTCGTAAAACCGGAACCAAAATCAACGCAGCAGCCAATCAGAGGAAAGGGAAATATGATAAGGAGCCAATGAGATCTTAAAACAAGCAAGCACGGGAAAAGGCGAGTGACCTGGTAGCGATGGGTTTTAGTTTTGAGAAAATGGCGCGAATTTTCAGGACCAATTACGATGCAACTCATTGGCCGCGCTCTGGTAATTGCCTTGTAAATTGGTCTGTCTCTGGTCTCGTTCTTAGCCGTTCTTTAGAACGTCACGTCCTGCCATTTGGGTTTTTCCAACGAACTTGTAACTTTAATTGAAATATTTGCTCCACTTGTCTTCGTTCCCATTGGCGCAGAGAGGCCTTTCTAGTGTGGTCGGTTGAGTGATGTTGCTTAATTATACTTTCTGTATATCGAAGAATACACAAATTTAGGAGGCAATACGCTTACACTTAAGGAAGTTAAAGGCTGACGTTTCGAACGTTAGCCCTTCGTCAGAGCGATTGGGAAGCCCTAGTCGCTGTGATGAAAGGCTAACGAAGGGCTAACGCTCGAAACGTCAGCCTTTAAACTCCTTATGGTGGCCAATTTACGTTATCAACTCAGTTGTTAACATTAAATTACTTGCTATACTCTCACACCGACGCAGCACCACGGTTTCTTTAGAAACTTACCCCCTTCTAGGAAGTTACCTTCGTTCTTGGACATAAGAAACTATTTTAAAGTGTTGCTCTGACTGGTCTAATCAATTAATATGCTGTGCGCTTTATTTTTAAGTTTTAGTTTAACTTTTTTTTCTAGGCAGCAAACCCCGGGTGTTTATTGGAGGATTTTGTGAGATGGTACTCTCCATTTGACTGGATACCAGGCCCCGAGACGGAGGAAGAGATAGAAGAGTTAAAGAAACAGAAGATAAAAAGCGAGGGAGTTAATGAAGAATCAAGCGCCACTGCTTCACCAAGCGAGCCGATAAACAGTGAGCAAAATCAGATATGATTTTGTGCGTTTTCCGTCGCCGTGAATGTTATGCCTTACCCTTTAACTCTCAGAATGGATCAACATGTAACTTCTCCTCACGATTCCAATCGGTTTTCTTATAAACAGGTTATAAGACTAGAGAAGTTTATCACCTAGAGGGATTTAGTTTGATATAACGCCAACTTCTTCTGTCTGAGTTGCATGGAAATGTAGCAAGTCGGTAGGGAGATTTACTGGTAGGATCTTGGAGGATTTAAGCGAAAACCCACTTTGTGGTTTTCAACGCTGGGTACTCGCGGCTTGTCTCCTTCTCACATTACCTGACTCTTTGTTTGTTGTCTTTGGTCAGCGGTTAGCAGCGAAGACTCGTTGGAGGAGGGCTGGGACACAGAAGACATCTTGATACCAGATGAGGATATTCTTACTGCGGAGACGAGCAACGCAAAGTTGCTTATGGATGAAGCGAAAGCTGGAAATGTGGAAGAGTTACAACCTTGCAAGGTCTGTTTATCTGTATCATACACAAGTGATATACCCTCTCTAAAAATGGCGGCTGGAAAACGAAACCAAAGAAAAAATTTTGGTGACTTAATTGGAAGCGAAAGTCGCTAATTGGGTGTCCTGTGTTGGGCGGTGTAGTTTTCCGAGGGGTAACGTTTTAGTGACTTTGTGTCAAAGGTCTTGACCTAAAGTGGGATAAACAATTGCACGAAAAATTATCCATCCTTTTTCGGTCAAAGTAGTTTTCTTCTTTCCTCTTGGTTGTCTAAGTTCTAAGCCTTGAGATGTTCCGTGAATCCTTGAAATTGATTACAATCCACACTGCTTACCTCAAAGACAAACAGTGTGGCCATGAGGTTAGCCTCATTGTACCTTACGTAAAATACACAAAATTTCCTTTTCATTTTATTTTTCCTGTTTGGCGCATTATATGCTGTTACTGGCGACCGTTTTACAACTGCAGGTCGCCAAATGGCGACTTTGAAAGATAGTACAGCTTGGAGCCCTTAACAGATAATTGTTGCATACCAGAATTCGAATTGTTTGTTTGATAGTTTCCTTCAGCCAAGTGTTGTATCTGCCGAGAAGTAACCGCCGATCGAGACCTAAAATCTAATTCAGAGTATCTTCCTCTCCTTTCTCTCTCATAGTGGCGAGAGGAGGGGCACCTAAGCTTACGCATGCGTATTCCGGGCAACATGTGGGTGGAAGTGTGGCAGAGTGCTCGTCCGGTTCCGGTCCGCAGGCAGAAGCGACTTTTTGATGAGACAAAGGAAGCTGAAAAGGTAAAAGGACAGTAAAATGAAGTTCAGAAGCCCAGTGGCCCACAACCGTTGGAGATTCTCTGAGCTTCAACACCGTGAAATGACCAGGAATGTTGTAATATTACTCCGTACCAGCCCCTCACAGCCTACCTCCCCTCCCCTCTTTGCACCCCCCTACTTCTCTCAGCCATTTTGTTAGCTATCCCTAACAGTTCACTGAAACCCATTTATACTCCTGGGTAAAGAAAGACTCTGTGACGTCAAAGTGTCTTGCCTTAGAACACAGCACAATTACGTAGCTATGTGTCGAACCCAGACCCCTTGATTCGAAATCGAGCGCGTTATTTAAACCACTGCGTCTCCAACGCGTTACTTTCGTAATCCATCATTAAACATAAGTTTCTTTGTCTTCACGCTAGGTCCTTCATTTTCTTGCTGGACTCAAACCCGCCGAGGTTGCCTTTCAGTTGTTTCCAGTTTTGCTTCATGCAGCAATTCTTCGTATCGAGGCAGCAGGTCAGGGAATGGGACCTAATCCAGTAATTTGCGATATCTCTGGAAAATCACTACAAGTCGGTTAAAAACTGATGAATAATTAAGTGCTCACAAGGGGCCGATTGTTATTTATGTGGAGGGTGGAAGATTCTTTTTTTTTTTCGCGGGAGGGAGGGAAGGGGCTCACGTGATTTTTAAGGGAACGGAAGGGCAATCAGTCGTCGGTAACAGACATTGACTGGCAATGAAGGGATCATTAAAATATTACAAAACTTTAGGGGTGATCAGCTAAATTTTAATGTAACACGACCAAAATCGAATCGTATTGGATAGTGAACCCCCCCCCCCAAAAAAAATATTTCTATCTAAATTAACTTTGTATACCAGGTGCACGAGATATTCCCGCTGTTTCATCCCTTCTGGATGAAGTACTCAGCAAGGCGAGCAAGTTATCTTGGGAAATGCCACATGACCTGCCTCGTTGTGAGGTAAGAGTCCTACTTGTAAAGAAGTCACTCGTCCAGTCGTGTTTTGAAAACTAGAAATTTCCAAAGACTTTTTAGATCCCATTGAAGATGCGGATTAAGGGTGTAGAAGAGCTTCATGAATTGCAAAGGTAGAACTCGATGTCTCTGAGACTTGTTAACTGTGACCCAGAGATATTTCTGTGCTGGTAGATCTTTTTTGTTTAGTTGTTTGTTTGTTTGTTTGTTTGTTTGTTTTTGTATTTAATCTTTTATTTCCCAGAGTTGCCTAACACGTTGCTTCTTCCTGCAGTATCAATTCGGTGTCGGAAATCCAGCTGAAAAGTGATGAGAGTAGTTAAAATAACCAGCTTGAAGTTATCATCGTAATAATAAACCTAACTTTCCAAACTCGATTTACAAGGAAATATGTGGCATCCGGAAGGGAGAATTACTAATGGCAAACTTGAATTAATTCCAGGAATTTGTCAAACAGCTGCAGTTATCAGAACTCGCCATCGCTCGTGCCCACTCCCTGCGATTTAAATTTCGTGACGCGCTCTCGGAACAAGGAAGGGATCATGGAGACAAGGACGTGGAACAGTTCCTTTCGGCTCTGACAGAAAAACCTGAGGTAGCTGTGATTGGCGCAGGAAGAGGCCCTGCTGGAAGAGTTATTCACAGACTGTTCGCTAAACAAGAGGTATTAGACTAGTTAGACTAAAGTAAAATGTCTATAATTTACGCTCTTAAGGTTTTTTAAATGTTTGCAGATGAAAGTAACTGTTCTTTTGTCTTTTGCAGAGCGCGAGAATGCAGTTTGCTGTGGACGAAGACACCTCTTCAGATCTCTCGGTGAGTTCATACAACAAAGCCAAAATAGTATTTTTCCTCAATTTAATCACACTTTAGGGGGCCAAAATTTACCATGAGGATTAATTTTTTCAACTACAACCTAATCAGTCTGATTTCCAGCTCAAAACGCGGGTTGCAAACTCTTTGCTTGTGCGGCTTCACATCAACTAGCCCATGTGTAATTCCTAACCGTGTGCCCGCAGTGCGCTGTACCCAGGCTAAGTATACGAGCATGCGCTCCTCATCACTTTGTGCCTTAGCTTCTTAAGGCACACAAGTGAGTGTTTTTCCATCTTACCGAACTAATATTTATTTTTATTTTCAATCCGTTTCAATCCTCTTCATCCTTATTCGCCCTTTTTCCTTTATAATGTATTATCACCTCTCCTGTGTTTTTTTATGTGACCAAAGTAATCTTTTATAGTCGTTCTCAATCTTTGTTAATCTTCTCAATCTTTCATCATCGCCACTTCTTTCTCGTTTACCCTGTCCCTTTTCTTATTTTGCCATCTTGCCAAGCTAATATATTTTAGCTTCCATCACGTTTAAGATAAGTTTTCGTGTCCAGAAAACGACGTCGAATATTTTTATGTAGTTTGATTACGCCACTCTGTTTCCTCATTTTCACTTCATCTCTGTCAACAGCGGCAACCAGCTACACATGCTCAAGATTTCCCACCCCCCACTGGTCGAGAGTACATTTTGAGAACAACAGTGCCCCGTCCCCGCCCCTCGTCGCGTCCTTGTCCTCAAAGAATGTACTGTGTGCTGACCGATGATGATTTTAGACTTGCGGGCGCATTTACTGACGACGTCATTTTTCAATGACGAAGAATAATCACAATTTGAAATCAACGAGAAATTGTGCTTCCTTTAAATCTACTTTGTGAGAATGACCACAGATTTTTGTGAACCACAGACGGTACGCTCTCATTTGCTTGAGGGCACCGATCAAGATATGAATTCCTTAACTGATCTGTAATATGTTCTTTGGATGTTAAATAGGAGAATGTAAACATACATCAGAACATCATACCTACCCTCTATGACAACTCAACCTTTTTCTGAATTAATTTGTCCGAAGTTTTCTCCCGGTTGTGATGGAAATTATTTATATGGATGAAACCTAGTAAGTAGCACTTTCATGTCGCTCTCAGTTGCTATGCTGTGCAAGGTGGTTCTAATTCTTAATTTTGTGGATGAGATCCCAGTGTCACCACCCGTTTGACAGCTTCTAATTAACTTAAACTTAAAGGTTTGTACTTGGTAAATTTTCCACAATGGCCTGAATATTTCAATCTGTTTAAGGTAGGTTTTGATTCATTTAGTGAACTTGCCCCCAAATAAGATTTAACAATTTTTACAGCAAGGACCTTCCTGGTGAGAAGAAATCATTAGATATTTTATTGAGAGACAATTTTAAATACAACAGCAAAAAGAGTTTAAAAGGTTAGTGAGATTGTTTTGTGTTTCCATCTCGATTTCTAACTCTGCTGCTACAGATAGCACATTAACAAAATTTACAGCGGTTACGACTCTTTGAGTTGCATCAGCTGATTTCTTTGATCTTTGCAAAGATAATTTATTCCTGACGGGTGATTTTCGGGAACTCGTGCGCGTGTTACTACTGCGGCAGAAGCGGGTGGGAACTCCCGCGCGTGTTCCTGTGGCACAAGCGGGCGAAAACTCGTGTGTTTGTTATTGCGGCACCAGCAGGCGAGAACTCGTCCGCGTGTTACTGCGGCACAAGCGGGCGGGAACTCGTGCGCTTGTTACTGCGGCACAAGCGTGTGATGGTACGATTGCTATGAACTGGCTGGTGAATGGCGAGCATAGGAAAACATACAGCTCTTTATTAGCGCCAGGAGACTTTAGAGTAGTGGAGAATGCATTCCAGCATTCTTAGAATTTCTCACTCACAGCATGATGTTCCAATTGGAGAGTTTTCTCAATGGAGGCGCCCTTAGCTTAGCCGGCCTTACTTAGACAAAATGCGCTGTCTTTTATACAATTTGCTGCTCTTTTTATCGGTTCATTAGCTTAACAACCTACGCGGAATGTTGGAAGAACACGAGAAAATTTTGTGAATCACTCTTTGATTGCGCGTGATCTGCCAAAGATTCGAGTGTTCTATTAATACACCGCGTAGGTTATAACGCCAGTGAAACGGTAGGAAGTGCAGTCCGTTGCGTTTGTAAATAAACTATAGGTTTATCAGCATAATAAACGATGGAGTTTCCACTAATGTTGCTATTGCGGGGGTGATCACCATGATTTTTTTCACGCGATAACTTCGTTTTACTCTTACTGACATCGAAGTTTTTTATGAAATAAGCAACTTAAAAACAGTCCATACCGTGTGCGAGAAATCTGTTTATTAGCAGAAGCAATCATGTCAGTACTACGCATGCTTGCGCTCTTTTGTCAAATAAAAAAAATGTTGCGCACTCGTCAAAAGAGAGTGAGAGTTAACCCTCTAACTCCTGAGAGAATTTTCGGTCCAAAGTTCAATCATCTAAACCGATGAGAAATTTCTATACAACAACTTGGCTTGCTTCAAGTGTCAGTAAGACACTGTTGCAGAAACCTTCTGGAAATTCCAACTTGAAGCTGTAAAAGTTGGACTGACTATGAACAGGAAAATATCGGTTGTTCAATTCTACTTCAGAACTTTTTCTAGCAATGAACCTTGTTCTACATGTCTGGGAAAATAAAAAAACGGAAACAAATTTCTATTTATCCTTCTTCCTAATAACTTACGCACATTGAAGACGTCAGTAACACGACAAAAACAAAGCAAAACAAAAATACCGGAAGTTCAAGAATTTAACTTAATTTTCCATCAGTCTTGAAGTGCGTGGTTCGCAAGGAAGGTTTGGAATTAATTTTTTTTTTTACAGATTAGAGATACATTTTGAATTGAAATGTTGTATAAGCTACACGTCCCAGAAAGCGTAACGGACACGCCACTAAACAAAACAAATGTGAGTATTTGCAAAGTCACTTTTGACCTGTTTCTTTATAGGAAGGTGCCATACGAATCACTCAAAACTTTTTGCATAACCATAAAAGGCTGCAGAAATGTTGACTTGAGGTTTTTTGACTGATTGAACATTTTAAAAGGTGAGTATTTTTAGTAGCAGTTATTATCCTCCGTAATTCCCCATTAGGCTGGTACAACAACAGGATTATATTACCCAATGTGAATAAGTTCCTTCTCACCTCTTAATAACGTGGGACAGCACCTCAACCGGTATCATTTGCAAGAGCTACACCAACATACACACAAGAGTCGCCAGCAAAGAAACATTTTCGGAGAAAACGGTAGGAAATAATTTTGTTTGTGCTTAGTTGTAGAGTGTTTCGTTTACAGATAGAGCTATGTCAGAATGGCATGGCTACGCAAACGTCTTTTCTGGTAAAGAGAAAAATGGAAAATGAAAACTGTCGGTGTCTCGATAAAACCCAGAACTTATGTAAAAAAACTGGACGAGTTTATTTCTGGCAAAAAGAGGCTTAATTACTGTGATAAGAGAGTAAAATAGGATGGAGGAGATATTGGCTTAGTCAGGAGAGTTCTTACGAATGCAGCGGTCTCTCTTTTTTTTTTTTTTTTTTTTTTTATTATTATTTTTCACTTCCACCTATGTCTCCCACCTTCGCCAAACCTTGAATATTTTTGCGAGAAAAGTTAAAACGTGAAGAAAGATGTGAAATTCGTTTCACAAGTGCTGGAGAGCTACTGCAAGGACTCAAATCCTAGCATATTCTGAAAAAGAGCTCGTTAATTGATAAACTAAGCATTGTATTGCTCCCACGAAGCGACTATACTCGAAACTTTGAGTTCAGATTTTCAAACCTCACTGCAGTGGTTTTCGCTTCCTTTACAAACTCATGGTTGATTATTAACCAAGTTTTTCCTTTTGCTCGACGATGCAGCAGCGTAAAAGGATCTTTCAGAAACTGGCAAGCTCCTGTCTTATGCCAAGTTTTGTCTTATGTCTTTTGTCTTATGCAAGCGCTCTTCAGCTTCCTACAAATATTGCGGAGATCATTTGGGTGAAGATAGAATAAAACGGTCGTGTTAGAAATCTGACTCAATTGTGAAACATATCCTTATTCCTCCGAAGATTCCAGCCTCAGACACTTAAACCAGTCCCTGACAAGCTCCGACTACAATTTTTTTCATTTCATTAATATTTTTGTTCAATAATGTAGTTCGAAAATTGTCCGCATTCCGTTTGGAAAATGAAGTACACCATTTTCACCCAAGGCACTAGCGTTTTCAAATTCTTCTCAACTGTCTCCAATTCGGTGTTTACACTTGAAAACGTATCATCCGCACTAACACACCCAAAAAGGCTAATACAAGCGACGAGAAGAGGCGCATTTTTGTCACTGTTTTCAAAAGCCTTCGTTGTCACTTGTCGACATTAGCTTGAATTAAAACGGAACTCCCTAACAACGATGCATTTTCTAAATTTTTCTGGCCTCACGGCCTAACAAATGAACCTCAGAGCTGCAACTTGTGGGTTAGGTAGTACATATACATCGGCGGCGTATTTCACAATCGTCCCGTCCAACTCGTCTGCACATTTGTAATTCCACTCACAGTTTACCATGCAGTTCTTATGATACTAGTTTGGAGAATTCGGTATTGGGTCACTAACAACTAATATTCCCTCAGTTTATAGTTCTCTTTATTCTCATTACTTGTCTGCTTGACATTGTACTGATATTGTAAGGAGTAATTCTGTCTTGGTCACTCTCTGGAGTGACGATGTTTCAGCTTGGTCGTTGAATAAAAAAGATCTCTTATCATCAGTGTTGGAGAAAGAGCCAGGCTTAAGGATGCAGGCAAATTTGAAATTCTATACCTCGCACTTCCTTTTAATAAATATTTCAAAAGGGATTTGTTAGATAATGGATCACTTTATTGGCAAGCCAACGATCAAATTGAAAAGTATAATTTTCAACAAAAATTTAAAGAGTCCAAGTCGAACAGCTGAAAATTTTTCATACGCTACGCTAAATTCTGTAAGTTTTGCGGAAAAATTCCTCATTGGGTGTGGTTTATATTGGGTTTTCTCACTCGGTACTTAACTTTCTATTTCAATCTTTTTTGCAACCCCAGTTACATGCACTGATAACTTGAAAATTTTTAATGAATATGTTCAAAAGGCAATATCTTGATGTCCCCACTTTGCAACTTGAAAAGTTTACTAACTCCGGCCGGTATAATTGAGTGAGTATCAGAAATAAAACGAATTTTTGCCGGAAGGATCGTAAAAGTTTTCAAAAACAAGTAGGAGACTAACAAGGAGTCCGAGTCTTGAATAATTAATTAGTATACTTCTTAAACAAAACAAAGCGTATGGACCTTACAAATATGTAGAATTATGTCATGCAGGACCGCAAATAATTTTGTAGCCCGCAAAAATTAAAAGAACTATTTCGGCATCTTTTCAAGTTCTATACCTTGCCCTACTGGAAACTTCAACTCGAAAATTTAGCTCGAAGTCCAACTCAAAATCCTTACTCGAAGGAGTGTTCGCTCAAAAGTAGAATTTCGACTTCGTATTACGACCTCCAGTCGCCAATAATCGGTTTTCGATCGCTGTTCAAGTGACTGCTCGATAACGGACAAACTCCAAATTCTAACTCGTTAACAGCTCCTTACGAACAATCCTAACTAATACAGCTCTAACCAGCCTTTCTCCATTATTCATTTCATATTGCATTTCCTGACCACAATGCAAATTAAGCTAATGGTTAAAAACCGCAAGTATCGAATGACTAAATACGTTTTGGCATTGAACAAACATCCCTTTTCCTTAAATTTGAGGTCCAGTTTGATAAATATGTATGACTTTTCTGTGCTTGTAATCCTTAAAAATTAAAAAAATGAAAATAAAGTCAAATTACAAACATAGAAGCATGCATGTTGATCGTGAACTCACGAAAACCAGTCTACGGATTAAAAAGAAGTTTAGGGTAAGTTTTAGCCCAGAAGATTGTTTGCCTTTTTCTTTTCAGGGAACATTTTTTCCCACATCATGCGTCGAGAGGAAATGGCCAAAAAGGTCTTGTACGCAGTAGGGCTGTTGATCAAAACCGTGCTGTTATGCTGTACAGCTGCACAGCAATGGGAGGCTACGGGCCAGCCGGAAGTTTCCAAATTTGGGATGATGCTACAACGCCACATCTTCAAGAGGATCACGGGGGCTGGTCTTTCAGATGTGTGCTTGCGGGGATGCTATGCTGACGTCAGATGTCAAAGTTTCAACTACGTCTTTACGCAAGACATATGTGAGCTGAGCAACCGAACCAAGGAGGCCAGACCGGAGGATTATGTTCCGAACCCTGAGAGATTTTACTTTAAGCGAGATTACAAACGAGGTTTGTAAATTTTTTTTCAGTCTTCTTCCCTTTAAAGACATTTTCAGAGCGCAGAATTTCAACCCAAAATTAAGAAATTGTATCACATCACTTCCCTTTATTGCCTTAAGTCAAGTCGCCCTCAAATTGAGTGTCCCCGCCCCTAAGACGAACATCAAATCTTGCTTACTTGGAATGCGATGCTACTATGATTGCTTTTTCTTCCAGTCCCTCTCGGTTCCATCCCTGAGCTGCCTGCGGAGACTTGCCAGGAAATCAAAATGAGCGAAGGAGGTCAAGCGGTCAGCGGCAAATACTGGTTTCACTCGATTGTACCCGAGAGGACTGTTCTGGCTCCTTGTGACATGAAAACCGAAGGTGAATTCAAGCGTTTATCAATTCACATCTTCTACAGACAAAAGTCGGTTAACCACGAACAAAAACGTTGACAGAGATGTTATAGGTAGACTGCAACCACCTGACCCCCCCTCCCCCCATCCCAATATTCATGGGGGGGAAATGAGAAAATAAAGCAAAACAAAATAAAAATAGTAAGATATCTGACGGAAACAAAGCTATGAAGGAATGTTATAATCTCTCTTAAACTGATCGATTTGAGAACAGGTCAAATAGAATTGAAAAATTTCTTTTTTGACACAGAGATAATCATTCAATAGCAAATTGTTATCACAACTTTATAGTGACGAAATTTAACGAATAGGGAAGGGGAAGTTTTGCTTCCTGATAGGGTCGTACAAAGCAAACTTTTGGCTCCCACCGGAAGCAATTGGTCTGATGAATCCACGAACGAGTCATAATTCAGGGAATACCCTCCTTTTTGCTTTTAAACTAACCGCAGACTATTCCGTTTTTTCAGACGTGGACGAGTGTAATTCGACCATTCCCGTGTGTGACGTCAACGCTGAGTGCGTGAACACCATCGGTTCTCACAGTTGCTCGTGCAAAGCTGGTTTTACTGGAAACGGAAAAAAGTGTGTTGGTAAGTTAGTGAAATGACTTTTACTATTGCCTGAAGCAAGTCATTTTAAAACAAAGCAAAACCAAAACAATCCCGGCTTAATCTGGACACTCGATTAAAACAAATTACTTTAATAACCGATTGGAATTATTTCCCACACCATGTCACGTTCAATTGCTTATACGGCGAGACGCTTTCGCCAATAACAGTCATTTTCGATCGACTCTTGCTTTTGAATTCAAGCCATTTAGTTTTTTTATGCATTCTCTCAGATGTGGACGAATGTGCCAATAAATCGCATGACTGTGACGCCAATGCCTCCTGCAACAATACCGCTGGTTCCTATCGATGCACCTGCAATTCCTGGTACCAAGGAAACGGAACAAGCTGCTATTTTTGTGAGTTTAACTAATATTGAGATACAAGTGACCTCAGTTTGTTATGATACTCGCATTTCGCATTCTCTTTCTTTCTGTATCGTCATATGAAGCTTACAATTTTGGAAATATATTTTTTTAACATGAGTCGGTCCTGAATCGAGACCAAGATGGAATTCGTCCCAAAAACGGGCTACATTATGACCCCTTACTCCTTAGCACCAGTACAGATATTCTCCTCGCTGTTCTCTATACATACCGTGTGGTGCTGCCAAGGGAATTTGTTTGACAATCAACAGCTTTATAACTTGGTGATTATTTCCTTTATTCCCATGATTCTGATGTTTGGTTCAGCGGTAATACGGTGAGGAGAAGTTAAATGCCAAACCCTCTTAGGGGTTAAAGGGTTGAAGAATACATCTCACTTGGCGCCTAACTTACCACCCCCCACCCTCTCCTCAAAAAAGAAACAGTATCATTGATCTTTGAAGTTTGTTGCTTACAACTATGTCGAACTTTCTATCTTGATCAGCCGAATCACTCAGAACTTTTTCCATAATCAAAAAAAGCTGCAGAAATGTTAACGTGAATTTTTTTGACTAATTGAAAGTTTCAAAATGCGATTAATTTTAGTAGCCATTATTCTCTTTGGTAATTCCTCAATAGGCAGGTACAACAACAGGATAATAGTACCCAATGTAAATAAGATCCTTACCACCTGTTAATAAGGTCAGACAGCACTTGCTTCGGTACCAGCTCCTTTTTCGTGAGTTTAATTAACATTGAGGCACGAGCGACCTCAGTTTGTTTTGATACTCGCATTTCGCATTCTCTATCTTTCTTCTACGTCATATGAAGCTTATAAATCTTTGGAAATTAGTTGTCAAATATATATATATTTTTTAACATGAGTCGATCCTGAATCGAGACTAAGACCCTAGGCAAGACGGAATTCATACATACCATATGGTACTGTCAAGGAAATTTGTTTGACAATCAAGAGCTTCATAACTTGGTGATTATTTCCTTTATTCCCGTGATTCTGATGTTTGGTTCGGCAGTAATACAGTGAGGAGAAATTAAATGCGAATCCTTTGAACTTTCTATGTTGATCAACCTTAATTCTTAATTTTTCACTCTTATCACGTTTTTATCGCATGGTTTCCTCTAATTCTAAGAAAACATTAGTTGGTGCAAATAACGAGGCGAGATATGATCAGGTGTACTGGGTTTAGCAATCTGGAATGTCATAAAAACACGCTTTCATCGTGTAAACACGTCTATAAGGGAGACAGTGTTTCCATAAGAGCACCTCCCAGTTCACACGGCGTCGGAAAGGCAAGTTGTGTCTTAGATCGATGTGCGTCACACAACGGTTGTCACGCTGTAATTCGTAAAAACGAAAAAGCAAGTTGTAGACATTACCACCACCAAGATGACGAATGCAACATGACGCCAAAGCTTCAAGGTAGGACAATCCTTACCTTTTCTCCCTTTTTCGGTTTTTCGTATAGGTGGCCTTAATAGTTCCGTTATTCTTACCAGCCTCGACTACAACAACTACACAGGTAAGCTGCTTTCTTACCTAGAGCCAGTCCTCCTGAGTTCAAAATGGAGCAGGTTTGTGAAGTGTTGGCATGTTAAGACAGACGGCTGGGCAGCATCGACATTCCACAGCAACTGTGATGGGAGGGGACCCACAGTGACAATCATAAAAGTGAACGATTACATATTTGGTGGATACACCGATGTATCATGGAGCAGTAAGTAGACTTAGGCCATTAATCTTTTTTTTTGGTGCAAAGTTTGAAAGATTTAGAAGGGAAAATAATTAACGTTGAAAGGCAATGAATCTAGCTTGGTGTCTAAAACAGAAAAAAAAATGTCCCCTAAAAGGTGTTTCTTGAAATTCTTGGTAAAGTTACGGGCCCAAAGCCATGTCTTAGGATAGAAATCTAAGCAATAGTTGTTTGAACCGTTTCTCAAAAAACCGATCCACTTTTGTTTCGTCTTATGATATTCTCATTGTTTGAGTTTCAAAACTATCCATAACTCAATCTTGAATATAAAAAACAGCTTTTTGGGGCTGGTCCCAGATCGTTCACCTGTCTAATCTTTGGATGCATCTCTGCATCTCCCTTTCAATCAACATTCTAGGTACCTAGGTGATTGGTCTTACGCCACCAAGGCCTTTTTTTTCTCACTTAATGAGTGTCGCAAAGCCAAAACCAAGTTCATTAAAACGGGCCAAGCAAAACATAGGACAAGAACAAAAGCTGTGCGAGGCGAGAGAAAAACGCGATATACCATGTCACACTTGGTATAAGAATGATTGACGTATCCTGTACCAGAAGCCCTACTCTCTCCCCCCCCCCCCCCCCTTTAGGATCTCTTGATGCGTGGTAACGTTTCTATAGGGCTCCGCTATGACCCTTCAAAGTGCTCTCGTTAATAAGAATTTAGTAAGGGTTGGTTAACCGCCATGGCGAGTTTATAGAAGCTTCAAAAATTCGCTGCAGCAGTACCCACCTTCATTAACTTATACTTGTCATCCATTCGTAGATCATCCCACTTCTCTTTTTTGAGAGACCTCAAGGAATCGTAGGATGGTCTAACAATTGACTAATAGAACTTACATTACTATGTTCATACAACACCGCCCATAATATAGGTTCATGTGGGAACTCCCATGCTTGGAAAGCCTTTCTCTTCTCCCTCAGATCAACAACATCAAAGGACCGATCCATTTTGTTTTGTATCTTGATATTCTTATCGTTTGAATTAAGAAACTATCCATAACTCGATCTTTAATGTAAAAACGGGTCTGGTCCCTGATCCTATACCTGTCTAATCTTTGAATGCATCTCTGCATTTCCATTTTAATCAACATTTTAGGTTCCTGTTTTTGGTCTTACGCCACCAAAGCCTTTTTATTCTCATTTAACAACATCAAAGGATACAATCCTGTGAAGCTGACACAATACCGAAACCAGCAATACGCAATGTACACATGTTCCAATTACGGACCCACTTTTGGTCGGGGACATGACATTTACATAATTGGCGACGCTGTAAATAACTCTTATACTGAATGCGGCGAGACTTACTCCAACCCCACGGGTTATTCGGGTGTAAACTGTGGATTTTTCACAGGAAGTTATCATTTTACTCCATCTGACATTGAAGTTTTCTTCGAAATAGGTAAGTTATTGTACAGAAACACTTAGAACCCTGTCGTAAATATACGATGAATAAATATATAAACTCTATAATCCTTTGCAACGGTCAGGGATTCTAAAAGCGCATGTGCTGAAGCATATTCAGCGGCGAAATACTATCGAGGTTATTGTGGCAGCAGTGGTCAGTGAACTGTATCTTAGTTCCAGCGTAGCAGTGCACATCAGGTAAGTCAGGGAAAAAATTGATCTAGATGCCATGTTTTGCCATGACATTGAATCGCTGAGTCGGGCTGAAGTAGACAGTTCAACCCAGCTAAACTGAACTTTTGGTTTTCGGTTTTCGTGTCCCAGTTTTATACGCACTTGAGAAAATGTGTTCTCGTGAAATTTAGTTGATATGTTTTCAAAATAAATGCACAGGAAAATATTGAGTTAAAATGGGAACGCATGGTTAGCACCTCGCCCTGTGAATAAGAACATCTGGAGCTCTGATTTTTGTGAAATACTCTTATGGTTGTGAAAGAAGAAAATACATCTTTCTCTATTCTAGAACGTCCGTTATTATAATTTTCATTCGAGTTTCTTTTACGCACACAGGTGGCCTTGGTGCATCTATAATACTTGAAAGCCTGGACCCCAATAAATATTTGGGAAAGCTAATTTCGTTTTTAGAGCCAGTTCTTACCGGTACATCCCGTACTGACTTTGCTAGGTGTTGGCATGCTAAGACTGACGGCTGGGCGGCATCGACATTCCACAGCAACTGCGATGGGAGGGGACCCACAGTGACAATCGTCAAAGTGAACGAGTACATATTTGGTGGATACACTGATGTGTCCTGGAGCGGAGGCAGGAATATCAAATTTTTTTAAGTGAAAATAAGACAATTATATAGGATCAAGTATCGTTCCTTTTGGGATTCAAAGGGGGAGAGAGAGGGTGCCGAAGGAAATTTTAAATGATGCTCCTCTGATAAGAGCGCTTAGCCTTTATTATTTTATATTAGTTTTTTGGCCATCAAGATTTCTTCACACCTATATTGTCTATAGAAATGTTTCCTATTTGATACACCTACAGAACAACATTACATCCTAACACGTCTAGTAATGACAACACTTAGAACAAAGGGATCTTTTCCTTTAAGTCTCAAAACATTTACTCGCTTTTCTTCACAATAATCCCTTAAATCTTTCATAATTGTTTTTGGTATCCGTTTCAATACCCAAACTAGTAAAATATCTCCCTCCCTTTCACAAATCTCTAGTCTGAAAAAAAAAACTCCCCGTCTAGCTCATGATAGAAAATGAACTCCCCACCCCTCTCCTTCCTCAGGGGGTTTATGTTTTCTTTCAGCTTTTTAATGTACGACTACATTGTTCTTCTATTTCAGCTGGTTCTTGCGCAGGTCATGCCTACGCTAGTAAAGCTTTCATCTTCTCTCTCTATAACGTCAAAGGATACAATCCCGTAAAGTTGACACAATACCTATATCAGCAATATGCAATGTACAGATGTAATACGTATGGACCCACCTTTGGCGCTGGGTATGGTCATGATATCTACATATCCGACGGCTCTGGAAACAACCAAAACTCCTACACCAGATGCGGTTCCACGTACACGAAACCCTCAGGGTACTCAACTGGTAACTGTGGTTTTTTTACAGGGGGGTCTAATTTCTCTCCAACGGACGTCGAAGTATTCTATGAAGCAGGTAATCAAGAAAAACACCCCTTTCCGAGGATAAATACTTTGTAGGGCCTGTAGCAAAATCAAATCGCGTATTGTAGAAATATTCTCAGAAAGTTGTGTTGCTAGATTACGGAAAGCTTACTTTTTTGTCATTTTAAGGGCATGTGTAGGCTTATAAAGTCCTTTTGTAGTATTCATTTAAGTTCGTCACGCAACGCGTTGCATGACGAGCCTGACAAGACTTTTGTCTGAGTTGCCGCGGGGATTTGTGGGTATTACATTAAACGAAATTGTTAAGGCCACTTGAAAGAACGGCTGAGTTAACAAAAAAATTTCAGACATGTTTTGATGCTACTCTGGCTCAAAGATTTTAATGAATGTAACCGAGACGTTACAATTCATAGACCCAATCTTTCGACACTCCTGTCTAGTGCATTCATCAGGGGTGATGATGACGACATTAGACAGGAGGGTTGAAACGTTGGGTCTATGAATTGTAACTTTTCGGTTACACTCATTAAATCTTTAAACCAGAGTAGCATCAAACCATGTCTGATTGTCCATCTGGTTGCTTTGTGAACTTTAAAACAAATTTAGACGGGCTGAGGATTTTCTAACTTGCCTGATCAGTAATGTTAGATTATCATATCTAGCGGGCCAAACGAGGGGTGATGAAATTATCCACTTTAGATTCAAAGGCGACACCACCAATCAAAGCCAACTGTAATTTTTCCTTTCTTTTCCCACCTCAGGCCTCGGTTTGTCCGCCATACTTCGAAGTCTTGATTACAACCAGTACTTGAAGGTACTGTTTTCGTATTTGGACCCAGTCCTTATCAATAAAGAACGTAGTAGGTTTGTGAGGTGTTGGCACGCAAAGACGGACGGTTGGGCAGCATCAACATTCCACAGTAACTGCGATGGGAGAGGACCCACAGTGACTATCATCAAAGTTAACAGTTATATCTTTGGTGGATACACTGACGTGTCCTGGACCAGTAGTGAGTAAAAAAACAAGCAAACATCTCTCACATGTAGAACAGATAATAAATCGATTAGTTGTGGACTTTTCTTGTAGCAGTGAGTTCATTTCAGAAACAGAAAATATCACATTAACAACTAAGATACCAAAGTAGACAAACTCACAAATAGCCTGAAAACGCGTTTGAAACGGGTTTTAACTTCAAGTCTTGTTTCGGATTTGATTTTTGATTTTGATTTGATTTTGATTTGATTTAATTCTGACAGCTCCATTTCGTGCCATTTCCCCTTGTTTCGTTGTATTCATTATTAATATTGGAGAGCTGAAACAAAGGATGTTAAGTTAACTCTCTCTTTAGATCGTAAGCTGCCTTTGAATAAAACTTCAGACCATATTTCAAATGCTTTTTTTGAAAAGTGAAATATGCTCTTGAGTTCCTTGAAATTTTCTCTAACAAATTGTTCAGCTCTAGTTCGGCAAGTTAAAAAAAAATCATTTTTATGGTTATCATCATGAATTTTATTTCTCATTCGCATAGTTTCTAATGCTCCTAAATCTTTTCATTTTAGGTCCCTGTGCTTATTCTTCAGCCAGCAAAGCTTTCGTTTTCTCTCTTTACAACGTCAAAGGATACAATCCTGTGAAGCTGACACAATACCGATACCAGCAAAACGCAATGTACAGATGTTCCTCTTACGGACCCACTTTTGGTTGGGGACATGACATGTACATACGTGACGACGCTGTAAACATTCGGCAATCTTATACTAGATGCGGTGGCACGTACTCCAACCCCACGGGCTATTCAGCTGGAGATTGTACATTTTTCACAGGAAGTCGTCATTTTACTCCATCTGACATTGAGGTTTTTTTCGAAATAACAAACTAAACACTGAAAACTATGCTGTTTCAGTAAGTATCAAGTAAGTATCGTAACAATAGAGTTAATAGAGTTAATGCCTCCTCACACAAGGCCCGGTCAACAGAACTTGCCCTGTATTCTCTCAGTGCTTAGTCGCTTATTTCCCATTTAAAAAAGTGTTCTGATTGGTGGAAAATCTACAGTTAATTGTACCGATAAACACATAATTTTAGTTACAAAAGACTGCACTTTCTATTCGTTTACTAGCATAATAAACTACGCAGTATGTTGGTAGAACACTCAAAATGTTCGTAGATTATGAGCAGTGAAAGGGTGAGTTACAAACGTTCTCGTGTTCTACCAACATCCTGTGTGGTTTGTTAAGCCAGTGAACCGATAGAAAAAGCAGTCTATTATAAAAAGATAGCGCATTTTAGACTGGCAAGGTTGAGGGCGCCTCCATTGAGTAAACTCTGCAATTGGAATATCATGCTGTAGGTGAGAAATTCTTCAGTATTGGCTGTAGAGCATTCGAAATAACAGATCTTACAGTTAGAAAACACCCAAGTTTTAAGCCCTTTCCCCATTGAAGATGAGGAATTTGAAGCGCGCACCGCCGTCGTGCGCTTTTATTTGCGTCGCACGTGCATTTTATTTTCGTTGCACGTGCATTTCATTTCCGTCGCACGTGCATTTCATTTAACATTTAACACTATACTTTATTTCATGCAAATCATTTTGCCATCTCCACCCGCAAATAGCAAAAGCTAGACGAGGCAGGCGGAGAGGAAAGGTTACAACAGTCATAACAGATAATATAATAATTGTAAAGTAACTAAATAAACTATCTGGATAAACAAGCTAAAGTTACAAAATATATAGTCTTACAGAATGATATTACAATCAAATTTACTACTAACAGAACTATCAATTATATACATTGAGTCGAGGATGCAGAATTTGCCATTTTTTGTAGGAGAATGGGCACTTCAACATAATCGTCCTCTGCTTCCATTATCGAGAGCAAAAAGTCATGAAAATTTTTCTTAAAAGCTCCTTTGGAGAGTTGACGAAATTCGTTAGGAATTGCGTTCCAAAGTTTAGCTCCAAACCTGGAAAAAGAATCTTGATTTAGATTCAGTCTTGAAGTTTGAACATAATAATTTCCAGACGAAGAGAACCTGGTCTCATGCCTGTGCTTTGAATTAGCTTTAGTGAAGAAATCACAGATGTTAGACGGAGCATTCATGCAGGAAACGTCAAACATTATAGAAGATACTTTTTCAGCATATAACATTTGTAGGGGTAGAATTTTCGAGGAAATAAATAAAGGCACAGCATGGGCTCTAGGTTCAGAAAAGTACATCAAACGAAGGGCTCGTTTTTGAAGCACGAGGATTTTTTTAAAATGGGTTTTGGCAGCTTGACCCCAAGCCGCCAAACCATATGTCAGATGAGGCAAGATCAATGATTGATAAATATTTAAAAGGGTTGTACGTGGGACGAAGTGCCTAAGACGGGCAACAACACCAACAGTTCTGCTTATTTTTAATGCACCATTATTTATTTGAAATTTCCAGTTTAAGTTGCTGTCCAATAGGACGCCAAGATATTTAACATGGTCTTCGCACTGAAGCGTGGTAGGAATTTGAGTACAGTTATCGATCATTTCAATGTTAATCGAGTAGTTCAACTTACGTTGATATGGACGAAAGATAACATAGTTTGACTTTTTAGCATTGAGCGTTAACTTATTTGCATTGAGCCAGTCAGAGACTTTGAGCAGTTCGCTATTGACGGTTTTTTCAAGAGATTTCAAATTAGAATCAGCATACAACAAGCTCGTGTCATCAGCAAAGAGATAGAATGACAATTTCGCTGAAGAGTTGTGAATATCGTTAATATAGATTAAGAATAACAGAGGACCAAGCACAGACCCCTGTGGGACACCACATGAGATCATGCATTCGGTAGATAAGTTAAAACCCACTTCAGTTACTTGTGAACGACCGAGAAGGTACGAGGCAAACCAAGCATTGATAATTCCTCTGATGCCATAATGATTAAGTTTTTGAAGCAAGATTAAATGGTCGACGGTATCAAAGGCCTTTTTTAAGTCTAAAAAGATCCTGCAAGTGAAAAGTTTTTGGTCCATATTGTTTTGTATGACATTAACGATATCAATAATGGCATGTTGCGTGGAATGGTTTTCGCGGAAGCCATACTGTGACTTAAATAGAATATCGTTTTTACCAAGATAGGATTTGAGGCGGTGGTACATTAATTTTTCAAATATCCGATTGAAAATAGACAGTAATGATATCGGACGATAATTACCAGGCTCAGTCTCATCGTCATTTTTGTACACAGGAACAACTTTCGCTTTTTTCAGTTTGGATGGAAAGATGCCCTTTTGCACAGATATGTTTATGATGATGGAGAGAGGGCCCGAGATAACGCATCTTGCGTCAGTTAAAATACGAATCGGACAAGAGTAGAGACCGTAGGTTTTATTTTTAGGGATCAAAAGTATCTCACGCTCAATTTCCTCTGGCGTAACTGGATCAAAGAAGAAAGAGCTTGGATTATAATTGGGAGACAAGTATTCGGTAAAAAAGCGAGATGAACGAGGTACGCGTGAAGCTAGGTTTTTACCGACCGAAGAAAAGTAGTTATTGAAGATGTTAGAAATCTCAAGAGGATCATTGGTTAAGCTTTTATCATCAGGACGTTTAAGGGAAGAAATGACTTGCTTTCTATTCTTTTTGTCGTTAATTAGCCTATATATTCCATTCCAGGTGTTTTTCATATTGTTTAAATTTTCAGCAAAGAACGCATGATAATAATTCTTTTTACTCAGTCGAGTAAGACTAGAAATTTTATTTCTGTATATTTTATAATTTACAAGATCACCCGATTGGAGGAGAGAATTTTTTATTTTGATGGATTTTCTAAGGCCACTAGTTATCCATGGTTTAGAGAACTGCTTAAGCTTGCGATTCGAAACAGTCTTTAAAGGAGCATGTTTGTCAACGAGTGCTAATAGTGTATTGTAAAAGTAAGAAAAAGCTGTATCGACCTCAAACTGATCGCGAAAGTTAGTTTGGCTTACCAAAGCATCAGAGAGTTCAGAGTTGAACTTGCTCCTGGAATAACCAGAAAAGTCTCTACGTTTTTGCTTTCCGCGTTTTGGCCGCTGAATAAAATTGTGAGAAATACAGAATTGTGAATAGTGATCGCTTATGTCAGAGATAATATTCCCACTGGTAATTTCAACATCAACTTTGTTTGTTAGAATATTATCAATTAGGGTGACTGAGTTATTGTAAACACGTGTTGGTTTGTCAATAGTTGGGATAAATGAAAAGCTTTGAAGAGAAAGTAAGAAGTCCTGAGCATAACAGGAAGTTTCGGCATGAAGGAGGTTTATGTTGAAGTCGCCCATAATATATATTGATTTATTTGAGGTAATTAGTCTTTCAAGTTTATCATCAAAATATTCTTGGAAACGTTTGGGAGAGTTATGTTGTCTATATATGATACCACAAATGATGTTACTTTTCTGTGGAAGTTGAATTTCGATCCAAAGTGACTGGAAGGCTTCATCAGATACTTTTTCAATGACAGTATATTTCAGGGAATCATTAATATACAAGCCAACACCTCCAGAAGCTAGAGGTGTCGGCACATATTCGAAAACGTATCCAGGTATGCATGGATTAAAATCCATTTCTTTACCACTGATTATTTTAGTTTCTGAGACTCCTATAATGCTAAATTCGAAATTTAACTCGTCCAATAGATGAACTTGAAAGTTTTCAAGATTTCGCTTAAGACTCCTGATATTATTATGTAAAAGAGAGAAGCTCGAATCACAGACACGACTGGGAAGTTCACTTTTAAATTTGTAGAAACTATATGGGGAGTAGTATCGACTATGGATACGATGATTATAGATACTATCACTCGGATTGGTGTCTTCAAGTGCGTTTAGCTTGAAAAGATTAAGGTCATAAATGCTAGAGAGTTTTTCTAGGTATTTTTTGGCCGGTAAATGGGAAGGTAAACAATTATTAAATTGACCATGAGCTAAGTTTACATTTAATCCAAAATATGGGAGCTCACGGAATAATGATAGAGTATCGCGAGAGTTTAGATCGTTAGCACTCATGAATAAAACTAACTATTAAAAGTAGATGATAGTAAATACTTATCGAACTGATAATGTCAGGTGTCCGAGACAAGTCGCTGTAGACTACCAAAGTCCGTTATCTTTATCGGTCGGGAACCCTCACTCTTGCGTAAATAAATCGTGGAATTCTTGGCCCAGCAGAAGCGGTATTGGTTCTGTTCTTTAAATCTCTTCGCTTCAAAAAACAGGTGTTGTTTTTTGGGGGTGAGGTGATCGAAGATTCTGACTCTGTCAAGAACACTATCAGCAGACAGACCAATATTTGATAGGTTGACTTGAGAGGCGCTTTGTCGAGTTTCCATAACACTTGCTTTTGCAAGGCGTCTTACAAATTTACAGATGACCGGTTTCGGAGCGCCATTTTGCTGCCTCGAGGGGACGCGATGAGCAATGTCAATGTCCGACAGAAACACTTCTGCCCCCATCTCCTGGAATAATTTTACACACAGGGCGCTTGTTTCAGCTGCGGTTTCACTGCTTTTCTCTGGCAGGCCAATTATTTTTACATTAAATTGGTAGCTATATTCCTCAACCTCGTCAATGGCGTTGCCAACACGTGTGACTTCAGCGCTAAGCTTATTAAGACCACGGCTTAATGCCTTGAGTTGATCAACGACACCAGAATTAGACGCTGAGAGGTCGTCGTATTCGTCGCTCAGATATTGTAGACTACGAGACACGGTTTCATCATTCGAAGCATTATCAATGCTATTACCAGACGTAGCAGCTGCTTCAGCACCAAAGGCAATGGCCGAGTCGACCCGAACCTTCTCTTTCAGCTGCGTTATTTCCTTCGAAAGGGCGTCGACCTTATCCTTTAAATCTTGATTTTGTTGCTTTAGTGAAGTAACTGACTCTTTTGGCATTATTTCAGTTAAAATTAATAACAAAAAGACAGATAGAAGCGGGAGCTCAAAATGAAACGTCCATCTTGGCTCCTGACCGCTGACCTGTCTCATCTACATCGCACGTGCGTTTTCAGTCGCATCGCACGTGTTACCAGGCTCTACTTTAGTAATACCCCTCTCCACCCAGGAATAGGAAATGGGTACCTGCAAAGTGCGGGAGTCAAAGAAACTTGACGAAAGGTTTAGGGTTTACATATACCCGCGAAATATTAACATCCGGTCCCCCTGGTGCCGTCATGTTATTTACACCAGGAAATTTTGCTACAAGATTGACCGGAAGGTCAGTGTTGAAAAAAGTAGATATGAAAATGTTACCAGTTAAGTAATGTGAATTTTTTAAACTTTCTTTAAGTAAGATTAATATTACGTGTGCATCATTTTAATCATTAATCAATAATTTTTTATTGTTGAGATAATTATGCTGTTGTAGCTTGGGTGTTGTGCCGCGAGATGGCGAAAGTTTTGCTTCACAGAAGTTAAACACTCGCTGCTAGTGATACGTTCCTACAAGAATTAACGAAAACAGAAAATTGCTTCTTTCCATCGAAGACTACCACAAAGGCATCAGTACAAGATAAGGGGTTACCACGGCCAATGTTCTCTTTCAAATTCTGGCTTAAAGAACCAACAATTTCCTTTCCTTCTAATCAGAACTGAAATCGAACCGGCAAGCAAATCAAATCCGAAAGTGATGAGCGCAAAGAAATTTAGTTGACAGTGAAAGTCACTGATCAGAGCTACAATTGAATCAAGAGAACACCTCTTTCTTTTGCGTCGCAACAAGCCAAAAGTGATTTTTGGCTAGACTACCCGTTTTTGGATAATGCAGTATGTCTAAAATCACCAGAATGCCAAATTTT